GAACAAGAAGTGTGTCACGCAGTCAGCTCCTTAGCAAGTCGTTCGCCCGGACAATCCTGGATTTAGACTGGATGCTGGGTATAGAATAGAATACGAAGTACATTTAATATCACATTGTATCTCGAACTTCCGTAATGGATCAGGTGTTGGAATAAGATCATCGTGATCAAGGTCTTTAAGTGCTGGTTTTAGTAAATGCGAGTGATAGGAAAGGCTATAGACTCACTCATCTCGGCAATTTTGTTAGTGCTGTCCATATGCCTATGCGACTCAGATCAAGCTCTGGACCGTCTCTAGGTATCACTAATGCAGTCCCAAGGCTATAATAAAATGCTTCTCGAGAAGCAATCGGTACCCAGACTAGCAGCCGGCAATTGGGTCCTCCCATCCATCCAATGTCATGATTCAGGAGAAAGGGGGTCGGTCTGAGGTCAGCATGGGACCCTCCCCTCATCATTTCAGCGGCGTTCAACAGAGCATGGGTAGAGTTGGAAGAGAATCGAACGAGGTGATTGATGCTTGTAGTAGTGGTAGTGGTAGTCGAAATGGGATGCATGATGCGATGTTCGTTTGAGAATGCTGGTTCGGCACATTGTTGCAAGGGCAGTCACGACGCGAGACCCGTCCGGCAAAAACAAGACTGTGGAGTACATCAGTGTAGTACCCCCACAAGGGCTTGCCGACTGGCCGCCCCGCCGTTGCATCCCACAGCCGCAGTCTCATCCCACGCACTAGTCACGACTCACGATATGAGCTTCGTCTGGCAAGAACGAGACCAATGTAACGGGACCAGCGTGCCCCAACGGCTCATTAACTGGCTGACCCATTCCTGCATCCCACAGTATGACCGTCCCGCACCAGTCGCGATGCGAGTTCCATCCGGCAAGAAAGAGACCGAGTTAATCCAATCAGTGTGCCCACTCACGGGCTCACCGACTAGCTACCCCATTTCGCACAGTCACATCTGAAGAATCCGTCGCAATGCGAATGCCATCCGGCGAGAACGAGACCGAGATAACTGGACAGGCGTGACTAAGGAAGGGCCTAGCAACTAGCTGCCCCATTGCTGCATCCCACAGTCGCAGTGTTATCCCAAGAATCAGTCACGATGCGGATGTCATCCGGCGAGAACGAGACTGATGTTTCCGGATGAGTATGCCCCAGGAGCACGGTCTAAAGAGTTGGCCAGTTCATATGACGTCCATATGCGACACAAAGAGTATTCGGAAACGGTGCAGAAATTTTTCTCGATAGCGGAGAGTCAGCAGGCAGGGGTGGCAGTGCGGATACATACAGATATGGCGTGTTATGCAAAACCATGCCGCTGATGACTTAAATAAACCTCTGCACGTCCGTTACGATCAGCAATTTGAATCTGGAATCACCCTGTGGTTGTGCATAAGCACATGATCTGAAGAATAGTAACCACGCGCTCACCTTCATGGGCAATAAGCGGAAGGGCGGAAACCGCGCCGCTGACCGCATTGATAAGGCCGAGTAACTCTATCCATAAGAGCAGCCGCTCGTGGTCGAAACCCGATTTTACTTCCTTCGCGAGCTCTGCGTCGAAGGCCGTCGCTTGTACGTGCACAATCCCAAATCGAGAGGAATAATACAGGTGTGGGGAACGCACCTTTCAACTCGTTCTCGCAGCCCAGTATCTTGACTATTGGGGAGGTACGAAGATTTCAAATCATAGATATTGAAGCAAAGACCATGTTCCATCACGGGAAGTAACGTAAATGCGAGGACGCGTTGATTCTTCGAAACGTCGGCGAAAACTCTCCACTATGATTGGTCCGTCAAGAAATCGAGGAAGGATGCGTGAAGGAGTCGGATTAGATGGGCCAGTGGTTCCGTCATGTGTCCCACTGCTATCTCCAATTTGTAATGCTCGGCTTCGTCTGGAAATCCAGAGGGAGGGGCCGTGCTGAATACGCCGAACACCCGCAAACTCAGCTTCAATGTCAATGAGCGGGCGAGAAGTAGCGATGATCAGGAAGTTTTGTGGGAGTGCCGTGATTTGGGGAATATTCGAAAGTTTATCGGAGAAGGTCGCTTCGTGTTTCGACTCCACCACTCTCGTCCAGTGCATCGATCACGATCAGAACAGCTTCCCTAGTGGTTTGACAGGAAGCTTGTCCCATTGCTGGACGACGTCCGCCGTATTCTTCAGCGAACTCGCGTTCTGAACTGCATTAGCTAATGCTCGTCTCATTCCCGGATCACGGTTAACCAGGTCGCGCGCAATGTTAGAAAAAGCCTTTTCATGGCGACGGTCGGCGTCTCGATGGTAGTCGAAACAATAACATCAACTAAGTCTTCCCACATCATAGTGGGCGATGGCCAATTTGCCCTGCCTGCAGGACCAGCACACGGAGCATACGGGGAACATCGTCTCCAGTGCTGTTGACCCAGTCCGTGATCTGGGAGAGGATCCACTTGCGCGTCCCTGGCAGGCATTGCTTCCTGCGATCCAGTCCCGCGTCTGCTGGACAATTCATACCGCTGAGGTCCAGTAGTTTGTCGGAAGAGGTGTGAATAGTTGTGAAGTCAAAGCATGTCCGAGCCGCGAGGATGGCTCTACATCCTCACGTGACTACACCTATGAAGTGGCTGTGTCTCTGCGCGCATAACTTAGTTTCTTTGCAGTCTCAGCGTCTGCTCTACTAATCTCTGTACATGGCTGGTAAGTCCATATTTTTATTGCAAATATGTATGTATGCTACTGAGGTTATATGTAGACCAAGTGGAACTTTCATCACCTCCATTCGACAGCGTATCCCAGGTACGCTTCTCCCCGACAAACCCTGACCACCTCCTTGTATCTGCCTGGGACACCGTGAGTTTCCATCTAACCTTTTCGTCCTCCGAGATTCAACCAACTATTACCAGACTGTACGGTTCTATGATGTAGCCGCGAACGAACAAAAAGCCAAGTTTGACCATCGTGCAGCCGTCCTTTCCTGTCTGTTCGGCGACTCGACCCATGCTTACAGTGGATGCTTAGATACTGGAGTCCGGGAGTACGCATTCTCATTCTATTTTCTTGACAAGGATGCTGACTTTTCTGATAGGCTTGATCTTACGACAGAAAGGGTGACATCTTTGGGTCAACATTCCAACTCGGTCTCTGCGCTCTCCTATGCACGTGAAATCAGTATATCTCTCGATCAAATGTTTCTTTAAGTCTTTTCTAACTATTACCTGCCAGACACGCTCATCTCTGGCTCATGGGACCAATCTCTTCGTTTCTGGGATCCCCGCGCACCAAAAGCAGAAGTATCGAATCATACGCTCCCTGAACGCGTGTACCACATGGACATCGTGAACAACACACTCGTAGTCTCTATGGCCTCGCGTTTGTTCCATATATATGACGTACGAAGAATGTCCGAGCCCGCGCAGACGAGAGAGAGCAGTTTGAAATTCATGACGAGGAGTTTGGCGTGCATGGCTGATGGGCAGGGTGAGTTTACGTGCATTTGGAATTCCTTTCGTGTTTGTGGTGACATGCTTTATGTTTTAACTTATAGGTTATGCGATCGGCTCTGTGGAGGGCCGTATCGGCGTGGAATATTTTGATCCGAACCCAGAGATCCAGGATAAGAAATACGCGTTCAAGTGCCACAGACAAAATATCGAAGAGGTGGATCATGTCTGGCCTGTTAACGCACTTGCATTCCACCCAGTGTATGTCTCATCTCGTTCCTTGACTGTAGTTGATCAGTTCACCGATTTACTCATATATGCGATTAGACACAACACATTCGCATCTGCGGGCTCAGACGGCACCGTCTCCATCTGGGACCATAAGGTGAAAAAACGGCTTAGGCAGTACCCGAAATATGCGTCTGCGATCCCCAGTATCGCGTTCAACTGCGACGGCACGCGTCTAGCAGTGGGAGTGAGCTATACGTGGGATGAAGGGGACGAAGGTTTAAAGAAAGAGGGCGGTACAGTCAGAGCGGTGTGGGTGCGCAAGGTTGGCGATGAAGTCAAGGTGCGTGATTTGTTACTTGTTTGATTTATTTTTGTCTTCATACTGACTGATGAACCTTTTTCTTGTACAGCCTAGGGCGACTGGCTGATCTCGGGGAACATTACTGAACGCCGTGATGTATTACAATTTTGTCCTAATGAAATTTCCCCACAAAACCTCAGCCCGCCACCATTTTACCACAACGTGAACGTGAGTGCATATAACTGTCTGCCATATACGCGGCGCAGCGCAGAGGGCCATCGATCAAATGGATGCTCATTCATCTCACTCTCTTCGTGAATTCAAGGTCGCCAACAAGCCGAGCTTCACCAATGCTCTCTAGTTTGAGGAACCGTGAACTTGACTGCTTCTAGGCGCTCAGCTGTCACCTCCATCCATCGCGTTACTTGGGCCGAGAACATCTGATCAAGTTGTGGATTCCATTGCAGCTAGACCAACTTGCACACTGTAGATCCGTTGCATTTTAGAATGCATCGTACTGGCAAAATCCATAATTCTCCCTAGCAACCAAACACCGAGCGCCGCCATCTCTCTAGAAGATCATGGCAAACTTTCCAAGTGCCTCGGTTGAATTGGGCGCCAATCAGGTGCCTTTCCGTTCCCTGTTTCGAGTTATTGTGACCCGACATGGTGGTATCCATCAATTAAGGGTTGGACTCTACACAGTTATCAAAATCAAACCTTATTGATCCTTCCCTCAAGTGGTTCCACTGATCTAGATTTCTCCAATTCGTCGCACCCCTGGCAGAAGTATCATGCATTTATGGGAAGGACGCACAATGCGACTAACCGCTCATGAACAGTGACCAGATGTTTCAAGAATTCGATACCTGTAACGCAGTCAATCTAAAATCCAAACAGCAGTAGGGAGATTTACGTTGAGCCAACTATCCCATCCTCCTATGGATATGACAGAGTACGGCCAGCCTGATTCCTGAGACGCTGTCGGCTACCTGAATACAATTAAAAAACGTCGGGCGATTAATCCGCGGCAACCATGGCGTGTATATTTTTAATATTTATGTCATCTTCCACAGATGTCCCGGCCTGTCATGCACCGAAGCCAATAGTATTCGAGATGCAGGTGAGCGCATTTTGGCTGGCGAACGCAAGTGATAATCAGTAAGATCGTCGGTGCGAGCACACCTGCACACCAATTGAACTCACCTTGATCGCGCGCCAGGATGACGGCGAGTATACCACTGCAACTGCCAAATTCAACCAGTATGATACCACAACCGACACCCACAAAGTCACTCGGCACCGTGAACAAAAGCCCGGCAGATACATAGTCGCCGCGGTCATCGGTGACCGACAGTGAGAAGAGGCCGCCATCTTCGTAGCGTAAAGAAGGCGGCGATGTTACACGTGTATTCGTGACCGGCTATAACTCCGCCAAGCTAACTCGTTATGGTGCTCCCTTTGAATGTCTATTAATGGACGTTATATGAAAAATAATTTGACTGCTCTGTCGATGGTCCATCATCGTTGGGGCTCTCGATTCGAGATAGACTCGCTCCAGACCTTGAACGTGACTCGCTTTGGTACTGCAGAAAGCCAGGAGCATTGAAGGTTGGCTCCGTTGGGAGTCTCCAAATCGGACAGCAGTGAAGTTCGCCTCAATGTCATGTTCTGATATTCTGATGAGGGTTCGTCGTGGAAAGAATCCGTCGATCACGGTCGTCAAGCTCTGGATCAAGCACAGAGAGTCAAAACACGGGGCTCGTACGTTATAGATGCAGATGCGTCTGTTCGCATCCAAGTGACGTTAAGCTTCGCATCGAGAAGACCCGTCGGCCAAGGTCCAAACTGTCCATAGTAAATTTTCGACCAATGGGCAATCATTGCAATCATTCGGCCAATAGAAAATGGAGTGATTGATTTCAGAACAGTTCTGGTCTGGAGAAGCTTTGGACACCGTAATCATTGGCCAGCTCGGCGTCTCGGACGCTTGTTTGTGGTAATGAGACCAGTCTTGGGGAGAGTCAGGGATACAGGAACATTTTTCAGAAGGTCGCAGGTAGGAGCGAGAATGCAAGAAATGGGTTCATGAATGGTTCTAGCAGACGAAAAGCATTCGATCTCAGCGTTGCGCCGTCCATAACATGGTTGCCGTGGCTTAGTCATCGACCGTTCCGTTCACCTTTACTACGGACATCAATCCCGAATCGTTTCACACCGCTCAGCCAGACAGATCGGGCACTAATGAACCTTTGAAGCAGCCGCTTTTGCAAGTATTACAGCTGCGCGGACGTCTTCCATTGGTCGGTAATGTATTTGGGACAACATTACGGAGTCACGGATCGGATCACGTCGGCCATACATGCCCTTCTGGTCCAAGGTCATGATTCTACTGAGCCTGGCCGCCTTGTTAGGATGTGGCGCCATGATCTGTTAACGTTCAGTCCCCCTTGGTCTGTGTGGCAGAATTGTGAAATGCGTAACGCTAGTGAGTGTGTTCCAGCCGGTCACAGCGCAGACCTTCTGATTCATCACGTTCACATCCATTGTCCTCCGTCAGACAGGCCTGGTAACTTCTAGCTTGTCAAATTCAACCGCTTTCGATCCCTAGGGGCACGGTATGCCTTGCTATGTCCCGGTGAGTTATATCTGCGAAACACGGACACGTCATATCATATGCGCCCAATCGATCTTTGGGAGATCTGCCATTGTTCACTGCAATGGGCAGACCTATAATGAGTGCGACACACTGCCTGCTCCACCACGAATCGGTACTTAGTGATGGCTTCCCACGTAAGTCAGCGACTCGGTGATCGCAGCTCCTTACCGGCGGGATGAATGATCGAGGAGTTTGTGCCCTTGGACTGGCAACTTTCCGTGACACAGCAGCGAAAAAAATGATTGGGTACCTATCGCAATCCCTCTTTGGATGTGGGTATGTACTGGTTCATTGTCATATCCAAAGAAGGAGTAGGCTCACCCGGGCAATCAACCATCCATGGCCAGTCTCCGTGGAATAGCAAAACGGGAAGAAAAGAAGACCCATATTCGCTATCGAGTCACAATCCGCGCCCCCGAAAAAGAAGGCGGTAATCCTCATTAATATCTACTATCTGACTCCTCCGACGGCATTCATCGAACACTATGCTCAGGATTCGATGTTACCATTCATCAGTTACTGCTATCTCTCCTGACTATCGCCGCAGATCCATGGCCTTTCTAAGACCCCGCCTATTTCCAACTTCCAGCGTGGAGTCACTCATTGTACTGCGCTTCTCTCTCACTTGACTGGGAATGTGTCAAGCTTGGGCGACGCAAGGTGTGATGAACAGACAGTACACCATTGTTCGCTGGATATGACTCGTGGGTCTTGTGTTTATCGTGGCAAAGTTGTCCATTCAGGATTGATCTCACGAGTACTTTTGCAGCAGACTCATATTCGGCATTACCCGTCCTGGCAACATGATTAAATGTCTTCAAATGGCTCATTGACTCGAGCATTGTTCACGGTCATACGTCAATTGTTCACACAATTTATGGGCTTTTGACTCGACGTCCTCGATTGGTTCCTCTCGACTGTGCAAAATGTTGTTCAGGCCTTCTGACCTCAGGTACCACGAGGTACCCCCAACTACAAACCAGGTGTTGCCACGGTCAGCCGGGCAGACCCCATTGACCGTACTCAATTTGCCCCGATATCCCCGTCACCGGGCACGAGGCGGGCGAAGGCACGCATAGTCCCTTTATATCCGCTTACATGCCTGATCTACGCTGTGATTAACTTGCTTTGTTGGCACCAACCGTCAGATTGATCAATTGCGTGCGTCTTCGTCATTGTCCTCTTTTTTCGGCCTCGATTGAGAGCTGGCAACGAGAAGAAGGCACCTGGGGCTCAACTGAAGAACAGGAAAATGAATGTCGAGCCTGGGTGCTATTAGTATCATCTGATCAGACTTGCCTCATGGCTACCTCGTGTTGATATTTACGTCGGCTACGAGTATGGCGCGTATGGGCCTTCGCTGCTGCGTCGTGGATTAATAGGTAATTAGATATGTCACGGGCCTTTGGAGTCTGAATCCTATTGATATCGGGCAAAGGCCTCACTGGTAGCCCCCTTCGTCGCGGCTCGTCTCTTCGCTTCGCGCTTGACGCAATATCACCGCGATTCAGATTACTCGATAGCCGCTTTGTGCTTGAGTCATCCTGGCCCATCTCCGAATGAATTGGCTGAATAAACCCTGACAAACCCCATATTATTTAGTGTATTGTATGGAGAGCCTATCATCACTTATCGAAGGCATCAATGATCATCCCCGGGCTCACGGCGGTGTATGCTTTGTCCATTGTCCATTCGAAGATCAATTTGGGTTATGATTCAGAGACTTGAGATGACCTGTCTTGTTTGTCTGTCGAACACAAGACATTTGCTTCCGCGATCCGCGTCAGCCTCGCTGCGCCATGTCAAAGCAAGGGAGTGCGCATCATCGCAAATATTCGTATTTTTCCGGATTTCGTCCCGACATACAACCTGCAAGAACAAGATCATTCCCGGGCCGCCTTAACCGATATCCCGAAACACTGGCATATCCGGCTATGGGATGAGCCGCACTTTTGCCGACGGTGGTTCAGCGACCCTAGACGACCCTCCATGTCCGAGGACAGCTTACATGGACGAGGAGAGTGGATATGCTCCGGGGAGACATCAACGTCAATTCTACGTTCTCAAGTCGTGATCCGCGTTTAACGTCTCCGAGCTACATCAAGTGGGCGGTGTAATCCTAGGAACAAAACAGTACGTACGGCATTCTAAATCGATCATGGTATGACGCACTCGTCTCAGACTGTGGGGAAACTGGGATGCTCCGAGTTCTCCTGGCGCGTGGTTCGGGAGGATTCAGGTCCAACTTACAATTTGACACACAAAACGCGGGTTCTCACTGTGGCATGTTTTTATCCCACCGAGTGTTGAGGGATGACTGACTGACTGACAATGAGTGTAATTTATATCCGCGGTGAAGGGTCTGCGAAGAAGCATCGGTGCACACACGTGGTCGGCTCTAAGGGGCGAAAAGCGGAATTGGTCTTCGTTGGGCGGGATGGGTTCCCTCGCACATCCACCGAGCGACCTGCAAGTTGAAAATATTCCCAGAACGTTCTATACATTGTACCGAGTTTTTGGTGTAGTGGGCTACACGTGTTACAGCGAAGGGCACATGTACTGCCTTTCTGGAGGCCGTCCTAAATGTCGTAATCATGTTCCATCTAACACAGCGCGGGCTGAAGCGAGTACTGGAATACGTACAGCAAAGTGGGGTAAATGACAGCAAGATCCTTGCTATCCGGTGGTGACGTCTGAGCTGGAGTTAAAGCCCTTGCTGTGCAACTGCGTGACCCGCAGGGGAGCGGGACAAGGGCGCGGTATGTTTGATTGGCCGACAGGAAACGGAAATATGAAGAGGAAAGGAAAAATAGCTTTCGCTAGTCTAACTCCAACGCCACCGGATTCGATGCTACGACCGAGAAGTGGGATCGTAGTGGGACGACGAATGTATAGCCACCACGCAGGTCTCCGTAGAATCTAGCCAGACCTTCCTTTCCCTCGAAATATGAAGTCGAGTCAATCTTCATACTTGCCGAATTGAGGATGGTATAACAAGTTCACGGGTCTTGGATGCCTCAAATGGAATCTTTAACGTCGAGGAAGAGAGAAATCCGAGAATAGAACTTGAGCATGTGAAAACGTGAAGGGTCAGTATCGTAGGTTGGATATTCGTGTGGTCCGTGAATATGGATAGGGACGGGGACGGAACCGTCGGCGGAGGGTGACACATGATGCCGCGGGAAGACGGCAGGTTAGTTCTGCGTGGGTACAAGCGAGTCAGTACTGAGATAAGGGGAGGGAAAAGCGGGCTCAATAATCTGTGATTAGATAGCCAGATGTACATCTGGGGGGATATCGCCGGCCGAGGAAGACAGCGAATTCGGCGAAAAGACAATAAGAAATCTGTTTATGCGGTGTTTGGCTACGAAATGGATGTGATCCTACAAAGCATGGGTGTCTATTGCATAAGCGGAGGGATGCTTCCCTCTCATTGTTTCCTCCAAATCCGGAGTACCGCGAAATGAAAGTATCCCAATACGGTCAAAGCGTCAACCTCCAAACGGATGCAGGTTTTAAGTTCAACGGAACTTTTCGATGTTCGATTTGATCATGGTATATAACGGGCGGTCCGTATTGTTTTCGCTTTGTGTGCCCCACTCGCCCAATTGTTTGCTCGATAGCGCGCTTTGTGAGACAAAGAAAAACAGTTCAGTAACACGCCTAGCGAAACCTATTATTCAACCCAATCCTCATCCATCTCCTTTCTTCTTTCTCATTATTCCCCCTTCCTTCAGAACCGTTCACTCACCTTAGCAGCCATTGTTCCAGTCCTCGAGACAGAACAATCATGCCTGCGTTCCGCACACACGATACCCTTTCTCAATGTAAGCCCCTCTATTCAACAATTAGCTCACTGTCTCCCCAGATAACGATCCCAGTCACTCACCTCTATCTCCCCCAACAGCACTTGAAGTGATTACGGACGCCATCCAGCCCCCAACCTTGGCCATCATTTCTCCGACGCCGCGCGCCTTCACTTTCCCTATTGACCAAAACGAAACCTGTCCTTACTCGTCGCCTGTAAATTCGCCTTTTGAGCCAGATCTCCGGAAGCTCACGCTCACCCCTTCACGCCCCACACTCCTTCGCACTCTTTCCCCTGTATCTCCCTCATCATCCAGTTCATCAGGATCGACCTCGGTCTTTTCCTCGACATCATCATTTACTACCTTATCTTCTGGACCTGCATCGCCATCATCGCACAAACGCCGCAAGTCGTCGATATGCAGCGACATCGAGCGTAGACCAAGAAAGGGCGACGAAGACTATATCAAGCGCCCTGAAAATGCTTTCATCCTCTTTCGCAGGAAGTGCTGTGAAGAGCGCCAACAGGCTCAGGAGGAGGCGGTATCAGCAGCATACGCTGACGCCCCAACGAAGAAGCAGCGACAGGCAGATCTGTCAAAAACGATCAGTCAACAGTGGAAGGCGCTTTCTGCCGAGGAGCGTCTGTACTGGGAAGAGCTGGCCAAGGAAAAGAAGAAGGAGCATGAGCAGATGTACCCGAATTACGTCTATCGCCCTCAGCGATCGAAGGACAAGAAGGGGAAGAAGAGTAAGCGGGGCGAGTTTGAGCACGAGACAGACTGTGAGAGTAGCATCTCCTTTATGCTTCCATTGTCGCCTCCGACTGTGATGAAGCACGGCCGTTCTGCGTCCGCTCCTACTCCCCCACCTGCTCAGCAGAGGATTCAAGTTCCGACGGTTTACATGCCTTCGTGCCCCACATCGCCGTCGCTGTTGCCAATGATCAGCCGCCGCTCGTCGCATCCAGACCATGGAATGAATTCGTCAGCATCACAGTTCGATTTCTTGCCCCAACAGCAGTTTTCGCACCCTAACGCCTACATGGCAGGCCTTGATGTGAGTACCCGAATAACGTCCGACCTCGTGTTCAGGCTGATAATCGCACCCAAGGCCAATGGATTCTATCACGGGATGTTCGAGAACCCCTCTGCACCCCATCCACTGTCGATTTCCACCGATATGTCCATGCTCCACGCCAGCCAACAGATGGTTTCGCCAGCGTCGTCAATAGAGTCCGGGTCATCCGGCCCGCATACCGGCCCTTATACGCCCGTCAATTGCATGCCTGCCGCATTCTCGTTCCACGATGCGTCCCATGATCTTGACTGCATGAATGAAGCGGAAATAGATTCGCCAATGTCTGGATCGCCTTTGGATAACGTGCACTTCGGGTACTCCCAGTCGTATTCTTGGGAAGGACAGGGTGCGTGGGAGAGTCATGGCGACCTTCTTGCTGGAGACGAGTTCGACCTGAACGCTATCCCTCCAATTCAACTTGGTATGCCAGGATGCGGGGGAGAGTTGGCGTCCATGAGCCAGCACCAGTCGGCATTCGACATAGACTACGCCCCTGGCTCCTATGACGCATCGTCAATGGAGGCAAACCAATATCCGCTCGAAGCACAAGGGCACGAGACGTTCGAGCAGATGTTCAATTTTGAAAACATGCTCGTAGCACCTGCCGGATTCTGATCGCTCAACCGATGTATGCTGGCGTCATCGGCCTTGGGGACATTTTTATACGGACACCTTGTAAAACCACCTCTCCATCACATCCGCATCCACGTCCACACGCGGGCCACTTTTTCTTCCGTGTTTGATCTTGGTTTCTGTGGATACAATGTTGTTGAATTAGCTGTAGTCATACATACGTTTGTTTTTATGTGCATACAAACTCACATCCATTCTGCGCACAATACCCTTCGTGCGCTACCCACCATCCCTCACTTATGTCCACTCCTGACGATTTTACGTATTCCCCCCACCCTCCCCATTCATACCACACCCCTCGCACGTCACGAAGATACCCTGTTGTTGTAAATTTGGAGAGTATTATGCTTTTGTACCTACCGAGTTGCGCAGCAGAATGCAGTCTTTGGAGACCCCGCCACTGTGAACGTGTGCTGAAAGGGATTTGAATTTAAATACGATTGACGGAGCAAGTGCCTTTGATTGTGGTAGGAAGAAAGAGGGGACGGGTGATTCCCGTGAACGTTTTACTCTGGCTTTTTGGAAGAGGTACGATCATTGGAGGTGTCAACTACATGATATATACATGAGGTGTCCACGGAGACGGTTTCTGAGGAAACGTGTTAACCCTAACCCCAAGATTTGTGATTTAGAAAGTACACTTGGCTTGCGCAGTGCGCACACCCAAGGCCTTGTACTAATTCTGTAGGCTTCTGGATGTCGTACCCCAAATTACCTGCAGTTCCCTGAAGGATTAAACTTTCTTGAATGAGAGCCGACGTAATACGGTTTACTGGTCGCGCTCAAGTTACCTGACTGCGGGAACAAGCGAATTCCCACGGATCCGATAACCGCCTGTGACCAGCACAGCAAATGACTTTGTAACTTCAAGACTTGTCCCCACCACCCATGTCGCTTCCTCGCTCAGACTATGACCCTCGCAGGGTGTGTTTAAACCCGTTCCCAGATCTCAACTTGAACTTGGGAAAGCATCGCCGGACAATTGGTATTTACCTCGCAGGCGCCTTGGTCTGTGCGCTTCCTCTCAACCTACTTACCCTGATGCTAACTTGCATGCCCTTGCGCAGTTCGCACTTGCAAACTGGACTTTCCTCGACGCTGCTATATTGTCTGCACATGCTCACCCGCCTTATGAGGATCCCCAAATCCCGCCTCCCGTGCATGTGCAGTTCGTCGATTGGGTGCCAGGCATCTGCTCGCTCCTTGGCATGCTCATTATCAACTTGATCGACAAGGATAGGATTAGAGGGGATGATTATGGAGACTCTTCGGCTGTGTGGAGGGCGCGGCTTTTCCTGTTCATCGGGTTTGCTTTCATGGCTGGTGGATTAGCGGGGAGCGTGGTAAGCCTCAACCTTTGCTTGAAACCACTAAATATTCATATTCAATTGTTCCTTTTAGTCCCTCCTCGTGCTGAAATACATCATGAATGACTACCCCGAGCAGTTCACATACTACGGTTATGCGAACGTATCGCAGAACGTGGCTTTGATGCTGTCGGCAGTTGTGCTTTGGATTGCTCAGAGTGTGCAGACTGAATATGATTATAGCCTTACGCTTTAGGCTATGGCAGATACGACGACTTTTATTGATGTTGTTGAATTGTTTCAGTGTAGCTTTGAATATGTATGTTTTTTTTGCGATTTATTGGTGGGTATGATGGTGGGCGGCAACTCGGGAAACAACATTTAGACGGACGGCCGGCGGGGACGTTCGAGTGTCCGAGTCTTCGCTGTTAGACCCTTCAGACTTCAAGATGAGGGGAGTCGCGAAGTTCTCTGATAGAGCTGAGTACATGGCAGACGCGCAATGACAGATCAGATAGTCGACCACTGAGGCTGAACAACTGGGTAGAACCCAGAAAATAAGATTTCGCAAGGGTATCTCGATTACTGAGGCCTGAGGTCTTGTCGTCAAGGAATGAAATTCGAGTCTCCAACGTCGTACACACATTCAATACATCAGTTCCCAGTAAAAATTACCAGTAAAAATAACAACCTTCATGAATATCAAGTGAATTTTTCCTAGCTCTCAGAATGAAAAACACGCCTGAGTTAGTCCCTCCATAGCCCCTGAGGAAAGTAGCCAACAAAGCGTCCGAGCATATATGTACTGAGCGTTATACATCACGAACGGACTCTGACAGTATCTCGTGCAACTTGTGATCACTTGGTGAGAGGTATCGACTGATTGGCATAAACCAGTGAGAGCAGAATAACTTACCGGACGTTGATCTAGCATTAGATCTCCGTAGAAGCAAACAATCTCTGTGGGACTGACTAGCTTGATAGTTAATTGTTTAGCTGCTACGATAGAGGATTATTCACAAAGAGGAGCAGTGCTACCGCCCCGCCAGTGTGACCAGCCATTTACACTGGTCGTGTCCAGGTTGTCGATACCGATGATTTTGCAGGATTGGTCGTGCGCGAGGAAGGGCTCAAAACGCGACAGACACCTGGGCTCAGATACTCGCTGTCAGATCCATCGAACCTCTGCATATAATATTGACATGTTAAGCGTAGAGCTACTGAAGACAAAATCACTTACAGATTGCACGAGTCAAAGGTGAGTTCTTTTGGCGAGCCCTAAGCACTTGATAAGAACACCGTCGACATCATAGATAAAATTCTCACCCATTGAGCTACCTCGTCATTGCATAGAGTCAGTCGATATATGTGAAAGCGGAATAGCTGACCTGAAGTCGATCTACCGTCAGATCGCCGCACTAACCAATTGCAAATCATGATGCATAGTACCATTGGTCAGAACCACATTGACTGAGCCAACGCAGCGCACGTATGCTAAATGGATACTGTAGCCGATTACAGGACAACCAAGATGGCTAACTAGAGTGGTGACCAGCTGGGCGAGCGTTCGTTCGCGCCACAGACAAGTTGGTTGCCAGTCTAAACAGTCTGTTTGCACGCCACTCCTTTGCGACGGTCACCGAACGGGTGAGATTTTCCTGTAAGAATGTTTTCAGACACTCAGTGCGGAGCGCCAGACAAAAACAAGACCTTGTTCTTGCTGGATGCTCATTTAGCCACACATGTAAATGAAGAAATTTAGCAATAATATCGAGTCTCATAGAGCAGATACAAGAATGGTCAACAGTGGCGTTGTGGGCAAGGGTGGCGACTTCGAAATCTGGTTGGCAATCTGTATGTTGGGTGGTGATGAGCCTCAGGCTGTTTCGCGAAGCAGTACGCCACCCAACGGGTGGAAATTGGCTACAAGAATTTGTTCCTCATTCAGGCACTGCAGCGGAACGCCAAAAAAATCGTCCGCGGTTTTTCGTTCTAGACATGCCGATAACGAACAATAGTAATAATGTCAGGCTCGCGGCGTTATACAATAGATACAAGAATAGGCATTTGACTCACTTGGAGTTGCGATTATCCTCGGTAGCAGCGCTGTGGGCAAGAAAGTGGCGCCATCGAAGTCTGATGCGTAATGGTAGTCTCCCGTAGTCAGACCTTGGTAGAATGAAGGTCGTTCCTGAGTATTGCGCCCACTAGCCTTCGCCAGGGTCACGGAACGGGCTGGATCTGTTCCAATAATGCTACGGCGGACCGCCAAAAAAATCATGGGTGTTCATTTAATGATACCCGAGACGAACAACAGCAATCAATAGGATAGGCTCGTAGATCAAGATAGACAAATTGATTTGACTCACTGCAGTCGCGATTCTGCTAATTGAAGAAATCACAGTGGCGCTGTGGGCGAGGATGGCAGATTTGGAATCTGATGCCATCTTGTTAGTGATACAGATCTGCAAATTTGACCCCTCTGTCAGCGGTATTGCCAACACGCTAAAACAAAAGAACAAGGTTGCGATCATGCTCGTTGGAGGAATCACGGCGGCGCGGCGGTGGCCGACATCGAGACTTAATGCATGATCGGTAGTGATGCCCATTGCAGACTCGACTTCTTTCAGGCTAGCCCCAAATCTTAGATATTTTGGCGCCTAGAACAAAAAAAATACTTGAAGTGATAATCATGCATATAGGCGTGTGTGGGCGCCATCGAAAAAAGTTGAAAATTGTGGCAGTGACTCAATACGATGTGAACCTTCTGTAAACGTTAACCGTGACTCGTCCGGCTCTCTGTGAATCTTACCTGCATTCTACCATCAACCTTCGAAGTTCCAAGTGTCGATTGTGGCCTTGAATCATGTCAGAAAATAGCGTTGTTCTGACTCAAAAGCGAACCTCAACTTGAATCTGCGATTTCTTGCCTTCAACGAATTCACTTTGTTTTCCTTCTTGTCATCATGGTCAATAGTGCTGGCGCCACTGCGCCAACGACACCTCCTCGCAGCCTTCATTCTGAATCCGTGCTCAAGTCTAGGCCACTTGCAGTTGGCTTTGCCGCTGTCGGCGAACACATCAGTACTCTATGCGTCAATTATTGAACCTCGTCATGCACTCAGGGTCACTGACGATGTCCGACCATGGATCGCTTGGGATGCCGACAACTACAAAGAATCCGATGCAGCCGGAATGCTGCAGCAGCTCCTTTGTGGCTTCGAGGCTCTTCGAGGAGTGCCCCAGCAGAGAGAAGTCGAAATTACTTCAAGATTCCCTTGAAGCCGTGCTGGACAAGATTCTGTAAAGGCGCATACGCCCGAAATTACAGTATCATTAACTTGACTGCTTTGTCAGTGGCGGTTCACACGGTGTGAAAGGAGCGCTTGATGCCTTTGTCCAATACCAATTGCACCGTAGCCACAGTCTTGCGAGCATTTTTTGCGTGCGGCGGCCGGCCAATGCTGCACCCTTCGAATTGAGCGACGTGGATTTGTCCGGACTACCTGCTTCTCCGAGCGACAACGAGACCGACATCCTCTTTCGCCATAACGACAAGAACATCATCCAAAGGCACCTGGGCCTACCGTCAACGCCAAGCTTTACATCGTTCTCGTCTCTTGGAAAGCGGCGAAGGGGGTGGCGAAGGATGGCGGGTGTAATGGTAAGGGGAAGGGCCTGGGGAATGGTAGTAATGGTACCGACGAGCAAAAGACAGAGGCTAATTTTTACGTGAACCAAGTGCCGACCGAGCCCGACCGCAACTTCAAATGGATCAATGTTCTATCAACCGTGGAGTTCAAAAGCAAGGGCGGTACCCTAGCTCCTCCAGCATTGCACTACCAAGTGACGGAATGCACTCTCCCTAAGCCAGGGTTCAAGTATTTGAACCTTCGGAAGGCAACGAAGAAATCTGCTGAGCCAATGGCTTCGGCTGTTCGAAGCTCCAACAAGCCATTGAATGAACGTAAGTCACCCAGAGGGTTCACCGACTACTTCATTGCTGACTTTCGCGCGATTTAGCACAACCCATACTTGTGCCCGAGCGACAAATAACAAACGCGGCTCTGATGATGTACCCTCTAACAAGCGCCTCGAAATCGCCAACCGAAGCAAGACTGCCGATGAGAACTACATTGGCGAGGACTGCACTGACGAGAAGGAGCCGAAAAGTTCCGTCCTAACATCTAGAATGGATTGTATGTCGCGGAGATATTCGCAGCCAACAGCGTCAGAGCGAGGCCGAAATACTCGCGAAGGTGTACGACATTGCGGGAAAGGAATTGAAGGCGGGGCACGTCCCGAACATGGTCTGGTTCCACAAGTTTGAAGAGACCTTCACGGCGAAAATCAAGAGGGCGCTAGGAATTCAAGACCCTGACGCTGAAGGACGCAGCTGTGTATTGATTATCATCGTGCTCGGGAAGCTCATCCTGATCACGTCGCTGAGCGAGAACGAATTGCTTCACGCATGGTGGAAAGTGGTGGTCTGTAAGCAGTGATATTTGTATACGATAGTGGCGCGGCAATCAACAGTGTTTTACTGTCACTCTTCTGTCCAACCCTTTCGTTACAACCCCCTGATAATTTCTATCCTCGACTGTGATCCGCTATCGCGAGCAAATCAGACGGTAAGCTATGGACTTATCGCTGTTCTCGGATACTCAACTACACGCCGTGACTGAGCGCTTTTGACTCACTTCTGACCTAATGCAGTACGTACGTGAAACATTGCGACAAATCACGACGCAGTAGCTGAACCAGTCTCATAGCCTCGGATGGACAAGATTGTCGTTTCATTGCGGGAAACAACACAACGACCATCAGTTCTCCAAGAGCTTGGCCGACTCCGGGTACTAACTGGACTCGCGGTCATAGATATCATGATGCGGCCTTCTCGTCGGTTTCAGAATCACGCGGTGTTAGAGTTACGGGCTGTTACTTTCCTGTCAGGTTCTTCCATCACGAATTATGCCCATGCAGGAAATTGACAATCGAGGTATCAAGAATAGAGCATGGCGAGAATCTGTCCTGTTTGTGTATCACAGTATGAAACAACCACCTTGAGCTACTTATAAGCTCTATCGCGGGGTTGAGCATTCCAGGCATCTTTCGGTTCTCCTACTGCCCCACTCGTTATCTTTGCGATGACTATCGCTCTGGATTATGGAGCCATGCTCGTCGGTGGCTTGCTGGCCTTCAAGTGCGTGATAAACCTTGATGCAAAAATATGATATCTGTCTGACAGAACTCCTCACAGCTTGTCGGGTTGCGTTAGCATGCAATTCATCGTGTATTGCCGGACGTATTTTCGCGAGAGTTGGCTTTATAAGTCATTGGTACGGACCTTTGTCTTTCAAGTCTGCATTTTTCAATCATCTTTCACAGGTCATTGTGATATGGTATGTTCAAGTGTCCTGTTACATATAAGACGAATGTCGATGGGATTCAGACTGCTTGATTTGTCCCATTCCGCACTTGTGGCAGTTGCCCTCTGGGATTCCATCATCGCAACCTATGGTGATCTGGACAAACTCGACATAATCCCCTGGTACGTGTAGTGTCATTATTTACGATCAGTTGGGAAATTGATGTATATCAGGTGTATTGGTGTGAGCAATCGTACTTTGGACGTCTTAGACCTTCATTAACACAGCCTCATGTAGCCTGCGATTGAACTTACCGTGCGTCTCTACACGTATAGAGCTGCCCAATGCTCACCATTTTCGCTAGGGTATAATTACCTTCATTGTCCAAAGGTTAGTTATGTCATATGAGGAAGATATAGTTCTGACCCGACAGCTTCAGCTTCTTTGCGCACCGAATTTTCATATGTTTCGTACTTTTCTTTGTTCATTGGATTTCACGCACTGATGTCGGCGGGAAGTGCAAAAGAAGCTCGCTGTAGCAATTCCGATTGTAGGTTTCGTGTTTGAGAGTTTGCTACTTAGATGATGAGATTCCCGCTTTCAGGTTGTGCTCTCTTTTGTTCGTTTAGGTGGGTACACTTTGGCAGTGTAATAATGTGAACCTACTATGACCTCTCACTTCAGTTATGGCTAGCGGTAAGTTATTAAGAATTACACAAGTGGTTCTTCTAATCACGCACGTTGTGCCAGTCACAATGAGCGAGATGTGAGCAATCTTTCAAATATGGTTGATAGCCACTGAATCATGTTTGTCGTAGGCTTAGCTTACAATCATACCACACATTCTTTCAACGTGATTTCTCATCTATGATTGTGGGTAGCTTTGTAATACTAACATACCGATAGGATTTTCGTGGATCTTCACTTTGGGCCTTTTAATTTCAGCACTTGTGGATATCATGATCACAACTTTCATGTGCTACATCCTACGCAAAAATGACCAACATTTACAGAGTAAGTTGTTATATAGCCTTAATCACTGTACAGCTAAATTTTGTTCATCTTATAGCACTATCCGTATCATCGACGCCTTGACATTCTGGACAATTCAGAATGGCTCGATGACAAGGTATGTCATCTAAATGCAGACCATTAACTATATATTGATGCCACAGACTTAGTGCTGCGACCATCTCCACATTGCTTTGCGTGAGCATCCATATTAAATGTTCTGTCAAGTTTCGATCACTCAAATATCGCAGTGGAAAATCATGCCTCAGAACCGCATATTCCTAGGTCTTCACTTCGTTGTAGCAAAACGTAAGTCATTTAATATAATCGTAAACGTATCTCATCTGGATATTGTTGGAGCAGTATATGCAAACTCCCTTTTAGCTACGTGAGTCGCATGTCTGATATGATGTTCGGGGCTGCAGTTGAAACTGGTGCGTAGTCTCAATGCCAGAAAGCAAATATGGAATGGAAAGCAATACACTACTGCGACCGATCAACCTATGCCAATCGTCTTTCTGGAGAACTTTGAGCATGCACCTGAATCTCCGATCACGCAACAAGGATTCTCGGCGAGTAACATGGCCGCGACCCGTCGATGATACCTTGTATCTGACACAACTACAGATGCGGCTTGAAACTCACCAACTGGGAGCAGGGCGCCAACGGGGAAACTTGGTGCGTAGTTTTGCCATGCACTTTGAATGAAACTTTTTGACTGTCACAGGTCAAAGGAAATGTTGAGGTGGAGACCTACCGCGGCGCAAACGATGACTCGGTTTGATGGTCTGTTAATGACACTTTCAACTTTCAAGATCATTCACGACTCATCTTGGTATTTGGTATTGAACATGCTTGATCAGTTATCCCACGTTACCTTACATGTTACGCATACTCTTACCTCCTCCGTCAATATGTACTACCGATGGGGAAGGTGCAGCTTGAAGTCTTGCTCGCCGGTGTCACGTTCTTCCGTGACTTCTAGAACCACACTTCGAGTTCCTTGTACTCCCGGCATGACATTTGCCATCTAAGCGCACATTCATGATTGCGAGTCAAAGTACAAAGGCCTCGAAACAGCATTCAACTTGGGCATTCAAATATACTCACTATTTGCTCTTAGGCTCTACTAGTTCGCGCTGATGGCATCGCTCGCTATCTCGAGACGATCTTCCTCTTTACAAAAAATGATACCAGCACCACTCTGATGCCTGTCGTATGTGATAACCATTGCGCGTCTTGACCCTTACTCAATTACACATTTCAGACCATATTCGCGTTGCATACGACTCCCAGGCATGACCCCACCCATGCTAGTCATGCTGCTTTGTGGATATGGTTCCACTTATTCAACGTTGCGAACTAGATCCAGGATCCGGAGGGGGAACGCGAGAACAAGCCCTCTCTTACGAATCCTGCTGGCCGAATTTCTATGGACAGCGCAGTTGGTATGTGCTGGGTGATGAGACAATCTGCTTGCTGCTATTGCTGTAGTACGGCACTCGGGATATGTTGGCCAGCATCGGTTTCGCAGTGTTGACAATATGGTACAACGAGCTCCACGGTGACAAAATGGGATTGTCGAAGAACATTCTCACAGCCATCTTCTATGGGTGTCTGGTGGTCAGAGGAACTGTTACTGCCGGTAAATATATTCCGTTGCAGATAATCCATCATTTTGCTCACCAAGTGTACAGGTCCTCGCAACTCGTATCTGGTCATTTGGTTTGAGCCGTATCTGTAAGATAGATTCGCTCTCTACTACCGCATTTGTAATTTATGTTGTTTTTGAGGGGACTTGATACACTATAATCTTCACGATCAGCGGCGTGTCGGACTTACATAATCCTATAACTCGACTTAAAAAATTGTTCATGGGTAAGCTCAAATTTTATTCCCGCACACCGACTACCAACTTAAATTGATGCTTGAGAGCATCGTCCAAGTCTTTCTGGTGTACCTGTAGGCATGGGAACTAACGGGCTCTACGTGATCCGCTATCGGAACATGTATTTCGAATCACACCATGGCAATTCTGGTTATCCAGAATGGCTTGGCGTACGGGTACTTCAGTTAATACGACAGCCCAATGGCATCGCGATCTATCAACAGGAGTTTGGAGAGATACTGGACGGGTTGAAGAGCCCTTCGGATTGTCCATTATGGTTAGCAACCGGTGACAAATTCGGGGCCCCCTCCCGGGAGCGGCCGGAAAGCGCTTGGCTCTACTGTTATGAGATCGATCTTGATCGCAATATCTTCCACATAGACGGGTTTCCATTTTTCTCCTTGGAATGCCTTCCAGACGATGAAGTTTTTATCCAATCCGTCACCGGATGCCTTCCAGACGAGAATTATGACGAATCCATTTCCGCAGATCATTACGGTCACACAGCTTGCGCATTACAGTGCCCCCCCGAGCACAAGTACAAGAAGCCAGCACCACCGACCGTCGACAATTCTGAGCTCGCGACGTACCAGTCTTTGAGGTGCACTGGGTCTCAGGTGGCTTTGAGCGACCTGCTCGCCATCAGTGACATCCTATGTCAAAACGAGCATGTTCGGGTCTCATTGTTAGAGGTCATGGTCGGGCAGTGCATGCGTAAATCAGACGTCGGAAGAGAACTATACGAGATTGAGCTTGTCAATGACCACAAGCAACTCACGGACAAACAATGGTCGATTGCATTCTTCATGGCCAGCATTACGTTTGTTCCCCAGATGTTTGACGATATCCGGTGCGTTTACCACCCCGTGCCGAAAAGAAAGGAGTTCACATGGGTTCGCGAAGACACTGTTGTTTTCATCGCAACATATTTGAACGACGAGAGTTGCCTACAGGCCTCTGTGTCACGCCTGATCAACGCGATCTCGGAGCAGAAGGATAATCCTGGTTCTTACTTTGGAATCGCGTTTTCCGTCTACCATTGTGTAGTCGTCAAGGTCGTCAAAGACGCACACACGATGACATTCAGCCATACGGACGCCCTCCAATTTTTACCATCATTCTACGCAGAAACGCCTTCTACGCCGGGCATCACTGCTCTCGCCCGTCTTGGCCACCGCATTGAACACGCACTCTTCAAGCGTGTTATAGAGGTCACCGATCACATGCGGCGCTTGAGTTATCGAAAAACAGAGACATTGCCCGCTCAGGGAGCTGATGGTAGCCATGATGTACCACCCAACATCATCTATCCACCGCTTCCTCTTGAGCTTTGGCTAGAGATCGCCCGTTATCTCCCCCGCTTTGATCTCATCACCTTCGGATTGGTCTCAAAACTATGCCGAGAAGCAGCGTTGGTGCTACTCCGTTACCCCCATGTCTATGGCTATCGCCTGGTCGCTGTTCCAAAGATACCCCAGTATTTGCGGGAGAGACACCGCTCTCTGCATACTGCACGTTTTTCCGCTGTACGAGGCGACATTTTTTATGATGTGGATATTGGAATGGAGTGGAAAAATAGAACATCAAAGAGGATCATCACTCCCGTCGAAGTTGGTGATCCGCTTCACTGGCTTATTGTGCACTTTTCAATCTGCGGATGAAAAGCCTTTCGGATTGAAAGTTCTCTTGTTAGTTGTCACCTACTATTGTTACACAACGACAACGCGAGTGTATGTAGATGATTGTCCATAGACATAGATGATGATGTCTGGACAAAACAACAAGAACAGGAACGAGAATGCAAGCGCAGAAGTAGCAGACCAAGTACGCCCGCGCGATAACAAACCACTTTGCCTTGACGCGGCCGTTGTGAATATCGGTGAAAAGAGGATAGGACGTGCCGTAATCGTTGAATTCCACGAAGGCGTGCCAGTTACTGGAGCGAAGTCAGGTAATGGGTGGCTGTGCTTCTTTTTACCTGGTCACTGTCACACGTCGCTTTCACCAAGGGGCCTTAGGAAATTGCCGCATCTGTGCCGCACCCTGCTGCACCCTACTCAACAATGTCTTATATGCCTCTAAAATGCGTCTACGTCGTACGCAACTGTCTGAAATATGATTTAAGAATAAGTAATACTATATTCCAGGTGTTTGTGTAAGGCTAACAGTGGTACTACAGTGATATATGTACTTGATGGGTGCGGCAGTGATGCGGTAGGGTGCGGCAATTCTGTAATCGGGTGCGGCAATTCTGTAGTTGGGTGCGGCAGTGGCTGTGCACTACCGCACCACTGCACCGACACCAAACCACGCATCTTATCAACTCCACTTGCAGCACCGTTACCAGCAGCTGCGCGAAACTTGGTGAGACAACTCAACGACCCCTCACACAGGCTCGCGCCTGTCAGGTTTGGCGCCTCGATGCCTCCGCCTATCATTCAACACCTGTCTTTGCTGGTTGCATGCCTTGCCTGACTTCCCTGTCACACATCTCCTCGACCACGTTCTGCAGCAACCTGTGCAAACGGATACCGGGGCTTTAAGGTATGTATGTCATATCTGTGTGGCCTTTTGTCCTTGCAAACTGAGTCTCGTTCATTTCAGAGTACAAACTACTACTACGAGGCCCCAGCCTATGAAGCCTTGTGTATCTTCCTTGGTCGTGGCCGCGGTTTGGTTTTTTTGGTGCGTTTCTCTTTCTTAACTATGTCAGGCTCACTTCCCTCGCTAAAGTTCGGTCCACACTATTAGTCGAACCATGTCAGACTGATCCGCGATGAAAAGCGATGATGACGCACGTCTACTTCTCCTTCAAATTCTGGTGCGTATGAATCCCGGTCGCCATGATTCCAGTGCTCAGGGAGGCCCTCATAGGGATTCCATCGGTCTTGGTGTGCACCAGCGTCTTTTTCCCATTGTTCATTTCCTGCAGCTCCTGCAGCCAACGAGAGCTCGAACATCTGCTTCTCAGTATGCCAAGACACTCCAAGTCGATGTCTATATCCATCGAGGTCAGATCATAGCTGAGTTGGAGGTCAAGCCAGGCAGCCTGGAGCATCGTGTTTTCTTGCTCTTCGGGAGTAGGAACTGAGTTCACGTCAGGTCCTGACGAGCGACGTTCAATGAGGATATTTTGGGCTGGCTCCTGGAGTAAGTTTTTCTTGCGCTTCGAAACTACGATAGTGCAAGCATGTGCATATGTAGCACAGTTCAGCCGATTGATAATTCGTTTAGCTGCACCAGGGACATGTCTGCCGCACCCAGTACCGCATCCGTGCCGCAACATGCTCAAAATTGTTCTCTGAATTCAGACTCTCAAATGCATTAGTGTGAAGTGGATAATTAAGGAGTCGGACGAGAAACACTCCTAGTTCATTTATTTGGTGCACGAGGACAGTGCAGGCCGAAAATAAGTGTAGTACTTATGATTTGGTATGGGTGCGACAGTGGTGCGGTAGGGTGCGGCAAGTTGCGGCAGTGATGCGGCAATTTACCTGAGCCCTTCACCAAGTACTCGTTGTATCATCCGCTGCAAAGTGCTATCTCATACCTGTCATGCTGTCCGTTCAATCGCACTCTAATTGTTCGGCTTTTCCGTGCGCGTCGTTTTCAGCGCTTACCTCGCGAAATATTCTCGATTCTACTGTTTACCCCAGTGCGCTAAGTGAGTTGTGCGCCTCAGTCAAGCATCACAGGACCGAGTCTCACATAACCTTGTCGTGCCACTTTTGCTGACTTTGACAATATTACTACTGCCCACCCTAGTAGGCCATCTTTTCATCTTAGCACTAGTAGTCTAATCATATCAGCGTCTATTGTGCTGATTTCCGAACGGCCCTCGACAGCATGGAAATACACGTGCAGTTTGAGATTTGAGCCCTCAACCTCTTCTCCTCTTTCTTTCTGCTGAACTCCACCCACGTCCCCATATCCCTACCCTCCGTCTTCTCCTTCCACTCATTCCGTCCGTCACTTAGTTCATCCTCAATCCTCATCGTCTTACTGCATCGCACCATCATGTCCGGTACCTTAGAAAGCCAGTCTATCAGACTTGATGGTGGGTCACTCTGTATCAACTTCGTTTCTTTGTTGATCCTCACACTCTATCTTCAGTCATCAGCGCAAAAAATATCAAAGTTCCTTCCAACCGCATTCCCGCTGGCATTTACGTATCCATCGATGTCCACTCGAGGAGACGCTGGAAATCAGCCATCGGAGTCTTATCATCCGACAAATCTGTAGCATGGGGTGATGCTGTAACCCTGTAAAATCCATGGAAACTGTCGGATGTGGTTCGAGAACTGATCTTCGGTTTACAGGTCATCACAGGTGTCATCTGCATTATCAATCCAGATCAGGGTGTCCTATGAGCTCGATCGAATGCTAGGCAATGGCGAAGTCATCGGGAAACTCGAAACATCGGGGAATGAGTTGCTTGATCATGGAGATGAGCCTTTTGGTGAGTGATTCGCTCCTCATTCATGTACATCCACTAACATCCCGTAGAACTGTCCTTTCCACCTGTTTGTGGTGTTCGCCCTTCCCTCACGCTGAAGGTTGCTGTTGTACATGCTTTCGACAACCTGGACGGTGCACTGTTTGATGTGAGTGATCCAAGACTCTATCCTGTTAGCTTTTGCTCACGGAATACCAATTGTAGGTCCTCGTAGACTGCGAGATTGCTCGAGACACGGATGCGGGCCACGCACGATTCGCCATATACATGACACGCAAGGGGGTCTCTCACCTGAACAATGCTGTAAAACACTTTCAGTTGATTCTGGCCTGCTGTCCGGTCGGCCATCCTGACCACGCAGCAGCTCTCACCAACCTTGCGTGGGCCCGCCTTGAAGGTTATATTCGACAGCACCACCAACACATCAACAACGTTTCTTCCCTCTTCCGCGAAGCCCTTGCATTGCGTCCGCAGGGCCACCCCGATCACGCATTATCTCTCTATTGTCTCATTGTAGCGTTGACCTGGTGCTATGACAGGGAGGACACCACCGTCTGCATTCACGAATCGGCGCAGCTGTGCTGCAAGCTACTGCCCCTCTGTCCAGAGGGCACCTACCTTCGTAGCATTGGCGTAGACAGCGAGGTCGATTATGTGATCCTGCAATGCAACACACTTCCGATTGAAGCGTCTAATGAAGGCATCCACCTTCGACGAAACGTGCTCGAACTCTGTCCTCCGGGCCATCAATACCGTCCCGGCGCCCTCGACAACCTTGCACGTGCCGTTTGGGTACGCTTTGACCAGCATGGCAGCATTGATGATCTAGAAGAGAGCATACAACTTCGTCGTGAAGCTGTCTCTCTGTGCCCTGAGGAACATTCCAGCCGTGGTACTTACCTGAACAACTTGGCATTCTCACTCAAGTCCCGCTTTGATCACCAAGACAAATTTCATGACCTCGATGAGGCCATCACTTTGTACGAAGAAGCACTGCGCCTGTGCCCTGTTGGGCCCGAATCTCGTGATCTCTCATTGAGCAACCTAGGGGGCGCCCTTCTCATCCGTTTCAACAAACGCGGTGACATTGATGACATCACCCGAGCTATCAGCCTCCATCGCGAGGCATTGATGTTGCGCCCATCTGGGAATTCAAGTCGTTACACCACGCTCAACAACCTTGCCGTCACGCTTAAAACCAGATTTGAAAATTCACATGTCAGCGAGGAATCTGCCGAGGATCTTAACGAAGCCATTGATCTGTATCGTGAATCCCTTCGGCTACAGGGGCATGATCATCCCGACCTCCATAAAACTCTTTTCAATTTGAGCTCGGCGCTCTGCACTCGTTTCACGCGAACTCGGAGGAATGAAGATGTCAAGGAGGCGATTGATCTCTGTGAAGAATCATTGTTGGCATTGCCTTCATTGCACCCGTATAGATACTTCAGCTATATGCGGCTGCAGGAGGCCTATTTGTCTTGTTACCGAGTGCACAACAACCCTGTCGACTTGTCACTTGCAGTGGAGAACTTCAGACTGGCGTCAGGACACCCTACTTATGGCTTCCCACATCGCATTGTGACAGCCCGGAACTGGGTCACCGCAGCAGAGGAGCACAGTCATACATCTGCGCTGGAGGCCTACAACACATGTTTTGACCTTCTTGACAGTCATCTAGCAACACGATCATCGACAATTTCACGGCGCGAAGCTGCCGCTGCCTTCCGTAACACCAGATCGCTGCCTGTTGATGCAGCATCGTGTGCCATCTGCCTTGACAATTTACGACGCGCAATCGAACTCGTGGAGCGGGGTCGTGGCCAACAGTGGTCATTGACCTCTCGCCTGAGGAGTCCACTCGAAGACCTCGAGTCCACAAATCCAATCTTAGCTCACAAGTTCTCGGAGCTGAGCAAGCGTCTGTCTGACGCTCAAGGTTCCGCAGCAAGCACAGACCGAGCTGCAGCGGATCGTGCAGCTATCAAGTACAGGAAACTGACGAAGCAGTGGGACGCTGCGGTAGCTCAAATCCGTGATCTTCCAGCTTTCTCGCGATTCCTGCTCCCGCCATCGTATGCAGAATTGCAAGTGGCAGCGTGCCATGGCCCAGTCATCATCCTCATCGCGAGCGAATGCTCATGCAGTGCCATCATTGTCCCGACGTCAGGGGAACCCCGCCACGTTCCCTTCCCACGCATCACTCTCGCAGATCTGGAGCAGCTCAAGGACGATTTTGCTATGGCAATCCGGCACACGGTTTGTATGCACCCAAGGGAGCCGAGGGAGAAGTTGCGAAGACGCTTGCGAGTACTATGGGACGATATCATGCTGCCCATTGTAAATGTCCTCCAGGATGACCTGAAATTGCAGCGTCAGTCTCGAATATGGCTTTGTCCGACGGCAGCCTTCACGTCCATTCCTCTCCATGCAGCTAACCCCTTTCGGTCCAAGGCAGACCGCTCAGGGCCAGAGGAATGCCTGGAGGATATATTCGTTTGTTCTTACACGCCAACGCTTTCGGCTCTGATCAGGTCTCGACAGAAGATGGAGACTTGCGTCACTCAGACCTTCACAGCGATCGGACAAGGTGAACCTGGCGCAGGGCAAGGCGAGGTGCTCCCTGCTGTCAACAGCGAACTTAAGCTTGTCCAAAAACTCATTCCTCCCAACGTCAAGTTCACTAATCTTTCGAAAGACGACGCCACTCAAGCAAGTGCACTCGATGCTTTGCGACATAACACCTGGGTGCACCTCGCTTGTCACGGGAAGCAAGACCTTGAGCAGCCTTATAATTCAAGTTTCGCCATGAGAGACACACCCCTTACGCTACTCGACATCATGGAGAACAATTCTCCGCAAGCCGAATTCGCGTTCTTGTCGGCGTGTCATACCGCCGTCGGCGATGAGGAGACGCCTGACGAAGCCGTCCACCTCGCAGCTGGACTCCAGTTTTCTGGTTTCAAGAGCGTTGTAGGCACGCTGTGGGGGGTCAATGATGCTCTTGCAAAACACTTTGTGAAAGCTTTCTACGAGAAGATGTTCGAGGATTTGGAGGATGGTGTCATGGACTGCACGAAGGCGGCGCATGCAGTCAACTATGCTAGAGACTCCGTGAAGACGAAGGTGCCGCTCGAGCAGAGAATCGTCTTTGTTCACATCGGTGTGTAGTTCCTGCTGTATTGCTTGCGACTGGTACGCTTTCATGGGTTTTTTTCATTACGTTCTCTTTCGCCCTGTTGTTTATAGTCACGATCGTGATACTTTTACGCCCCTGTTATCTCGTTCGCGTATCCTCTCGTGTTATTGTCCCCTAGTATCTGGAATATCACCATCCACTCAAGATATCCCGTTATCGGGAAGACCGCGGATGATGTGTACGTATTGCGGACGTGGCTCCTGGCGAACGTACAGTTGTCGCTCTAAACATAAAGCATAAGAAGTGGAGATTACTTTACTGCGCTCGCTAATCGCGAAACAACCCTTCGATATTCGGTTTCAGTTAGTATGCCACTTGGTGATCGAATAGACGCGATTCAGACGCGACTGGATCACGTGACTAGTGATTTCTCTCAGCTTGATCACGATTTATCTAATCGATGCTCGAAACTTTAAGCACGAAGGCTAAAACCGTGGTGTTCTTCATCAGATTCACCCATTCCACCCCGGACCAGGTCGTATTTGCAAACAATCGACTCCACGAACACGGTGTACTACGGGTGAATTAAACTACCTACGAAGGGAACAAGATACTATCAACCCTCGAACTCGAGCCGACATAATGCAGTGGTACTCTCACATGAAGACGATGACGAACGCCAACCATCCTGGTATGCGCGGCTCATCCGAATTTTTCACTTAGATGTTTGGTATTATGGTGACTAGAACACCACTATGTCAAAACGGCGGCGTATACACATACTTTTTGTACGCTGGTCACAGTGTCCATGATGACATAATACAGCGAGATACCACGAAGATATTCATCAACACGCTCCACTATCAGGGCCGATTGATTCCATATAACGACATGCGCGAAACTCCAGGAACAGGCCACACACCTTCACGCCATCTGCTAGGCTGTAGATAGCTTTAGTAAATATTTATTTTCGCCATGGGGTTTCAGCAAGGATGCCGTTGGATCCCGCTTGTTTAATGGCAATGGCACTGGAAGGCATTGTATATGGTGAGCATCGAAATGTGTTTGTTCGTCCTATGGCCACCAACCTAGGGACACCTCTCCAGGCTTCTCGATTCTCATGTTCATGGAATGTGTTTGTTCGTCCTATGGCCACCAACCTAGGGACACCTCTCCAGGCTTCTCGATCCTCATGTTCATGGATACGCATCTGGATTTTGGCTTACAAAAAGCGCGCGCGGGATATCATGATCAACCGCCGATTGATTGTGGTGGCCATCCTGCTGTTGATATTGAGTACTGGGGTTAGCGCGTTTTGCTTCTTAGCATCTGTTGGTCTTCTGTATTGTCTTCTGCTAACCTTCTGCAAGCACATCGTCGCGAAGATAGTTCGTATTTATGATGGGCTAGTGATGTATCGCGACACATACCCAGGCGGGCCAGTGGCATTCTTCGCAGACCCTACCCAGACAACACTTGCGATCATGCACGCGTTTTTACGGCTTACAAACTCTACTGGCTGATGGGGTAATGGTGGGTTTTTTTTTCTGTTACACTGTATGGCAATCATTCTGGGTCATTATCCTACCAAGCCTGCTGTGGTGCAGCGTCGCAGGTTAGTTTGCAGTCATGTTCATGAAATTTTGCTCTCTGACGTTACATCGAAGTGAGTGGGTGTGATCTACAGCTATTTGCAAGCCACAAGCAACTCCTTGGACCTCTTTGCCAACGTGGGTGGCGGACCTTCTCAGTGGGTTACGGCATACTTCGCCTCGACTATGGCAACGAATTTGAGTTCAGGTAAGCACATTTCCGTGAGCGCAGCGTCGAGGCCCTGATTCCTGAATGTGTCCAGTCATCAGTGAACCGATGAGTACTAGGACTATTCGCATCATGTTGGCTGGCTTGTGTGTTACGGTATTCGGCAGCGACTCGGTAACGAGTTTCCCTGCAGGTATATATCATGGGCGGCGAGTCGGGTTCGCATCGTGTCGGCTGGCTTGCGTGGTACAGTATTCGGCAGCGACTCGGTAACGAGGTTTCCTGCAGGTATATCATGGGCGGCGAGTCGGATGCTGTCTTGCCTGCAAACTACTTTATCTTTCTACTTTCACCATGTCTGACATAGTTTGGCGACCAGAAGATGATCCAAATATCAGACCACCGATTCAGGAGGGCCAGGTATACAGGCCAGACATACTGAACGTAATCGAGACGACCCTTGATGGACTGAGCAGGGAGCTGAGGGCTTTAAGTCTCGATATTCATGGTAATCAACCGTTAGAGCGGTGCTTCTCTTTTCTCTCCACGCATCTTATACTGACGCATTTTCGACAGGCCATCCAGAGCTGAAGTTCGAAGAAAAGTGCGTTGGATCTCATCGTACGCATAGTTATGCGCAAACACTGAGAGCATTGTCACAGATATGCCCACGACGCATGCACCGCATTTATGGAAAAACATGGTTTCGCAGTGACTAAGCATTATCATCTTGAGACTGCGTGGGTGGCTACCTACACCCATGGACAAGGAGGGCGCGTTTTGGGTGTCATCGCTGAGATGGATGCGCTCCCTGGGATCGGACACGGTTGTGGACACAATCTTGTTGGGATATCCGGAGTAGCGGTAGCTCTTGCAGCCAAGGCTGCCATGGAGAGGCTGAACATCAATGGGAAAGTAGTTCTATTGGGTACACCTGGTGCGTCGGTGTCTGCATTTGTGATAGTCGGCCTCGAGATAACACGGGGCAGCCGGGGATGGTGGGGATAGCAAGCATATGCTGTATGAAAAGGGGGCTTGTGATGAGATGGATGTGTGCCTCATGTCAGTTCCTCTACCGGTGATCCAGATCAGATGACCAGCGTTACTCAACCTGCTTTGAAGGTCCCATCCCGCATCTGGCCCTCGCCACTCAATTAATTTGTCTAGCACCTTGACTCTCTCTCGCATCATGGTTGAGTATGAAGGCCACACGTGAGCGTCTTTCATACTTTTTATCGAGTTGCGGTTTCTCATTCTTTGCGTTTGAAGCGCTCACGCTGCGTTAAGCCCCTGGGAGGGACAAAATGCACTTGATGCAGCCGTCCTTGCATATATTAACGTTTCGCTTTTTCGCCAGCAACTTAAACCTACTCACCGCGTGCACGGCACCTTTGGAGGAAAGAATTGGGCTCCAAGCAGTGAGAATTTCACTCACTCCGTAGAAATACTTGGAAGATAATCTTTGAAAAACCAGTTATCCCGGACCACGCTACAATGGAGTAAGTCGATCTTAGGATTTTCCCGCTTCGATCCCTCTATTCACAAGTACAGGTGGCAGGTCCGTGCTCCCACACTATCAGAGACGGAAGATACCAGGAAGCGCCTCATTTCCTGCATCGAGTCAGTCTTTCACTGTCAACATGTTCGATTGATTAAGGGACATAATCTCTATTCATCACAGAGCAGCTGCACTCGCATCTGGATGCAAAGTTCAAATTACGGTCGGACGGACACGCAACGAAATCAGGCAAAACAAAGCACTTGGTATGAAATCACGGCGTGCAGCGGCTTGGTGCTGAATATCATACCAGGTGACGAGATTGCTGATGTCGTTCTGAAGCGCTACGGTGCTATGGATTCCGAATGGGGTATGAATAATGCTTCTTCTAATTTCGTGAGTATGTTGCCCATCCAGGAAGTGCGATAGAGCTGATGTTCCGGACCCACAAGGGGTACATTTCATACAGTGTGTCTAACCTCCATGACCGGGTGGTAGGCAACCTTTGCTAATGAAGTTCTTGTTCGTCAGTGATGCCTAGTCTTCGCCCTAATTTTGGTAAGTAGCGCAAGTTCCGAACCAACGAGCAAGACGCTAACGTTTTGCTCAAGCCATCCCGACCATTCCAAACGGCGGGAATCATACCCCAGGATTCACGGAAGCTGCACGTTCCGAAGTATCCCATGACGCCTGTTTGGTGGCATCGAAGGCACTCGCGGCTGTAGGCATGCGAGTGCTGACTGACAACGTGTTCTTCCAGAAAGTAGGTGTCATGCGTCCTTCAGGTGACTTTGTTTTGACTGCGTTTGCAGGTCAAAGACACATTTGAGGAAGATAAGAGACACAGAGTGTAACTACTATCCGTCCGTGGGCGCCTTGTAGGATTAGAGGGAAGGGTTTGCACACAGGTGTTCGGTGGCTGTGCACCTGTCACCCCTTTAGGCATACTAGAATCCATGCACTGCGCGCGCGTCCTTGTGACTTAATAGCTCTTTGCTCATATGTTCTTGACCAGCTAGTCGCTTTCACGCTTTCGCTCATTGTATCCGTCTGCTGCAACATTCAGCTATCTGAATCCAACCTGTCTTGCTCCCGCAAACCGTCTCCTCAGTCCAATCAGACCCTACTATGATATACAATTGTTCGGCTTTTCCGTACGTGTCGAAACTTTTCAGTGGTTTGCAATATTGCCTCACGAAATAAACCTGCTGTTAAACTGCCCCAGTGTGCTAAATGAGTTGTACGACTCAGTCCATGGGAGTAGCAAGCATCACAGGACGCACCGAGTTTCACGCGGCCACTTTCGCTGAAGGCTGACTGACTTTGTAATTGCCTGCTTCATTAGCGCAGGTTCTCCCGCTAACCCTCAATCGCTTAGTCTAATATGCCAGCATCTATTGTGCCGAACGGCCCTCGACAGCATGGCAATACACGTGCAGTCTGAGCCACTAACCTCTTCTCCTCTTCCTCTCAGCTGAACTCCATCCACAGTCCTTATACCCCTACCCTCCGTCTTGTCCTACCACTCATTCCGCCCATCACTCAGCCCATCATCGATCCTCATCGTCTTACTGCATCGCACCATCATGTCCGGTACCTTAGAAAGCCAATGTATCAGACTCGAAGGTGAGTCGCTCCTTATCGTTTTCGTATTTGTGTTGTGATCCTCACGCTCTATCTACAGTTATCAGCGCAAAAAATCTTGAAATTTCTTCCAACCGCATTCCCGCTAGCATGTACGTATCCATCGATGTCGACTCAAGAAGACGCTGGAAATCAGCCATCGGAGTCTTATCATCCGACAAATATATAGCGTGGGGTGATGCTACTAGATAGTCCCACGAGTCCGTGTGTCCCAAGAGTCCGCGCATTGACTCTAGCACACGCAATTCTGCACGGAATCCTTATGTATGTTGGATATAGGTTCTACCCAACATAATACATAGTGCTATGTTTTTTGTTTGAAGAAAATCGAAGTGGATCTCGTGCGATGGCCAACTTATTGGTGGTAAACGCTAGTTTTGTGCATAGAAAGCTCACTCTGAAGGTCAGATCATCACATAAAATTCTGGAATGCGGCATAATGATTATACACAATGAGAGAATACAAAAACAAATTTCTCCGGGGCCACATGCTTGTTAGCATCATTTGCAATAAAAGATATATACCTCAGACGTGACAATCTATCCAAAGCGTTACATCGAGCTGTGTAAATCAAAGCTCCGCAATGCCGAAATGACTGTGGAGTGTGAAAAGGCATTGCGGCAGACGTGTGACATAGTGTGACCAAGTGCGCGAACTCTAGGGAAAATGCACTTTTCTGCGCGGTAACTCTCCGCTGGACTCAACACGTCGAGTTTCGAAGAAAAAACTAGCAGATATTATACTTTCGATGTCAGGCTATCGAACCGTCAAATAATTAATTTTTTATGTTTGTGCGATGTGGAGTAATAGACGTTTTCCCAAAAATGCGCGGACTCTAGTGGACATCTAGTATAACACTGCACTATCCATGAAAATTTTCAGACGTAATCCGAGAACTGATCTTCGGTTAAAGATCATCGCATACGTCACCTGCATTAACAATCGAGATTAGGGTGTCCTATGAGCTGGATCGAATGCTAGGTAATGGCGAAGTTATCGGAAAACTCGAAACGTCGTGGGATGAGTTGCTTGATCATGGTGATGAGACTTTTGGTGAATGATTCGTTCCTTATCCATGCATATCTACTAACACATCGTAGAACTGTCCCTCCCACCTGTTCGTGGTGCCCACCCTTCCCTCACGGTAAAGGCCGTTGTTGTACATGCTTGCGAAAATCAAGACATTACATTGTTTGATGTGAGTGACGCCAGACTCTATCCTGTCAGCTCATGCTGACAGAGCACCTACTACAGTCCCTCGTAGACTGCGAGGTTGCTCGAGGGACAGATGCAGGCCACGCACGATTTGCCGAATACATGTCCAGCGGCACGGCCTCTTACCTGGACGATGCTGTAGAGCATTTTCAACTGGTTCTGGAGCGGTGTCCGGTCGGCCATCCTGACCACGCAGCCGCTCTCACCAACCTTGCGTGGGCGCGCCTTGAAGGTTATATTCGACAGGGCCCCCAAGACATCGACAACATCACTTCCCTCTTCCGCGAAGCCCTTGCATTGCGTCCGCATGGCCACCCCGATTTCGCATTATCTCTTCATCGTCTCATTCAAGCATCGAACCGGCGCTACAAGGAGGGAGCGCACTGCCGTCTACATTCACGAATCTGTGAGGCTGTGCTGCAAGCTACTACTCTTCTGTCCAGAGGGCACCTACCTTCGTAGCATCGGCCTAGGTAGCGAGGTCGATTATGTGATCCTACAATGCAACACACTTCCGATTGAAGCATCTAATGAAGGCATCCACCATCGACGAAACGTGCTCGAACACTGTCCGGCCATCACTTTGTATGAAGAAGCACTGCGTCTGCGCCCTGTTGGACACGAAAACGTCATTTTTCATTGGGCAACCTCGCGAGAGGACAGTCATATAACTCACTTCGACTGAAATTCTTGTTCGTACTTAGCGCACCGCACAAGGTTGATAATCAGGATGTTTAAGGTGAAATAGATCAAAGGTGTCTTAGGGTGGTGTCTACAATTGGATTTGGGAACTGAAATCCGCATATCGGTTTCAGACAGCACTGTGGCCCACCTAGCAACCCTGACGACCTCAGCATGTCCGAACTTGACATAAAATACTGCCGCGGAGTTCCAACTTAAAGTTACATAAATTTGCAATGCTGTTGCAATATTTGGTATGAGAACTTGGATCGCTGATTATCGATCCATGTGCTGATATCAGGTAACCTGTAAAGTTTCAGTGTACAGTTTCTTCCATTATTTTTGAGTGAAACCCATCATTTTTGAGTGAAACCCATCATTTTTGAGTGAAACCCGCCATTTTCACTGTGGCCGCTATATATGCCATAGGTGACCCAGGTATGGTCGAATAATTAAGAGTGCGCCCCAAAATTCCCTCACTCGTTGGCAAGCTGAACTACTAAACGGCCATTCTTGACAATGGTGCGTTAAAGCCCTTCCTTTGGTGACTGTCGTGTTCGGTCATGTGGGATCAACTAGTAGAGATCACCTCATGTCCTACGGCCGACTCCAGGCCGAGTCGCACTGACGTTGGCACTGCCGGAAGATGTCGTCGTCGTGTTACATCTACTGAGGGTATGTCTCATCTTACCCAAGTATAAAAAGGTCGGTCTCGCTGAGTCCTAACGTAATTTTCGCAACACTCGCTGAGTTTCTTGGCCTGCAGTGACTCCTCCTGATATTCGCTTTAAATTCTTATTTCACAATATTTTATCACACATTTCCCGCCACTTGTTCAACCGTGCTGAGCCTCAGCGCTCTACGATAATGTTAGATCAACCACAGAATATTGGCGTGGATGGACGTAAGTACCAAATTTGTCCTTGGAAGTTGGAATACCTTCTTGAGCATATGCTTTCCATTAGTCAACCAACGACTCAAACCACCTGGAGAGCCCGAGATCAATTATGACTGCACGTCATCTGAAAGTGACCATGTCCCCAGGATGCTTGCTAGCTCAACGGCATCGTTTTCTGAAACCGAGAACTTTGCAGTTGGATCGCCACAGCATGTTACGGAAGCTCACGTTGCCCGACAGGACTCGGAAGTGATCTCTTCCGCAACTACTATTTTTGGTTTGGCGACGCTCTATAGTGTTCAGGCTACCAGCACTTCATTTACTCTATTTACAACCTCTATTATTTCATCCCCCAACTCACTCTCATCATCTGCACACAGTACCTCTCAACTGTCACTGTCTGATAGCTACGGCCCCTCTGCGTCACCAAGCTCGTGCGATGAATGTTCACCGGCTTTTGGAGCCACCACCACATCGCTTCAGCTTGTCCTGCCCACAGTTTCATCTTCCAGTGGTGTTTTGGTTTCGACCCCATTTGCTCAACCAACAGCAATATCTGACACCAGCCCAAACTCTCCAAACGTGGCTGCCACCGCAGGAGGGGCTACCGGGGCAGTCGCGCTTCTTGCTCTGCTAGTTTTTATTGTGACACGGTATCGCAGGAAAAAAAAACTTCTCGTGACACCTTTCAACCTCCCCCCAACTGCAGAAACAGTGCATCTCGATTCAGAGCCGTGTGTGAATTCCGGGAATGTCCTTCCTCCGATGAGCATTGGCCCATCGTTCGTTCGACACCCTGACGCATGTTTTGTGGAGCTTTCTATGGACAGATGCCCATCCTTTGCTACAGATCCCGTATACTCTCACCTGCCGCCCAACGATGATGACGCCTCTGCATCCACCATTGCCCGGCATCGACGGACCAACGAGCTAGAAAAGCTGTATCCGTCTCGTGCCCTCCCTTCGTATCATCGTTGCCACTGCAGTGTAGCAAACCGGATTGGGCAGGCCGTTATGGAGGATTGTTCGCGAACAACGAGCGAAACGCTACCAGCGTATCGTTCAGCAAAATCCTTGAAGAATGGGGAAGCAGATCGTGATGATCATTGACATTATGTCCTTCGTATCTCTTATCCTCCGCAGTCCCATGGAATCATAGACAATTGCATTGATCGAAATCACCAGGACCACATACATGCAAGTATTACTATTTACCTTGTATATACCCACGGTCTATTTTACGTGTTCACTGGGCGGCCGAAGTAATTTGGTAACTTAGTACAAGTTGTAAAACTTTGTAGTTCCTCTTGCTATCATGTCGCTGCCGATACCCTCGAGGCACTTCAATTTGGCGGGTAAATCTGTTTCTGTTACGTGGTATGACATGTAATCAGGTTCTGTCTTTCACCTCATTTCTCTTAAACATGTTCTACGGGCGTTTTTGGTTCGACCGACGACGGTGGCGCACGGTTGTCTACCGACTTTTTACAGGCTGGCCTGGCACCTGGGTGACTCATTCAAGTTCAAATTATCTACCACACGTAGATGTTATGGGTCACGATTAACACACCTTCAAGTTTTGTCGGGATTCCGCATCTGGCCATCTGGAAGTGCAAACTTATGTCATGCGAGTGCTGTTTCCATCTTCTCCCAACCCCGAGTCCCCTGACGAATATCGAGGGATCAACCAACCTGGCACTGCGCAGAATTCTGAGGTCAGGGCATTGCTTGCGAAGCATGGCGCAACTATGTCATCCAACAGCTTCTACATCCCGGCTCCCCCCCCCCCCCCCCCCCCCCCCCCCCACCTCCTACCCTCCCGAAACTGGGTTTCAAGAGCTACAAGCTGTGTCATTATAGCGCGACTAATGTTTAACCAGAATTCAGATAACTTCGATTTCCCCCATATTGGGAGACACAATGTGATAGTGCGTTGTTCAGAATTGAAGAACTCTACAAAAATGTGGAACATTATGCACACCGGAGAGCTCGCACAATTGACATCAACATGGGTGTTTCCCGTGGTTTATCGCACATGCACATACACGTACACACGGGAAATATCATAACATGGATAATAATGTATCATTGTCATCAAGTAGCCTACTGATATCACATGCGAAGGCATCCACCTGATCAGCCTGTCGCCAGATTGATAAGTTCTATCGCTCCTCCATTCACGGATGTTGTGCATGCGTAGGTTACATGTATCATGTATTTTCTTTCTGCTTCACACCACAGCTGCATTGAGCACAGCATTTTTACTTGTTTACGTTCTTTTTCGTCGATCAGATCGAGAACTACACTTTTCTGCCACAAAAATGGTATTTTAGTATGGAAGACAGGACTGCCGCGCTCCGTTACATAGCGTGACCACACTCATATTAGGCAGGTGTGATGCAGGGACTCCGTGCACCTCTGGCAGCTTTGTTTCTTCTAATAAATATGTGAACAAGTGCGGCCAAGTGTCATTCAACTGGACAACAAAAACAGTAACCCAAAACGACAAACTCGTAGTACAGTAAGTAGTCACCAATCAAATGTTTCATCATTGTCCTCCTCATCAGAGAATCCTGCAATAACTAATGCCTCCTCCTCTATGATTGGAGCTGTAGGCAGTAAGTGTGCGCCTGGTTCGTCCAACTCAGCCAGTTCATCCAGCCGGTGATGATCAGATGCATCTAATGTGCGGTAATTTAGCACAAACTTTATTCAAACTGAGAAAACGTACCTAGACCTTGTCCGCCATGAATGCCACCCATATAGTAAGCACCATCAGTATCCTCATGAAAAAAAAGGTCGTTTTGGTTTTCGAGGAGAGGCAAAGGCTCTTCGTCTGGGTCAGTGCCCGCTGTAAGAGACCTGACAATGGCTGGCACCTGCACAGAGCGCTGCATCGAATCATACAAATCTAAGTAGATCGTCCACACGGACTGGCGAGTGATTGGAGGACGGCCTAGGTCTTCATAACAGCCTTGAATGAAGTTGTTGAGGGGTCGGGGAACCAAATCGAAGACCGGATGATCAGGGTTCACATAGAGACGGCGGACATAGTCTATATCATCTTGTTTGACCGTTACCTAGAATGATAAGCCGGTTAGGGTGACAACACGGACCATGGTTCAAGTAGTATTTGAATGAAGCGCACCTTAAAGTCCAAGGCCCCAAAATCTTCTGGAGACTCGTATATTAGATTGGGTACACCGTGTGGAAGCACCTAGATTGTAAGCGCTAAACAAATATAAATGACTACTATCAAACAATCAAATACCTTGTTACGATCTGGCCTCTTGAGGGTGTTATTAACGCGGTCCTGATACCTATCTAGCTCACACTGCAGCCACGGAATAAAAATCCAGCGGAAGATCATGCTAAATACACCGCTGTGAGCAAAGTCGAAATGGTGGAAAGCCAGGGCCGAAGTCACTTACACCTGAAGGGTGTTATCACTATCATACCAGCCGTTCTCCACTCCTTCATCCAAGAGTGTTTCGAAACCAGGAGTAAACCGGCGCCGTAACTGAGACCAAGTGATCTCCGGTTTAACATTCTTCTTGGTCCGCATCCAGAGGTGTTGTAATGTACCTTGCAGTGCCGGATCGTACATTTGACGAAGCATAGTGTGTGCATTGGCGATTCCGTAATTTTCAGTGCCAGGATCACTCTGAGTCACCAGCGGAATATCTGTCATACCCAGGCAAGGCAACTTGAATAAGTAACAGTGCAATAGATAGTTATTAAAATGAACGTACGGCCCAGTTTCTGGATGGTGTCAAGATAGTATGTGAGAATGAGCTGGGGGTTGCGGTTAGAATGCCAGACTCGGATCCACATGATACGACCCGAGAATGGCTCCACTCCAGTATGCAATGCAAGACCGAATCGAAGCCACTTATCATGTTGATCAACAGCAAATAGGTCATTGACGCCAGCGGCCCAGAACCGCCTCCGCTTGAGACGGCGGGCTTTTCGCTGATGTACGAGGTCTGCTTCATAGACAGCACAGTATGCTATCACTAAATTTCTATTTGGTAGCTAGTCAGATACAGATCAACGGCGAACAAATTAAGTACCTTGAAACACTCATTTCTTTCTCATGAAATAGCAAAATCACCATTTCCCGTGCACCGGCATTCGGGTATGCCTTGCGAAGCTCGATCATGGCTTCATGGATAGATTCGATGGTGTGGCTCTGCTGGCGGGTACGCAGGAGACCCATGTCATTGCGGATCTCTCTGAACTTCGTGTATCTACACACAAAGATCAGGAAAATAGTATCAATTAGTGGAAATTGACTCACCCTAGTCCATAACGAGATGTGTCGAAATGATCCTGCAAGTTTTCTACGATCTTCTTGTCTGTTTGACGCGCTTTCCAGTACCGAAGGATGTGAGGAGCAATGTCCTCAAGAGGTGCTGATATTACAAGTCATGTTAGCCTTGTAATCACAATACATAGAGAGGTGCATACGTGTTGGCTTGTTTTGGTTGGGCATAGTAGTTTGAATGACGGTCACCATGATAGCTGCACTTTAAAAGCCTCAATGGCAAGTGCTGACAGCAATAAGAGGAATATGCGCACTGAAAATACTAAGAGTCAGCAGAATAGGAACACCAAGATAAGAGTGGAGTCAGTGGAATAGGCGCACTGAACACCAACTTGAACACCAAGATAAGAGTTAGCTAAATGAACACCAGGTTGAATGCGACTGCACCGATAGAGTTGCAGCCCGAGGTTGAATGCGACAAATGGCTAGACTTGAAAGGTCAGTACAATCGAATAAAGTCCGCTATGATAAGTCCGGTGCGGAGACTTTCGGATACACTGCGGCAGATAACTTTAATATGTTGAATCTGTGTGCTGTTTCGACCACATGGTGAATCTGTGTGTCGTTTTGACCATGATCATGGTGACTCACATGTTGGGCACACTGATTCAACTCACTGAAGAATTTGCTGACTCTCGACTTAGATGCAACTCAGTACTGCGGGAAATCAATGACCCTCCACGTACTAGATGCAACTCTTCAGAGCGGTGAGTTTTTCCAGACAGTCTTTATATAAAGCCTGTCTCTGAAGTGTTGTAGGGCCACTGTTCCAACAATATTCCTTCAATTCCTTCAACTCATCACACAAGCACCTACCAGTGTCATGGAACTCGTCTCTCAGTTTACCGAAGATGCTATTGCCAAGGAGGACCGTGTCTGCGGTCAACCTGCTTGCCGTGGCACGATACTCAAAGGCGCTCCATGCTATTATGTTGCCACCATTGTGCCTGGCCAACCTGGTCGCTTTGTTTGTGAAGCATGTTACTTGCGATACTCACAGAAGCTTTCAACTTCGGTCCGACCCTCTTCAGTCCGCCCTTCTTGTAAGTACACTTGAAACCCCTATATAGCTTTTGATCAATGACGCTATTAATTATATCCAGCCGCACAATCACAGTTACTTCCAGATCCTCATATCATACGCCAGACCGTGAATGCGGCACAACGCAAGTGTAAGTCAAATTTCTCTATTACATATCAAACATGTCTGAATGGCGAAATTTAATAGCAACTATCAATCCACCCCGTGTTATACCCTTCTTGTCTCAGCCCTCCAGTAGCACTGCCCACATAGGCCGCATTTCAGGCCCAGATATTGCTGTGCCTCTATCATGGCAACAATCGCAGGCTAGTTCCAAGCCGAACATGGTATCCGGTGCCTCAGGATATTCTGTGCACCATGCTCAGTATGGTCTGGAGCGTGAACGATGGGCTAAACTGGCATATGCTCCACCCCCTGCAGAGACCATCACATTAGAGATATCAGCTGTATATGAGGGAAATTCACGGAAGAAAAGTGGGCGTGGCATCAACTTTGGGGTACATTTGTTTTTCTTTCTATCTCTTAAGGTTGCTGTGTTTCTGACGCTCATAAATCAGAATATCTGTGAAGGAAAGAAGGACATCGACGCTCGCTTGGATGCCCCTGGACTCATACAAATCGCTTTAGATACTATTCTACCGAAAATCCTTGCATTTGGAAGGGGATTTCATTGGCGCACTGAAGAATTCATTGTCCGGGATGCTACCTGGGTTGACCTATCTGGACATTTACCCGCCATTCCATACTTTTTAGCTCAGTGCTTAGCGCAATCTCGACGCGGACCAAAGACGACAACTTTCAAGACCAAGCAATTCTCACTAATGGTTGTTGTGCCTGCAGCGCAGTGGAGTGAGTATGAGGCATGGCTGGAAAAAACTGAAGAAGAGGTAAGATTCCGCTCATTCAATGTATTGTCAATCTGCTAACTCGTATATTTCTCAGAATACCTTGCGTGAACAGCTCCAGCGACACAGATCTATCAATACTGTTACTGAAGAACGAGGCCCTCAAACTTCCAGCACCAACTCAGAAGACCCATGGGCCGCACAACAAGAGGATGAAGACCCTTTTGGTCTTGACTTGGAAGGACTGGATGCCTTATCTACTATGGGACGTAATTCCGCTGTTACTGACAGCTCAGCACATAATCCGACACGTCCATCAGCAAAGCGGGCTCATGTTCGTGGAGGGAGCGACTCCACAAATAGTAATGTGTCACCTCCTCGCAAGAAGCCAGCACCGGGTGTATTCCACCTTCCTGACCGTAATGATTTGAAAGAGGCCTTGAAAAGTGGAGGTAGTGTAGATGCTGTGCGTGCACCTAAAGGTGAGTTTATCCTTTGTCTTGAGGCAGGCATTCTAATGAGTATTGACTTTAGTTTATGACTTCCGCAACGAGGACATTCAATTCCATCCAATCCCTGTGCGCCCACTAGCTGATATCTTGAAGACTCCTCAGTATCGTTCATTCCAACCCAACATCTCAAATTCATCTGTCGGACAACTCACTATCGATGTCCCCATTCGCAGCATGATCGGGATCGGTGCCTTTAAGACAGCTCATCCAGGGTGGCTCACGCTATCTCCCCTGTCCTCCAGTGGCCTTGGGTCGCGTGCTCAGCAGGATGTTGTCGTCAAGCGGCCATTTCACAGACCTCCCTCTCACACCACTGGATCCAGCATCCTCAAGATTTCACGTTATGCACTACCAGATGAGCATGAAAAACTCCTCAATGAATGTAACTTGTTGTACTGGGCAAAATCTCTCCTTGACTTCACTTACGAGTACATCAATCACTGTATCAATGCCGCACCGACTCCTCCATCTTTTCCAATACCCCATGTGCGTTTCGTGGAAGCGGGCATTGCTTTGGCATTTTCTCGCCACTCGTCAAACACTCAGGGCACCTCCGAACAAGCTCCCACAGCAGATGTTAAGGCAGGGATGTTTTCAGCCGTATATCTCCTTGAGGAGCGGGTGACGTCTGGTACTCCTAATAATCAGACATTCACGAAGTTCATCCACAACAAGGACTACGGACCTTCACTCGATGAGGATGAATACGGCTATGATCTAGCCGTCTTTCTCTCATTTACTCAGCACATCCAGTATGAAAAGACAGAGGGTCTGGCATTCATTTCTGATTATCAAGGCAGCACCGAGCTTCTGACTGATCCTCAGATTTTGACCCACCGGTGTGTGCATTTTCAGCTACTATGATTGGCAACCTTTGTTAACTGGTGTTGCTTCTCTAGCTCGGTCAATGAAGGAATTCAAGTTGATCTTTTTGGTGATGGGAACATCGCAAGTGTGGTGGACGACTTTAAGGCAAAGCACCTCTGTAACCACTACTGCAAGTGGCCAGGATTTGGATTGGAAGTATATGCTTAGGAGAGTTACTTATTTTGACGAGTTACCATGGACCTTGTAATTCTAGCGTCGGAAAGAACACTTGTAAATTACCTTGCTTGAATTTCCGGACGTTCACGTGACCCGTTCCAGAACGGATCTCCTTATATGGCGTCGCCGCGCGCCCGGCAACATGTTATGGTTTTGATTCGTATATTTTTAATTTCTATACAACTAGCGTCTACTGTGTAACTCCTTGAGTTTGACTAATGTTTGGGTCAAGCAAGGTTTCTGTCGATGCAGGCGGCAATTCTCGAGCAACTTATTTATTCAAGATCGAAGTATCGAAGTGTACGGAGTCCTATTGCTTTATATGGGATTGTGACATGACTAAGTGAGCGCGGCAGTCCTGTCTTCCATATTTTAGGGCTTCTTGATCCAAACCGTATGGAAAGCCTAACAGCCGCGCTCTGTTACACGCCGTGACACGTCCCATAAATAGTAGTCACAGGTCGTGGACTCCGTACACCTCCATTTAATGATACATATGATTCACGACCTCATGCCCTGGCAACGATACCTCACTGGTAAACTGGCATTCGAACCCAGGATTCCCGTCGCCCGAAGCTCTGCATAAGTGGTCCCCACCAACCGGATCCGACTGGGTGCCAGGGCTGTTGTTGTAGGAGGCGAAGATCCTGACATCAACAGTCAACCAGATGCACTCATAGTAAATATGTATAGTAAAGGTTCGCTCTTTTCCTCATACCACATCGAACCGCAGTTGAAGTGCTCCAGCCGATGCTTCTAAGCCACAATTGGTTCTACCTACAACAAATACAAGGAATTTAATAAAATCACCTCCGACCTCTCATGCCGGCTTACAAACGCTTTTACTTTTGATCACGACTTAGTACTTAATATGTAATGCCCAGCTTGGGAATGGTCTTCATAAATTTCAATGTCTCGCCCGCAGTTCGTTGCTCAAGCGCTCAAAGTCAGTCGTTCAGCACAACGTGATCACGCTCCGGAAACTATTTTCAAAGTCTTCATCTTATGAAGCACTAGACCCTCCTGCATACCCTTGTGCAGGTCCTCATCGTCCATCCTTGTCATCGACCAAATGCGCTTTGTCACAACCTCGACAGAATTCAGCAGATCAGTATTTATCAATGCATCAAACCCAGCACGAAACTTCGTCGTCACGGCTGTCAGTTCCGATGCATACAGTGCTGAAGGCTCGAGCATTTCACTTGATATAATGGGCGTGCGCGTCCAACCTGGGTGGACATTCATAAACTGTATAACCACTCAGTACTCAACGCTCTGCGGCTGCTATCACTGTCCAGTTACTCACCCGAATATTCCAAGCGGGAAGCTTCCTGTGCCAGGACTTCGGTGAACGAATCCAAGGCTAAATAGTGGTGAGTCAAAGTCACACACTGGCACTGTGCCATAGATGCAACGTTACCTGCTTTCCTACGAACACCAAATACTTCAGCTAACGCTTTATCAAACAGCACCAACATACTCACGTAGAGCTATAGAATCCGATCATTGGGGCCCCTGTGGTTGCTGCCGCGCTCGATACTTGCACGAGTATGCCCCCAGCGCCTTTCGGGTTCACTTCTCTAAAGAATCTCATCGCCTCGAAGCTTACCGTTACCGCGCCCCAGAAATTGACATCCATTAGCACCTTGGCACGGTCCACCATCGGTGTCCCCTCCAGCTCTTGATAGAACGCCTGCCCCGCATTGTTATACACGACATCGATGTGCCCAAAGGCGTCCTTGGCCTTCACGAAGGCAGATTTGACCTGCGCCTCGTTCGTCACGTCCATTGGAAGTACTAGGAGCTGGGTGTGCGGGTATTTGGCGACGAGGTCATCAAGGACGGAAGGCTTGCGCAGAATTGCGACCGCAATCTCGCCGTTATGCAGGACCTCTTCCACCATCGCCCTGCCGAACCCAGAGGAACAACCGGTAACTGGGAGCAGTTAGTGATCTGCACGCTGAGCAGTTGCGTGCCAACTCACTCAACCAAACTCGAGGGGTGGATTGTGCCATGACAATTCTGCGTGTGTTGCTCATGCGCCAATACCATGGTGCGAGTCGCGGGCGGGGAAGTTGATTCCTGGGATCATCACCGTGACCCAGGGCATATCAGCTGCGCCATCCATAAAAATGCGACCAGCAGGAATCGGACGGGATGGCTTGTTCTTGTGGTCCCCTCCGGATCCTGGATCTGGTTTGCAATGTTGAACTGCAATAAGTGAGACCATATCTACAAAGCGGTATACCAAGTGCGGGTGGGGTCATGCTTTGGAGTCGCGCATAACGCAAACGTGGAATGTGTAATTGAGAAAAGGGGAGAGACGCGACGCGTAATGATTATCACATACGACAGGTGGTTCTAATATCATTTTAAAATACGCGGATGAGCAGAATCACTAGGGGATCAGCAGGTGTGAGAGGTCCGAGAGATGTCAGCCCTTGCACGATGCGAGGGCAAGCCTTGCGTGAGTCTTGAGAGGCCGCTTGGAGCAGATTTCAAGAGGCCGACCTGAGGGCTGGCAGAGGCTGGGGACCTGGGATGGACAGAATTCTCTGCAGTTTCTAGTGCTCACACATACCTTCTGCTCTCTATTTCTGTTCTAGACCCTTGCGTTCGTTTCTTGAACGACGTGAATTCAAAGTTTTGATATGTAGTATTTGTAGCAGAAAACCGAACTGGCCGATTCACTTGATGACTCAAAGGTGTACGAAGTCCTCTTACCTCTTGTGGACGCGTGACGCTGACTAAAGGAGCGCGGCTGTCTGGCTTTCCATAAAACCGAGTAGTAACGCCTCATGATGCATGACCTAGTACGAACTTGGACGAACTGCATTGGATGCTCTGCCTCTAAAAAAATTCATCCAAATTTCGGAAGGCCGCTCAGCGGAATTTGACCTCAGAGGCGGTGGTCAGGCCTTTGGACCAGGAAGGTCGAACTTTATATTCCCAGCTTGAACAGGTACATTGAACAGTCGTGGACTTGGATCGCTGATCTGTCAAGTTGCAGTGTTTGGCCCGATCTTCCATGAGTTTTGAGAGAACACATCGTTTTCATGATGGCTGTTAAACCAGAACCCGCGCGTGGGCGAATGATCCAGATTTCCTCAGAACTAGTGCTCATTAATGCTGAACTACCATTCTTGGCAATAATGCGTAAAATTAGTGACTGTCGTCTCCGGCCACGTTATGGATCGCTCGTCGTCGTCGCCTTAGCTCATTGTTCCACGACCATCAGTGAACGTTCTCACTGTCGGAACGTGTCGTCGTCGTCGTCGTCGTCGTTGTGGTCACACTCACGGTGCGAAAGCTGTCCAATCTTGCCACAGCAGTACAAGAAGGTTGGCCTCGCTGGCATGGTTTTCCAACACCCCACTGGGTTTCTTGGCCAAAGGGAGAATAATGGCTCCCCCTCACACTCGCTTCAAACCCTCATTTCACAATCGTTTGTCACACCTTTTTCGCCATGTGTTCAACCGTGTTGAGCCTCAGCACTCTTCAATAGAGATTTCAATTTCTGTACACGAGGATGGTCCTGATTCGATCGATCGACCACAGAACATCAGCGTGGATGGGCGTAAGTACCAAATATATTTTCTTGGGATGTCTTCTTGAGTACATTTTTTTCCATTAGTCAACCGAGGCTTCAATTCGCCTGCCAAAGAGCCCAAGATCGACCGCATGGGCTGCACTTCATCTGGCAACAGTTTCTCCAACGAGCCGGCGTGTTCAACGATATCACCTTTTGAAGCTGGGAATTTTGCGGTTGGATCACAACGACATGTTAAGGAATCTCACGTTGCCCGACAGGCTGTGGCTTTCACCAACACTGTTATTTATGAGACAATAACCTATATGAGCTACGAAGCTCCCATCACTACCTCTACATCTCCTACCCCTACATCTTCTTCCCCTACATCTTCCTCTACTACGTCATCTGCCAACAGTAGCTCTCAATGCAATGTGGTCCTGGCGTTAGTTCTAGGCTGTCCCCTGCCCACGACGACCACTCCTCAGACGTCTCCTCAGCAGTCACCTCAGCAGTCACCTGCTACATCGAGCTCGTACACTGTATACCCATCATCATCATCATCATCATCATCATCATCTCCCAGTGACGAATCAACAAATGCCCCAACTTCTGACACACCCACAATAACAGCTACCACATCGCTTCAGACTGTCCTGGCATCTGCCACAGTTTCACCGAGCGAGACTGTTATGGTTTCGAGCCAGTTGGCTCAATCAACATCAGTTCCTAATATCAATTCAAACACTGAATCACCTCCACACACGGCTGCCATCGTAGGAGGGACTATCGGAGTGATCGTACTTCTAGGTCTCCTAATTTTTATTGCGATATTGTATCGCAGGAAAAGACGACAACACTCTGTGACACCTTTCATTCTCCCCTCGACTGCAGGAACAGCGCAGATTGAGTCGGCGGCCTGGCTCAAGTCCCAGGGCATGGACGATGACGTTCGTCCAAGCAACAGTGACCAACTGTCCATAGATCATTCTGACACATGCCTTGTGGAGTATCCTTGCAACAGATGCCCGTCCTTTGCTACAGATCACGTGTCATCTCACTTGCCCAACGAGGATGACATCTTTGCATCCACCCGGATTGCCCGGCGCCAACAGGCCAATGGACTAGAAAAACTATACCCATGTCCATCTCGCACCGTCACCTCAGATCACTATTGCCGTTCTAGTGTAGAAAACTGGGTTGAGCAAGTTGTCACGGAGGATGCTTCACGAGAACCGAGCGAAGTGTTGCCGGAGTATCGTTCAACGAAATCTCTGAGGAGGGAGAAGGGAAAACATAACATTCATTTTGTCCTGCCTAGCTCTTATCCTCCCCTCCCCTAATCACTAGTCGCCCGGATCATGGTGTACTTTTGACGCTTCACGCGCCACCTTCATATCATTCTAATGTATATGTAATGGTCGGTCGTATCGTTAACGAGGCTGCCGATCCCGTCGCTGCAAGGCGATCATGTCACGTCCGCTGAGGATCCGTACCCAAGCTCAGGGAGCACTCCCTCGCACTCCAACGGCGCTTATAGTAGTGCCCATCAAACCAAGTGGCAAAGAATTTGAGTCTGGATGCACGTCGCAGCGTGATAGCGCCCACACAGGAAACACTGGACCTCGAATAAGTAATCACAGACCAAGTTTGAGCGCTGCAACGTTGAACGTTGAATGTCTCACTGCCCACCTTAACCTTGGAAGGTGTTCCCACGGTGTGCGAGACCCTATTCTTAGACATGTACACTGTGCAGTACTATGTGCACCCTAGACCGGTTAATCATACCTGCCATCACATCACCCATTGGTCTGAGAGACCCCCTCCTCCCAGATGCGTTCCCATATTTTTCTGGGGCTGCGTGGCTCTCCATCATGAGGTTACATGTAGAGAGCCTCGTAGTGGAGGGTAAGCGCTCACCACAGCCTCCTGGTATATTCCCTGACGAGCCTTAACATGCACAAAAACTGCCAACCTCCACTGCAGACTCAGGCATTGGACCAGGAATCTAAGCTTGAAGTTTCAAGTTTCAACTTCAAAAAGTACATCAATTTTGAACGTTCGAGGACTTGGATCATTGATCTGTCAAGTAGCAGTGTCACGGTTTCCCCATGTATGTTCCAGACTTCCTTCACTTGTTGATATTGAACTACCATTTTTGACAAGGGTACATAAAATTATTATTATTGATTATCGTCTCCGGCCACGTTATGATCGCTGGCCGTTGTTGTCTTGACTCATTGTCCCATGACCGACTCGAAATCATCACTTTAGCACTACTGGAACGTGTCGTCGTCGTGGTCACACTCAAGGTCAGCAGTACAAGAAGGTCGGTCTCACTGACATGGTTTTCCAACTTTGCGCGTGAACGTCCAAACATCAAATCTTCTTCTTACCGATGTGCCTGATGGTCCAACAAATGCCAATAACGTACATAGTTATCAGAAGCGTGATTCTCCATCTTCCTCGATCTGGTTTGTGTTCTTGCTCTCCATAGCCAGCCTACTTATCCAAAACTGCAGGTCGTCGGCTTGAAGCCAGCGAAACTGCCGACACCGTGGCAGCACTTGTTCGTTTCACCCAAAGGAGTCCCGCGAACCTTGATTGACTGGCGCAGTCGGGACTTCCTTCACGAGGAACAGACCGTAACCGATGCCCTTGGCAGTACTTTGAAGATATTATATTCCCACGGTAGGTGAGACCTTATTCTTATGTACACTGTCACGGTGCAGCCTGAGTGGTGGCAGTACTAATGTGCGCCACAGACTGCCGCATCACCTCCTCCCGGATGCCTTCCCCCTAGGTTTACGGGGCGGCGTGGCTCTCCATCAAGAGGTTAGACTTAGAGAGCTTTGTAGTGGAGGGTGAGTGCGGCCCCGGACTCAGGCTTTGGACCAGGAATCTAAAGCTTGGAGTTTCAACCTCAAACAGGTACATCAATATTGAACATTCGAGATCCTGGATCACTGATCTGTCAAATTGCGGTGTTTGGCCCCATCGTCCATAACTTCCGAGAGAACACATCATTCTCATGATGGCTGTTGGACCAGATCCCGCGCGTGGGCGAATATTCGAGAATCCGTTCCAGTCTTCCTTCACTTGTTGATGCTGAGCTACCGTTCTCAACAATGGTGCGTAAAATACTATCGTCTCCGGCCACATTATGATCGCTGGTGGTCGTCGTCCTCGCTCATTGTCCCACGACCGACTATCAATCACTGTCACGGCACTGCCGAAATGCGTTGTCGTCGTGGTCACACTTACGGTGCAAAAGCTGTCCAATCTTATCACAGCAGTACAAGAAGATTGGTCTCACTGGCATGGTTTTCCAACATCCCACTGGGTTTCTTGGACAACGGGAGAATCATGGCTCCCCCTCACACTCGCTTCAAACCCTCATTTCACAATCATTTGTCACACCTTTCCCGCCACGTGTTCAACCGTGATGAGTCTCAGCACTCTTCGATAAAGACTGTAATTCCTAAACACGAGGATGATCCTGATTCGTTGGATCTACCACGGAATATCAGCGTAGATGGGCGTAAGTACCAAATGTCTTCTTGAGATGTCTTCTTGAGTGTATGTTTTCCATTAGCCAATCAAGGTCTCAAGCCACCTGAAGAGCCCGAGATCGACCGCATATGCACTTTATCTGAAAACCATCTTTCCGAGGAGCCCGCTTGTTTAGCGATATCATCTTTTGAAGCTGGGAATTTTGCAGTTGGATTGCCGCGACAGGTTAAGGAGGTTCACGTTGCCCGACAGACTGTGATATTTTCCACAAGCTTTGTTATTTATGGGACAATAGACTCTATAACCTCCAATTCTGACACCACTACATTATCTACCTCTCCATCTTCTACCTCTCCATCTTATACCCCTACTACGTCATCTACCAGTTTTCGATTGTCCACGACGACCCCTCTTCAGTCGTCTCCCCAGCAGCTCTCTGCTACTCCAAGCTCGTACACAGTATACACAATATTATCATCTCCTGGTGATAACCCGATAGTCGCCCCAACTTCTGGCACACCCACAACAACCGTGACAACCACATCGCTTCAGCCTGATCTGGCATCTCCCACAATTTCATCGAACGGGACTGTTATAGTTTCGAGCCCATTGGCTCAACCAACATCAGTGCCTGCCACTAATTCAGACCCTCGATCACCACACACGCCTGCCATCGTAGGAGGAGTTATCGGAGCGATTGCGCTTCTTGTCCTCCTATTTTTTATTGTGGTATGGTATCGCAGGAAAAGACAACAGTCCGTAACACCTTTCACCCTCCCGTCAACTGTAGCAACATCGCAGATTAACCCAGCGGCCTGGATCAAGTTCCAGAGCATGGGCGATGCCACTCGTCCAAGCAGCGGGGTCCCACTGTCTCCTCAATATTCCGACGCATGCCTCGTGGAGCATCCTGGAAACAGATGCCCGTCCTTCGTCACAGATCCCGTATCATGCCACTTGCCCAACGATGATGACGTCTTTGCATCCATCCGGATTACCCAGCACCAACAGGCCAACGTACGAGAAAAACTATACCCATATCCATCTCGCGCCCGCACATCAGGTCACTATTGCCGTTCCAGTATACAAAACTGGATCGAGCAAGTTGTTATGGAGGAAGATGGTTCGCTAGAACCGAGTGAAGCGTTACCGGAGTATCGTTCGACAAAATCCCTGAGGAGTGGGGAAGTAGATAATAATGATTATGTCCTTCCTAGCTCTTATCCTCCCCTCCCCTAATCATTGGTCGCCAGGACTATGGACAATGCGGTGGACTTCTGACGCTGTACATACCAAGCCCTGCACATCACTGAACGTGTATATATATGTGTAGCACAAATATGTAATGGTTGTATTGTTGGTGAAGCCGCCGATAGGCTATCACCGCAGGGTGATCATATTACGTCGTTGCTTACCATCAGGTCAAAAATCCGTGTTTGAGGGAGTGCCGAATACGGCTGAGCACCGCCAGGCCTTCCTCGCACTCCATTGCCGCTTCTAGGACTGTGCATGAAGCCGACTGGCAAGGAGTTCGAGTCTGGATGCACCTGGATGCACTTGGCGCCCAGGAAACACAACTTTGTCACACGACCGTTCAGTAAGCATAAGCGCTGAGCGCGCGAACGTCCGAACATCAGGCATTCTTAAAAGCCAACAAAATACCGATGGGATGCCAATAACATACATAGTTATCAGAAGCGTGATTCTTCATCTTCCTCGACCCGGTGTGTGTTCTTGCTCTCTATAGCCAGCCTATCCAAAACTTTCTCCACCTCTTTCTGCCAGTCAGCTGTGATACCCAGATAGGTGCCCCAGACCGAGCAATAAACGAGGGCAAGTGTGAGTCCCACCCACAGACCTACAAGTCCCATGTCCCTCTTAAAAGCCAACCAAATTCCAAACGGGATGCCGATGACGTAGTAAGCACTGTACATATGGTGTCATCGAGGGAATTGTGGTTGGCGTGAGCAAACCTTACCTGAGATTGAGAAGTGCGCCTATGGACTACAAGGACATGAAATCAAAGAGTGCGACAAAACAATCTAGCACTTACTTGTTTACCTCGCGCTCGCAAAATACCACCGGCAACAGCGTTGGTCCCATCGAACACTTGGAATACAGCAACAATTGGCAGAATGGATGCCACCAGAGTCACGACCTCTGAGACAAACTGAGTATCGGAAAGCATACGACACGGATTGTCCTACCGGGGTCACTATTGAAGATGTATGCCCATGATTTCCTGAACGACATAAACAGAGTGCTGAAAAGTCTGTATGTCAGCACTGCTTGACTGACATGAACGCAATCTGTACCTCCACACTACCGCAATGACAACTGCAAGAACAACTGCAGTGTTTGCGGAGACACCTGCGTGCCTCGCTCGTTTTTCGCCTAGAAGATTCCCGATGCTATATAAAATTCAGTTGATGGATTGTTTAGCTTGGATGTATCATACCGCACAGACGTTGCTACGGCCAAGGCAAAAGGAGCTTGGTATGTCCAAGATGATGAGATGAGCAGAACTGATTGGGCAGCTAGGGTGGCAGGCCCGAGCCTATGAACGAATATTAGCAAGGTTGGTTACTTATGTGATTGGTAACATACAAACTGGCGGCCACTGTGAAAACGCAATTCAGCGTGCTGATATCCATAGGTTGCGAACTATATACGCACAGCCAATGAGCTCCCATGACCACCATTCAGATGCGGTCTGGCCAACGCCAGCGAGTCCCAGTTGTACCAAAAGGCCTAAACCGGTGAAGCTCCGCCTTGAGATAGGATGCCAGGCAGTCTTCTCGACATAAAAAATGCCATAGATTACTGATAATATCGAAATAAGGTTGAAGGAAATAGCAGTGGCAATTGGTGCTCCGATGAAACCGATCCTGATGGGTTCAGGGCCCCACACTAGTGACAACTTGTGAGCTTCGAATTAAGAATAACGCAAATTGAGATTAATGACCAAGAACGTAGTTTAAAAGGGCATTGATGGGCGATACTGCTAGGATGATCCTAGTTGGCACAACGAAGAGTCCTTGACGAAGCCACCATTTATCAGTATGAATCCCTTCCAGTAATGTCATTCGTTACCTTGTGATTGAAAATAGCGCCTTCCAATTCGTCAGAACGTCAGCGATGAATATGCCAATGATGGGAACTGTCGCACCGCGAAATACAGTTGAAAGTATATGCTGGGAGCCCCAAAGATGCCCATTTTAAGTACACGCCAGCTAGATGCGCAACTTTAGGATCCTGCCTAAGCAGGAGTAAAATTGATTCAGCATTGAACCAAATCATAAGAATTGGCTGGAATGACGTCAATAAGAGAATTGCAGAGAAGGTGACACATACTATAATGGTTGCAGTTGTCACAACAACTACAAAACAGGTGAGACATAGGAGCACACAGAAAAAGGCCTTACTTACACAGGCGTTGGCTCCATAAACCAACCATTTTCGGCTGACTAGATGTCCATGCCGCAGGGAGAAGTGTGTCGAGAGCAGATGAAAAACCTTGCATGATTGAGTAGCCTGACACACTAGCAGTCATGGAACCTAATGTTGCAGCAGCAAGTGCTATCGTGGAGACATGCCCGATAGACACTACAGAAGCCACAATTAAGCTATACTCCAACAAATGAGTGCTGCATGATCAGTAGAAGATTAGTAGAAGTTACGTGGGAGGTTGTGATCTGGACGAACATAAAAACGGGGAAACTGTATTTGATCAAAATAACAAATTCCTCCCGGAACATCTCCCAGGCGTTAGGACCGTCCACTTCGTTTGACAGGTCCACAATCTCTCCTACGCCAGGAGTTGGCGTAGAGAGGAGAGGAGTATTCTCCACTGGCATAATGATCATCACCGTTGGAGTTGGGGAGATGAAGGAAAACACTGCTTGTTGGCCGGCCTAAATCTGGTAAGGGTCCGGATACAACGCGTCAATACAACGTCAATATGTACAACCTTGATGAAAATGCGAGAGTCCGGCCCTGTTCCACTGACAAATTGCAGTAATTATATCAAGGAAAAGAAAGTGATAAAGACATGACTGTAAATTTTATAGTTGCAATAGCGTAGTGCAACCATCAAACAGATTGTCGTCGGTCTACTGACTCCAAAAACCAAGTGAAGGGTCGAACACTGGGAGCGCTTCTGCCGACGCAATCGGGAGTACCAATAGTCTAGGCGGCATCAGAAAATCTGCCAAATCTGGCACAGTGACGCCCAATAATCATTAACCAGACTCCGTCGGATTCTTCCGGTCCCTATGGCCAAGGCAAAAACTGCCCGACTGAGACGGTATCCGAAGGTTCGAACTCCTGGAAGATAGCCTCAAATGTTACCAAGCGAAATGGATATCAGGTTGATCATCATCTTTGTTTCTCGCAGTACCACTAGTGGTACCATTCAATATTTACATAAGTACTAGCACAGGCTTTTTCGTCGAATTGTGACGTGCTCTGTGCAAGAGGTGTGCGAAATAAGAATTCCGGATATGTAGCGTACCATTATATAAGCTTTTAAACCTTAATATACAGCCACCTGAAGTTACCCACAGACTGATCTGAGTTCCTCGATAGCGGCGTAAGAAGTTAATAGAATCGTTCGCCGAAGACTGGAAGGGGGGGGTTTTAACTACTGTAGAACACATCTAGATAGTCCTTTAAATAAAATATGGGCGTGGAAGCACGCTGCCCACCAAACGAGTGTTTTTTTGATGTCATGTGCAAAAACATGTGACTTTGATATTAAGTCGCGTCCGATATCAATGATGTGTGTCTTATTACAACTCTTATGACCTCTCTGCTCCGTCGGCCCATCACCAACTTTCATTTGCAAATACACGCTTGTATTCATTATGTATTCTAACACTCATCCATCGCATGCAGGCCGGTTCCCATTAGTTTATGACACTTCAGCACCCAGCATCAATAACGACTCATATGAAACTTCGCAACACGGATCAGATCGCACGTCTCAAAGTTCTATTTCTAATTCATCCGGACATTCTCGCAGTCCTACTCTAGATTTCCAGGTACAACTACAGCCTGAAGACTCAGAAGGCTATAATTCAGCATCTTATACCTCGCCCGATACACTATCCGATCGCTGGGAGTCTGATCAGTGTGATTCCCAAGAGTCGGAACCCCCGCATATACCATCAATCGACCTACCCGCTGACTTCGACATCAACACAGCGCTCAAATTAAATACAGCCGAGGCGCTGTATGATGTATACAGGGCAGGTGGCCTCGAGGCTGACGGCACCGGTCCGAGATGGACCCTTCGTTGTCCTGACTGCAAGCAATTGTGCCAGACAAGCATACCCTCAGGCCTTATACTCTGGAACGAAGGCCAATTCAGTTCCTTGGCCAGCCATCGAGGCAGTAAGCGATGTGTGCAGGCTGCAACCAAACGACGGAACGAACAGTCTCGTACTGATGACGTTCGATCGTTATCGCGTTCTCATACCCTTATCACCGCATTCTTGCCTTCCCAGTCCCTCGTTTCATCCGATCACAGGTACATCTTTGATTTCATTTCGGCTCTGATCCATTTACATCATACTTACTGCTACTCGATCGTTTTTAAGCTGTCCTTCTCCCTCCCCTCCCTCCGACAACTGTCCTGGAATCGCGGTTGTCTGGCCGGACGACCTACGACCTTTCCTAATGCTTTTCCCCTGGGGTCGGTATCACAGCGGACCAGACGCTTTACCTTATACCATCGACATCACGCAGCCGAGCGCTCCGCGTGCTCGTTCAAAGTATTGCACCCATACACGTTTCCAGGGCTCAGCATGCGACGAGTGTACTGACGTGCACAGACACATTCTGCACCTTTCCGAAATCGCCCGGGATCCCAAACACCACACAAATTACAAGTATCTCGGCCTTGGGCACTTGCAAGATATCGCGAAGACGTATGCCGAACAAATCAAGATGTTAAAATTGCAGGTATGTGTACATAGCTTCTAACAAGTATTTAAACTGACGGTGAATAGGAACTCAATCATTCTCGCAGGTATTTGCGCTCCCTCACCCAACTGGACGACTACAGTCGCCTCCTCATGGCGATATCTGAAAAAGATATACCACGCATCCACCAAATCATCGACGTCGCTCTTCGTCATGGTTCTAGCGTGCGGGAGATCGTAAACAAGCTCGAGGACGCGCTTGAGGGTGCATACTCCCCTCGAGGTTACGATGCTAATGACCTCGACATAGCAACCCTCATTTTCAGGCTTGGCGGGCGCCAGCTGCTGTTCGCGATGAATCAAATACTCGGCGTCCCATCTCTCCGTACCCTCCGCTCCAAATCGACCTTCACCTCAATTGTGCCAACCATCGGTCCTATACGAGACGAGCAGTTTGACCAGAATATTCGGAATGTCGTCCTTACCACACGCGCGCACACGTCACTCGATTCATTGCGGGGTGTCAGTCTGATGATTGACGAAATTGCCCTGGAGGAGATGGCAGTTCACTTTAGTAAGTATAACAAGGTGGGGGGACTTTGCTGGAAGCATTCCCATACCGTCGAACCTGTCCTCCGCACGTACGAGTCCGCCGTGCACATTGCACAAAAGATTCACGCCGGCGAACTTCACCTCGGGAAGGAACTTACAGTGATCGGTGCCTCTTGCTTTGGCGAAGACGAGATCTATCCCATTCTAGCAGCACCTACATGCAAGAATGAAGATGCTTCCGACATGGAACGTATACTCGCTCGTGCCATTGGTAGCTGGAAAAATGCTTCTATTCGTTCGTACGTAGTCTACAACATGCGTTCTAAGCTACAGTAGTTCCCATTGTCGTGTACTCGCACTGTTCCCTTGCAATCAACCGTCGTTTTTGCCTTGTCCTTGACCTTTGCCCGGATCAAAGTGATCGAAAATACTTACCATATATGGTTATATTGGCGTTACTGTCACTGTGACAGGGGGGTGGGGGGGGCCTGGGAAGTTGCGACAGGTGTATGTCGTATATTGCAAATTCACACACCTCTTGGCTCTGTGAGTCACACATGTTTTAACGTTTTTGAGTTCGGAGTCCTTCCATTTTCGGCGCAAATTATATCATGATTTCCTCCAACTCCTGCTACATCATGGTACCGAGTCGTTCTAATGTCCACGTCATTACTCTGTCTCAGTCAGGCTCATGCTGAAGAAAAGAAGATATCATTTATCAAGCACGAATGAATCGACGCCGAATGCTTCCAAGCCGCTCGCCAAGCCATGCACTGGGACCAATTGACAATTGTGCCCTGAACGGTGTACCAGAACGTTTGGCTCGAAACTAGCTATCTTTAGCTACTTCCAGGCCGGAGCCAACACGGAGCCAACACGGACCTTGGATGTGTTTCGCATCAGCCCAGACTCTATTTCATCAACATTGGTTGACATACGATTTATTTTTTCCTGCTACTCTGTAGTGGGTATAATACTGCAAATTTTGAACCTTTTGCGGGTAAATCCATCGATCTCATCCGGGCTGTATCTTTTCTTGGTGAAGGTCACAGCTGCACGGACTGTGCTGTGTTCTGTGGGCCTGTGGCTGTAAAATTACCTGCTAATAGTGGCTGATTCAAGACAAATCAGTGTTCCTTTCACGATCACATCGAACCGGTTCGCCCCACTCCCTTTATAATGGAAATGTAACTGACCAACCATAATTTTCAGGCGAGTGCAAGGAACAGATACGGTGCGACCCTGAATTGCTTGAAATCTAGTGCATCCACTTCATGCAGAGTCTCGAGCAAGGCATATCTCGACTGTCAAAAGACCCAGTACGCCTGCGTTTGTGGTATTCCAAAAGCTCATGTTTGTTGCAGAAGACTTGTGAAGCGTGAGGAATCTTGGACTAGTCAGCCTAGAAGGAGATTCCCCCAAACCAGCGAGCGCTTCATCCTGAATTCCACCGAGGTATAACACTGTCGTACATTTGAATAAACAACATGTTGACATACTACTTCTATTAGCGCCCAAGGTTATCTCCTATCCGAAAGCCTTTCCTATTATCAGAATCCACTACGGCATCAAACACTGACTTTGAATTATGATTATCATTCGCCACGTATGTTCCGCCTTACACCTAATCAGTTTCCGACTGGAATCGTTTTGTGGCTGCATTGATGCCACGGTCGTCTGCTTGCATTCGATGGCAGGTTACTACGAGTTGCAGAATGACGAGTATTTCTCCAGCGACAAAACTGCAAGAGCAGCAGGGAACAGTAGGAATTCATTTGTTGCCTTACCAGGAAGTGAACGTGTGGACTGCCATTGTGCCCGGCGCGGCTGGAAGTGCCGACTATTTGAATTGCTGGCGGGGTTCTTCGGAATGCCGTGGCAAGCAATCCGAGAGATATCATACACGAGTGATAGGCTTGACCGAGGTCGGAAAATAGACCCAACTGCCTCCCTTCATTATGTGCACACTACTTGTCTACGCTCTCATAATAACCACACAGATTGCTTTGGTTTATGCATCACCATCTCAGGGTCTATTCCGGTCTGTGTTGAACAATCATGGGTACTATGACGTACAGGTGCGCAGTGCACTCAAGATCGTGGCTTGTACTGACCGCAAATCAGGCTCATCGCGGAGGAAGAGGAGATGTTGTAGAAAATACTTTACCGAGTTTTGCATGGTATAGTGGATGAGGTCGATGCTTGCTTCACGCTAAGCGAATTCGCGCCACAGGGGCCTTATTCACGGCGCCACCACGCTCGAACTAGATAATGGCATCACTCAGGCAAGCGCTCGTTTCTCAGGGTCATGTGTTCTTCTGAAGAGGCTTACAGGATGGTGAAGTTGTTGTATGGCACGACGAGAGCATCGCAGCAGAAAAGTGCTCTGACACAGCGCCAGTGGTGAGTTGCATCGTAGCTGATTTTTGATGGTTGATTGACCGGAACATAGGTCCCAGATGATCCCGCATATCCTTATGTTGGAAAGTTTATAACCAATCTTACGTTGGCTCAGATAAAGACCCTCGATTGTGGATCAAAGCGCCAAAAGAAATATCGTACGTGCTTCCCTCTTACAATGCGGTCGCTGATGGAAGAAATTTACGTAGCCCACCAACTTGTATATCCTGGAGCGCGGATACCCACTCTACGGGAAGTCTTCAACTTCGTGGCATGCGCAGATCCTTCGCACCAGATCCTTTGGAATATCGAGTCAAAAATCAATCCTCAATACCCAAATCAAACTTCTAGCGTAGATGATTTTGTCCAGAGGCAACACGAGATTTTTGTATCTAGCCCATACTACCAATCGATCACGGTGAGTGTGGCTCTGTTGCTAATGCGTAGTATTCCAACTGCCTTGCCAGTATCAAAGTTTTGACTGGCGAACTCTAGTTGCCATGAAGGTTCGTGTCTCATGTTCGCTCACACTTTTTAATGTAATCGTCACCGGAAGAATCTGGACGATAAAATTGCGATTTCTGCCCTTATCGATGAGTGAGTATTTTTGAATTAAAGCATTGTACGCAGCACGCTCACTGTCACCATTTAGCGAGACCGCTTCTACGCCGGGTAACTCGACTTCCATGTGGTTGGCTGGCCTACGCCTCGACTCGTTTCCCGGTCCATCACTGTCAAAACAGATGGCACAAGCTGCTCACGCCATTAAATCGGATATCTTATCTTTTACTGGATCATTCCTCATGCCCTTTTCATCCCACGAGGCATCCTCTCAGTTCACAAGTCCTGAAATAATTAGCGAAGCTCACATGCTTGGCATGAAGGTTGTGCCATGGACTGTGAGCACTTGCCTATTTGTTCACAATAGGCAGCGCTTATACACTATCACAGGTAAATCGCTTGGACCGGGTTGAAGAGCTCGTCAAGGATGGTGCGGATGGTATTATTACAGATTGTAAGTTTGACGTCACGATAACTAATATTGATCGCTCACGGAAATAATATTAGACCCAAACATTGTTAGGCGGTGGGCTAAAGAACAAGGACTTCGTGTGGCACCTAAATATCCTCAGAAACGCGTCTTCTCCTGCTTATCCCAGCATATGCATCACTAGAGGCTGTCCAGCGACACCTAGATTCTAGGTATCCTTGATGGCAGTCCAGAGCACCGTACCATCGATCATTCTCCAAGTTCAACACTTGTCGCAGTCACTTTGTATCTCATTTGACACACCCTCTTCTGTCAACCACTGTCCTATCTCACCCCTACTTCTACTGGCATATTTTGTTCTCTATCGATAGACCCATATTTTCCTACATGTTCTCGTACGTGATTGCTCAAGACTTAGAATACTTAAACACAGGCGATGGTCATAGAGGAGTAGCGTTTTTGCTATGGACCCAGATTTACTGGCTTTTATTCCGGGCCTGTGCGTTGTTTTGAAGGACGATCTATTGTGCCGCCGACTTCGAGCCTTATCCGCTAAGTCGGTCGTCACATCATTTTTGACGAACGGAAGTCTACGCTTTGTATCTATACCATCTCTACAGCTTGCCGACTTGGGGACCGACAGTTAAGCCCACCGACTATGTATAACCTTCGTTCTCAACGCTCTGCTCGAACGCCGATCCTTTGAGTCTCAACATGGAAGGTGTTGTTTCCTGCCGAGACGCAGATGGCAACGTGAGACTTTACCCAGGGGCCAGGCAAGTACCAACATATTTATCGCCTCACTTGAAGTTGACATCAAAGTTCTGAATTTCTTGTTGAGCTAACTTGCCAGTGGAGTCTGGACCGGTGTTATAGACCCATCACACGTACATCAAATATATATATAGTCAGTAACGTAGCTATCATCTACTATATGGGACGGAGGGGAAGGGTGGGAGGGCATGCACATGGCTGGCGACGTATACGAGGAGTAGAAATATTAATGGTATCGGACTGGGGAACACTGTTTAGGATGGGTTCACGGGGCAGCAGGAGGACCGTGGGACTCGGTGGAATGGCGTGGAGGGTGAGGCTGTGGGAAAAAAAGAACATTAAGTCTTTGATGCTTGCGGTGCCGGTTGGTTCCGGCAGATGACAATATTGATCTCCACATGGCATTGGTAGGACAACTCGAACGCGTACAGGTATGTTGCATTTTTGAACATAGTAATGATAGTATATTTTTGACTCTTGAGAACTTAGATCGCTACTACCTGATGCATCTGTCGACGTTGCAGTGTTAGGCGCCCCCATCACTCACGGGAGCACACTATAATGGGTGTTGGCCAGGGTTCCGAACCCTGGCCAAATGATTAACTAGTAACCACTGAACTTCAGTCGGTCGTAGATGCTGAACTACAATGCTTGAGTTAATGGTGCGTGCAATCACTAGTGCTGACTACTTCACCGACTGTCGTCTCCGGTCACGCATGCGTCAATGTTACTCATTATGTCTCACGGCTGATCAACGATCACTTTGGCACTGCTGAAACGTTTGGTCGTCACTCGGGGTGTGAAACAAAGTTCGTCTTACTCATGCGGTACAAAACAGGTCGATCTCGCTGACATGGTTCTCCCAACCCCCCACTGGATTTCTTAGCCAAAGGGAGAAATGTCTCCCCCACACACTCGCTTTAATGTTTTGTTTCGCAACTATCTATCACACCATTTACGACATTCGTTTAACCGCGATGAGGCTCAGAAATCCTCGTTAGAGACTGTACTCGAGGATGGTCCTGACTCGTTAGATCAACTACCAAATACCGGCGTAGATGGGCGTAGGCATCGATTTTCTCTTGAGCTATCTTCTGTGGTCTGATAGCCAATTAAGGTCTCCAGCTGTTTAGCGAGCCCGAGGTCAGCTGCGTAGACTGCGCTTTGTCTGACAGTGATCATTTCTCGAATGAGCAGGCTAGTCCAACGCCAGCCACATTTGAACACAGAGTATTGGAGCCCACCAAAGCTTGGGACTTTGCGGTCGGAGCACCGCGACTTTTGGCGAAAGCTCATATTTTCCAACGTCAATTGGAAACACCAACAGCCCAGCCTGTAGCTACCTATTCTCCTCCCGATCATCCCACAGGTTCCGCATGTCCTGATCCCATTTCCCCGACATCTTCCGAAATTTCATCCACACCGGTCGAATTGATTACCACTACAGCTGCTACTTCTAAGTCATCTACCTACAATACCCCCCAGCCGTCAAATGTATGCGGCACCTCAGCAAGTTATACTTCTAGCTGCTCAGCTGTTTGTGGTAGACACCCTCATGGTAGTACCCCATCCCGGTTGCCAAGCTCATACGCTGACTGTCCAACATTGTCAACGGCGAGTGGGATCCCTCCAACCAGTACTGCGTCTATCTTCACCGAGGAGCGCGTGTCTCTTTTCAGTACAGTCTACTCTCTCCAAACGCTCACGGCGACTACTACATTGCTTCCACCTCTCTCATCCACAGTCACATCAACCAGCACTGTTATGACATCGATCCCGTTGCCTCAACCAACATCAGCGCCTAGCACCAATTCAAACCCTCAATTACCTCCAACCATAGGTGCCATCATAGGAGGAACTGTAGGAGCGGTCGTGCTTCTAGCCCTCCTGGCTTTTATTGTGCTGCGCCGTCGCAGGACACGACAACTTTCTGTTACACCTTTCAACCTCATTTCAACTACAGGGCCAACGCAGGTTGAGTCACGGGCGTGGCTCAAGTTACAGAACGCCAGCGGTGTCGTCCGTCCAAGCAGCAGCAGCTCATCATTCATTCAATATTCCGACGCATGTCTCGCAGAGTATTCTGATAACAGGTCCCTATCATACGCCACAGATCATAGATCATCTCACTTAGCCGATGATGATGTATCTGCGTCCGGCGTTGCCAGACGCTATCGGGCCCACGAGCTAGAGAAGTTGTATCCATATCCTTCTCACGTCCACACCTCAGATCAATATCATCATCGCAGTGTAGAAAGCTGGATAGATCACATGGTTACGGATGGTTGTTGGCGAGAGCCGAGTGAAGAGCTGCCGGCTTATCCTCTTTCGGTGAAATCTTTAAGGAGCATGGAGGCTGATCATGATGATCATTATGTCCTTCCCAGTTCTTATCCTCCCCTCCCACAGACGATACATTGATAACCAAGGTCATGGACGATGTAAAGTACTATGTATCGTTATTGACGTTTGACCAGTGGTACCTACCCGCCACGGACCATTGTCTGTGTGGCACGTATATGACACTGTCTAAGGGCTGCGTCGTTCGGATGATGAGACGGCCGCATGAGGAGGCTGGATTTACTTGGTTTCACTTGAAACGGATGGAGGTTGGCGAGCCGAGACGTCGACACCTGATTTTTGAAGGCTAATGCATACTCAATACGGCAGGTCTCGACTCTCCTGGAAGGGGGGGGACTGCCATTGAAGAAGACCTGCCCTTTATCCAGCTACCTTTAGGTAGTGTTTTTGTAGGTGGAAGTCCTCCAACACGTGACGACCAATTTGTATGGACTCATCGGGAGTTATTTTGAAGTGCGGGAAGTACTAGCGCAAAATTCAAACACGATACACCAAAGGCGAAGATATTGGGAATGAGGTCACCTCCAGGACAGGCAGAGAGTTTACATGTGAGACTGTCACACACGGATGGTCCTCGTTTACTAGTCTGCAACAGTCAAGCATGTTGGTAGCTGCTTCGACCTACAGCAGTGGCGGGCAGGAGAGGGTGGCGGGAGGGGCGATGGCGATGAGCGCATCATGATTATGATTGTCGACAAACTTGAGTTTCTTATGCAACCTCGGGAAAATTCTGCATCATGCGCCTGAGCTCGGTCTCCGGAACCCTCGTCTCAAACTCAATAGCGCACTGGTGCAGCTTAACATCTCCCGTCGCTCCCCTCATGAACACCATGTCATCCAGCGGCTTTGTAGGATCCAGGGTCAGGTGGAAAGCCCAAAGAATAAGGAGCGAGTTGATGAACACCGATCTGTAGCAGTCGAGATAAGCCCGGAAGATCATGTGAGTGGAAGGATACCTTTGCTTTACCTTGTCGCAAGATGTTGAGCAGGGCATACGCTGGAATAACGGTCATGAAAGGAAGAACATCCAGAAGAATGATTGTTTACCGACGACCAAACCCGAAGACAAAGAATTTGAGGTCGTCCCTGATGCGACCTTGATCATTAATCCAACGCTGAGGCTTGAACGAGTGAGGCTCGGGGAAGACGTCTGGGTCCCGAGAAATGGACCTGAAGCCGTGACATTAAGGCCCTCGTACCTCTCTTGAAGGTCGATACCTACCAATGATCGCCGAATACCGTAGTTCCAGCAGGAATACAATGGTTTCCCTAATGCCAGGTTATCATTTGCGTAATAAGTCGTTCAAAACGTACTTGCCCAAATCACCTCCTGAGTCGTTCGGTGAGCCAACCCTGCCGTTTGCACATTGTGAACTTGAGGTACAAAACCAATAATGAGGATACCCACCGCTGGGAACTAGCGGTCTCCATCTCAAAGCCTCAAAGATGAAAGCGTGAAGACGAGGAAGGGATTCATCGTCAGCGAAAGTCGGTACTGTATAGTGGAAACATCCTTGAAATCGAGAAACTCGCAATATGAATCAAGCTACCTCGGTTCCTTCCTACAACAGCATTAATTTCGGCCTGGACTTTAGCCTGTTCCTCGGGGAAACATGCGGCTGCCATTAAAACCGTGCATATTGCCAGAGTAGTCTGACACCTAGTTTTAATTACACATCTTCCGAAACCAAACACAAGACACGTCACCGTTTCGGATCCAGCTGTAAAAAAGGTGCCGGCAAGAGAAGCGATCTCCATCTCTGTCAAGCCAAGGAGTTTGACATTTTCTAGCGCATATTTTGCGAACGAAGGGCCGACGTCCACATTACTCCTCTGCGGAACGATTCAGGCGTCATGTGAATGTTGACGGGGTGAGGCTTACTATTTGCTGTTTCACGTGGTTCAGTTGATCGGTGTAGAGCTGGTTGTGCCTCTTGAACTCCCGTGTCAATTCTTGGCCATACCGAGGAAGGTATTGGAGCCATGGGATCGTGTCCACCAGGTAAGTGCCAGGGCGGCGAACTGTACGAAGTATTCGGAGGTGCTTGCGGGCTTGTATGACTTCGGGATCAGTGGCAGATGTGGACGTTGCCTTCCCATACGCAATTTTCATAATCGTCGTCGCAGCATACCTTCAAATAACATGTCAGTAATATACTATGATAACCCGAATCTGGGGACAGTGCTTACGTCCCAGCGTGGTTCTGGAAATTGACTGGATCTTCAAGAATGTCAATGACCATGTTCTTTGCGTGTGACATCTGCAGGGGCTCATATTCCACAGCTGCCTTAGGTTGTAGATGCGTATGAAGCGCTCTATATCGCATTGCAAAACGAGATTGAGGCTATTCGTGCAGTATCGCGGGAAATGAACGAACCTACGCATCTGACGCCATCTACTCCCAGCGGGTGTAAAGGTAATGGACAATCCGCCACTAAGGATTTCTCCAGCAGCAATGAGGCGAGGACGATCAGCTACAGACCCGCCCTGCTTCTCCATTATATCTACCGCGGCCTACAATATCGTGAACCTGGACATGGCAATTCGGCTTCGAGAGACTCACATTGTGACGGCCGATAATAACGATTTTCTCAATTCCTGAGCGAATGGTGATCAGAGGACCGTACTCGTCGATCCATTTCTCTACAGTAAGAAATGGGCTGATGAGCGATGGGACATAATCAGCATTACCGAACAACGAGTGAAACGTGCAACTGTACTTGTGAGGAGGCAGGAAATGTCCCCGAAGTCTCGAAGTGGGAGGGGAAGGCGGAAGAGGAAGCCCACTATCTGATTTCCAAAGATAATAAGCACACAGTCCTAATACGAATACCCCAAAACAAGCCATAGCGCCGAGGACGAGCTGCGCGTTGTCAGAAATGTGCATTTCAGACAGCTGTAGCATAATTGATACGGGAGGACGACAGGAGGGAACTGGGCGAATCCAAGCTATGAATGGCTTTTTAAGTACCGCCAATCGCACACTCACACCTGGCCCGGAAGTCATTGAAATTTCAAATTTTAGCAGATGCTGACCGCTGAATTTGAAGAACATGGGAGAATGCTGACGGCCAAATCCCATTACACTAGAGATTGGTCAGACGATCCACGGTGATCGTGCCGTATTTTGAGGGGCAAGCACAAACCTTGAGGCTGACAACGCCGAACGGTCCTTGAAGTCAGTGAACGGGAGATGGTAGCCGTGGGAACTACAGATCTAGTAGGATACAAAACATGATTCATTCTATAGATCTCAGCGCTCATTTCCGACTTCTGCGCCCATCTCTCGAGTCGTCGTACGTTGCATTTCACCTATCCTGTCGCTCGTAATATCTTCCATTATCCGCATTTTCATCACCTTTAATATGATTTTCTTCAATTTACATGGATCTATGCTCTGCACATCGTACTTTGCCACCGGACAATGTGATGCCGTTTGCTCCACTATTACCGCTTTTTTTGTTGGTCAATGCCTGGTAAGTGAGTTTCAGAGGTATCTCGATTTTCTCCTCATGTCTTTCATGTCACCTTGATGGTTCCTCAAACCCGATCAAACTCGGAAAAATAAGAATAAATTCAAAATCCTAACTAAACATACTAGACTCGAGGTTTTACTGATGTCTGGGGAATAACTGGCGTTCAGGTTTGGTTATGCTTGCAAGGACCCATTTCTAGACTCATCCGTCGATGTCGATGGCTGGTCTTCATTCCCTATTCCGTATGATGGGGTATCATCACTGCGCGTATATTCGGATACATGAACCTGCATAGGATACTGCTGCAAAGTGCTTAGTTTCGTCTCATTGGTCGCGGTATATGTGCAATTCTCTCTGTTGATTGCGATGCGAATAAGGACCATGTAGAAGGCAATGGATATGATCGGCGTGATCTAGTTGTTAAAAAATAATCAGCCTTTCTTTTCGGATACCAGGTCTTTGGGGTGGAATCACCATTTCCAGCGCGGGTTCCTCTCCATTGTTCGAGAGCAGGTAACATATTAGTGCGATGAAGAGAACCACAGTGTACAAAACAGCGGCATCCAGAAGCACGCGCACTATTGGCATCAAATTGCCCTTCGTAGCGCGAGTTACAGAGATTTTCTTTTCAATCATCCAGATGCGATATGCGAGTAATCCTGAACACATTCAGGGCCTCGACATCGCCCTCACGGAAACGTGCTTACCTGAACTCAATCCATTCGTTGCCATAGTCGAGGCAAAGAATGCCGCAACCCACTGAGTAGGTTGGCCAACCACGTTGGCGTAGAAGTTTCCGGAGGTACTTGTGACTTCCAGATAGGTGTAGACCACACAAATACCAGTAGCTTTGATGTGCAACGTCAGAGAGCATGACTTCGTGAGCATGACTGCAATCTAACCTGCGGCACTGCACCACAACAGGCTTGGTAGGATTATAATCCAGCCTGATCGCCACACAACATAACAGCGATAGATCTTGTGCCAAAAAAACTTCCTTGAGTAAAGGTTTGAACCTGGCAGATAAGAACATGAACCCACCACTACCCCATCAGCCAGTAGAGTTTGTAGGAGGTAAAACGCATGCAGGACAGCAAAAATGTTCTGGCTAGGGTCTGCGAAGTATGCCACCGGCCCGCCTGGGTATGTGTCGCGATACTTCACTAGCCCATTTTCCATACGAATGATGTTCGCGACGATGTGCTTGCAGAACGTTAGCAGATGACAACAGATGTACGAAGCAAGAAGCGCTAACCCCGGTACTCAGTATCAACAGCAGGATGGCCACCACGGCCATTCGGCGATTTATGTCCTGCATGCGTTGTTCGTATGTTAAAGAATAGATGGTACCCATAAACATGAGGACTGAGAAGCCTGGAGAGGTGTCCCTAGGTTGGTTGGCATATGACGAACAAACACATTTCGATGCTCACCGTATAGAATGCCTTCCAGCGCCATTGCAAGTAAACAAGCGGCATCCAACGGCATCCCTGTTGAAACCATGGCGAAAATAATGAGTGATGCTGTCTACAGCCTAGCAGGTGTGCGAAGGTGTGGGCATCTTCCTGGAGTCTTGTGTATGTCGTTATATCCTCTCTGGTAGTGGAAAGCGCCGTATATCATATGTCATCACGGAGCCCCACTGTGGGCACATCATGATGGTGAGAACGACTTCCTTCCACTAATAGAACTGCTGCGCGATGCCACAGGACATATGGACATTATGATCTGCATCGCTGTGATTTCTCTGACTTGAAGGAGCAGAATCGTGATGTTGGTTTTGAAACGGCAATTGTTACATCTTGATCAATTCATTGTTGTTCGTCTTGGGCGCGTATGAATAAATCAACATTGTGGCGGTCCGCCACAGCGTTGTTGGAGCGTTCTAACCTGTTCCGTGACCCTCGCGTGGTGGCTGCGGCCCTATGATCTGCTTTACTAGCCCCTCCTTCCCCATGTTGATAGCACCCTACCTTGGGGAACGGTGGACTGCAGCAGGTGCGACTCGGATAGGGCTGGTGAGCTCCGCATAAACGAGTGCTCACCTCGTTCCCTGCTAGCGTAGAAACACGTATTAAATTTCGCTTGTCCGAGTCTATCGTAATCTTAAAAGATTGGGTCATCACAAGCAAATACAAATCTCCCTAATGATCTCTCTCCATCTTTGAAATTCCAGAGTCCAGACTATGATATCTCATTGTATCATGTGCCATCCATCAATGAATGCATACAATGCAGGTCTTTTTGTCGCGCTCAACGCTCATTACGCGGCTCCAAATCAAAGAACCCTACTTTTAACTTCTTCCTCCCACAGCCGGTGATCTACAACTCCAATGATCTGGGGCCTAACCGTGTACGGTCACCTCACCGGCAATTATCCTGTAACCCGCGTCTACGCAGAGCTTGATGGGGGTGTTCAATCATGAAAACGCGTGTCCCCGGCTCTGGTGTCCAAGATGCAATGATAGGCTGTGCTGCCTTGATTCTTGAACCTTATTATCACAAACATACTTCGGTTATTGACGTGATGAGGGTTTCGTCCCCACACCCACATAGGCCCACTATTCATACATATATATCATGATGATACGGCGAAGGAACGTTACACATCATGGTCTCTGCAGAATCATTTACAAGGAGAACGGTCGAGGTGCCCAGCCTTGTTCGCGTGCGAGTTAGGCTTGATGTTTGGTACTACCGACCTGCAGGGAATGGTCCGCACCCTGTGGTTATCGGGGGTCCTGGGTATGCTTCAAAACAAAACATCATTCTGACTAGTCAAAACTGACGTTTTCATTTCTACAGCCTCACAGCGACCAAAGATGCAGGCCTTGCAGCATTCGGGGAGCGTTGGGCTCGAGATGCAGGATGGGCCTCGCTTATCTTTGATTATCGTGGTTTCGGCCATTCTGAGGGAGAACCGCGTAACGTTGTTGATTTTGAATCACAGTTACAAGATTATCAAAGCGTTATATCCTGGGCTCGCTCTCGTCCACAAGACTTTCTTGCGGATAGAATTGTCGTGATGGGATCTGCAGCGAGTGGACTTCAAGTGGCAGAATTAGTGGTTAACGACGGCGCACTAGCGGGCGGTATGGCGCATTGCCCCATCCTGGATGGTATTATCATTTTTGTACTGCCAATGCCTCCATTGAACCGCATAAATTCCAGCGAAAGCAACCCTAACAAGCACCTCCCCGAACCTCAGGCTCTTGTTTTGGGCGGGCGTTGATTACGCCAGAAAAGGACTCGGCCTCAGTCCGATTTTTGTTCGTGCTATCGGAAATCCAGGAGAGTTCGCACTCTTGAACTCTCCATCAAGCTTACCAGGTATTCAATTCCTGGTCACAATGTCAATTAGCTAATCTCTGGAACATAGGGTTCACCTCGATGTTTGCGCAAGGCTCCACCCCTTTCTCTGGTGCTCCGAACCTCATTGCACCCCGCTTTGTAATCGATGCACTCGGAGTTCGTCCTGGATTGCGCCTGAAAGATGCCCGCTGTCCAATGTTGATTGTCATGGCCGAAGAAGACGATCTGATTCCGGCCTCGATAACGCGTAAGATGGTGGACGACGCTGACGGGCGTGAGTGATTTATGTTTATCATCACCCGAGGGTATTTTAGTAATGCCAAATTTCCAGGTGCACAGCTAGTTGTCGTCCCTTGTGGTCATTTTGAGATCATGAAGGGAGGAAAGGTATGTGGTCTGGTATATAGCCTCTGCAAATGTTTCTGAAGCTGGGATAAGGGCTTCGAGGCGAACATTACTGCTCAAGTGAAGTTCTTGCAGGGACTAATTCACCCTCACGTAGCATCTGATTCTTGACCCTTGCTTTGGATTTATGGGTCGCGAACGGGGTGTACCGGTAGAAGTGATGCTGGCCGTTTGATCCTGTTCAGTCATCGTTGTTATTTACAAGCAATCCTCTGGCCTTCGGCTGTTGCGATGAGGTGTAGTACGATGCCTGATTTGCGTGAACTACGTACTTTTTTGTTCTTTTTTTTTGTCAGAAATACAGCTCGAATGTCACGAAAAGTCGTTGCGTGCTTGCCGGAAGGTTGATTACAACAGAATCGCCGAGATCTATAAAACTTACGGGCCGGGATCAAACTATTCAAGGATGTGAAGAACTTGACGATTGAAAAGTCGGGTCAATCTAACCATGATCCTGACGAGGCAGGACATGCCAAGGCCTAGGTATACGCCGGAGCGGAAATGGGGGTCTATGGGTGGGGTGCGGGGGGATGTGCACGTGGATGATGGGGGTGGGGAGGTGAGATCTTGTGTAGATGTGAGTTGTGAGGAGGGAGGGACGCGGAAGGTGTGGTGGAGGATAAATTTTATACCAGCTAGTGGGTGAGCAATAGTGTATGCTGTGTCGACTGTCTCGGTTCATTTACCGAGTTAGCGGTATATGGAGATGATGGTAAACATGTTGAGTCTGTGTGTGTGCAGTCATACTTAGGTATCAGTGAGGGAGAAACTGGATAAACACCAACCAACTTGAGTCGCCCAAAGACTGATCCCAAGAAGACTCTGTTGCAACTTGCAGCATTGGCCAGTGCCTCCAAATCGCGTATACCACCCAAAACACATCGTCTGCCATCCAACGCACCTTTCCAGCGGGAAAGATCTCTGCATAAACGAGTTTGGGATGCAAGCGCTCCACGGCACCATACCCATAATACATTCTGCGCCGCTAGTGCTGAGGCCTGAGGGAGGGACCACAACTTGAACAACTGAATACGAGCCTGAACTCCGGCCACTGCGCCAGGACCCCCGGCACTAGCCTTCCCTCTCCTCCCATTATTATCTCGTTGAATCGGAATGGTGAATCAATCCATGTATCCAGTATGTGTGTTGGTGCCATGGTATTGATACATCGATGAAGGAGCTAAGCAAGTTACATTTCGTACTCAGCCGATCACAATCATTCGTCCATTCATACAAGTCTAGAACCCAAAATACCAACGCGGCACATGCGTTGAACTAACTGTGGTTTGACTGTTCAATGTTAACCATAAGCCAGGCGATACATTGACATTGATCAAGGAACAGTACCCACACGTTAACTTGGATTTCTCATGCAACCTCGGGAAAATTTTGCATCATGCGCCTGAGCTCGGTCTCCGGAACCCTCGTCTCAAACTCAATAGCGCACCGGTGCGGCTTTCCCATCTCCCCCCTCATGAACATCATGTCATCCAGCGGCTTCGTAGGATCCAGAGCCAGGTGGAAAGCCCAAAGAATAAGAAGCGAGTTTATGAACACCGATCTGTAGCAGTCAAAATGAACTCGGAAAATCATGTCTGTGTGAGAATATCTTTGATTTACCTTTCCGCAAGATGTTGAGCAGGGCATACGCTGGAATCACTGTCAGTGAAAGGAAGAACATCTAGAAGAATGATTGTTTACCGACGACCAAACCCGAAGACAAAGAATTTGAGGTCGTCCCTGATGCGACCTTGATCGTTAATCCAACGCTGAGGCATGAATGAGTGAGGCTCGGGGAAGACGTCTGGGTCCCGAGAAATGGACCTGAAGCCGTGACATTCAGGCCCTCGTACTTCTCTTGAAGGTCTATAATTACCAATGATCGCCGAATACCGTAGTCCCAGCAGGAACACAATAGCTTCCCTAATTCCAGGTTATCATTCACGCAATAAGTAGTTCAAACCGTACTTGCCCAAATCACCTCCTGAGTCGTTCGGTGAGCCAATCCTGCCGTGTGCACGTTGTGAACTTCAGGTACAAAACCCATAATGAGGATACCCACCGCCGGGAATCAGCGGCCTCCATCTCAAAGCCTCAGAGATGAAAGCGTGAAGACGAGGAAGAGATTTATCGTCAGCAAAGGTCGGTACTGTATAGTGGAAACATCCTTGAAATCGAGAAACACGCAATATGAATCAAGCTACCTCGGTTCCTTCCTACAACGACATCAATCTCGGCCTGGACTTTAGCCTGTTCCTCGGGGAAACATGCGGCTGCCATCAGCACCGTGCATATTGCCAGAGCAGTCTGATACCCGGTTTCAATTACACGTCTTATGAAATATAACACAAGACACGTCACCGTATCAGATCCAGCTGTAAAAAAGGTGCCGGCAAGAGAAGCAATCTCCATCTCTGTCAAGCCAAGGAATTTGACATTTTCTAGCGCATATTTTGCGAACGAAGGGCCAGCATCCACATTACTCCCCTGCGGAACGATTCAGGTGTCGTGTGAAGATTGACAGGGTAATACATACTATTTGCTGTTTCACACGGTTCAGTTGATCGGTGTAGAGCTGATTTTGCCTCTTGAACTCCCGTTTCAATTCTTGGCCATACCAAGGAAGGTATCGGAGCCATGGGATCGTGTCCACCAGATAAGTGCCAGGGCGACGCGCTATACGAAATATTCGGAGGTGTCTACGCGCTTGGATGACTTCGGGGTCAGTGGCAGATGTGGGCGTAGCCTTCCCATACGCAATTTTCATAATCGTCGTCGCAGCATACCTTCAAATAACATGTCAGTAATATACTATGATAACTCAAATCTAGGGACAGTGCTTACGTTCCAGCGTGGTTCTGGAAATTGACTGGATTTTCAAGAATGTCGAGGACCGTGTTCTTTGCGTGTGACGTCTGTAGGGGCTCGTATTCCACAGCTGCCTTAGGCTGGAGATGCGTATGAAGCGCTCTATATCGCATTGCAAAAGGAGATTGAGGCCATTCGTGCAGTATCACGGGAAACGAACTAACCTACGCATCTGACGCAATCTACTCCCAACGTGTGCAAAGGTAATTGACAGTCCGCCATCGAGGATTTCTCCAGCAGCAATGAGGCGAGGACGATCAGCCACAGACCCGCCCTGCTTCTCCATGATATCTACCGCGGCCTACGATATCGTGAACTCGGACATGGCAACTTGGCTTCGAGAGACTCACATTGTGACGGCCGATAATAACGATTTTCTCAGTTCCTGAGCGAATGGTGATCAGAGGACCGTACTCGTCGATCCATTTCTCTACAGTAAGAAATGGGCTGATGAGCGATGGGACATAATCAGCATTACCGAACAACGAGTGAAACGTGCAACTGTACTTGTGAGGAGGCAGGAAATGCCCCCGAAGTCTCGAAGTGGGAGGGGAAGGCGGAAGAGGAAGTCCACTATCTGATTTCCGAAGGTAATAAGCACTCATTCCTAATACGAATACCCCAAAACAAGCCCCAGCGCCGAGGATGAGCTGCGCGTTGTCAATAATGTGCATTTCAGACAGTTGTGGCATAACTGATACGGGAGGACGACAGGAGGGAACTGGGCGAATCCAAGCTATGAATGGCTTTTTTATGTAAGTACCGCCAATCACACACCTGGTCAGAGAAGTCATTGAAATTTCACATTTTAGCAGATGTGACCACTGGAGAACATGGGAGAATGCCGACGGCCAAACCTATTGAATTAGGATTTGGTAAGGAGTTCCACGATGATCGCACCGTATCTTGAGGCACGAGAGGGAAATCACGAACCTTGCTGATAACGCCGGACAGTCATTTCTGTAGATGCAGATGAGTCGCAGATGCCCACAGACATTATTGGGGCATGCGACGGCCTGGGCGACCTTCAAATGTGACGCTGTTGGCTTTGTAGGAAAACCTGGGTACAAGCGAGAGTAGGTTCCTCGGTCTCGGATAGATGACTATATTGTTGCTCTACCTAGACTCGGATACCTAGATACAAGTGAGTTGTCCTACTGTAAGTTAGTTTGAGTACTGCCAGTGTAGCTAGGGATGGATGGACGTACCCTCAGTCTAGGATAGACGACTGAGGGAAGGCGATTGAATGAGTGTGTAACTTATCATGATGTACTAAGGGAGCATATCGGGAATGTCCGGGATATTATATGTTGGAAATGAGAACGACGATGTGACGAAGTTGATGACTATGTATCCAACATGCTTCTGCAGGGAGCAGTCCATTCATTGTGTGGCGGAGAGAGATAGTATCTGTTACAACGAGCATCCATTTGGCTTCATAAACGGGATGCCCAGGAGGAACGACGAGAGATGGTACTCACTACAACCGATAACAATTGCTCGTTTACTCAACGATACCGTATAAACAGGCTATTTAAAAACGTGAGCTACGAGGAACGAGCTCCACGAGCACTTGGGCTACGGTGCTAACAACAACATCATCCCATAGCTCGCGCAAGACACCAATTATTCGACTTGATGATCGGGATATCGGCATGCCAGTGAGGGACTGTAATCTGGAGGACAACTCGGAGTCCTCGGTATGTGTAATGTCAAGCGAGACATGGAAAGGATCCTGGACCCTCAGGACAATGAAGGAGCCACAGCTGTACTGGGTTGCGTTGATGATGATGACTGGACCATCATCTTGCCGCCTTGTGGATGTTTGAGAACAACGGATGCAGGAGGAAACGGGAAAGTCGGGCAGTATACGGATCCGGGAGACAATATCATGCCATTGGATGGTCAGTTGCCGAACTCTGTGTGGACTGCTCTTCAGTAGATGCATCTACTATTTTGCGAATTTGAAAGTTGAGTTGCCCAAACTCTTCCGCCAAGGCTTTGTCGGTGTCACCGAAAGTTTGTCCAGTGGTGTGCGGAAGCGAGCCAACTGCGTCCAAAATACTACACAACCTTGCTCAACCAGTTCCACAACAGTCGCGAGAAAGCATTCACCACGAGCGATGGAGTGATCTTGCTGACCACGTCGAAATAGTTTGAAGAAGAGAACAAATCGGCAACGAATTGATCCAGGAACGTCAATGTGGTCTGATGTGCGACCAATGCAGAGTCATACTTCACCTGCTCGGCACAAGCAGCCCAAACTTTTGCAGCATGAAGTTAGGGAATTCCGAAGCCAATACAAGGAATGGGTATACATATACTGATAGGTCATCTTGGCGAAGACCGAGTAGACCGAGAGCGTCCCCGCCTCAGATCATTATCACAGAGTAGAAAGCGGGGCTGAGTATATGGTTATTGGGTTCACGGATGGGTGTCCGCAAAAATCGGGTGAAGAGCCCTTTTTTGGGGTTTGACCGACTGTCGGTTGTATCACGTAGCTGACACGAAACTGACACGCGTTTTATGGCATTGCCTTAGGGACGCGTCTTTCGGATGATGAGGCCGCCGCATGAAGCTGATCTGGTTTAAAATGAAGTCGAGGAGTTCAAGGAATGTCATCCGAATCCCGACACGCTATCGGCTCTTGAATAGGGGGGTCATATGTGCCAAGTTAACCCCCCTCGTAAAAATATCTTTGATCTGATCAACGTTTGATCTGTGAGTCTTATAACGTAGTACTTCTCTCCTTCAGTAGTACTCATCGAAAGCACCGATGGCCTGACACTTCTACAAGATGAAAAACTGTCTTCCTCATATATGGGCCTGCCTACGGGACACCACAAGAGGTTGTGTATGCGGTTTACTTCAAGGAGGCAAACTTTCAGAAAATGGCTGGCCTCCAAGCGATCTGCACCACAGGTAACTCGCAATCATAATATCGGTGGTATTGGTCGCTGACTCGAGCTGTACTTTGAAATACGATTTATTTGTTAATCCCGACTTCCTCGAGGCATTGGATCGCTGATCTGCCGTCAAACTGCACTGCTTACTACCCCCATCATTCAATTGAAACGCGTAGTACAGCTTACAACCCCAGCCAAACTTACGATTGGCCACTACTTCACTCATATACGCTGGACTACAATTTTCGATGACGGTGATTTATGGATCTTTAGTGACCGACGTCGGCATGTGCATTAATCACCATAGGAGCTGTCTCTTGACCGACCAAAGATCACATTGCCACTGCCAATAATTTTTGTTGTCGTGTATCAGAGTGCGATAGCTGTTTGAGCTGAACAATGCATAAACGGTCGGTCTCGTTGACCTTGTTCTTCCAACCCCGTTAGATTTCTAGGCCAACGGGGTTCCTCACTCTCTTAAAATCTTTTACTTCACAACCTCCTATCATACTATTCCCGCCATTCGTGACACTATACCGAGGCTTAGCACTCCTCGATCAAAACCGTTTCCCTCGTACTGAGGGTGCTTTTTGCGTGTCACATCAACCACAGAATCCCGCCGCGGACATGGATGGACATTACACCTCAGCGGAATCCCAGACGCTCGCGACAACCACCTCACCATCAACTCCCTACTCGCTCATACCTGCGACAAGCACCGTAACTATCATATACACGGTTACATTGATACACACCAATATAGTTCCGGGCCCCACCCGGTTGGTATCAATGGGTGACACGGAGCCAACCCGTGAATCCCATCTAACCGCGGCTGCCATCATAGGAGGGACCGTCGTAGCAGCCATGCTTCTCGCCCTCCTACTAAATTTCGTCGTAGTGCGGTTCTATCGCAGAAAACAGAAACTTGCTATAACCCCTTTCAACCTCCCTTCAACTGCGGAACCAACACGGGTTGAACCACCACAGGTATGGATCGAGCTCCAGAGCACCAGCAACTTTGGCATTGGCGTTTGTCTGGCTTCGAGCAGCAGACGCTCGTCCACCGTTCAACTTGAACATCCCGATCCATGTCTCGTGCAGGATGGATCCCCGTGCGTCCCGTCCGGTGTCCGCGTCGATCCCATCCCATCACCACTACTTCCGCTGCCTAATGATACTAATGACAATAAAAACGACGCATCTACGTCCACCGCTGCAAGACGCCAACGATCCCACGAGCTCTCAAAGCTATATCCATCTCCATCTCCATCTCCATCTCGGATCCGAGCTCAGCATCATCGCCATATTGGACTCGGACTCAGTGTAGATAGCTGGGTAGAGCTTGAAGTCATGGGTGCAGGTGATCATCATGATGATTGTTCCCGAGAACCGAGTGAAGAGCTACCGGCTTATACTTAGTTGGTTGGAATATGTAAGGAGCAGAGATCCAGACCACGATGTCCATTCCTAGTTCTGTTTCTTCTCTCTCATAGACCCTTTCATAGACACTCTCATGGACGATGCATTGGTAATCGTGATCAGGATCACGGACGATGATGGTAATACACAGTGTTAATCTGTATCTTGTATTTTGTATCTTTCTCGAGGTCACGGTCGGACTATGTACTAGCAGCACCCCTCCCCTTGTAGTTGTAGTAAATTCATATGTCCGCTAACCCCTTTCCCCCTTGCAGTAAATTCGTATGTCTGAACCACTCCCCCCCCAAAAAAAAAAGAAAGAAAGAAAAGAATCAGAAAGAAAAGCACCACAAAATCCGAAACCCACCAACATATATATATATATATATATGCGCGCAGCGCGGATATGTAATTATATCATGATCGCAACGCCTTAGGCCTTAGTTATAGCGCTCACCATTCACAGGATCATGACCCAGGATGCTGAATTTTAGCGTGAACTTCATGCGACGACACAAACCGTCGAGTCGCTGTGCAGTGCAACCCGGAGCTCCGAGTCAACTAGTTCACCTTCACCTTTTTTTTTAAAAAAAATCTGCTCTTTTTTTAACAAATGCGGTACTTGTTGACTAGTTAACTGTATCGAGCCAGAATGAGCTAGTGCTGGTGCTGGTGCCCAACGACAGGAATGGGTGGGTATACTACTAGTATGTATGTGGAAGAAATTCACATCATGTATTTTGTACCCCCTCCCCTTGCCCTCCCCCAAAAAGAACGAGGGGGGGGGGGGGGGGGTAGGAAATCCACCTTGCAACATCAATACGTGCGACGCGTGCAGCACGGACACACATATAACCCAAACTACATAATCCAAGCATATGCACATGGCCACATCGCCTCCATCGTACACTCCACGTATACAAGATGCAACAACGCACCGCACCTCAAATTTCAAACGCCTCAGATATCGGACCATGGACGATCACACGCAAAGTACCTATCATTATCCTTCGGTATTGACAAAGATCCAAGTTCCATGTTCGGCGGTTGTATTCTGCGTTCCGTTGTTCCGTGTTGAAGATCTCCGACGGAAAGCTAAGTCAATTTGAAACGTTAAGCACTGCAGTGCAGTTTTGACGCCGACGCCGACATTTTCCTGTCCTTCACGAAGAGGGGGAGCAAGGGTATAATATTCAAGGAAACTATATGGATACAACTGGGTGGGGTGGGAGGATCCATAAATCACAATCACAATCCGAGACAACAAAGCAGGGTGATAAAAATACAAAGTCAAGCATGCTCGAGCAAGGATATATAAAGACAGATAAAAGGAAAGGAAAAAGGAAAAGGGAAAGAGGGAAAAGGGACATCAGATCATATCTACGTCGACCAATCAATAAAAGAAAAAATAGCTATACATACAGACATTGATGGATCGTGTAGGTTGGAAACGAGAAACCACGATGGGAATGGCGATGGAGATGGCGATGAAAGAAATCGATATGGACAGAGATAGATGGGATGGGTATGCACATGGATAAATGATGGATATGCGGCGAACCGAGACGATCAATCAGTACGGATTATATCCGAAACCCATCGACATCGACGACATGATGGAACCCTCATGGTTCTCATACGGTGGGAACAACCCATCGATGTCACTCGATGTTGGGTAGCCGGAGAGATCTTCACCGGAACCGTCCATGCCCAAGCCCAAGCCCAAGCCCAATTGCAAGCCGTCCAAGCCCAATTCCTTGGTAGGAAGCCCGAACTGCTGGGACATATCAGGCCACAGCTCAAACGGCGCGCCCGCGCCCGCATGCTGCGGCTGCGGCGCAACGACCACACCAGGCAGAGACATATCAGAATGCGCAGGCGAACCCGTATACGGAGACGAGGATGAAGACTGCGAGTTATTGTACTCCGTCGACGCCGACGCCGGCACCGGCATCCAAGCTGGGGGATCGTTCAGGTCAAAATTCATAGCGTTGATGTCTATCGAGAGATCGTGAAGTGGGTCTAGAGGGGCAATGCCAAAGTCTTGTGATGCGTGTGGGGGATATGTGGAGATCATCTGGTTGAAGCTCTGGAATTACAAAGTGGTCAGCCGCGGAAATGGAAGTATGAAACACTACGTACGAATGCGAAATCAGGCTGCGTGGTTTGGCTGCTAAAGGTCGAGTTGAAGAATGAGGGCTCGAATAGGCTTGTGTCGGCTTCTGGGAGAGGAGAGTCGTCGCGCTGGAGGGAAGTGGGTGGAGCGAGACCCCATGAGCTGGAAATAGTAGGCTGGGCACTCGAGGCTCTGCGCTGACCAAGAATATAGCGAGCAGAGCGAGAAATATTCCCAACAGGCGACCCAGGACGCGATCCCGCGAAGAAAGGCAACGTCGGGATCGTAATCCCCGCAGCACCGAACCGCGAATCCGGAAGCGGGACAGAAGAAGGCCGCCTCAAAAGATACGCAGGGGTCGGGACATGCACCTTGCCCGCGTCGAGCTTGCGAATAGCAGCAGCGAGCTCATCGCCCTTCATCCCTTCGAGGAGAAGTTGAGCAACCTCTTCACAGCGCCGCTCGTCTTCGGGCGTAGGCGTTGCTTTTTCTTTTTTCTTCTCCTTGTTCTTGTTGTGGACCGGGCGGAAGCGGTATTCAGGGTAGCGCGCCTTGTGCTCGGCTTTGGCGTGCTTGGCCTTGATCTCCCATACGCGCTTTTCCTCGAGGGGAAGGGCTCTCCAGCAATTACCTAGGTACGTACGAGATAAGGGATTATGTGATTATATTACGGTAAACATAAACATACCGATGATCTTGGAGAGTGAACCGTGGTTAGTCTCGATGGAGCCAGGAACGTGCTTCTGACGGACGAAGTCGGCACGGAACAGCATGAACGCGTTCGGGGGGCGTGGGATGTAACCTAGCGACCGGCGCTTGCCAGGAGGTACACGTCTCCTTGTGGTTGTTGGGGGCAGCTCTGAGGGGGGGAAGAGCTGGGTTGTTGGGGATGAAGGTTCGGGAGTTGGTGATGCAAAGGACTCGTCAGTCTCTGTGAAGGTGACTGGTGTGACATTAGGTGCGAATGTAACTGATCGTGGTGAGGGAGTCGTGTTTATTCCGTATATGCCTGCTTTGATGGGGTGGAGAGCCGCTGTGGGGGGTGAAGGTGAGGATGATAAGATGAAAAGAGTGGGTAGGACGTACTAATGGCCAAGGATGAGCGTCGACGATGTGAGAGGCGGACTGGAGGCATGTCTAGTATGGATACAGTAGGGTTTTGCGGTAGATGCCTAAAGAAGGAGAACAAAAAGAGGAGGGGGAACGAAGAGCGCTATTGTGATTTTTTGATTCCTTATAGGTTGGAAGTGTGATACTTGGGACCTGGATCTAGTGTGGGTGCAGAATTAATTTTAAGCACAGGACTAAGAACACCGCCTCTCTTTAGCGGATGATAATCATGAAATTGCACTGGGAGCGTCTGTTCCAGGTGTGTACCACGGTACTCCGGGTGTTCAAGGTCCTTATCATCAAGCAAAGAAGCATACCTTGATTTATCCACTCCCTTGTATCAAAACCGGTGGATAGCTTGTCACTTCCTTTTTAGGTAATTCTACTTTGCTTCCGAGTCGGTCACGAATCAAAACGTGGTCCCCCCACTCCTCAACCCATCATGTCCTGGAACTAGCCCATCACACTCTAACGTGAACGCCTGAAACTATGCGCGCAGATATGATGCACCCAGAACTGTTGACGCTACTCTGAATCGCCGTTCTGCCGTGCCTCGAGGCCACACACTTACCGAACCTTCCCATCGGCCACTGATCGGGCACAAGCTAAACACTCCCACGAACACTTGCGTTCCGCCCAGCCGACTTCTTGTTCTTTTTGGGGTCAGAGCGGGAAATTTTCCCTGCCTTGTCACTCAGCGACTTTACCCTCATTTCACGCGGAGTATATATATACAAAGTTTAGTAGAAACATTTAATCAGTGCAAGTAGTATACAGTGAAACAGATGCACGATGGACATAAGTTATCAATAAACAATGGGGAATGAAACAGAATCGTATGAACGGGGCTATCCAGCCAGAACTTAGTAAAGATGATCGTAGAAACCCGTAAATTATAAGAAAGAAGTACCACGATTCTAAACCCATTCGGAGGAATCAAACATAATGCGCCAAGAACCAGGCCAGCCAGACGAGCGCCGCAAATCCCAGACATGGCGGAGACAGCGAGCTCGCACCGTCAATCAACGGAGCAGCCTGTCCAATCGTATAATTCAAGCAGTTCAAAAGAGTCATGTCGACCCCTGAGCTTGGCAACGGCGTGTCCGTAGTGTTCGGGTTAATATTGCTGCTGAACGTAGCCGAGTTATTGTAGCCGTCCAAAGTGAGCACGACGCTTGAAGAGCGGTAGTACTGTATCGCTTGTTCTGGCTGAGGGCCTCCTGGAGCGGATGAATTGTATGGTGATGAGGAATTTGAACTCGAGGACGATAGATTCGACGAGCAGTTGGTGTGGATAGAACTGATCAAGGAGCTGATCGTGCTGTTGTCGGATAGTAGGTGGAAAGTAGAGCCTGTGCTGTTTGAGACGAAGTTTGCCTGTGCCATCGGTCCACCTGTCCTACTGCTATTGGAAGAATCGCCGTACTGTAGAACGAAGAGGGACGTCAGTCGACTTCTGGTGCGAGGATATGAAAATGTTACTTCAGGATCATGGTAGTACGGGTTGGTACTCGCTCCCCAAACAACCGGCCAGTACCAAAACGGAAAGCCTCGGCCTGCAACACCATAGCTAGAGTACCCAGGGTATCCACTTCCATACGCTCTAAACGACAGCTGAGTCAAGTACTCGAACAATTCACGAGAACAGTCAACGAACCTTGTGCCGTACATCTCCCCTCTAGTAGCGCCTCCAGCTGTGCGGCCGGCAAAAAGCTGTCCGGTGGGGATAGTTATAGATTTTCCACCTCCAGATCCGTACGCCGTTGCGGTGCTCTTGCCGCTAGCGGAGCTTCCCGTGATGGGTACCTTTGAGGTCTTGCCTGAAAAGTTCAATCAGATTTGATGGCGCGATTGGAGATTGAACTGTTAGACTCACCGCCGCTGCTGCTGCTCGAGCTCCCTGAGCTGCCGCCTGTGCCTCCTTTTGCACCGCTCCCGCCGCCTTTACCACCACCGCCACCGCCTTTTCGACGGCCAAGGTCTTGATATCGACTCGTGATAAGAGGAATGCGCATTTAACTTTCGTTTGAATGGAAGGGAGATGAAGTGCGGGGTGGGATGGAGTGAAAGATTAGGTGTTGAGGGGCGCTTTTTATGTCGTTCTACTTCTACAGGTCTACAGGGCTTTGGCAATGTCAATCGTTCTTTAGAACGATGTGGCAGTTGGCATTGACCGTGGCGGGTCGATCGTGCACCGCTTTTGGTCGCTTACTACCACTGGCAATGACCAAACCTCGATATGCTATACCAGTCTGAACTACGATCTATTGCATGAAGTGCATGAATTTTGACAGCTGTATTTCATTTCCTGTGCGACGAGTCATTGGAATAGCTATTAGCCAGAGACAGAGACCAACTTGAAGCCAAGCTGCCAGTACTTGCCAATGTGCCATGGGCCATGCATACGGCCAACATTGGACATGTACAATCTTACTCAGTAAATGCATGACTGATGACACCGAGCATATCAGCTCCGACACACCACACTCCTCCTATCTTACGCTCAGCTGTCCCTCGTCCAAACAAAAAACTCTCCTCTCCTCCTCGCGAGCACAGCAAGTCACATGCCAACTGTCACGCGCCACTGTCACGTTCGCGTCGTTGTCTTCTTGTCTTATTCTTATTCTTCCACGACGCGATGGCAGCAGCGCTCGAAAACCAAAGCCTAGCAACCCTATGCTCAGGACCAACAACACTCGCCAAAGCCAAATCAATCCTCATCCTCGCCAAAGCCAAAACAGGCCCTGGCACCGGCTATCTCGTCGCCCACCCAAACGCGCTTCCAGGCATTTGCGCATACCTCGCGTCAGAAGAGTGCGTCCCGTCCCATCCTTTTCCGATCCCGATAATAACCTTTTTTGTTGATACTGATAATGATAACCACAGACTAAACAATAACGAAGTATCACAAAAAGCAGCCGTCGCGAGTGCTTGTATCAGCCAACGCGACTTTTCGAGGTCTTTGGACGTCGTGCGGCAGGCGCTCGGTCCCAGCAAAAGTCAGCACCAGACGCGGGGTCTGAACTACAGATCGCTCATTGGCACGTGGCGCGTGGCCCCAGCCAACGAAGCCCTGGAATGGATGCGCGAAGCAGAAAGCAGTGTCCCTAAGATCGATCTCCTCCGTACGCGCCATCGCGCTAGTACAGTGACATGTGCAATATTTTACTGGATCTGCCAAATCATGGAGGTCTGCACCGTTATACAATCCATCCTTTTAAGATCCTCTTCCTCACGCGTTTGTTTGCTTCTTCTTCTAGATCCAGGGCGTACACGAAAAACCACTTTGTCAAGCCCATAGCGTCCCGGTGACTGCGTTCAAGTCTGTCATGAAAGCCCTCGACAAGGACTGGGATTCCGATGCGCTCGTTGACCGTGTCAAATCTCACCTACAAGCAATCGCTTCTTCAGGTCCATCTTCGAATCCCCGCACTCGCACTCGCCCTTCCGCCTCGCCACAAAAATCACCCTCCAAATCCGCCATGAAAGCCAAAGCCCTACCGCAGGATATCACCCCATCAAAACCCCTCGCGCTCAAGCGTGCCGTAGCCTTCTCCCACAGCACCATCGACGATAGCTTATTACCTGAGACCCCAACTAAAAGACGTCGGGTCGAGTCGCCTTCTAAATCTGGGGCACGCCCCAAACGCATAACGACGCCGCAGGAAACAGGATCCACAACTGCGTTTGAACTGGCTATGAGGGGAGATTCCAGTTCTACCCCGCGCCGCGAACACCCAAAGTCGGCGTTTGGCATTTCTATAACTGGATCTGGCGGCTCGCATTCCACATTACCTTTTGCTGGCCCTTCTACCCCACGGCGCACGCGACCGCACACGTCTACTTCTAGACTAGGTGGAGAGCCTACTTCAATGCCTACTCCAACGGCAGTGTCAATGGAAGTCGACGAACAGCAAGCAGAGATAGAGATAGAGAAAGAGACGGAGCCTGCCCAGCCTCCTGTGCGCAACCGTTTCCGACCAGTGTTCCTGGACCAACAACAGTGGTGCAGTCGGGATCCGAGACTTGCGAAGATCTGGGATGCTGCTGTTGAGCATAGGGTGCAGATGATGGGGCTCTATGTGCATCCGTTTGAGCGGTGGAGGTGAGGTGAGGTACGTCGTACCCCGCAACGTTGGGACCGCGTGAGGCGCGTATGCACGAGCCGAGTTGGGGTGATGATAGGTCCTCATTATCATATCTTATCGTCGCTGTTCTGAATCATACATAACCAGTGTTGCTGTACCCCACTGCGACCGACTCAGGGATCCGTGGGCAAATATTGTTTTGGTGTTGTGGCATTGATTGTGCTGTGTAGGTGGCAGTAGCATCCATCGTGATACGTGATTCGCGATGAGATGCTGGGATCAGTGGTGTGATAATGCGTCCTCGGCGATTATATCACGGCCGATCATTTGACGTCCACGTTGGCGGATCTTATTGATCAGATATCTCTCGTTGCACCCACAGGATGTAGGTAGGGTGAGATCTAGAGCTCAAATTGGCGCTGGCCCAGGCTGGGCTGGGCGGGGGCTGCCCTCGTCCAAGTGATGTATCGCTGGCGCGCATGGTTTGATGCCTTGCCTGGGCACATGCTGAATATGTGTTTTATCATATACAGTCCTTAGAATGCGAGGTACAGCGCTTGAAGCTTGAAAATAGCTCGCTCTCTGCTACATGCAACATTTACGAGTTATAGAAACATGGTTTACGTGAGTATATGCACATTTTTACACGCCGCTGGTACTTATGACGGACGACAGTTCTGACGCAGTGACGACGAAGAAAATTCGGCCAGCTGTAACGAAAAACACAAGGTACAGTGTCCAATTGTGTCATCTGGTACCTTGCTAGTTGATGTAATTGCCCTAGAACTACGAAAGCAAGGCAGCGGCACTCGTAAGTACTGTATTTGCCATGACAAGCATGCACTAATGATCTGTTTAGGTCAAGGATGGACTGGGAACGCAGCCAGCACGATGAACAAGTTCATTGATGGAATGATACATGAGCACATTCGGTGTACGAGCAGGGCACGGGTCGGACAGGCGTGGGGGGTGTTATTATTGTTTTTGTAATGTTTTGGCATTCATGAATACCATTGATTTCGCTCGATGTGCGGATATGCAAGTGGTCAATTTGGAGCTGCAATTATATACTGAAATCAACGCGACGCAAATGCACTCGATTCTGCAATATCTCGCTCGATGCGAGTCGCTCAAAAAATCATATAAGTCACATCCGTCTCCCCAAATCGACGCAAATTTTGTCGTGATATTTCCGTCGTTTGCCGTCGATACGGGTAGGACCATTTCTCACTGGGAGATCTCACGTGCGGCAACAGCAAACAGTGGGCTACTCTGAGCTCCCTTAGTACATTAGTAGGCAGAGTATCAGCGTGCGCGATATCTAATAGTCTTTTCAGGTGTCGGCATCCGTCTTGCATGATATCATATGCACAGGATAGTGTGCAATCGATCTGCTAGTGACCCTGTTTACCTAGCCCATCGTAGGCCGCCGTGTACACTGCATACTGCCAGCGTTCCTCTCCCACCACAAATACACCTACACTTCCTTCGCTCGTCCGGGAACTGGAAGAACAAAATATGTGTGAAGTAACGACCACGTGCGCCAACGAAATCCTTGATATCCTATAAGATATTAAATGTTGAATTAACGAGGTACGTTCGAGCTAGATTTCAGTTGTATTCCTGAATGCGTAGGTCAGATTTCCGACTCGTCAAATCGTCAATGAATAACCAAATGCACGTACCCCTGCAAGTTTCTCTCCTTCATATAAAACAGCGAGGCAAGCTTGCAGACCCTTTGAACACCAATGCATTTCGAGCCAACACAGGAGATTGTGATTCCAGAAGAAATCAAATATATGACCAAGCTTGGCGTCCCAAGGACGTGGAACTCGCGCGAGATGGATGGCCCAGTTGTGGCATGCATATTTAAGAGCATGAGAAGCTGATTGACTTCGTTCTCCTACTTCGTTGGCAAAATTTACGAAGGTCTTCATAGCACGGATGATCTCCATGTCCGGAAGATGATCTTGCGGTGAAGCGAACGTGGAATTATTAGGGTGCCTTAGCGCGAGGAACACTGGAAACGTCAAGAAATCCGGTAAACTCTTTAAATGCTGGATCACCTGGAGGGCTGGGAGGCAAGGAAAATCTGGGACAATCGGGTACTGGCTGACTGCTTCCAGTGTACTCCAGAATTCGACAATTGTTATCCAGACACCCATGAACGGCCATGCTTCACCATGCGGTGTCTGCAGCCAGTCTCTTCCGCTCTCTGTCTGCAACCAGTCTTCGCCACCCTGGGTCCGTAGCCAGTCTCTTCCGCTCTCTGTCTGCAACCAGTCTTCGCCACCCTGGGTCCGCAGCCAGTCTCTCCCGACCAGGGTCTGCAGCCAGTCACGCCCGGCCTGGATCTTCAGCCAGTCTTGCCCAATGTCGCAATCCAGCCAGCGATGGGCGGCCTGTGACTTCAGCCAATCTTGCCCGGACTGGGTCCGCAGCCAGTCTTGCCCAATGTCGCAATCCAGCCAGCGATGGGCGTCCCGTGACTTCAGCCAGTCTTGCCCGGCCTGGGTCCGCAGCCAGTCCCGCCCATCCTGGGTATTCAGCCAACAATAGGCGATCCATGACTTCAGCCAGTCTTGTGCGTCCTGAGACTGCAGCCAGTCTCGTGCGGCCTGGGTCCGCAGCCAGTCTTGTGCGTCCTGAGACTGCAGCCAGTCTCGTGCGGCCTGGGTCCGCAGCCAGTCTCGTGCGGCCTGGGTCTGCAGCCAGTCTCGTGCGGCCTGGGTCTGCAGCCAGCCTCGTGCGTCCTGGGTCTGCAGCCAGTCTCGCGCGGCCTGGGTATCCAATGAGGGTCGGGTAGCACTTGGCTTTAGCCAGTCTGGCATCCAGCCTTGCGTCCGCACCCAGTCTTGCCCGCCCTCTGTCTGCACCGACTCTTTCCCGCCAAACCCCTGTAACCAGTCATGCCCGCCCTCGGTCTCTAGCCAGTCTCGCCCACCCCTGGTCTCCAGCAAGTCTCCATCAACGCCCTCCAGCCATTCTGAAAATTTTCCCCTGTTCATCAGCCAATATTTCCCGCCCTCAGTCTCCAGCCAGTCGTTCCCGTCCTCGGTCTGCAGCCAGTCCTTCCCGCCCTCGGTCTGCAGCCATTTTGACCCGCCGTCGGTCCCCAGCCAATCTCGCCCGCCCCTGGTCCACAGCCAGTCATTCCCGACCCTGCTCTCCAGCCATTTTGACCCGCCCTCAGTCTCCAGCCAACCATCCCCGCCCTCGGTCTCCAGCCAATATTTCCCGCCCTCAGTCTCCAGCCAGTCGTTCCCGTCCTCGGTCTGCAGCCAGTCTTTCCCGCCCTCGGTCTGCAGCCAATTTGACCCGCCGTTGGTCCCCAGCCAATCTCGCCCGCCCCTGGTCCACAGCCAGTCATTCCCGACCCTGCTCTCCAGCCATTTTGACCCGCCCTCATTCTCCAGCCAACCATTCCCACCCTCGGTCTCCAGCCAGTCGTTCCCGCCCTCGGTCTGCAGCCAGTCTTTCCCACCCTCGGTCTGCAGCCATTCTGACCCGCCGTCGGTCCCCAGCCAATCTCGCCCGCCCCTGGTCCACAGCCAGTCTTTCCCGACCCTGCTCTCCAGCCATTTTGACCCGCCCTCAGTCTCTAGCCAACCTTTCCCACCCTCGGGCAGCAGCCAGTCGTGCTGTCCACGCAGCCAGCATCGCCCGAGACCTGTCTGTAGCCAGTCTTGGATGCTCTGGGTCTCGAACCAAGCTCGCCCGCCCGGGGTCTGGAGCCACATTCCTTCCTCCTCGTCCTTGGCCTCAATCGGCATGAACTCTCCGTCGCTACACTCGATTAACATCCAGTCTCCCCTACTCTGTGTCTGCAGCCAGTCTCCCCCGCTCTGTGTCTGCAGCCAGTCTCCTCCCTCGCTCGTGCTCAGCAGCCAGTATTCTTTTGCCTTTTCAGTCTGCAGCCATGTTTTCCCCGCCTGGGTCTGCAGCCATTCTCGCCCGGCTTGTGTCGCTAGCCACCCGCTAGAGGACAGCCATGATATGTCGGCGGTCTGCAGCCAGCTTTGCCCGGCCTCGGTTTGCAACCAATTCCTCCCGGCCTCAGTATCCACCCAAGGCATCAGATCACCAGTGTCACTCTCAATAAACTCTTTCGCATCCTCGGTCTGCAGCCAGATTTGCCCAGCCTGGGTCCGCAACCAGTTTTGGCCGCCAGCGCTATGCAGCCAAAACCCACAACTCTTGAGCCAACCTTTCCCATTCTCGGTCTCCAGCCAACCATGCCCACCCTCTGTCCACAACCAGTTTTCCTCGTTCTCGTCCAGGTTATCTGCCCCGGCCTCGTTCTCCAACCAGGCACGCCCGTCCTTTGTCTCTAGCCAGGCACGCCCATCCTCTGTCTCCAGCCAGACACGCCCGTCCCGGGTCGCTAGCCAGCGCTGTAGCACCGGAGAGCGATCTCCCCAAACCCATAGCAGACCTGAAAGAACTTGCAGGGGCTCCAGCGGCTGAACGATGAACTTTAATGACTCTCTTAAATTCTGGGGTTCCTCAGACGGTATATCTTCACTATGTCTCTTCAATTCTACGAGCCTATCCAAGAGGGCCGTGCTTGCTGGTATCTCGTCTATCATCAAGCGTAGCGAGGAATAAGCGAGGATGGAGTGGGGCGCGATAGATTGTAAGTTAGGAAGGCTGCAATTCGAGGGGTTGGAAACATAATCACGGACGGACGAGTGATAGATATTCACGGGAAGACTGCTGTCGGTAGGAATATCCATGATGGACCGTAGCTGCACAAGCGTTGTCTCGACATCGTTTCCCTCACCAGGACCAAGAAGTTTCGATATTTGTGACGCCGGAAGAGGGTCTGCAAGGGTGGCCACAACGGACAAGTGCATGTATGCCCGATTAGGGTCAGCGCATGTTGAGAGGATGCGGTCGTACAATCTGTATACCTCTGTGCCGGGTAGCAGGTGGCTCGTCAAGTCAAGCATGATCTGAAGCCGACCTCGGGGATCATTGTATCCATCGTCGATAAACTTCATCATCGTAGACGCCACGATGAAACGTCTGCCTGCTCGGGTCGCTAATTTCACCAATTGATCCCGCGTTGGTTGTGGGAAATCGCGATGATGATCTCGCAGGTTTGCGAAGGAATGGTTGAAGAAAACATAGATATCATTATCCACGTCTGCGCCGTCTAAGGAGATGATGTCAGGGACACCGTCCCCAGAAGTTTTCACTGGTATCTCGCACACCAGCGGGTGCACCTCTTCATCCTCCATGGCTCTACGGACATGCATTTCCGAGCGACTAGTGAGCAGAATGTGAAGCTTTGGCAGATCAGGTTCACGAAGAGCTTGGCCCAGCAGTGAGATGAGCTCAACGAGCTCCGCTTCGGAGGTGCATTCATCAAGGGCATCAATGACGAACGACAACGGCGGACAATTCTGTTGTCTTTGGTGAAGCTTCCGGAGAGGTCGGAGAAACAACGCCTCCATCTGGTCGCGAACAGAACTGTTGGATTCTAGAACGGCGGGATTTTCAATGATAGCTTTGGATACGTCACTCCGGACGGAGGAGAAATTCCTAGCAAGCTGATAGGCGAGAGTCGCGAATAAATATCCAGTCGTGCGGCGGTTCGTGTTCGTGCGCGAGAAAAAGAATGTTCCTGCCAGCCGTTTTTCAACAGTCGTCACCTCTGATGCTTTCAGACCTCTCATCCTTTCAGCTACGGTGAACGCAACAGCAGACTTTCCTACGCCCGCGGTGCCATGCAGCCAAACGAGTTGGCTTTTCTCTGGGTTGTCTAAAAACCCGTAGATGTGCTTGAGAAGGGTCGTTCGGGTATCTTTCAGACATTTCGGATGGGGCAGACGTTCACGGGAGTCGTATACAGCACCATGCACAGCGACCTGGGATAGCTTCTCCCAAGCTTTTTCGGCTGATGATGCATGAGGTGAGTACGATAACAAGGATAAGACTTTATGGAGATACTGACGTAGATCCGAGTAACTCATTTGTCAAGGTTGATCATCAAACGTGAACAAGTCAAAACTGCAGATTGGATCCTTTGCCGACGGTCGACAGAAGGCTTTGGGATATGTACTAAGTCGAATGGATGGGTGTTTCAATCAAGTTGTAATCACGGTTTAGGGTTATGGCAAGGTCGTTGGATGGTGTGGAAAGCAGATAGGGCAAGGGTATGTTGCAGAACACGAGGCTACACGAGGCTGAGCGCTGGTTTGTGGTCTCACGCCAACCAAGTACACAGGATTGGCTCACCGAATTAGGTTTGGACAGGCGGTACTCACACATGGGCCTTCGTCAGGTTCATGTCTCGCTCGCTTCCCAGAACCTCGTGCGTTCAAGCCTCCTGGATTCATCGTTCAAATTCTGTCTTCCGGTTCTTGCCATGAGTTCGGCCACGTTCATAGTACCAGCTGATTGTGACGATACACGGCTAGAGATGTTGGGCCCAGCGTTACGATTTACAGTTACTGACATTTTCCAAGTACATTATAAGTAGTACTTCGACTCCGAGTTGGTCACTGTTCTCATTGGCTTACGCAATCCTTCCTGAATCCTGCCCAATTGAAATTCGGAAGCAGTTCCGAGTCTTTGAACAACGCTGCCTTCACTCCTAACCTTACAATATTAATGAGCATCGCAGAATTCTTCATACTCGAACTGGCCTTTCAACTGGCGCCATTTGACGATACACGGCTAGAGGTGTTGGGCCCACCGTACTATATTTTCTAAGTACATAAGACTCCTCTTATGTTACGCTCAGTCCCTCATCCAAATAAAAAACTTCCTCTCCCCTAAAGCGAGCACAGCAGCTGCAGTCACATGCCAGCTTATCACGCCCCACTGTCACATTTGCGTCTTGTCTTATTCTTATTCTTCCACCTCGCAATCGACGCGATGGCAGCAGCGCTCGAAAACCAAAGCCTAGCAAGCCTATGCTCAGGACCAACATTCGCCAAAGCCAAATCTAAATCAATCCTCATCCTCGCCAAAGCCAAAACAGGCCCTGGCACCGGCTATCTCGTCGCCCACCGAAACACGCTTCCAGGCATCTGCGCATACCTCGCGTCAGAAGAGTGCGTCCTTTCCCGATTCCGATTATGATTCCGATAATAACCTTTGTTTGTTAATAATGATAATGACAACCATAGACTAAACTATAACGAAATATCACAGAAAGCAGCCGTCGCGAGTGCCTGTATCAGCCAACGCGACTTCACAAAATCTTTGAACACCGTGCGGGGGTCTGAACTACAGATCGCTCATTGGCACGTGGCGCGTGGCGCCAGCCAACGAAGCCTTGGAATGGATGCGCGAAGCAGAGAGCAGTGTCCCTAAGATCGACCTCCTCCGTACGCGCCATCGCGCTAGTACAGTGACATGTGCGATATTCTACTGGATATGCCAAATCATGGAGGTCTGCACAGTTATACGATACGTCCTTTTAAGATCCTCTTGCTCATGCGTTTGTTTGTTTCTTCTTCTTCTAGATCCAGGGAGTACACGAAAACCCACTTTGTCAGGCCCATAGCGTCCCCGTGACTGCGTTCAAGTCTGTCATGAAAGCCCTCGACAAGGATTGGGATTCCGATGCGCTCGTTGACCGTGTCAAATCTCAACTACAAGCAATCGCTTCTTCAGGTCCATATTCGAATCCCCGCACTCGCACTCGCCCTTCCGTCTCGCCACAAAAATCACCATCCAAATCCGCCATGAAAACCAAAGCCATACCACAGGATATCACTCCATCAAAACCCCTCGCGCTCAAGCGTGCTGTAGCCTTCTCCCACAGTACCATCGACGATAGCTTATTACCCGAGACCCCAACTAAAAGACGTCGGGTTGAGTCGCCTTCTAAATCTGGGGCGAGCGTTTCGCGCCCCAGACACATAACGGCGGCACAGGAAACAGGATCCACAGCTGCGTTTGAACAGGCTATGAGGGGAGATTCCGGTTCCGGTTCTGGTTCTACCCCGCGCCGTGAACACCCAAAGTCAGCGTTTGGCGTTTCTATAACATGATCTGGCGGCTCGCATTCCACATTACCTTTTGCTGGCCCTTCTACCCCGCGGCGCACGCGAACGCACACGTCTGTTTCTAGACTAGGTGGAGAGCCCACTCCAATGCCTACTCCAACGGCAATGGAAGTCGACGAACAGCAAGCAGAGACAGAGATAGAGATAGAGACAGAGCCTGCCCAGCCTCCTGTGCGCAACCGTTTCCGGCCAGTGTTCCTGGACCAAAAACAGTGGTGCAGTCGGGATCCGAGGCTCGGTAAGATCTGGGATGCTGCTGTTGAGCATCGGGTGCAGATGATGGGGCTTTATGTGCATCCGTTTGAGCGGTGGATGGTGAGGTGAGGTGTGTCGTACCCCGAGACGTCGGGACCTCGTGAGTCGTGTTGGGACCTCGTGAGGCTTGTCGGCACAAGCCAAGTTGGGGTGATGATAGGTTCTCGTATCATATCTTATCTTATCATCGCCGTTCTGAATCATACATGACTAATATTGATTGATTGTCCTGTGTAGGTGGCAGTAGCATGCTTGGGGCCATCTTGATTCGCGATGAGATGCTGATGATAATGCGTTCTCGGCGATTATATCACGGCCGATTATTTGACGTCCACGTTGGCGGAGCCTATTGATCAGATATCTCTCGTTGCACTCACAGGATGTAGGTACGGAAATGCAGAGCTTAAATTGGCGCTGGCCCAGGCTGGGCTGGGCTGGGCTGGGCGGGGGCTTCCGTCATCCAAGTGATGTATCGCTGGCGCGCATGATTTGATGACTTGCCTGGGCACATGCTGAGTGTTCATACATAGCTTGCTGGGTAATCTCCCTCAATTGGAATTGCGACTGATGCCCGAGACTAGTAAGTACAGTACTGTTGCTAATATGTCAATGCATGTCACTTATCAGACAGGTTGTTTACACTTGCGTCGATGATCATGCCGTGCAGCTCATTCAGGATGTCCCGAGCATGGATTTCCTTGGGTTTGCACTTCAGCACAGACAGTAGTGGATGACACTGGTATGAGGCATGTCGTCTAAATGGCGTTCAGCAATACTAAGACTGAGAGCTTGAAGTAGACGAACGAACGAGCGTGTGCCCCAAAGTCCGTTATGCAGGCGATGTTATCGCTGGCACGCATGATTTGGTGCCTTGCCTGGGCACATACTGAGTGTTCAGACATAGCTTGCGGGGTGATCTCCCTCAATTGGAATTGTGACAGATACCCGAGACTAGTAAGTGCTGTTGCTAATATGTCAATGCATGTCACTTATCAGACAGGTTGTTTATACTTAAACTTCAGCACAGACAGTAGTAAATGATATTGGTACCAGGCATGTCGTCGTCTAAATGGTGCCCAATAACACTAAGACTGAGAACTTGAAGCTTCGAGTCTCTGAAGCAGACGAATGAACAAGCGTATACTTCAAAGTTGCTAGATCGAGGGGAGACGGTCGGGGCTTTATGCATGTGCGGTTTATTCTGCACGATAGTTGCGTGTCATGTGTGGGGTGCGCGGCGAGGATCGGCAAGCGGGTACATCGTCTCTGGGATATGGTATGTTTGGTGTGTAGAAAGGAAGAGTGGTTGGAGCGGCGGCACTGGTACATAGAAAGGAAGGGTTTTAGTAGTTGGAGCAGCGGCACTGGTACATAGAAAGGAAGGGTTTTAGTAGTTGGAGCAGCGGCACTGGTACATAGAAAGGAAGGGGTTTAGTAGTTGGAGCAGCGGCACTGGTACTTGTAGCTTGCACGAGGAGGAGGTAGTGGCTGCATTAATTACTGAGGAGCAAATGTTATGTAACGACTCGAGGGATCGTTGAATTTGGGAAAACATCATGATGCATCATGCACAGTTTCTTCGTGTGGCACAGACGAGTCCACAGGATTGATTGTGGTACTCCGAGTGTGTGGTGCAGGACCCTGTGGAGATGAGCGAAACCAGATATAGTCGATGATTTAATTGATAGTGTTCTTGATATGGGAGTTTGTCCTCGCGAAGTGGCGCCGTGGCAGCGAATGCACACCGAACTGGAAGCGCTGAGTTAGGCACATCACGCCCGAAGACTTGCGGTGGCGGAGAAGGTGGCTAGGAGACAGCTACTAGGAGTGGCGGCTTGGCCACTCGCGCCGCTTTGGACCCTCGGATGCCGCTTGATGTCGCTTGAGCCCTGGCTACGGTGATCTTCCCTGCAATGCTTTGACGCTGTTAGCAATGGTACGCGGTGGTCAAGTTGAATCTACCAGCTTGCGATTGAGATTCATTGAATCAACCGTCCCTTTGTTTTTGGCGGGCATGACACAATTCTACTCCAGATGTGATGCAACATCACACCACAACCGCTGTTGATCATCATAGTACTGGTGGTAGCGGGCAGCAGGTAAGGTAACGGGAAGGAGTTACGGCTTAGTCATCATTGTCTGAGTTTCCACGTGTGGAAAATTAATTTCCTTTTGTGAGTTGTGAATTTGTGGACGCGGTATTTTTACGCTCAGAACATAAATGCAAAACCTGACCAGCTTGCTGATGCACTCCTGGCCCGTTGTCCGACCGCTATGGAGGTCATCGACATCCCTTCTTCCCCTGAACTACCTCCTACAGTATCCAGAGTAACCCGTCATCATAGTCGTCAGCCTGGGTTGCAGAAGAGAAGACCGCTACCGCCAGCACCGAGCCGATGGACAGAAGAAATCATCGAGATAACTGACTCTGAGAGTGAACCTGAGCCTGTGCTTGCGTCCAAGGGAAAGAGGCGCTCAGTAGAAACACATGCAGTACCAGGTCCTTCGAACTTGCCAATCATCAGCACACCTCTTAGTGGTTTGCTTGCTGGTGCAGCTACCGGATCATCTCAGAACGCTCCTAGCAAGGACGGAATCCCTTCTGCGCCGCTATTTTATTCAGACGATGAGGACACGGAGCTAAAACCGATGCCGATGTTGGTACAACAGCTAGATATCCCTCCGGAACCAGTGCTGCCACCCGCGCCACTTCCTCAACTCACTCTCACTCCTGAACCTCCGGCGGAGCCTACAGATCCAACTGACGCGCTTATTGCTCGCATCATGGAAATTGTCCCAGACGTAGAACCCGCACATGTTCTCGGGCTCGTGCAGCAATTCACCCACGACCCTATCAATGCCGGACAGAACGTCATAGAGCTTGTCCTCCACTCTCTCTTCGAGATCCCAAATTACCCTAAAGTTGATAGGAAAGGAAAGCGGAAAAGGACCGAAGATGACGAGGAAGGTACCGCCCACGGACAACCTGTTCCTAAGATTGATTATTGCGCGAAGGACAGAGAATTTAAAGGGGGCATACATTATTTCGAACTGGCCTTGGTATGTGATTTTTGTCTTTGTACGATATATGGTTCTGATCCCTCAATAGGAACAACTAATGATCGATTTTCCATACGCCCCGAAGCCGTATCTCCGGGGGCGGCTACTAGAACATCGGTTTTATGCTCCAACTCATTTGCTTTTGGCTGGGATGCGGGATCCCCTACCTTACGTCCAGAAATCTATTCCCTCAAGAGTTAGCGGAAAGGGTAGAGAGAGGCACGATCCCGAATTCGAGGCAGAACGTCGATGGCTTTTGGAGCGACAAAATGCAACTGTGTCGACTGATGGACAGCCGCTTCCTGATCAAGTAAATGACGATGACGCATGTGAAGAGTGTGAAGATGGTATTGAATGCGGTTGTTGTTTTTCTTCGTACCCATTTGTTTGTTGCTTTCCTCGCTCACTTCACAAGCATCTTCTGACATCGTGCTTAGGATAAGATGGTACAGTGTCCAGAAGCGCATCTATTCTGCAAAAGTTGCATGTCTTCCTACGCATCCAACCTTTTGGGCGAGCACAATCCTAATATCGTTTGCATGGATCAATCCGGCTGCAAGCTTCTCTTTCCGCAGTCTGAGCTGGAACGTTTCCTTACACCGAAGCTTCTTGAGCTCTATCATCGCGTGAGGCAGCGCAAGGATATCGAGGCAGCCGGCCTCGAGAACTTGGAGGAATGTCCGTTCTGCGAGTACAAGTGCGTCATCGAAAACGATATGGAGAAGCTCTTTCGGTGTGAGAATGTGGACTGCGGTGCGGTGAGTTGTCGAGAGTGTAAGAAACCTGTGCGTATCCAACTCTTTCTGGAGGGTCCAATTCTAATCGTTTGAGTAGGACCATTTACCGAAGAGTTGCAAGGGTAAGCTCGATTCTGTTCCCATTGACCGTTTCGCTCATAATTCTCTCTAGAAGTAGAATCGGACAAACACCTTGATGTACAGCACGTTGTCGAGGAAGCGATGAGTGTGTTCGCATGTTAATTATTAACGGCCTGTTTTTGACGATATTTTCCAGCTCGGGCACTGATGCGAAATTGTCCGAAGTGCCAGAAAGGTTCGTCCTCGCGAACAATTCTAATCAGCAGCTCTAACCGTAGATTTACACAGCATTTATTAAAGAACACGGAGTAAACCTTTTCCCTTTGCGAAGAGACTATATGCTAACTGCGTACCTCAGTGTAACAAGATGACTTGTCCGAATTGTCACACTGTCTCTTGCTATATATGCCGGAAGGTCATTCATGGATATGAACATTTTGGAAATGTAAGTCATGGTAGTGTAACTTTCTCGTCCATGAAACTCAACAATACCAAATCATCAGCCACCTACTTATGGCGCACAAGTGGACAAGACCAAGTGTCAACTTTGGGATCCTGTAGAACAGCGGCATGCGACTGAGGTATCAAGCTCAGCTGATTCACATAAGTCGATTTGTTAACGGCACCATATCTATCCAGGTCCAAGAAGCAGCTAAAAAGGCGATAGAAGAGCTCAAACGCGATCACCCTGATGTTGATGAGAGTAACATCAAGATAGATATACCGGTTGCCGGCCCGGCTCAGCCCATGCCTCTGCACATAAACCCTGCGTGGGGCTTGCCAGCCTTACCGGCACGTGGTCTGGTACCGAATCCGCATGGTCTGGTACCGAATCCTCATGGTCTGGTACCGAACCCACACGGCCTGGTACCGAATCCATACGGCCTGGTACCGAATCCACACGGTCTAGTACAGAATGCGCATGCGGTACCAGCTTATGCATTAGCCCATGCGGACTATGCGGGGAACATGATGCAATTCCATGCCCAGCAGGCTCACCAACGGCTCCAGCAACGGATCCAACAGCGGATGTTACAGCCCCAAGCTCACCAACCACCGCTCGCGGAACGCGCCCGAGTTCAACTCATGGAACGCGCCCAGGCTCAGGCTCAAGCACTGCTCCGAGCACGAATGGTGCAGGCTCAACACGATGATGCTGAGTTGAGGCGCCAGGTAGAACTTAGGGAGGCGGCACGTTTGATGGCTGAAGCCGAGAGGGCCAGACACATGCATGTGATGTACATGCCTCACCCACTCCCCCCGGCACCGCAACCCGTCGCCGCGCCCAGAAGGGCTCGGAGGCGCTAAGGAAAGAGATAAATTGAATTCTTGTACATTCTGAGCTCCGCTGCATGTCATGATAATGGTGCTGCTACCATACGTTATAGTCGTATATACCGATAAATTCCTACGTACGTTTTACCAGTGTTCTGCTACTTACGTATACTTGCAATTGGCTGTACTATTACATTGTGTTCAAAATCATATTCCTGCATTTATATGTGCAGAGGCTGCGTTTTCTTCGACCGGAGCGGAGCGAGAAAAGTTTCTCACGAAGAGGGCTCTGGAAAGAGACCACAAGGGCGCACGTCTCTCTGGGTGTCTCATCTTGCGCAACTGGACTAGTGACTTATTGTAGTCAAGGCGCAACGACGTGAGGTAAGTCTATTACTGAAGAACAGTGGCAGACGCACATCGCGGCAAACCTTCTCTCGGAAACAGATCTGTTTCATGATGAAGGGCCCTCGTCATCCGTGTCAGTGTGGACTTATGGTTTGAAACACTCCGAACTTTCTGACATCCGGATTCCGCTCATAAGTATTAGCCCTTGTTAACCTGATTTTCCATGTGGAAAGGGATTTCGCAGGACAGTAGTTCACCCACGAAGTATCTAACAGCTCGCGAGGTGACTACTGTGTCAAGATGCTTCAGGTGTAGATGGCATCATTCATCATTTTCTCAGCACCTAAAATACATCATAGCAGCTGTTGGTGACTACAGCCCTGGCCAACTAAACGATTAGTAGGCCCAGAACTTTCATTGCTCATTGTTGTTGAACTACATTTCTTGACAATGGTGTTGAAGCACTTGATTTAGCAGAGACGTCTCCGACCAAGTCAAGATCACGATTAATCGATACCATCAAAGCTCATGCATCATGTTCCACATAACTCGTAAGATGACTTTGTCGAAACGTTTGGTCGTCCTCGTTACACCTGGGGTGCGAAAGCTCACTCATTGGTACAAGAAGGTCGGTCCTATTGACGTAGTTCTCCCAACCCCCACTGTATTTTTTTTGGCAAAAGGATTGGAATGTCGCTGTCTCTCCTTGAAGAATCTCTCCCGCTGTCCCTCTCACCGCCGGAGTTCCTATCTCTCTCGTCGCTGTCGTTATTGCCGTCCCTTTCGTCAGAGTCATCGACGCCATCCAATTTGCCGACGCCTTCCCTACGGTCACAGTCATTACTCCCGCTAACGTCGTCCCATTCGTCAACATCGTCGCAATCGTCAACATCGTCGCAATCGTCAACATCGTCCCAATCGTCAACATCGTCCCATTCGTCAACATCGTCCGTATTCGAACCAGATCTCCTGGCGTCAGAGTACTCCCTCCTAACGGTCCCCCAAACGTCCAGTTTTTCAATGTCGTCGTCCCTCTCGTCAACTTCCCTCCAAGCCGTGTCACCCTTTCCGTCAGAGCCACTCCCATCAATCACGAGTATCACATCAATCAACCCTGTTCTTTTCACTACATTTAATCCCGCGACGACAACCATATCGCCCCAAACCACCAGTACGGCGGTTTTCAGCCCAACATCAGTGTCGAGCACCGGTTCTCCCCAACTACCTTCAACCATTGCTGCCATTGTAGGAGGGATCGTGGGAGCAGTCACACTTCTGGCTTTCTTAATATTTATTGTTGTGCGGTGTCGCGGGAAACAAACACTGTCTGTGACACCCTTCAACCTTCCCTCAACTGCAGAACCAACGCGGGTTGAGTCACAGGCGGTGCTTATGTCCCAGAGTACCGGCGGTGCCGTTCGTCCAAGCAGCAGAGGCCCACCGACCGTCCAATATTCAGACGCATACCTCGAAGAGTATTCTTGGAATCTACACCCGCCAGACACCTCCCGTGTCGATTGTACAACATCTCATTTGCCTGACGATCCTGACGCCTCTCCGTCCACGATTGCCAGGCTCCAACGGGTTTGCGAGCTAGAAAAGTTGTATCCAAGAGCATATCCGTCTCGCGCCCGTACGACAGATCATTGTTGTCATCACAGTGGAGAAAACTGGGTTGACCAGATTGTTACGGAGGATTATTCGCGAGGACCGAGTGAAGAGTTACCGGCTTATCCTCGTTCGGCGAAATCTTTGAAGAGCAGGGAAGCAGACCGTGATCATCGTTATGGTTATACTAGCTCTTAATCGTAGAGCCATAGATAATAGTACCACTGGTAACCACTACCACGGATGATGTTGAGTATCATGTATCTTTCTTAAGTTGGCAAGCTCGCTAGCAAATCACTGACGTATGTATGCTTGTCTTCATGATCAGGCTTCGTCGTTTGGATGATGAGGCTGCCGCATCACTACAAGACGATTATATCAAAGTTGTAAATTGTAAATACCCCTGCCTGAAGATATATCGACTCCGTTGACAAGCCACGCCATCGATTTCAATGACATTGCAGTGTTCATGACATTGAGAGATCTACTAACGAGACCGTGTGACCCACAGTGAGGGATGCATCGATTGAGTGCATGGACTTGTGTCTCTAATTCAACTAGGTTTAGCTCACCATCCTTATACCGAAGACAGACCCAGACGAACGAGGGCTAAGCCTTGTACCGGCACGATGCTGGCGGCCAGCATCGTACATCGTAACTATACAAGGCTTAGCCCATGCAGACTATACAGGAAATATGTTAAATGACAATGTCATGCACATCAGGGTCAGGAACTGCTCCGGGAACGGATATTAGAGGCCGAGGCTCACCAGTGAATAGCGCTCGTGGAACACGCCAAACCTCAGCGCTCAGGCTCAAGCACTACTCTGGAGTGAATGGTGCAATCTCAATGCGATGCTGAGTTGAGGCGTCAAGCGGAATTCACTCGGAGGCGGCACGTTTGATAGCTGACGGCGAGAGGGCCAGACATAATATGGTTATGTACATGGCTCACCGACTTCTGCCTGCACCACAACCTATCGCTGCGCCCAAAACGCTTAGGAAAGAGATAACACATTTCTGCATTGTATCGGTCAAGACTCTGGAACTGAACTGTGATTTATTATTTTGCAACATGATAGCAAATTTTCCCACACTACTTACTCAGTTACTGCTTGTCGACTTGGACCGACATGTTCGAGATCAGATTATGCCGATAGGGCTCGCATCCATCTCTGGCAAGAGGGCGCACGTCTCTCTGGTTCTCGAGCTTATCTCACGCAACTGGACCAGTGACTTGTTTTGACCAAGGCGCCTGGCAACGACATGAAGTAAGTTTATATCTATTACTGAGGAATGGCAGACGCACGTCGCAGCAAACCTACTTCTCTCGGAAACAGATCTTTTTCATAATGAAGGGACTTCGTAATCCGTGCCAGCGTGGACTCGTGGACCATTGCGCGTGGTAAGCTGTTTGAAACACTCCGAATGGACTTTCTTGCATCCGAATTCCGCTCATAAGTATTTTACATGTAGAAAGGGGTCTTGAACAACATTCGAATTCAATGGATACGTTCTCGTGGACATCTGCGAAGTATCTAACGGCCTCGGAGTACTGTGTTAAGATGCTTCAGGTATGGATAGCATCATTCATGATTTTCTAAGCGCCCAAAACACATCCGAGTCAAAGCAGCTGTTAGTGACTACAGCCCCAGCCAAATGAATGATTGGTACGCCCTGACCTTTTTTGAACCATTGTTGCGGAACTACATTCTTGACAACGGTGTTAAAGCACTCAATGTACTCATCAGTGGCTGACGTCTCCGACCACGTCAAGATCACAATCAATCAGTACCATCCGAGCTATCAATCAGTACCATACGAGCTCACGCATCATGTCCCACACAACTTGCAAGATCACCTTTGCACTGTTGAAACATTTGGTCGTCGTCGAGGCTACACCTGGGGTGCGAAATCTCACCCATTGGTACAAAAAGGTCAGTCCCATTGACATGGTTCTCCCAACCCCCACTGGATTTCTTTGGTAAAGGGAGAGGGATGACATTGTCTCTACCTGCAGAGTCTCTCCAGCTGTCCCTCTCTCTACTGGAGTGACCCATCCCTGTCGTCAACATCGTCCCATTTGTCAATGCCATCCGTATTCGAACCAGATCTCCTGGCATCAGAGTACTCCCTCGTAAGGGTCCACCAAATGTCCAGTTTTTCAATGTTGTCGTTCCTCTCCTCAACTTCCCTCCAAGGCGTGTCACCTATTCAGCCAACTTCCCTCCAAGGCGTGTCATCTATTCAGTTAGAGACACTCCCAACGCTCAGTTTTTCAATGTCGTCGTTCCTCTCGTCAACTTCCCTCCAAGCCGTGTCATCTATTCAGTTAGAGACACTCCCAACGCTCAGTTTTCCAACGTCGTTGTCCCTCTCGTCAACTTCCTTCCAAACCGTGTCACCCTTTTCGTCAGAGCCACTCCCATCAATCACGAGTATCGCAACAATTAACCCTGTTCTTTTCACTACATTTAATTCTGCGACGACAACCATATCGCTCAAAACCACCAGTACGGCGGTTTTGAGCCCAACATCAGTGTCAAGCACCGGTTCTCCCCAACTACCTTTAACCATAGCTACCACTATAGGAGGGATCATGGGAGCAGTTACACTTCTGGCTTTCTTAATATTCATTGCGGTACGGTGTCGCAGAAAACAAATACTGTCTGTGACACCTTTCAACTATCTCTCGACTGCAGGACCAGCGCGGGTTGGGTCACAGGCGTGGCTCAAGTCCCAGAGCACTCCCGGTGCTGTTCGTCCAAGCAGCAGAGGTCCGTCGACCGTTCAATATTCCGACAAAAACATCGAAGAGTATTCTTGGAACCTACCCTTGTCGGATATATCCCGTGTCGATCAATCGTCATCTGATTTGCACGACGATTGCGACGCCTCTGCATCCACGATTGCCAGGCTCCAACGGGCTCGCGAGTTAGAAAAGCTGTATCCAATAGCACATCCATCTCGCGTCCGCACGACAGATCATTATTTTCATCACGGTGGAGAAAACTGGATTGACCAGATGGTTATGGAGGATTATTCGCGAGGACCAAGTGAAGAGTTACCAGCCTATCCCCGTTCAGCGAAATCGTTGAAGAGCAGGGAAGCGGATCATAATAGCTTTCCTAGCTCTTATCCATAGATTCATGGACAATATTACATCGGTAACTAGTACTACGGATAATGTTGAACGTTATGTATATTTTTCGAGTTGGACCGGCAGCAAACCCACTGACGTATGTAGCTGCCACATCACTACAACGATTATACCAAGATTGTATAGGATACCCTGTGCTTGAAGGTGTATCGACTCTGTTGACACACCATCAATTCAATGTTATTGTTATTGGAATCTTCATGACATTGAGATATCTACAAGATCATGTGTACGGGCCATCTATGGATGCGGTTCCATGGAAGGTTCATCAAATCTCCAGAGAACGCATTCACATGACAAAATGACCTCATGATACAAGACTATTTATGACACCTCAACGGGATGAAGTATGCGTGGAGCAACACACTTCATGTTCACCAGAAGCAGCTTCTCGAATGCAGATTTATCGTCTGGCACGCTGGCCCTGGAGGAATAATAGAGTGTGTGAAGGCATTTTACCGCGAGCTTCCAGTTAGTTGATTTGTGCGACGACGAAGGACGGATTTTAAGGTCGAGGTCGTCCTCTTTCCGAAACATCCGAATGAAGCCGGACTTAAGGTCGTAGCATTCTTCAGCATCCACTGTCAGCCACTCGTCGAGTAGTCTGCCCTCCTTCACGCGCAAGAGCTTGCCGTCCCTATAGCGAAGACAGACCCAGACGAGGACCCATACGAACGATTCAGCATCGTGCTGGTACAAGTGTGAGACATTGCCTTCAATTGCAGCTACCTCGAGCAGATCAATTGCCACGAATGGTACTGCTTTTATGTGCTCATTGCCGGTAGGCCTATTTCGTTGAGTCGATGATAGGTCGTGGTCATTGAGTACCCCAATCCATCGACCATCAGACCTGTGCACCCTGAGATTTCCAGGATTGACGTCGCGGTGATGGATATCGTGCTTCCAGAGGGTATAATGACCTGTAGTCACGTTAGGGACAATAAAGAGTGTCAGCAATCATAATGCCACATACAGACCACGGCTTGCCACCATGCGCTGAGGAATTCGTCCCCGTTCAGCTTCGTGAGTGGGAATGGCTTTCCGGAGACAATTATTTCCAAAATGCGGCTGTCGCGTTCAATTCCAAACGTCCTCATTATTTTCGCCGTGGATTTCTCTTCAATCTTGTGGCACCAGACCATCACCGGGACGTGAGCCCCCACCTGTGGCTGGCTTTCCGCCACCTTACACCACACCTCCCCCACTATACCAGGCCCCCGAATGTGACTTGACGAAGTACGCACAATTTGACAGTGACGTGGTCTTCCAAGTGAGTTGGGTGAAGCAGAAACCATGTGTGAGTTGGAATGTGTGTGACACAGGTTTGGTCGCAATTGTCAGAAAGAAACAACTGCTTCCTCCTTGATAGTCTGGCTGGGGGAGAGCGAGTCGGTGTGGGGAGATTTTATACTGTTATTTTAGCCTGAACGCTTGGCATATTATAGACGAGTTCAGTTGGGATGTTTTATTCAACACCCTTGGCACCATTTTAAAGAGGTTCCCACGGTCTGTTAGAATGGGTTTCGTTGTAGGACAAAACCCATCCTGGCTCTCCTGCGAGGTCCTCGCCATTCCCTGAGAGGTCTCTGCAACCCTCTCGTACATCTATGCAGAGGTATACTGTTTCATGAGCGGTGTTCACCTCCAGCTCTCCCTCCCGCAGAGGCTCGATCACAGTCAACGAGCCTCAAATCTTCAATGATAGTAGTTATATGTTTGTTGTAGTTAATATACATGTTATGTCTACGGCAATCTTGCTGCTCGATCTCTGTTCGCACCCTCAGTGTTTCGGCTATCCATCCTTCACCTCTTCAGCTACTCGTCGAGTGACTCCTCACCCAGGAGGACAAATAGCAGGGCATGTGAGCCACCTCGCCCGAATGAGCACCTATCGACGATTTTTACTAACTTGGTGTAGGTTGATACTCACGGAAGATACGTCAGAACCCGATATCAGTCCCAGAACGTCCGGTTTCAGACTGGGATGTTAGCTGAAGACAGAAGAGAACGGACTCAATGTAACTATATTTGACATACACAAACTCTTCCCTCTAATCCTAGTGACAAGGCGCCCACGGACAGATAGTAGTTACACTCTGTGTCTCTTATCTTCCTCAAACGTGTCTTTGACCTACAGACGCAGTCAAAATAAAGTCACCTAAAGGATGCATGACACCTACTTGCTGGAAGAACACGTCGTCAGTCAGTACTCGCATGCCTACAGCCGCGAGTGCCTTCGATGCCACCAAACAGGCGTCATGGGACACTTCGGAACGTGCAGCTTCCGTGAATCCTGAGGAATGATTCCCGCCGTTTGGAGTGGTCGGGATGGCTTGAGCAAAACATTAGTATCTTGCTCGTTGGTTCGGAACTTGCGCTACTTACCAAAATTAGGGCGAAGACTAGGCATCACTGACGAACAAGAACTTCATTAGCAAAGATTGCCTACCACCCGGTCATGAAGGTTAGACACACTGTATGAAATGTACCCCTTGTGGGTCCGGAACATCAGCTCTATCGCACTTCCTGGACAGACAACATACTCACGAAATTAGAAGAAGCATTCTTCATACCCCATTCGGAATCGATAGCACCATAGCGCTTCAGAACGACATCAGCAAGCTCGTCACCTGGTATGATATTCAGCACCAAGCTGCTGCACGCCGTGATTTCATACCGAGTGCTTTGTTTTGCCTGATTTCGTTGCGTATCGGTCCGATCGTAAGTTGAACTTTGCATCCAGATGCGAGTGCAGCTGCTCTGTGACGAATAGAGATGATGTCGCTTAATCAATTGGACATGTTGACAGTGAATGACTGACTCGATGCAGGAAATGACGCGCTTCCTGGTATCTTCCGTCTCTGATGTTGTGGGAGCACGGACCAACCACCTGTACTTGTGAATAGAGGGATCGAAGCGGGAAAATCCTAAGATCGACTTACTGCATTGTAGCGTTGTCCGGGACGACTGGTTTTTCAAAGATTATCTTCCAAGTATTTCTACAGAGTGAGTGAAATTCTCACTGTTTGGAGCCCAATCCTTTCCTCCCAAGATGCCGAGCACGCGATGAGTAGGTTTAATTTGCTGGCGAAGAAGCGAAACATTGTTATATGCAAGGACGGCTGCATCAAGTGCATTTAGTCCCTCCCAGGGGCTTAACGCAGCGTGAGCGCTTCAAACGCAAAGAATGAGAAACCGCAACTCGATAAAAAGTATGAAAGACGCTCACGCATGGCCTTGATACTCCACCGTGATGCGAGAGAGAGTCAAGGTGCTAGACAAATTAATTGAGTGGCGAGGGCCAGATGCGGGATGGGACCTTCAAAGCAGGTTGAGTAACGCTGGTCATCTGATCTGGATCACCGGTAGAGGAACTGACATGAGGCACACATCCATCTCATCATAAGCCCCCTTTTCATACAGCATACGCTTGCTATCCCCATCATCCCCGGCTGCCCCGTGTTATCCCGAAGCCGACTATCACAAATGCAGACACGGACGCACCAGGTGTACCCAATAGAACTACTTTTCCATTGATGTTCAGCCTCTCCATAGCAGCCTTGGCTGCAAGAGCTACCGCTATTCCGGATATCCCAACAAGATTGTGTCCACAACCGTGTCCGATCCCAGGGAGCGCATCCATCTCAGCGTTGACACCCAAAACGCGCCCTCCTTGTCCATGGGTGTAGGTAGCCACCCACGCAGTCTCAAGATGATAATTCTTAGTCACTGCGAAACCACGTTTTTCCATAAATGCAGTGCATGCGTCGTGGGCATATCTGTGACAATGCTGAGTGTTTGCGCATAGCTATGCGTACGATGAGATCCAACGCACTTTTCTTCGAACTTCAGCTCTGGATGGCCTGTCGAAAATGCGTCAGTATAAGATGCGTGGAGAGAAAAGAGAAGCACCGCTCTAACGGTTGATTACCATGAATATCGAGACTTAAAGCCCTCAGCTCCCTGCTCAGTCCATCAAGGGTCGTCCCGATTACGTTCAGTATGTCTGGCCTGTATACCTGGCCCTCCTGAATCGGTGGTCTGATATTTGGATCATCTTCTGGTCGCCAAACTATGTCAGACATGGTGAGAGTAGAAAAATAAAGTAGTTTGCAGGCAAGGGAGCACCCGACTCGCCGCCCATGATATACCTGCAGGGAAACTCGTTACCGAGTCGCTGCCGAATACCATACCACGCAAGCCAGCCGACACGATGCGAACCGGACTCGCCGCCCATGATATATACCTGCTGGGAAACTCGTTACCAAGTCGCTACCGAATACCGTTTCACGCAAGCCAGCCAACACGATGCGAATCGTCCTAGTACTCATCTGTTCACTTGCCAGTACTGCAAGTGAACGGATGAGTACTACTAGATCAGAATTTAAAACCGTTGTTAGAGCATCGTTGGACGATCCCTGTTTGGCGTAGCTTTGGGCCGGGACGAGCTGGATTAAGTAAGCCAAAAATGCGAACGGGGAACTGACTGGATCAACGGTGAGATACAACAACGTTAACTGGGTTTGTGTGTGAATGCATGTTACGTAAATTAGAAGTCCAAACAGATCTCTGGGGAAAAGCCTGGACCTGACATATTATAGTGGCGTTCAGGTTTGGTTATGATCGCAAGGACCCATTTCCAGACTCCTCCGTCAATTATCGATGCGGCTAGTCTTCATTACCTATTCCGTATGCTGGGGTACCGTCGTTGCTAATATATTTGGATATACGAACCTGCATAGGATACTGCGGCGAAATGCTTAGTCTCGTCTCATTGGTCGAGGTATGAGTGCGATTTTGTCTTTTGACTGCGATACGAATAAGGATCATGTAGAAGGCAATCGATATCATTGGCGTGATCTAGTTGTTCAAAGAGAAAATCAGCTTTTCGTTTCGGATACCAGGTGTTTGGGGCGAAATCACCATGTCCACCGGGGGTTCCATTCCATTGTTTGAGAGCAGGTAACATATGAGTGCAATGAGAAGAGCTGCAGTGTACAAAACGGCGGCATCCAGAAGCACCCGCACTATTGGCATCATAGTGCCCTTCGTAGCGCGAGCTGCAGAGACGTTCCTTTCAATCATCCAGATGCGATATGCAAGTAATCCTGGACACGTTCAGGAATCAGGGCCTCGACGCCGCGCTCACGGAAACGTGCTTACCTGAACTCAATCCATTCGTTGCCATAGTCGAGGCGAAGTAAGCCGTAACCCACTGTATAGGTCCGCCGGCTGCATTGGCAAAGAAGTCCAAAGAGTTACTTGTGGCTTGCAAATAGCTGTAGATCACACCAGCACCACTCACTTCGATGCAACGTTAGAGAGTAAAACTTCGTGAATATGACTGTAAACTAACCTGCGACGCTGCACCATAGCAGGCTTGGTAGGATAATGATCCAGACTGATCGCCACACAACATAACAGCGATAGATCTTTCACGAGAAAACTTCCATAAGCCAAGAAGGTGTGAAGCTGGCAGATAAAAATATGAACCCACCATTACCCCATCAGCCAATAGAGTTTGTAGGACGTAAAACACGTGCATGATCGCAAGTGTTATCTGGGTAGGGTCTGCGAAGAATGCCACTGGCCCGCCTGGGTACGTGTCGCGATACTTCACTAGCCCGTCATAAATACGAACGATGTTCGCGACAATGTGCTTGAAGAAGGTTAGCAGAAGACAACAGATGTGAGAAGCAAGAAGCGCTAACCCCAGTACTCAGTATCAACAGCAAGATGGCCACTACGATCATTGGGCGGTTGATATCTTGCGTGCGCTTTTTGTAAGCCAAAGTCCAGATGGTTCCCATGAACATGAGGATCGAGAAGCCTAGAGAGGTGTCCCTAGATTGGTAGACATCGGACGCACAAACACTTTTCGATGCTCACCATATACAATGCCTTCTAGTGCCACTGCCAGCAAACAAGCGGCATCCATCGGCATCCCTACTGAAACCATGGCGAAAATAATGGTCAAGGCTGTCTACAGCCTAGTAGATGTGGGAAGGTGTGGGTGTCTTCCTGGAGTTTTGTGTATGTCGTTATATGGAATCCATCCCCCCTGACAGTGGTGATATCTCACTGGGACAGGGCTATGAAGGTGGGCACAATTGACCTCCTTCTACTAATAGACCTGCTGCGCAATGCTACAACATGATGGGCATCATGATATGCATCACTAACATGATTTTGAAATTGCTGCACTTGGTCACAGGCCACAGAGCTGCGTCGTTTGAGCGTTATAGCGCGCAAGTACTTACTAAGCGAAAGAATGCAGCTTCAAGATCTTTTCTTGTACTAGTACCCACCACCACAAATCTTTGATTTGAGAATTCGAGCATCGTCGCCCTATATTTCACCAATCAGAAATGAGGCGCAATCAACGAAATGACTAACTGCTCGAATTCTGGGCCCCTGGCCGGAGTTCCTGGGAAGGATACTTCAGCGTTTGGGGCCAATTTCGGTCAGGGTATGCGTGAGAGTGATTTGGCTAACGCAGTAGCATCACACATGACTCGGGCGCGTCCCAGACCCACTTCCGAGTATGATGCTGCGATTCCCTCGCGAAACGAAGCACATACATCCACTCTGGACGCGTATACAGTGGCTCGGAATAAGGATCGCGCTGACAGATGCGACGACCCCAACCACATAGAAGAGGTATCGGACGACGAGTCTCTCGCAACGACTCGCTCACAATCACCGGAACCTCGTACTCCCGCACCACTGGTGTAATTCGCCAGGATACTCAAAGACGTCAACGAGTTGACGCCTTCTTCGCGCACCGCGATGCAAGGGTATATCATCAGTGCAACCTTTCTTCCCACACCTTCCGCGCCCAAGTCGTTATTCAACAATCTCAGGCGATAGATTTAATTCATAGGCGGGTGCGTCTGTCTCACTTTATTGATGGCATCCCTGGCAGTCTTGACTCTCAAGGGAGTTGAATACCTGTGAGGTGGCAGCCACGCAGGGAGCATTCTTGAAAGATTCAGATTCAGATTTACTCAGCTTAAAGTCTGAAAACCCGATACCGCTATTGGGATATCTACGAGATTGTGATGCCAAGTTTTGTCGAAGAGACTTCGATCCCTTTCCAGCAACTGGGGAATAGAACTACAATTAAATGGTGAGATACAACAACGTCAACTGAGTTTGTGTGAATATTAGAAGTCCAAAGCATGGACCTGACATAAATGGCGTTCAGGTTGGGTTATGATCGCAAGGATCCATTTCCAGACTCCTCCTTCGATGTCGATGGTTGGTCTTCATTCCCTATTCCGCATGCTGGGTTACCGTCGTTGCTCGTATGTTTGGATATATGGACCTGCATAGGATACTGCTGCAAACTGCTTAGTCTCGTCCCATTGGTCGAGGTATGAGTGCGATTTTGATTTTTGATAGCGATGCGAATAAGAATCATATAGAATGCAATTGATATGATCGGCGTGATCTAGTTGTTCAAAAAGAAAATCAGCTTTTCGTTTCGGATACCATGTGTTTGGGGCGGAATCACCATGTCCACCGCGGGTTCCATTCCATTGTTCGAGAGCAGGTAACATATTAGTGCGATGAGAAGAACTACAGTGTACAAAACAGCGGCATCCAGAAGCACCCGCACTATTGGCATCATAGTGCCCTTCGTAGCGCGAGCTGCAGAGACCTTGCTTTCAATCATCCAGATGCGATATGCGAGTAATCCTGGACACGTTCAGGAATGAGGGCCTCGACACTACGCTCCCGGAAACGTACTTACCTGAACTCAATCCATTCGTTGCCATAGTCGAGGCGAAGTAAGCCGTAACCCACTGAGAAGGTCCGCCACCCACGTTGGCAAAGAAGTCCAAGGAGTTACTTGCGGCTTGTAAATAACTGTAGATCACACCAACACCGCTCACTTTGATGCAACGTCAGAGAGCAAAAAATCATGAAAATGACTGCAAACTAACCTGCGACGCTGCACCATAGCAGGCTTGGTAGGATAATGACCCAGAATGATTGCCATACCACGTAACAGCGATAGATCTTTCACGAGAAAACTTTCATAAGATGGCAAGAAGGTTTGAAACAGGCGGTTAAAAAAATGAACCCACCATTACCCCATCAGCGAGTAGAGTTTGTAAGACGTAAAACACGTGCATGATCGCAAGTGTTATTTGGGTAGGGTCTGCGAAGAATGCCACTGGCCCGCCTGGGTACGTGTCGCGATACTTCACTAGCCCATCATAAATACGAGCGATATTCGCGACGATGTGCTTGCAGAAGGTTAGCAGAAGACACCAGATGTAAGAAGCAAGAAGCGCTAACCCCAGTACTCAGTATCAACAGCAGGATAGCCACCACGATCATTCGGCGGTTGATATCTTGCGCGCGCTTTTCGTAAGCCAAGATCCATATGGTACCCATGAACATGAGGATCGAGAAGCCTGGAGAGGTGTCCCTAGGTTGGTGGCCATAGGACGAACAAACACATTTCGATGCTCACCATATACAATGCCTTCCAGTGCCATTGCCATTAAACAAGCGGCATCCAACGGCATCCCTGCTGAAACCATGACGCAAATATTTACTAAAGCTATCCACAGCCTAGCAGATGTGTTGAAGGTGTGTGGCCTGTTCCTGGAGTATTGCGCATGTCGTTATATGGAATCCATCGTCCCTGATAGTGGAGCGTGTTGATGGATATCCTCGTGGTATCTCGCTGTTTCATTATTAACTTTCATATTTCATCATGGACACTGTGGGCGCATCACGAAGGTGAGAACAACTGACTTCCTTCTACTAATAGAATTGCTGCGCGCTACAGGACATATGGACCACATCACTAATATGATTTTGAAATCGTTGCACTGGGTCACAAGCTACAGCGCCGCTGTGATTTCTCTAGCTTGAACGAGCAGATTCGCCATCTCAGTGAGTCAAATGACAATTGTTGAATGTTGATCGAATCATTGTTCAGGGGGTGCGTATGGATAATCCAACATCCATGAAATTTTGTGGCGGTCCACCACAGCGTTGTTGGGAGGTTCTAACCTGTTCCGTAACCCTCGCCAAGTGGCTGCGGCCCCCTATGATCCGCTTTATTGGCCCCTCCTTCCTCATGTTGATAGCACCCTACCTTGGGGGACGGTGGACTGCAGCAAGTGCGACTCGGATAGGGTTGGTGAGCTCCGCATAAATCACATTCTTTCAACTGAGTACTCACCTCTTTTTTCGTTAACCTAGAAACCCGTATTCGCTTGGCCGAGTCGATCGTAATCTTAAAAAGATAGGGACATCACCAGCTAATACATATCTCCCTATCTCCCTATCTCCCTCCATCTTTGAAATTCCAGAGTCCAGACTATCTAGCCACCACAAACTTTCATCAATGATAGCCAGTGCCGGAGACTTTGGTAACGCTGATGGGCCGCGGCAGTCTGGTTTAAGATGTCTAACATGCGGTCACTGATATGGTATATGCACAGCATCAGTTGGGTGAGTGAGCCACTGGAGTGCCAAGTTGCCGACCAGGATCTTCACAGGATTACTTGATTTTTATCTCCACAAACTCAAAGTGATGGGCGTCGGCAGGGCTGCAAAATCAACACAGGACTCAGGTGTGATTGAAGTCAGACCACGCTTTACAAGCACACAAGCACGACTACGAATTGTGTCGTTAAGGTACGCAACAGACTTTGTTCCTATCTCAGGGCCCCCACCGGCAAGCCGTCATTTGCACACATGACCCCTCATCCTCATCTGAGTCGACCACCCTTGCTCCTACGGCAGACGGGCAATTTTCTGGAGTGAAAGGCCGAAAGACTCGGACTGAGACTTTCTCGACCAGGAGATAGGGTGGCTTTTCGATAGAGTATAAGCGGTCAACAATCGGTGTCTATTCAAAGGCTGTCTATAAACATCAACTTTTGACCGTGCCGGTACCCTACGTCGATTCGCGGCTTGTCTTTCCTGACTATTGTGAGTAGTATGACATCTAACATATGTAAGGACGAAACGTTTGTACGTATATAGAACTGATCTAGAATAGAATGTCTATTACTATTGATACCTACACTCTTGCCAGTAAACTGCTGTTTATTCTTAACTTGACGGCCAGGGTAACGAGAGAGCCGAGAAGTAGGGATACTCCGGTGAAAACCATCATCCCCGTATAACTTCCATTATCCCGGGTTAGAATCGCACCCGCAATTGGTTCGCCGACAAGGGCGCTGATGTCCTCAAAGTTATCAATAGAGTACAATCAGATTCGAAAAACGAGACGCACGCGAAAGAAACCAAGCTATATGCCATTCCCATCCGGACTCCAATCTTCTCCATTTTTGATATCTGCGCGATGCAAGACGTTTGCAACGCGAACCAACTTCCAGAGAAAAATCCGTAGAAGACAGAATATGCCATAATCGTTCCAATGTTGTGTGCGTGGTACCATAGTGCGAGAGTAAAGATCCCCATCAGCGCTGTGGACGGGATCAACGTGTTGTATCTCCCAATCTGATCAGCCACAATCGACGGCACGATACGTCCGAACACGCTTCCTGCGTTCATTACCGACAAGACCCCAAATGCCAGGGACTGAGAGGCGTGGTAACCTTCGGCATACTGTACAATATAGTACATCGGCACGAAGATACCTGGTGGATGTATGAAAGAGATTCGGCATTCAACAAGATGATAGCTTACCCAAGCAGGTAATGGCGCTTCCTAGCACAAAAATTGCATAATTAGCATCCTTTAGAGATGCCACGTCGACCCATGGACCAGGTTTACGTTTGGGAAACCGACTGGACACAGTTACCGTGGCTATAGCGCCACATGCGAGACAAACGAATGCAGAGATGCGCACTGCCCAGCCGAATCCCACGTTATTGAAGAGTTGCTGCAACATGATGGGAAACACGACGCCACCTGGAAGTTATTGTCAGCAGCGACAGTGACAACCAAGAAAAAATTCATACCGACACTGCTGCCGGCTACAGCGACACCAAGAGCAGTGGCTCGGTACTTCATGAAGTGTGTGGCGGTCGCACTCATTGACGGAAAGAATCTAAACAAGGACACGTTAGTTGGGCAGGTTCCGTGGACTCTGATTTAGAATCTCACAAAAGTCCGAATCCAATACCAAATACGACCCCTTGGGCGAGAATGAACTCGTAGTACTTTGTAGCCAGGGATGTCATCATGAGAGAAAACGTTAAGATGATGGTTCCCGAAGCAAGGAGCAATGTTGGCCCATGTGCGTCGAAGAGCCTGCCAATAACACCTCCCTTGAAAGTATTAAATGCATTAAATTCAAGGACGAATGATGAATGGGCAACTCACTGAAATGAAGAAAACCCAAAGCTGAACTGAGCCAATCCACGAAATATCGGACGCGGTATAGTTTACGAGCTGGTTTTGCGAATACCATAGCTGAAAGCTTCCAAACGCCATCGATTGACCGAACGCGGCGAACAAGGCAAAAAATGCACCGAATACAGTCAAATACCCTTTGAGGCCCCCTTCAACGAAGGTTGGGGGAGGCCCTGGAGGGGCAAGAGATTTTTCTGTGTCAACAGATGGAGAAGACATGGTTCAGTGAGTCGGAGTCTCTTTTGGCGTGTAAATGAGGGTATTAAAATCGGTGCAGCACCGAGGACTGAGTACTGAGTACGGAACAGCAAGTGTGCTGCGTAACTTGAACACGCCCATATTAATACTAGCCAAAGTAATATTAGAGTGACAATCAGAAATCGGGAATCAAGATGCACGTTACGAAAACGTTGAAGACCCACCAACATGAAACGCAAAGATGTCATACGGCCATTTCGTGAGTTACCGGCCGTGGCGCTAGGACTCCTCGAAGACCCCCCAGCCTGTGACATCGGAGATTCCTGGACCCGATTGGGGTACTACATAGGTTATAACTGATATATAGTTAATTAAGGTGTATAACCGGGCGGCCTCCTCATGTTTGTATTTATTATTCCCTCTCGCCACGAAGTCCTTGCCATCTTTTCTCCTCCTATTCTGGAACGCGGCTGCTTCCTCGTCTTCAAATCTGATCTCCAATTTTACTCTCACCTTGTTTCACTTGTTATATCTGTCTATCAATCTGATGATGATGGTGTGTCAGTCGTGTCCACCTGTCTTTTGCGCCGCGGCAGGCATTTCGAGCATCATGGAGTATCACGAGCGCGATTCACGGCTGCTCAACAGTTTCCCATTGGACTCGGAGTTTTCCTATCAGTATCTGCTCCCACTATATGCCATGTCATTGATCGTTTTCCGAAGTTGATGCGGGACAAGTTAATGGAGATATGCTGTCGTCTTCACTCCATTCGAATTCGCGTCGCTGTCTCTGACTCTCGCGACTATGTGCGGGATTTGCCGAGGCTCAAAGGAGAGGTACTTGTATTGTCTGTGCTCACAATGTCCTTGCGTCAGGTTTGTGTTTGGTCGAGGTCGCAAAACCTTATCTATCTATCTCCCGGACTGAATATCTCCCAGAACACACACTCCCTCACTCGTGCGATTTCGAGTCGGTCGATCAAATGATTATTGTTTGAAGCGCAGGCTAAGCTAAAAAAAAATAAGCTAGGACCCGAAGACTAGGCCGGCGGCGAATACAATGTACCCTTATGTTGCCGGCACGGATATCGGAATGCACGCCGAGTCGGCGTCAGGACTCGGTCTGTAACACTAGTGTTCTCAGATGATTCTGGGTTGATCATAGGTGGGTCCTAGATAAGCCATATATCGCCGTAGATTGCCGTATCACACAGGATCACCCAATCATTTTACTCCAATTGGACCTCCCTGTGCAGGGTTGAATTGTAGGCTTGCGGCAGCCCTTTGATGATCATCACTGAGCGCTGAGCTGTGGCCCTATAATAGATATCTCCCTAAGCCCGTGATTGTGTTCCTGCGTCTGAATTCAGGTGTGTTGGCCCAATATTTGTTTATATGACATAATACACGGTGTTTGAAATATATTATAATCTGTGTTCTGTGGCTATTCTTATCTCAAACTTGTGATGCGCGCCAAGTGGAACAGAGGTGTGAACTCAACGAAAATCTTTCCACCCTAGGCCTTCTCCTTTCTATTATCAAGTTGTTCACGGTTCACAAGCACACAGGCACGACTATGACTTGTGATGGCAGCACCTGGTTAGCACTTCGCAACCTCGCTGCCGACAGTTGGGCCCAACACCGCCACTGTTAATGCTATGGTGCTCCGCGTCCTCACAGAACCCCAAACTACGTCAGCGTTCAATACGTTATCATAGCGCGCACGCGGTAACATAATATGATCATCAAGGTGTTTCTAGGCAAAAGTCCTTGCTGCTAGTACCAGCTCGGGGGCCGTAATGATAACGCTACTAGCAGCCTGGCACTGGTCCAAGTAGCGGTGTGACCGTGTCCATTAATACGGAATTTGATCAGAGTCGATCAGATCTGTCAGACCTGTGTCCTTAGCTTGTGGTTTCTCAACTCTAAACATACAATGGCAATAATCAGATATTCATATTCATCTGGTAAATCCTGTGAACTTTCATGGTGAGCGTACATTTAAAAGGCCACTCTATCCTTGCTAAAAAATCACCTTCATACGAAGAAACAGTATCATGGTTTTTGCACAAGAACACTACCCTGTCGCACTGGTAAGCATGTGGCCAACCAATTTGGTGCCGCCTAACATGTTTTATTCATCGACTGGCAGGTCGGCATCTCCGCAGAGCTCCCAAGCGGTCCTCATGGGACAAGCAACCTTGACTATGCGTCGTTCTTCGACTTCCTCGTGAACGAGCACCAAGCTTACGAGAAAATCCCGAGCGATAGATTCAACATAGACGCGTACGTCTGTCTCACTTTAAACGTGACACCCTTCAATTATTGACGGGGTCCCCAGTCTCAAGGGAGTCAATATCGGTGAAGTGTCTGCCGCACAAGGCGCATTCTTAAAAGATTTAGATTTATTCGATCATATCGAGTTCGGAATCAGCAGCAAGGACGCTAAGAATATGACAATTGGAACGCGAAAGCTCATCGAGTTGGCGTTCCTGGCCTTGTTGGACTCTGGAATCGATTATAGAGGTAAAAATATTGGCGCTTACATGGCAAGCGTCGCCCATGACGCTTGGATGATTGCCGGCGAGGTTGGTGACACTTATTTTACGTCTCGCTGGGCTAACCCCTATCATCTCAGGATGAAACCGAAGCTCGTGGTTCATTGGCGTATTCCCCTTCAATGGTTGCTAACCGTGTATCATACCACCTGGACCTACGCGGACCTTCCATCCCCACAGATACTGCTTGCAGCTCCAGTCTTTCGGCCTTCCATCTCGCCATTCAGGCAATACGTAATGGAGAGTGCGAAGCGGCGCTTGTGGGTGGCTGTCAGTTGAATCACAGGCAAGATTTACTTTTAGCTACATCTCTTAAAATTGAACGTTGACCATGTCGTGATTTTCTAGGTTTGTGGATTGGCTGGCATACAGTCAAGGTGGAATTCTTGCACCAGACGGTGTATGCAAACCTTTCGACGCTTCTGCTAATGGGTGAGGCGACTTTTGAATCTATCCGACTCATTGACTGAGAATCATTTCCAGATTTTCTCGGGGAGAGGGTGCTGTTGTTATGGTCCTCAAACCGCTTGAAAAGGCTCTCCTTGATAATGACCACATCTATGCTACTGTACGCTATCTCCTGATCGTATGTATATTATCGTTCTCACTTTCCACAGGTTCTGGGCACTGGTATCAATTCCTCCGGTTCACTGGCTCCTGCAAACTCCCCTGTAGCCTATGCTCAAAGGGATGCAATGCTCAGAGCCTTCAAACAAGCTGGCCGTCAGCCAAATGAAGTCGATTTCGTCGAGCTTCATGCCACAGGCAAGTTCCTGGCACTCAGTCGTTATTTCTGCTAAACGTATTCACTCTAGGGACTGCAATCGGCGATCCAACGGAAGCCAACTGGGTTGGAGAGAACTTCATGAAGAACGATAACAAGGAGCTCCTTATAGGTAGCGTGAAAGGAAACATAGGGTATGTTGTCCGAATCACCTTGATCAACTTGGTCTCATTCTCCTTCCACCTAGTCACCTTGAGATCACGGCGTTCCTTGCGTCACTGTGTAAGGTTTGTTCCATGTTTGAATCAGGAATCATCCCCCCCAATGTCAATCTCTCCAACCCCAATCCGGCCATTCGTTGGGATGACTTCCATCTTCGCGTCGCCTCATCGCCAACCTCATTGCCCTGTCAATCCACTACTGGACGCTCGCTGATCTCGTTGGCGAGCTCTGGAATCGGCGGTGCCAATGGTCACTGTGTTGTTGAGGGTCCTCCTACAACCAATCCTGTGGTGCCGTTTTGGCGGTCGGATGCCATTCATGCTCCTCACCTTTTGATAGCGGGTGGCCTTTCTCCGCGTTCAACAGCAGCCGTGGGCGAAACTATACGAGCCATAGATGGTGACAAATTATCTTCTGCAGCAGCGACATACGGACGTCGATCCAGGTCTATGCCCTGGCATTCATATGCGGTTACTTCATCAAATGCTCCCCCTCGTTTTAGTGAGCCTGTTCTCGCTCCCCGCACTCCTGCCCCACTCGTATTTGTATTTTCGGGACAAGGTCCCCAGCACTTCGAAAGTAAGACCTCTCAAGCATTTCATAACTTGATGCTGATTTTCCATCAGTGGGTAGAGAATTTTTCAGCTCCTGCGCTGTCTTCCAGAAGAGCATACTTGAAATGGACGAAATACACAAGCTTTCAACTGGGTTTTCGCTCATCGCACACACTGGTCTTTTCACTCAAGAATCTCGCTCTGCAAAAGCACTTGGCGATGTCTGGCCTATTGCAATAACTCTTCCTGCTCTAACCATGCTCCAAATCGCAACTTTCGACTCTCTCGTGAGTATTGGGGTGAAGCCTACTGCGATTGTGGGCCACTCTGCAGGAGAGACTGCATTGTTATACGCATCGGGAGCAGGTTCCAAAGCCATGGCCGTGGAGCTTGCAATTGCGCGCGGACGGGCTATGACGCCTGTCGAAGGCGCAATGGCGGCAGTCGCATGCTCTCCTGAACATGCCCAGGACATCATATCTCAGATACGCACCGAACAAGCCAAGGCCGATGTGGATGTTGCGTGCTATAATACTCCTGACGCCGTCACTCTATCGGGATCATCTGCTGATGTCGACCTCGCAGTTAAACGCGCGAAAGCCGCAGGATTTTTGGCCAAGCGATTAAATACTACCATTCCTGTGCATTCCAGCCTGATGGACGCCTGTCGTGACGAGTTTATGCAGTTGGTAACAGACATCTTCGATCGCTATCCTTCACAGCCGCCTCAAATCCCGACGTATTCCACTGAATGCGGTATGCTGAAAGTTGACCGATTCAGTGCAGAATATTATTGGTCTGGTACACGTGGCCCAGTGCAATTCACGGGAGCAATCCAGCGTATGATTCGCGATATCGGTGTTCCGAGCTTTGTAGAAATAGGACCCCACCCAGCTCTCGCTAGTTATCTTGTAGCCCTCGGCGGCGAGACAGCGACTGTTGTCTGTCCCTTGCGCAGGCCCAGGCCCAATCAAGGAGAAGTAGTTTCTTTCCTTGATGCTTTGGGCAAGCTGGCGGTCGCTGGACATTGCTGTATCGACTTCAATGTGCTCAATGGATGCACCGCAGCAGATGTCGCAAAACTACCCGCCTACCCCTTTTCGCGCAAGAAGGTCCTCTTGTACCCGATTTCTTCTGGCATCAAGAGAATTCGCCAGCCTCGTAATGGCCCGTTGAACTACTCTCAGCTTCGTATCAACTCCATGACACACCCTTACCTGGCTCAACATGTGATTCAAGGCGAGCCCATCATGCCTGCTGCAGGATACCTTGAAATGGTAAGCACCTAATTGAGAAATCTGAGAGTGATTAACATATCCTGTATTTTACAGGCATTGGAATTTGGCGCAAGACAATTGTGGGATGTCAGCTTCTCATTCATGCTAGCTTTATCTGGAGATCAACCGGTGCCAGTTGAGGTTTCCACTGAAGGACCTCGTTGGTCAGTGCGCTCTGCTCTAGTGAATCCATTGCAATCGTCTGGTGCACCACCCCAAGTACGTGAAACTGTTTCGTTCTTCGTTCTATGACTCACCGACGGCTAGTACGATCGTTTGCATGCTGAGGGCTACCTATCTCTTGATGCTCAAATTCCAGCCTTACCAGCTGTGGACATTCAGGCGATAAAGGAACGCTGCACGCAAGTTGGCATTGAAGGTCCGTCATGAATCGCTGCTCTGGCTATGTTACTCACCGCACTATCACAGGCTTTTATGATGGGCTCTACCACTTCGCTCAATATGGGCCAGATTACCGAAGGATATTGGACTGCTACCGGGGTACTAGCGGGGGGCGTGACGAAGCTTTAGTGCAGATCCGTGGTGATGTCGGGGACCTTCCAGGGTATGATAATTCATTGTTTTTTTTGATGAGATTCTTATACGACTGAAATGATAGACTGGAGAAGTTCAAGCTCCACCCCGTCATCTTCGACTCCGCAATTCATATTCTGGTCCATCCGATTTTCACCCATCTTTCAGACGAAACATTGTACTATCTTCCTTCTCGCCTGCAAAATCTGACGGTTCATGAAGCGCTTTTGACTTCCCCGTTCCCGCGGTCTATTTATGCTCATGCTGTCTTCCGCCAGTGGACACCTCGTGAGTTTCCTTATTATTTACCAGTTTTATCAGTGACTCATGCCAATGAAGAATCTTTGACATATGATGTCACCCTCCTGGATGAAGCCGGAAATCGTCTCTGCACCATGCAATCATTCGAAGTTGCCCTCCACGGAGAGTCCTCTCTATACGGGCCGACTTCTCGCTTCGACTTGGTGCATGAGCCCACCTCACTTGACCTGTCTTCGTGTCGTAACCCGACCGAGGACCAAACCAGAGATGGCTCAATGGATGCTAGCACATCATCACCTCCGCTCAACATCATCGCTTACGAGCATGGAAAAGAGACAGAACTTCAGTCGATATTTTCTGCACTGGACGCCACCACTCCGTGCGACATCTATATTACAGCACTCGCTGGTCCGGACGGAGACGGGGCTACCGGATTCGCGCGATCCTTACGGAAGGAACATCTCTTGTGGACAATTTGGGCTGTGGTGTTCGACTTGGAGTGGGACGATGAAAGCATAAGACGGGCAGTTGAAGTTATGTCCAAGACGCCCCAGACGGAGACCGAGCTTACGGTGGACGCATCCGGATTGGTCCATGTCCCAAGAATAACACCTTGCGAGGGCCCGAAGAAGATTTCTCCTTTCAACTTCCAAGAACCATGGCGGCTCGAGAAGTCTGCAGTTGTTCAATGCTCGTCTCCTCCTTCGGACTCTAATTCGGCTGTCGTGCATGTGCGAAATGTTAGCCGATCGGATGATCAGATATGGTCTTTCGTTGGCTCCTTGGGCAGCTCACACAAAAGTGTCACGGGGATATCCACTTCCCCTGTTGGAAACACCATCGTATCGCCACTGGATAGCATGGTGGATGTCCCAGTGGCCATGGATGTTGACGCACCGATGGGACCCCCTGTCCTCGCCACTGCTATAGCAGTCCTTGCTGTTGGTTCTGTGTATTTTGAGAACCCTGGAAGGTTCCGTGGAGAGATTCTCGTGACGCATGCAGATACTCAGACTAGCATGCTGATTGCTCAACTCTACGTTCTCCAAGGCTTCCGCGTCACTACTCTAAAGCAACATGCAACGGACTCCGAAATTAGCCACCTCCCCAACGGCCATTTCAGTATAATCGTCTCTGAGTACAAAGACACGGCAACACTTCACCTCTTATCACGCCTCTTGACGGCTAACGGGAAGACGTTTGCATGGAAGCATCCTACAAAAGGCTTGCAGTCGCTGCTCGCCTGCGACCCGTGGTTAATTGGCCATGCTATTCGTCTTGGATCAAGTGTAGTTGGCAACGCACTCAGGATTCCTATGTGCAACATAAGCGAGCTCGTAACTGTCATGCCTGGCGATCCTGTCCATGTGAAGAAACACCTCTTCAGCGACAAGAAGGCATATCTACTGGTGGGAGGTCTCGGCAGTCTCGGACTTCAGATTGCCCAGTGGATGTACAAGGTCAGTATTATGTCCCTTTCCACCTTGATCATGCTAATTCGGCCAATCAGAATGGGGCTCGGGAAATCGTTCTGACCTCGCGGACTGGGCGCGCTGGAATTCAGCGCAGGGGAGATACTGCGTCTCTGCGCATCATCACATATCTCGAGAGCGTACCTGATTTGAATTTGCGCATTGAGGCGATCGATGCCCTCTGCGAGCCTGACATGAAATCGTTGGTGCAACAACTCCAGAACCCGCTCGGGGGATGCATGCTACTCTCCGTGGTTTTGGCGGATGGTCTCTTTTCTGGGCTATCCGCTGAGAAATTCAATGCGCCATTCCATCCCAAGATTGGAGCCTTCGAGGTGTTATGCAACACAACCGATACAAACAAGCTGGATTTCTTGATTTCATTCTCCTCAGTGTCGGCACTATTTGGGAATGCAGGTCAAACTAACTATGCTGCGTACGTCTTTTGAGCTATGTGCGGTAACTGACTGCTCACGTTCCTCAGAGCAAACACTATATTGGATGGCAGAATGCGCACCATGCCAAACGCATTCTCTATTGTAACTCCTGCAGTCACAGACTCGTTCGTCGCATTGGGTGCAACAAAGCTTAGACACTTGACGGATTGGGGAATGTCATCTCAAAGTAAGTTGCCCTCTGACCAGACTGTGGAACTTGACATCATATTCCATTAGGGGTCCTCCAATTCATCGAGGAAGGCATTCAAAAGCTTGCTGATGGTCCTTTCTGGTTTTATATTCCGGATTTCGACTGGGAAGCTGTCTGTGCCAACCTGGGGAACGCTCCCATGTATGACCACTTATTGCCCGAGCGGACGATTGCGGAAGACGGAGCGTCAACCGCAAAAGACAGTGTTTCGATAAGCGACATATTGTGTGCCACCCTGGACATTGCGCACGAAGATTTGGATCCAGACGTTCCTTTAACGGTTTACGGTCTGGATTCATTATCTGCTGCAAGGCTATCCTTTGCCTTGAACCGCTTCTTCTCCATCAGCCAAACCCAGCTCCTTGCGAACGTGACCCTTCGGAGTCTAGAAGCGCGATTGGAGGACCAGCAGCTGTCCGCCGTCACTGAAGCGGAGCAGAGGAGCGCATCTGCGCTTCACAAGGTATCTGAGATGAGGTCCTTGGTCGCAAAGTACACGTCTGGATTCAAAAGCCCCAAGACGCTGTTGCCTTCCTCTCTCAACTCACGAGACTGTGTTGTTCTCGTAACTGGTACCACAGGAGTCGTGGGTGCAAACCTTCTGGAATGCTTACTCCGTGTACCACAAATCACTCGCATAATTCTCCTCAATCGTACGAAGCCCGGAACTCCGACTATGATGGAACGTCACCAAGAGATTTTCAAGGCACAGTCCCTCGACCCGACAGGACTGGACACAGACAAGGTCGTGTATTTGGAAGGCACTCTGGACAAAGATCACTTTGGGCTGTCGACTGACACATTCAACGAAGTGAGCATTGGTTTTTTTGTACAAATTAGCGATGTTCATCTTGTTTTAGATGGCTCGAAACGTCACCCACATTGTTCACGTTGGTGAGGAAAATTCATACGTTATGTTACATTCATACTGACAAGCCTGTAGCTTGGCCAGTGGACTTTGCGATTCCCCTCGCTGCATTTGAGCACGCTATTCACGGTCTGCGGAACTTGGTGGACTTCGCCATTTCCTCGCCCTGGCAAGTTCCGCCTCAATTGCTTTTCACAAGCACAGTCGGCGTATTAAGTGGTAAAGCACTTTGAATGATTTGAAATACACTAAATCACTGACGTTTTGGCAGGCCTCACATCGTCGAGCCCTGTGGAGGAGGCTCTTGTACATGACCCCAGTATATCTGTTGGTGCGGGGTATATCGAAAGCAAATGGGTTGCAGAGCAGGTTTTGGCAGCGGCTGCTGATGCCACGCGCCTGAAGCCAACAATTATTCGCCTGGGGCAACTAACCGGAGGGCGCAAGGGGTACTGGAAAGTAACGGAATGGATACCATCCATGATCGGATCAGGCCTCTCTCTTGGCGTTTTGCCTAACCGTGTTAATGTGAGTTTTCTTGATTATCACCCGACTATCACTGACCGGTGACTTGTGTAGACTGTAAATTGGCTTCCAGTTGATGTGGCGGCGGCATCGTTGGTTGAGATGTTTGATTCACCCCCTGGCGTGTATCACTTCACACATCCAAGTCCTGTTTCATGGACTATTCCGATGCAGGAAGCTGCTCGCATCATGAATGTTCCATTGGTCCCCTATGCTCAATGGCTCGCTTCTTTGGAGAAACAGGCGTCATCACAAACGTCAAAAACTTTGCAAAACCCTGCGCTGAGGTTACTTGACTTCTTCAGGTACACCACTCGGAGAAAGAACACTACGAACACCGAGAATTTCTTAGAGCCAGAGCTCTCGTGCGCTAAAGCATTGCAAGAATCTTCGACACTACGATCAATGGTCTCGAGCCCACTGGGAGCTCAGGATGTAGCTAAATGGATGGGATACTGGCGCAGCGTTGGCTTTATTACTGTCTGATTCGAAATTATCACCCTCCCGTACTTAGGTAGTTAAGTCTACGGTCCCCATGCTAGTATGTAGCAGTATACGACTGCCGACAAATATAGTTGCGCACAATCGAGGAATCGCGGTGTATCTACGACCTTTTATCGCTCGCTGCTCGAGATGCGATTGAAAATCTCACGGCGGACTTGACGAGTGCCTTTTCAGCAAGGGGTTGTAAAAGGTTGTAAACTGGCACGAAGTTGCTTGCTCGCTCGTCGGTGCCCAACACATCCGAAAAAAATCATCCCTTTAAGTTGCCATGGAGGGTCTTTGTGAGATCGAGTGCAACACAAGGTCCGTGACCGCAACCCACAAGCTCCTCGATTCGCCGACCGAATCACTCTGATCAGTCTGACTACGTCAAAAAAAATCTCACCATCTCAAATTGACGCATAGTCAGACTAGTTACCAGTCTATTATGAGGCCTGGTTAGATCAACCCGTCTTTTCAATCGCCAAGTTCTTCACATCCTTGAATAGATTTGATCCCGGCCCGTCAGTTTTATAGATCTCGAGCAGTGATTCTGTAATGCAATTAACCTTCCGGCCAGCATGAAACGTCATTTCGTGACATTCGAGTTATATTTCCGACAAGCAACGAACAAAATAGTACTTAATTTACGCAAAATAGGTATTGTACTACAACCCATCGTAACGGTCAAAGGCCATCGGATTGCTTTTAAATAACAACGATGATTGAACAGGATTAAATAGCCAGCATCACTTCTACCGTCCTGTTCGCGACCCACAAATTCAAGGTCAAGAATCAGATGCTACGTGAAGGTTAATTAGCCCCCGCAAGAAGTCCCTGCAAGAACTTCACTTGAGCTGTAATGTTCGCCTCGAAGCCCTTATCCCAGCTTCAGAAACATTTGCAGAGGCTATATATCAGATCACATACCTTTCCTCCCTTCATGATCTCAAAATGACCACAAGGGACAACAACAAGTTGTACACCTGGAATTTGGCATTACCAAAATACCCTCGGGTGATGATAAACATAAATCACTCACGTCCGTCAGCGTCGTCCACCATCTTACGCGTTATCGAGGCCGGAATCAGATCGTCTTCTTCGGCCATGACAATCAACATTGGACAACGGGCATCTTTCAGGCGCAATCCAGGACGAACTCCGAGTGCATCGATTACAAAACGGGGTGCAATGAGGTTCGGAGCACCAGAGAAAGGGGTGGAGCCTTGCGCAAACATTGAGGTAAACCCTATGTTCCAGAGATTAGCTATTTGACATTGTGCCCAGGAATTGAATACCTGGTAAGCTTGAAGGGGAGCTCAAGAGTGCGAACTCTCCTGGATTTCCGACAGCACGAACAAAAATCGGACTGAGGCCGAGTCCTTTTCTGGCGCAATCAACGCCCGCCCAAAACAAGAGCCTGAGGTTCGTGGAGGTGCTTGTTAGGGTTGCTTTTGCTGGAATTTATGCGGTTCAATGGAGGCATTGGTAGTACAAAAATGATAATACCATCCAAAATGGGGCAATGCGCCATACCGCCCGCTAGTGCGCCGTCGTTAACCACTAATTCTGCCACCTGAAGTCCACTCGCTGCAGATCCCATCACGACAATTCTATCCGCAAGAAAGTCTTGTGGACGAGAGCGAGCCCAGGACATAACGCTTTGATAATCTTGTAATTGTGATTCGAAATCAACAACGTTGCGCGGTTCTCCTTCAGAATCGCCGAAACCACGATAATCAAAGATAAGGGAGGCCCATCCTGCATCTCGAGCCCAACGCTCCCCGAATGCTGCAAGGCCTGCATCTTTGGTCGCTGTGAGGCTGTATAAATGAAAACGTCAGTTTTGACGAGTCAGAATGATGTTTTGTTTTGAAGCATACCCAGGACCCGCGATAACTACAGGGTGCGGACCATTCCCTGCAGGTCGGTAGTACCAAACATCAAGCCTGACTTGTATGCGAACAAGGCTGGGCACCTTGACCGTTCTCCTTGTAAATGATTCTAGAGAGACCATGATTAGTAACGTTCCTTCGTCATATCATCATGATATATATGTATCAATAGTGGGCCGATGTGGGTGTGGGGACGGAACCCTCATCACGTCAATTTTGCCGAAGTATGTTTAGAATAATACGGTTCAAGAATCAAGGCAGCACGGCCCACCATTGCATCTTGGACACCGGAGCCAGGGGCCCGCGCTTACATGTCAAAGTTTGATTAAACCGTTCGAGTGCACCGCAAAGATATTTAGAGTATCGAGCGCTCGAAAGAGAAGACGGAGGCCGTCATTGAACTGTACACACGTCGTGGCGCAGCCCCAGTCATGTCAGCGTCGGTGTCATGATTGAACACCCCCATCAAGCTCTGCGTAGACGCGGGTTACAGAAGCATTGCCACACCGTACACGGTTGAGCCCCAGATCACTGGACGTTATTCCTGCCTAGTCGGCGTACTAGATCACTGGCTGTGGGAGGAAGAAGTAAAAATCTCGCATGATATGGCTCGTAGGGTTATTTGGAGCCGCGTGATGAGCGCTGAGCGCGTCAAGAAGACCTGCGGGGTAACATTCTCGCGTTCGTTTCCATAGAATGTCGGCCCATACTTGTAAAGAACAGGCAACCCTAGACATACGATGGATGGCGCGTGAACCTGTGAGCTGAAACTTCGGAACACTCATCATTAATCTCGGACACGAGTGCTTGGAACAGACAAAGTCTAAGATAGTGGAAGAAAATAAGAGAGAGAGAGAGAACTTCTATATTTATATACCGCAACAAACAAAGTAAACTGTTAAGACGCGGTGCCCTGTTAGGGCTGTATATTGTAACAGTGTAAGGGGTGGAAGTAAATAAGACATACTGTAGTAACACGACTCGTGAGAACTCATGGAACGGGCAAAAAGTTTTAGAACTCTCCCATCATCAATGTGCAGCTACAACACCAAGTCTATTAGTGCTAATTCAGTAGAAGGAAGTCAGCCGTGCCTACCTTCATCGCCCTGTCCGTGATGCATTCATTGATGGATGGCACATGATACAGTGAGATATCACCAAGAGGTCAACACGCTCCACTCTCAGGGAGGATGAATTCTATTATAACTAACATACACAAAACTCCAGGAAGATGCCCACACCTTCGCCCACCTGCTAGGCTGTAGACAGCTTCAGTCATTATTTTCGCCATGGTTTCAACAGGGATGCCGTTGGACGCCGCTTGTTTACTTGCAATGGCGTTGGAAGGCATTGTATACGGTGAGCATCGAAATGTGTTTATTCGTCATATGCCCACCAACCCAGGGACACCTCTCCAGGCTTCTCAATCCTCATGTTCGTGGGTACCATCTGGTCTTTGACCTACAAGCAGCGCACGCAGGACATCGATCGCCCAATGCTCGCGGTGGCCATCCTGCTGTTGATACTGAGTACCGGGGTTAGCGCTTCTTGCTTCGTACATCTGTTGTCATCTGCTAACTTTCTGCAAGCACATGGTCGCGAACATCATTCGTATGGAAGATGGGCTAGTGAAGTATCGCGACACATACCCAGGCGGGCCAGTGGCATACTTCGCAGACCCTGCCCAGAAAATGCTTGCGATCATGCATGTGTTTTACGTCTTACAAACTCTACTGGCCGATGGGGTAGTGGTGGGTTCATATTCTTATCTGCTGGCTTCGAACCTTCTTGGTTTATGGAAGTTTTCTCGCAAAAGATCTATCGCTGTTATGTTGTGTGGCGATCAGTCTGGATCATTATCCTACCAAGCATGCTGTGGTGCAGCGTCGCAGGTAAGTTTGCAGTCATGTTCACGAAGTTGTGCTCTCTGACGTTGGATCGAAGTGACTGGTGCTGGTGTGATTTACAGCTATTTGCAAGCCACAGGTAACTCCATGGACTTCTACGCCAACTTGCTTGGCGGACCTACACAATGGGTTACGGCATACTTCGCCTCGACTATGGCAACGAATGGATTGAGTTCAGGTAAGCACGTTTCCGTGAGCGCGGCGTAGAGGCCCTGAACGTGTCCAGGATTACTCGCATATCGCATCTGGATGATTGAAAGGAATGTCTCTGGAGCTCGGGCTACGAAGGGCACTTTGATGCCAATAGTGCGCGTGCTCGTAGATGCCGCTGTTTTGTACACTGTAATTCTCGTCATCTCACTAATATGTTTCCTGCTCTCGAACAATGGAATGGCATCCGCAGTGGACATGGTGATTCCGCCCCAAACTCCTGATATCCGAAAGAAAAACTGAATTTTTAACAATTAGATCACGTCGATTATATCGATTGCCTTCTACATGGTCCTTATTCGCATCGCAATCAACAGACAAAATCACACACCCTCGACCAATGAGACGGAACGAAGCAATTTCCGGCGGTATCCTATGCAGGTCCATATATCCAAATATACGTGCAATGACAGTACCTCGGCGTACGGAATAAGGAATGAAGAGCAGCCATCAACATTGAAGGCAGAGTCTAGAAATGGGTCCTTTCAATCATAACTAAACCTGAACGCTATTTATTCCCTAGAGATCTGTTTGGACCTCTAATTTATCATGTATTCATGCACAGACTCAGTTCACGTTGTTTCATCTCCCACGTCGTTCTTTTTGCGTTTACGTTTGAAGGCTTGGAAGGCTGTGAGAGCGCCGGAGCGGGATCTGAACAGGCACGCGAATGACGCATACGCTTCACCCGCCTCCTCCACCAACACCAAAACAGGCGCGTCTTCATCCTGTCCGGCGCAGGCCGTCTCGCCCTCGCCCGTCCGCAACCTCCAGAAGCCTTCGCCTACTGCGCACGCGCTGCACAAGCTCAGCCGCAGACAGGATTTTGCACCATATTTCGTGGTGGAAGAGTGCGGCTTGCCTGTTTTGGGCTTTGGAGGTGGGTTTCTTTCTGTGTGTGTTTCGCTGTTTCCAGGGTTTGGTGTTTGGTTTCTGGTGGACGTTCTTTGGTGGACATTCTATGGGGAGGGAGGGGTGCAGGGTGATATAGGTCGGGTGTGGATCTGTGTATACGCACGATACTGATGTTGGTGTTCTGCAGAGTCGCGGAAAGTAGAGGGATTAACAGCTCGTTCCAGTGCTGGTGGTGTAACACGACATTGCCCAGACGTAAACCTATCCCCCGGAACATCAAATGAATACCGGGATAAAGTTCGAAATCAGATTTATACATATCGCACAGCAAGTCTATTAGTAGAAGTCAGTCGCTCCTACATTCATCGCCCTGTCTGTGATTGATGGCATCATGGTACAGCGATATCACCAAGAGATTCATCAACACACACCATATCAGCCTGAGTGATGATGGATTCTATATAACGACGTACACAAAACTTCAGGAAGACTCGGATGCCCACGCCTTCGCACATCTGCTAGGCTTTAGACAGCTTAAGTCATTATTTTCGCCATGGGTTCAGTAGAAATGCCATTGGATGCCGCTTGTTTACTGGCAGTGATACTGGAAGGCATTGCATACGGTGAGCATTGAAAATGTGTTTGTTCGTCCTATGGTCAACGAGCTAGGAGCACATCTCCAGGCTTCTCAATCCTCATGTTCATGGGTACCATCTGGTCTTTGACATACAAGCAGCGCATGCAGGACATCAATCGTCCAATGCTCGCGGTGGCCATCCTGCTATTGATACTGAGTACTGGGGTTAGCGCTTCTTGTTTCTTATATCTGGTGCCGTCAACTAACTTTCTGCAAGCACATCGTCGCGAACATCGTTCGTATGGAAGATGGGCTAGTGAAGTATCGCGACACATACCCAGGCGGGCCAGTGGCATACTTGGCAGACCCTACCCAGAAATCGCTTGCAATTATGCATGCGTTTTACCTCTTGCAAACTCTACTGGCTGATGGGGTAGTGGTGGGTTCATATTTATATCTGCCAGGTTCAAACCTGCTTGGCTTATGTTTCGTAAAAGATTTATCGCTGTTATGTTGTGTGGCAATCAGTCTGGATCATTATCCTACCAAGCCTGCTGTGGTGCAGCGTCGCAGGTTAGTTTGCAGTCATGCTCACGAAGTCGTGCTCTCTGACGTTGGATCAAAGTGACTGGTTCTGGTGTGGTCTACAGCTATTTGCAAGTCGCAAATTACTCCGGAGACTTCTTCTCCAACGTACTTGGCGGGCCTGCAAAGTGGGTTACGGCGTTCTTCGCCTCGACTATGGCAACAAATGGATTGAGTTCAGGTAAGCACGTTTCCGTGAGTGCGATGTCGAGACCCTGAATGTGTCCAGGATTACTCGCATATCGCATCTGGATGGTTGAACGGAATGTTTCTACAGCTCGCGGAGCAAATGGCAATAGTATGATGCCAATAGTGCGCGTGCTTGTGGACGCCGCTATTTTGTATACTGTGGTCCTTGTCATCACACTAATACTTTTCGTGCTCTCGAACAATGGAGAGCAACCTGTGCTGGACATGGTGATTCCGCCCCAAACTCCTCGTATCCGAAAAGACGAGCTGATTTTAAACAACTAGATCTCGTCGATCATATCGATTGCCTTCTACATGGTCCTTATACGCATTGCAATCAACAGACAAAATTGCACTCCCTCGACCAATGAGACGGAACTAAGCACTTTCCAGCAGAATCCTATGCAGGTCGATATATCCAAATATACGCGCAATAACGGTACCCCAGCATACGGAATAGGGAATGAAGACCAATCATCGACATTGAAGGAGAAGTCTAGAAATGTGCCCTCCCAATCATAACCAAACCTCAACGCTATTTATTCCCTAGAGATATGTTTGGACCTCTAATTTATCATGTATTCATGCACAGACTCACTTCGCATTGTTGTATCTCACCGTTTAATTGTAGTTATACTCCCCGGTTGCTGGAAAGCGACTGAAGTCTCTCCGACAAAACTTGTCCGACATCACAATCTCGTAGATATCCCATGAGCAGTATCGGGTTTTCAGACTTTGAGGTGAGTCAATCTGAATGTTTCAAGAATGTGGTCTATGCGGAGGCAGCGGAGCTCACCAACCCTATTGCACCTGCTGCAGTCCACTATCTCTCAAGGTAGGATGCTATCAACATGAGGAGAGAGGGGCTAGTAAAGCGTATCATAAGGCCGCAGCCACTTCGCAAGGGTCACGGAACATGTTAGAATGTTCCAACAACGCTGTGGCGGACTGCCACAAAATTTCATGGATATTGGTTTATCTATATACGCTCAAGACGAACAACACCAACGATTCGATCAAGATACAACAATTGTCATTTGACTTACTGAGATCGCGATTCTGCTCGTTTTAGTTAGAGAAACCACCTCTCAGAAGCGAGGACCCTGGATCTGGCGTGGGCGCAGATTCAATTTCAAACACAAGGCCAACAGCGCCGCCTCTCAGCGCCTGTTCCGAGTGCGTACCACAGTGCCAAGTGTAGCGACTTCGAAAGCTGATGCCATCACGTTAGTGGTGCAGATCAAGATGTCCATCCTATAGCTGCATTGCACAGCAGGTCTATTAGTAGAAGGAAGTCAGACGTTTCTACCTTCATCGCCCTTTTCGTGATGACATCATGATGCGCCCACAGTGTTCATGACTCGGATAACATATGAGACAGCGAGATACCACGAAGATATCAATCAGCACACTCCGATATCAGGGAGGATGGATTTTATATAACAACATACACAAGACTCCAGGAAGATGCCCACACCTTCGCAAATCTGCTAGGCTGTAGATAGCTTCGCCATGGTTTCAGTAGGGATGTCGTTGGACGCCGCTTGTTTACTGGCAATGGCACTGGAAGGCATTTTCTATGGTGAGCATCGAAATGTGTTTGTTCGTCCTATGTTCACCAACCTAGGGACACCCCTCCAGGCTTCTCAATCCTCATGTTCGTGGGTACCATCTGGACTTTGACCTACAAACAGCGCGCGCAGGACATCAACCGCCCAATGATCGTGGTGGCCATCCTGCTGTTGATATTTAGTACCGCGGTTAGCGCTTCTTGCTTCTTACATCTGTTATCATCTGCTAAGTTTCTGGAAGCATATCATCGTGAACATCATTCATGTTGAACATGGGCTAGTGACGTATCGCGACACGTACCCAGGTGGGCCAGTGGCATTCTTCGCAGACCCTGCCCAGAAAACGCTTGCGATGCTGCATGTGTTTTACTTCTTACAAACTCTACTGGCTGATGGGGTAGTGGTGGGTTCATGTTTTTATCCGCCAGCTTCAAACCTGCTTGGCTTATAGATGTTTTTTTTTCGTAAAAGATCTATCGCTGTTATGTTGTGTGGCAATCAGTTTGGATCATCATCCTACCAAGCCTTCTGTGGTGCAGCGTCGTAGGTTAGTTTGCAGTCATGCTCACGAAGTCGTGCTCTCTGACGTCGCATCGAAGTGACTGGTATTTGTGTGATCTACAGCTATTTGCAAGTCACAAGCAGCTCCATGGACTTCTTCGCCAACTTGCTTGGCGGGCCTGCACACTGGGTCACGGCATACTTCGCCTCGACTATGGCAACGAATGGATTGAGTTCAGGTAAGCACGTTTCCGTGAGCGCGATGACGAGGCTCTGAACGTGTCCAGGATTACTCGCATATCGCATCTGGATGATTGAACGGAATGTCTCTGCAACTCGCGCTACGAAGGGCACTATGATGCCAATAGTGCGCGTGCTTCTGGATGCCGCTGTTTTGTACACTGTGGTTCTCGTCATCGCACTAATATGTTTCCTGTGCTCGAACACTGGAGAGCAAGCCGCGGTGGACATGGTGATTCCGCCCCAAACATCTGGTATCCCAAAAGAAAAGCTGATTTTTTTGAACAACTAGATCACGCCGATCATATCGATTGCCTTCTACATGGTCCTTATTCGCATCGCAATCAACAGACAAAATCGCACTTATACCTCGACCAATGAGACGGAACAAAGTGCTTTGGAGCAGTGTCCTATGCAGGTCCACATATCCACATATGCGCACGATGACAGTACACCAGCGTACGGAATAGGAAATGAGGACCGGTCATCAACATTGAAAGCGGAGCCTTGAAATGGGTCCTTGCAATCATATTCAAACCCGAACGCCATGTATTTCAGGCTTTTCGTCAGAGATCTGTTTGCGCTTCTAATTTCACATGTATTTATACACGGGCTCGTTCACGTTGTTCTATCTCACCGTTTAATTATAGTTCTATTCCTCGGTTTCTGGAAAGTGACTGAAATTTCTCCGACATCTAATGGTGCACTTGTCAAGTGGCACGTGGATTGGGGTCCTCAGTGGCTACGACTTATCATCAATTCAATGTGATAGGCCTAGCGGCGACGAGCGCACAGGAACCGTGCCATTCATGGAAACTGACATGCGAGGAAGACGCCATCGAAGACAAAGTGCCACACTTGGACCGACGCCATACTGGTTCGTTCGTCTGGGTCCTCGTCTGGGTTTTTCTGAGGTGTAAGGATGGCAAGTTGCGATTATGCTCGATAGAAGGATCAAAGCAGCGCTGGGGGTAAGAGTGGCGACATCGAAGTCTAGTGCATAATGATAATGGTAGTGCCGCGGAGCCTAGACAGGCCGCCGCGCCCCTAGCCTTCGCAAGGGTGACGGAACGGGTTGGAATGTTCCAACAACGATACGGATGGACGGCTAAAAATTTCACGGGCGTTCATTTAGCCATTAGTACATACCCAAGACCCACAACGGCATTAATGCGGATGCTCGTAGCCTCCTAGACCAGGAAGAATTGACAATTTTGACTCACTGAAGTCGGGATTCTGCTCGTTAGAGAGATCACAGTGGCGCTGTAGGCAAGGGTAGCAGCTTCGACATCTGATGGGCCATCATGTTAGCGATGCAGATCATACCTGCAAATTTGATTCCTCTGTCAGTGGTATCAGACGCTAAACAAAAGAACAAGGTTGCGATTATGTTCGTTGGAGAAACCACGGCGGCGCCACGGTGGCGACGTCAAGACTTGATGCTGTTTCACTTTATTGGACCCAGTACATTCAGTGGGTCGAGACTCGACAGCGACATTTATCATTACGCGAAGCAGTGTGCCTAGCCACGCTCGGCGAGCATGCAGAAGGGAAGAAGCTGGAGCGTGACCAAGGGCTGAGGCACAAAAAACGCGGGGAAGAGTATTCTTGTCGAGGTAAGTTCTTCGGTTTCATTTCCTTGCTTCACACCGCCCACCACCACCCATTCCTATCACCAAACCCATCCCCATCCGAGCCCAGAACCCAACGCCAACAAAACACGGAAATCATAGAGCTTGCCTACGTATTCCACGCGATCTTCCATGCGCCTAGGGAGGTTATTCCGAGGGAGATGATTCCTGCTGTTGGTGGTGCCTTGAGAAATTGGGATTGGTGCTTTCGTCGGAAAAGAGTGAATGATTTCTTTCGTCTGGGACAGTGGGAAGGCGAGTGGGGTTGAAAAAGCAAAGGACAAGAAGCTGGAGTCAAGGAGTGGGTATTGGGATGGTGTCTATGTTGCACGATTCCATCGGACGCCTTCCACACATCTTCACACGATGCAGGCCCGCCAAAATAATCGGGACTGCTTTACCGGCCGTGTATCATAAACGATTCAGTCCCAGCTGCGTATGGCAATGATTACAGCCTGATGACTTAACGCGGGCGCCTTCGACTTCGGGGGGCTGAAGTGGAAGGGAAAATGACACACTCATATGAAGAACTACAAAGGCTGAACGATGAGGCAGAAAATCACAGGGAAGAGTATTCCCGTCGCCGCCGAGGTGTGTTAATTTTTGGTGTTCTTATTATTTCAGACGACGCTGACACTTTCCCAGCATTGCCCAGCTAGCATCCGTGTACGGTCACTACTCACGTCTCGTCAAGTCCAGGCATTGAATTCATCGCATGTTAGCAGAGAAACAAAAGGTCTGTACCAAAACACAAATCCGCAATGAACCCGCATTCGTTTAATGGTTGCGAGAACATCGGTAGGCTTCGTGCCCGCATGGGTCAACAGCTCGTTCCAGTGCTAGTGATGTAACCTTGCCTGACCGTGCCTTGAATGTGAGTTTTCTTGATTGCCATCCGACTATCACCGACCAGTGACTTTTGTAGAATGTAAATTGGCTTCCAGTTGGTGTGGAGACGGCATCGATGGTGGAGAAATTTGATACACCCCCTGGCGTGTATCACTTCACACATACAAGTCCTGTTTCATAGACTATTCGCATCATGATGTTCCATTGGTCCCCCCTATACTTAATTACTCGCTTCTTTGCAGAAACAAGCGTCATCACAAATGTCAAAATTTTTGCAAAACAATCCTGCGCTGAGGTTACTTGACTTCTTCAGGTATACCACTCGGAGAAGGAATCTTACTACGAACACCGAGGATCTCTTAGAGCCGGAGCTCTCGTGCGCTGAGGTAATCTCCAACACTGCGCTCAATGGTCTCAAGCCCACTGCTGGAGCTCGGGATGTAGCTAAATGGATGGGACAGACCGCGTGTATCGTAGCGAACGTGTCCGAGTCAGAACACCAGACGGTGAACATGAGTCAAGAGCTCACCCCAGTGAGCTTGAGAACTACGAGTAACGTAGTCAAGGTTGGCTCCTTATTAATGTCTTGAACGGATATTAATGTCATGTAGTCACCAATCCGAGGAACCATATTATATGGTTACAGTAACATTGCCATACGGGGAGGTCCCAGATCATTGGACGTTATTCCTGCCTAGTACATATGTGTGCTAGATCACTATAGAGCTGTGTGAGGAAGACGTAAAAATCTCGTATGATATGGCGCGCCGCGTGATGAGCGCTGTGTATCCAACACCATGCTGTGGCTTCGCGCGTCAAGAGGACGTGCGGAGTAGATTCAGATATCGTTAATTTCCATAGAATGGCGGTGCATACTTGCAAAGAACCACTGCAGGCCCTCTATCCTCGAGAACACACAACATAGTGGAAGTAAATAAGACATGTAGCAACAAGTCAACCGTAACTCGTGGGAACTCATAGAGCAAGCAACTTGAACTCTCTCATCATCGGCATGCAATTTGAAACCCGCTCCACTCAACACCCCACCAGCGTAATGACCACCCTGCAGCTGCAAGGCGTAGCAGATTAATTTAGTAAAAGGAAGTCAGTCGTTCCTATCTTCATCGCCCTTGTCCGTGATGCATTGAGCGATGGCACATGGTCCAGTGAGATATTACCAAAGAGATCAACACGCCTCGCGGATGGATTCTATATAACGACATACACCAAACTCCAGGAAGATACCCACACATTCGCACTGTAGACAGCCTTGACCATTATTTTCACCATGGTTTCAGTAGGGATGCCGTTGGATGCCGCTTGTTTGCTGGCAGTCGCACTGGAAGGCATTGTATACGGTGAGCATCGAAATGTGTTTGTTCGTCATATGTCCACCAAGCTAGGAACACCTCTCCAGGCTTCTCAGTCCTCATGTTTATGGGTACCATCTGGTCTTTGACCTACAAACAGCGCGTGCGGGGTATCAATCGCCCGATGCTCGCGGTGGCCATCCTGCTGTTGGTATTTAGTACCGCGGTTAGCGCTTCTTGTTTCTTACATCTGTTATCATCTGCTAACTTTCTGCCAGCACATCATCGCAAACATCATTCGTGCTGAAGATGGGCTAGTCAAATATGGCGTCACATTCCCAGGTGGACCAGCGGCATGGTTCGCAGACCCTAGCCAGAAAACGCTTGCGGTCCTGCATGCGTTTTATGTCTTACAAACTTTACTGGCTGATGGGGTAGTGGTGGGTTCATGTTGTTATCTGCCAGCTTCAAACCTTCTTGGCTCATAGAAGTTTTTTTTTCGTCAAAGATCTATCGCTGTTATGTTGTGTGGCGATCACTCTGGATCATTATCCTACCAAGCCTGCTATGGTGCAGTGTCGCAGGTTAGTTTGCAGTCATGCTCACGAAGTCGTGCTCTCTGACGTTGCATCGAAGTGACTGGTTCTTGTGTGATCTACAGCTATTTACAAGTCTCAAGTACCTCTGGAGACTTCTTCGCCGCCGTGCTTGGCGGACCTACTCATTGGGTCACGGCATTCTTCGCCTCGACGATGGCAACGAATGGATTGAGTTCAGGTAAGTACGTTTCCGTGAGCGCGATGACGAGGCTCTGAACGTGTCCAGGATTACTCGCATATCGCATCTGGATGATTGAACGGAATGTTTCTGCAACTCGCACTACGAAGGGCAATATAATGCCAATAGTGCGCGTGCTTTTGGATGCCGCTGTTTTGTACACTGTGGTTCTCTTCATCGCACTGATATGTTTCCTGCTCTCGAACAATGGAGAGGAACCCGCAGTAGACTTGGTGATTCCGCCCCAAACACCTGTTATCCGAAAAGCAAAGCTAATGTTTTCTGAATAACTAGATCACGCCAATCATATCGATTACCTTCTACATGGTCCTTATTCGCATCGCAATCAACAGAGATAATCGCACACATACCTCGACCAATGAGACGAAACTAAGCACTTTGCAGCAGTATCCTATGCAGGTTCACATTTCCAAATATACGAGCGATGACGGTACCCAGGCATACGGGGTAGGGAATGAAGACCAGCCATCGACATTGAAGGAGGGGTTTAGAAATAGCTCCCCGCAACCGTGACCAAATATATGAACATCATGTATTTCAGGCTTTTCCCCAGAGATATGTTTGGACTTATAATTTGTATTCACACGGGTCATTCACGTTGTTCTATCTCACTGTTTAATTATAGTTCTATTCCCCAGTTTCTGGAAAGTGACTGAAGTCTCTCCGACAAAACTTGTCATTACAATTTCGCAGATATCCCATCAGCGTTATCAAGTTTTCAGACCTGAAGGTGAGTAAATCTGAATCTTTCAAGAATGCGCCCTGTGTGGTTGCCACCTCACAGGTATTCAATCCCCTTAAGAGTCTAGACTGGCGATACCGTCAATCATTGCAAAAAGGTGTCATGTTTTGAGTGCGTCCATCGTAATGTTAAATCTATGGCCTGATATTTTTTCGTGGGCTTAGTGGTCGTTCACGAGGAATTCAAAGAAATGGATGAATTAAACATGTTAGGCGGCACCGACTTGGTCGGCCAGTGCGGCAGGGTAGTGCTCTTGTGAAGAAGCTATGATATTTCCTTAGGTGAAGGAAATAGCAAGGAGAGAGCGACCTTTTGAACAAACTCATAATTGATAAGCCCCGCCGCTCAAGCTGCTCGACATGCATAGCGGCATTTACCGCGTCCCATTGGCGGTGCATTGCATGATAGATGATGCATATGAAACACCAGGCTATGCCCACTACCAAACTAAGCGAAGTTTGTCCATTTCAAGGACCGGAAGAATCCGAAGGAGGTTCGAGAAGACTACTTGGCACCATGGCTATGTAGCATTACATATAGATCGATTCAATGGTACTAGTCGGCGTTTGGTCCTTCGAAGAATCGCGCACATGATATGATAATAGGATGGGCGCCGAGTTGAGAACCCCAAGTAGGTCCAATCCATGATGCATGATGGCAACAGCTGATCTGAGTCACAGCACGCACTCTGATCTCACAGCATTTTCGAATCGGATAACATTCACATGATTGAAAACCGGTGCGTGAGAGGAAAAGGGTTTGGGGCTCATCACCGCACAACAATGATATCGATTAGTATGGTGAGTCCGTTGATCACAGCATACTAGGAAGTTCGTTTCATTGGGCGAGCCCTTTTATAGACAGTATATAATTGTAGCAGCCTCAGCTTCAGCTTCGATCGCTGACGCAACCCTACTATCGACTCAGATGGCTAATATCCTTGCTCGTTACGATTTAGAACAGTTCAAATGGAAGCCTTTCAAAGGTGAAGGCGCCCGAAATGGATGCGCTCGCCCTCTTGGAGGCGTTGAGCATGTCCAGGATATCATGAACCGCCATCTCAAGGGTGACCAAACGTTGTTCTTCGGAGTCATTGTTGACCTGCACAAGCCCGTGAGCATCACCAAGCTCGGTTCTTCCGCTCAAGAATGCTGGTGCTGGCTCCGGTTCCAAATTCCTACCGTTGCGTCATCCATAAATGGATCTGATCATGAGCTGCCCACGTTAACCTATACAACCGCAAGTCCGCAAGAGATTAGCCGGTGGGCGGAGCGCACTCTCATTGTCCATTCACCCTCACATATCGACCTTGAACAATTGCGGGCCAACGAGGGTCCAAAGAAGATCCCTTCGTCTGACGGAGATCATACATGGTTGCACCTTGTCCCTGGCGAAATTGCCAACGACAGAGTCTCCAAATTTGGTCTGCTGTTCCACACCCATCACTCACCGTTTGATGGCGCGGGCTTAAAGATCGTCACAAATCGCTATCTCACACAATTGGCGAATGTGCTCTCTGACTCCTACAGCGCGCCCGAAGTTCTTGAATGGGGAAATGAGCTGGGAAATCTCCCTCCGGCAGCCTACAACATCCTAAACTCCAACGAACCCCTTCCTATTTCACCAGACTCGCCGGAGGAACCTTCCTTTGACAACGAGTACTACAAGTCCTTTGGAACTGTTCTCGCTGGCTTCGGCGCCGCGGCGAAGGTGCCATTCATTTTCTCTTTCGATTTGTTCCTGGCTTATTCCTGAACATGAAGGACACATACGGATTTAGAGATCGCCCAAAAGACACAGAGTGGCCGACGACGCGTCGCGCCGAAGTCCTCTTCACGAAGGAAGAATCAGAAAGAATTCAAAGTGCCTCGAAGGTCTCTGGGTTCACACTTACACACCTTGGTATGTAGCTGCTTCCCCTCCATCGGCATATCGGATTGAGAATCTACCAGCCCATGCTGCGTTAGCAATGGTCGTCATAGCTGATAATCCACCCACTTCGGCGTCTTCTTCCCACTACTTGAACAACGTGTCTATGGCGAATTTCCGAGGACGGTTGGATCCAATCAACTCGCTGCATCCAGGCTATATCCTTGGTGTTTTAATGGCCAGGATTCCGGTGTCAGCATTCTTGGCCCCAGACGGAAGTGTCTTCCCATTAGATAAGGACCTACTTCTACAGGTGGCAGCTATAGCCAAGGAACAGTATCGAGCCCACACAGAATTGCCCGCTGCGTTGAGTTGCATGCCGCAGGTTGGTGAAGTATTCGCCTCGGCCTATGTGCCAGCTGCATCTGCAAACATGTACGTGCGGTGTACGAATCATTTATGTTTGTTCATGTCATAGCAGGCTGCCATCCAACCAGTGTTACTCATTTTCCAGTGACGGCAAAGGAGAAAACTACATGAATCACACTTTTGCGGATGACAATGGGAAACCCCTCCTTTCGATTGCCAAGTTCTTTACATCTTTGAATAGATTTGATCCCGGCCCGTGAGTTTTATAAATCTCAATGGTTTTGTAAGATAATTAACTAGAACACTTAGATTCTTTCGTCTCTCCTCTTGGGGGGGCGTGATCGATCTGGGTGCTGATTACAATTCTAATATTGTGACGACGGAGGATATGATGAATTACTTGAATCTATGGAAGAGCTTTTTACTTCTGGTCCTTGACTAACACTTGTAACTGAATATTAACGATATCCTGCCTTCATTGCCATGTTATATCATTAGGAACTAGATGAGCAATATGACTTGAAAACGGCCCCCAGGGATGAAGGAATTGCAATGAGTATCAAATGTCCCACTAGAATTATTAAGAGAGTGGGCACTTAAGCATTCTGCGCCGATGTGACTCAGTGAGAAAATTTACATGACAGAGGTAAAGATATGGTACCAGTGAGGATTTATGATGCAGACACCTTGAATGTTAGGTATCTATCTTCAAATTTAGTCTAGAACGTGGAAGTGCAAATGTATCAACCGCCCGATATACGACAATATCAGCTTCGATGTTATTCGAGTTTTGATGACACTGGGAGATCCATGCGTGTGCGAGATCATGTGTGCGGACCATCTAGGGATGCATTGATTGAGTGCATGGACATGCGTCTATGATCTAAGTGACAATTTGAATGCGATCTCCAAAGGACGTATTGACATGGCAAATAACACTGGAACAAGACGGCTTGTAATTATAACACGTCGACAGAACCAGGAAGTAAGTTTGGAGCGACAGACTCCATGTTCGCCTGGAGCCATTCCTCGAATGTAGTTTTTTCGTCTGTATCCGGGGGGGAATGATAGAGTGTATGAAGGCATTTTCTCGCAAGCTTCCAGCTAGTAGATTTGTGCGATAACGAGGGTTCGACCTTGGGGTCAAGTTTCTCACTCCGGAACTGTCGCTGAAAGTCAGACTTTATCTGCCTGCATCTAATTACGTCCACTTTGAGCCAGTCGTCGAGCAATCTGCCCTCCCTCAGATGCAGGAGCTTGCCGCCACTATAGCGAAGACAGATCCAGACGAGGACCCAGATGAACGATTCAGCATCGTGCCGGTACAAGTGTGAGACATTGCCATCGATGGCGTCTTTCTCGAGCAGGTCAAGTGCCATGAATGGTACGGTTCCTGTGCGTTCGTTGCCGGTAGGCCCCTCGTGTAGAGTCGATGATAAGTCGTAGTCATTGAGGACCCCAATCCATTTGCCATTTAACTTGTACACCATGAGATTATTTGGACTGACGTCACGGTGATGGACATCGTTCTTCCAGAGGGCATAATGACCTGTCAGCGCAGTGAGAGATCATAAAGAACACAATAAAATCATACTTACAGAGTACTGCTTGCCACCATGCGCTGAGGAACTCGTCCCCGCTCAACATCGTAATTGGGAATGGCTTTTTGGACACAGTGTATATGCGGCTGCCTTGTTCAATTCCTGGCACTCTGATTTTCTTCGTAGATTTCTCTTCAACCTTGTGGCACCAGACCATCGCTGGGCCGTGAGGCTGGCTTTCTGCCATCTTTTACTACATCTCTTCTATTATATCAGGCTCTTGAACATGACTCGATGAAATACGCACAACTTGACAGTTACGTGGTCTTCCAAGTGAGTGGTTTGAAGCAGAACCACGTCTGTTAGTAGGATGCGTGTCACTTGAAGCACGAGCTGGGGATAGCCAATTGGTCGTCGGAGTTATCAACAGGGACGACTGCTTCCTTCTTGATGAATGTGTGGCTAGCGAAAACTAGTAGGTGGCCGACGTGCACAACTCTTGGTGTAGCCGCTGCGGGACGTTATGATTTTCTCAGATGAGCGTTAGCATGGAGTAACACGCCGACCACGATGACATGTCATTGTCATCGTAGATCATCGATGATCGTCCCAAGAAGCTCTACGTACCATATGGGCTAGATGGTCATATTCGTGTGGTATCTGACAAAGTAGCAAAAGCTAAAGAGTAAACTCTACAAGATTGTGCTACTTCGCATTCTGCATGACATCGAGATATCTACAAGATTATGCGTGCAGGTCGTCTAGGGATGCAGTAACAACAACATCAACAGGATGGTCAAGTATAATGCCTGGAGCGACGGACTGTACGTGCTCCAGGAGCCATATCCGGAATATAAATTCGTCGTCTTTTTTTTTTTTTTTTTTTTTTTTTTTTTTTTCCAAATTTATGTCCTGTTGGGGTAGTCTACCCTATGTAGGACATTACTAACTAGGGGGGAAGGGGAACACCTGTGTTCCCCACCGCGTCTCAGATTAATGTGAATGCCCCGATGTTTTAACATCGGTCCTCCGTTCCTGCCGGCAGTTTTAGACGCCCTAATCAATTACTCCACGGGGCCTTGTGAGTGTCTGTGCGTGAGTGTAATTTGTGTCGCTGGCGTGAGTCTTGTAGATGTGACATGTACTCGGATCGCCGGAGCGTTCGTGTACGAAGGGAGTTATGGATAGCGGTAGTGAGGGTAGAAGATGTGTCGGGATGAATGATCGTCCAGCGCATGATGTGAACTTCCTGCGAATGATCCTTCAATGTCTCTTTGCCTCCTTCTGCCGACTGAAATCCTTTTGTACCGGAGGTTAGGTCCGGGTTCCTTTCGACGGCGAGTGTTGATAAATATATAAATATAATATATTGCGAGTGTCATTGATGGGGCATGTGAGTCTGTGCGTTGGATCTATCTGTGCATTGATCATTATATTTCTTATTGAGATGAGGGAGGGACGTCACCAAATGAGGATTTCAACCTTCCTGTGCTGTTCACGAACTTGATGAGCGGACTGGTAGCTTTGGCGTTACTTAGCAGGTACGGGATAGATGCGGCGTTTCGTTTCAGTGTGTTCGCGAGTAAGAAGTGTTCACGGGCGTATTGCGGGCAATCGAGCAGAAAGTGCTTGACCGTCTCCTTAATCCCTGCGCAGTGAGGACAGTTTGCTGAGGGACTTCTCCCTATACAGTGGAGGTGAAGGTTGAGGGATATATGGTTCGTGCGGAGCCATAGGATAAGGCCAATGTGGCGTTTTGGCAAGTGTTTGACTAGGGAGATGAACGAACCAGACAAGGTACGTGGGTCGATACGTGATGCGTGTTCAAAACGGGGTGATTGGCTCCACGAGCGGGCCCAGCGCTCAACGGATTCCTGCCTCTGAGCTTGTTTTAGAGCAGAGATACTGCTAGGCATTATCCCCTTGCGCAAGTAGGGGGGTAGACGCTCTCGTGGACTGTTTTCTGCGCTGCTCCTTGCGGCTTTTTTCGCTTCTTCGTCCACTGCTTCATTCCCTGCTACCCCATCATGTCCTGAAATCCATCTGACGGCGACCCCAAATCTCCTGTCTCCTCTGTTGGCTCTCTTCAGTTTAGCTATTGATCTGCGAAAGTGGTCGATCAGGTAGTGACTGGGCTTAGTGGTGAAGAGGTCACCAGCTTTGATCGTCGCTTGATTATCCACATAGATCGATACTGGGAATACAATATCTTCCTCCTCCACTAGTAACTGCGCTGCCAATGTCAAACCTACCGCCTCCGCCTCGTAAACGGTGTGCTCGTCCAGAGAGCCTAAGTGGAATCTAAGGATATGAGGTGAGGGTCTTCCCGTGCGAAAGAGTGCCGCTGCTGCCCCCGCGTTGCCTTCCAGTCCTGATCCGTCGCAGTAGATTTTGATGTCGTCTTGATTCTCATTGTGGTCCCGTACAGCGTCTTCTTGTGAGTTGGCGATCGAAGTGGAGTACGGTGCTGAGGTGTTAGGGGGGCGACGGCTATGGGTGATGGTCTCGACGGTGTCGACGTCGAGTGCTGAGGCACGATAGAGGTGGTGGAGGGACGAACGATGTCGTTGAACGAATCTTTTGGCTGCGCGTCGTACTGGGTGATGTAGCGGGTGTGATGGGGGGTGAGCAGCTAGTCTGATTGCCGCTTGGTAGCATAAGTTCTGCATGCGGTGTTCGATGGGTAATAGTTTCGCGTGAACTTCTAGAGTGTCAGTGGCTGTTGAACGCATAGCACCTGTAATACTCAGCGCGGCTATTCTTTGAACCCGTCCTATACGTCTCGCTACTCCAATGGATCCTTTCTGCTTCGTGTCTGAGTTGCCGATGAATAGCGGCTTGAACCATAAGTCGACTGCATACAGCATTTTAGGTACTGCGACTGCCAGATAGATTTGTCGCATCAGTGATAGAGGAATACCGGTGGACGTGGAGGAAAGGCGACGTAGCTGGAACACGTAAGTGGTACCTTTCGCGATAGCGTAAGCGATGTGAGGCTGCCATCTGAGCGCTTGATCCAGAATAACTCCTAGAAATTTGTGAGTGGTTGTTGGTGTTATCGTGGTGCCGCGTGTGATGAGCGGTGGGCGTTCTTTGGTAGAGTTCATGGAAAAATCCACGAGCGCGAATTTTGACGTCTCGAACTTCGAGTTATGGTCTAGGGCCCATTCATACCCGCCGCCAGTTCTCTCTAGCATGTTCTTAAGGGTGGCGTGTGTTTCGTGGAAGGACTTTCCGATAGCTAGGAATGCTGTGTCGTCGACGAATGCGAGGGTGCGCTCCTTCTTCTCGTGTCCTATGGCGATGTCTACTAAGTCTGAGTCGTATATGATGTATAAGATCATGGAGAGCGGGTCTCCTTGTCCGATGCCGTTGGTTATGGGAATCCAGTCCGATAGATGGCCATCGAACTTCAATTGAGTACGTCTTCCTGTCAAGAGACGTTCTGTGAAACCGATTAGCGAGTCAGGGAGTTTACGGCTACGCATATTATGAATTAAACGGTCAGTAACTGCATTTGGAAAGGCCCCTTCTATGTCTAAAAAGAGAGCGGACACAACGTTACCTTGGCGCCATGCGTCTTTCACGGTGGCCTCGAGAAGATGGAGTGAGTCTGTTGTTGAACGACCTGGGCGTCCCCCAAAGTGGGTGTTGGGTAGGAGGTTGTAGTGTTCCAAGACGAATGTCAGCTGATCGGCCACTACCGCTGTCAATAGTTTACAGGTAGTATTGAGAAGTGCGATCGGTCGATAGGCTTTAGTCACTGAGTAGTCCGGTTTCCCGGGCTTACGTAATACCACGGTCGTGAAGTCCCTCCATGGGGCGTAGTAGGTCTTGAGGGTGTAAACTGCTCTAAAAAGGGGGAGTAGATAGGGTATTAGCAAGGAGGCGCAGCGGATGAAGATAATGTTGCAAAGGCCGTCTGGGCCTGGGGCCTTATAGGGCCCCAATTTTGAAATACTTCTCTTGATTTGATCGGCTGTGATTGGCGCTGGTGTGGGGACGGCTTCTGGGTAAATCGGGTCCGGTGGCACGGATGAGATGGGTGGGGGCGGGGGGAAGAAAGTGTGCGCTAGTGCAGCGCTCTTCTCTTCGTTGGTCTCTGCCGTCCCTCCTCCGGGTTTGTTCAGTGTTGGGATGCGGGACATGCCACCATCCCCCGAGGCGGCCGTTAGATAGTTGCTAGCCACCCATATCTCATTTCCCTTAATGTCCTCCAGCCACTCCACCCAGTGATCTTTCTTGGTCTTCTTGATGAGCTCGGAATATTGGTTGCGTTTGATGCGATGGTCGTTGTGGCTAGGGTGGAGAGGAGTATCTCTATAGCGGTATGATAAGTGACTTAACTTTGCGACTTTGCGTCTCATCTTCGTTAAGTCGTGATTCCACCATCGTTTGGCGTGGGGGTTGGGTTTTGATGTGGGTACGAGCCGTTTGACTAAGTCTTGAATGGTGGATGTTAGATCGAAGGCGGCCTTCTGAAAATCTGCGTCAGATACTAGTGGTTGAGGAGCGGGAATCTTAGCCAGGTCAATTTCAAGCTGCTCGTTGAATTTCTCCCAGTCGACTTCTCGATAGTTATGCTTTATTTCCTTAGTGGCTTGGGGAACGGCGAGTTCAAGGATACTTAAGATTGGAACATGGTCAGTGGCCGGTCCTCTCAGCGCTGGGTTGGTTAGACAGCTGACGAAGGATTCTTCTGTGTGATCCGTACAGAAGACATTGTCTGGGCGTGACCATTTCTTGGTGGTGGATAGTTGCAGTGTAGGTAGTCCCTTCGGTAGCATCATGATCATATTGTGGTCGGCTAATAAGTCGAGGAGGGGTTGCGCTGCATCTAAATAACGGTTAGTAAAGAGGTGCGTGTTGTGGTCCTCGTCCCACAGAGGATGATGACGATTGAAATCTCCAAGCCAGACGACGTGGTCTTCAGCCGAGGGTCTTAAACGCGTGGCCTCGCGGTCTAGAAAGGATGCTAGTTCTTCTTGCGTCTTCGTGTGAATGCAGTCGTTGTAGACGTTAATGATGGTGCATCGCCCGAATGGCCCACAGAATTGTATAACTACGACATCTGGTGAGGGGAAGGGCACTTGTTGCCATGAATTCGTGTTGAATGATTTGGAGACTAGTGTGACCGCGCATGATTTGAGATCGGGGGAGGAATAACGAGTGGAAGGATATATAGCATGGAAATAAGGCGAGGAGATGGTGTTTTTCATGGAGTTAATGTGCGGTTCTTGAAGCGCTATTACATCCCAATCGCGGGCGATGGGGCCGTTAAGTAAGGAATGCTGTGCGATGAGTGACGTATTAAGGTTTTGTTGCCAAATACGTAGCCTGGTCGTCTGTTCGTTATGTTGTTCAAACATTATTGGGGGTATGGATCCGTGGGGTCGAGGAGCTTGAGGGGGAATTGATGTTGGAGGGTATGGGAGTATTGGTGATTGGAGTTGCTGGGCCTTGGGTGAGGGGCGGAGTAGGTGTTGATGGTGATGATGGCGTGATCTGAGCGGCGTTAGTAACTTTGGTGGCTGTTGATTCGTGGTCTCCCCATCCGGTTGATGACGGTATAGAGTTTGGGCCTGTAGGAGAGAAAGCCCTAGGGCTATGGTGTCTGGGGTGGAAAGGCGCTCCTCTGGGGCGGTAGGACGTGCCTCTGGGAGGTCCTTGGGTTTCTCTGCTATGGTGCTGTGTCCCGAACGCTAAGTTTGTTTGACGTAGAGTGTGCTTAGGCGGATTGAGTGATGGTTGTGGTGTTGGTTTGCGGTATGGGGCTGGTTTTGGTGGCATGGAAACTTGAGTCCAGTCGTCTTTTGTTGGAAAGAAGGGCATAGAGTTTTCTGGATGTTTTGCGTCGATGCCTGCGCATCGGTTTTCGAATTCCGGGCAATTTCTATTCCAACTGGCATGGTCGTTTGCATCACAACTGACGCAGTAGAAGGTTTTGTATGCGTGACATTCGCTTGTGCGGTGGGTGTTGCCGCATGTCCCGCACGTGTCGCGGGGTGCATGGCAATCTCTAGCTATATGGCCCCATAGCTGGCATTTGACGCACCGCACTGGTTCTTTCTTGTCCTTGCGAGGATGGAGTTTTTCTTTATTGATGTATATGCCGTCCCGTAGTGCGACGTTGGCTGCGTTTGAGTCTGTATAATGGAGGATGGCGTGAGCTACTCTTTGGTTGGGCGCTCGTCTTATCCTTGGTTTGATCCATTGCGCTGATTCTATAACTCCTTTACTGAGATCGTTTTCTTCTTCTACAAGGCGTATCCATTCTGGGTCTTCTATTTCGGAGGAGGTTTGCAAGAATGGTACGATGATGGAGAATCTTCGTTCCTTAATTGTTGCCGGGATGTTGAGTGCCTCGATGATTTTGATTCGATTTTCTGGGAGGTGAATCCAATTTGCTGCTGTTGATGAGGTTAGTTCTACAATGATGCCTCCGTTTCGTAGTCTGATTTGGAAACCCGCAGGGCGGGAAACACTCAAGCGAGACGAACAGGAGTAAATCAGACAAAAGAATCTATTGGAGATGATGAGGGTTTGGGTAAGGAGAGATAAGATCTAAGTAAGTGTGAGTTCGAACTATGAGTATGCGTTGTATACATAAGTATCAACAGGGACAAATAAGGATTGTTGTAAGTGACAAGCTTACACTCTCCCGGGTCATCTTGAAACGTCGTCTGTGGTCTGGAGGAAGTGTGTAAGTGCTTCGCAATCCTCGACTTCGCGACCAGGTAGCCATAGGTCGGATTCGGGTCCATAACCTTTCCATCTGACGAGGTATTGCCAACCTTTTCCTCGCGCTCTTCTATCCAAAATCTCTTCTATTTCCCACTCTTCAGATCCTTCGGTGGTAACGATTGGGCCAGGTTTCGGGAGCTCGCGTCCTGGGAAGAGAGTGGGGTCATTAGGGACGAATGCGCGGAGCTCTGATGAGTGGAACGTGGGGTGTATGTTGCAATGAGCCGGCAAGTCAAGGGTATATGTGGACGTGCGAGGGTTTGTGGCTGTGATGGTGTAGGGGCCGTCGTACCGGGGCATGAACTTGGCGACGCGTTTATCGCCTTTTTGTATGTAGTCGCGTCGACGATGGCGCGTAGATAGATAGACTTGATCGTTGACTTCGAAGTTTGGATCGGCTGTGCGATGTGTGTTGGCAGATGCGGCCTGATTCAGTTTGGACGATGTCAAGGCGTCGTGAGCTTCAGAGACGTCGTCGTTGAGGCGTTTGAGTACTTTGAGGACGGCTTGTAGACTGTCATTTTCATTGTTAGGGATCTGTGGGACAGGGTCAGCTAGGGGCGGGAGTAAGCGAGGCGAGCGACCAAGATGAAGGTGAAAGTTTGTGAAGCCGGTGGAAGCATTAGTAGAGTTCATAATGTTAAAGCGGACGTGTGGAAGGGCTTTGGCCCAACCACGTTGTTTGCGATCTACATAGAATCGCAGGCACTGGTTCAGCGTCTTGTTTGTTCGTTCAGAGGATCCGTCGGACTGTGGGTGATACGAGGTGGACATGTTGAGCTTGACGCCGGTGAGATGGTGGAGAGATTTCCAGAACTGGCTCAAGAATAGTTTATCTCGATCTGAAATGATGGTCAGTGGTAATCCATTCTCACAATACCAATTGTTAAAGAATAAGCTGGCGAGTTCTTGCGCATTCATGTCCATGCGACAGGGAACGAGGCGGATGTCAGCGCCCAAACGATCTGTCATGGACATTATGCAATCGTAACCATCGTCGAGAGGCAGTGGCCCGACAAAATCGATGGCGACTGAGTCGCCGCGTGCGTCTGGCGATGGTAGGGGGTGGAGTGGACCTTGTGGTTTCGTTGTTGGACTCTTGATGCGGGCGCAATCGACACATGAGGGTACGTAGCTCTGTTCGAGGTCACGGCGCATGTTGGGCCAGTAGAATGAGGAGCGTAGTGTCGAGTAGCATTTGTCCGTGCCGAAGTGTCCCATGGAGTCGTGTGCTAGACGGAACAGGGATTCTCGAATGGATCCAGAGCGGGGAATGATTAGTCTATCCCCTAGGAAGAGTAGATCGTTTGTGAGTTTGAGGTTGGGGAAGGATTCCAGTTGTGCAAAAAGTTTGCTGCACCAAGGGTCGGATTTGTAGCCGTCTTGAATTTCGCGTAGTAGAGACGGGTTTGAGGAGACGTTCAGAACGAGGGCGATGGGTGTAATTGAGGGTTTTGTTGGTAGTGAGGTGACAAGTCCCGTGAGAGATATATCGTCTGCAGGGAGACGTGAGAGCGCATCCGCAACAGTGTTATCGTCACCTTTGAGGTATTGGATTTTGAAGTCGTATTGCGAGAGGAATTCTTGCCAACGTGCCTGGCGTCTAGAAAGGTCACGTTGGGTTTGGAAACTCTCTAGAGTACGATGATCAGTAAGGACGATGAATGGGGTACCTAGCAGTTCAATGCGCCACTTCTTGAGTGCGCGGATAATAGCTAGAAGTTCCTTTTCATGGACTGGATAGTTTAGTTGGGCGTCCTTCAGTTGCATGGAGTCGTAGGCGACTGGTCGCGATGTCTCGTACGTAGGTCCATAGGTGAGTACGGCACCAGTTCTCCAGTCGCTTGCGTCTGTTGTTACCCAGATCTTGTTGTCGCCTAGGTCGTCGTGATCAATCGTGGTGAGGCAGTCCCTCCCAATGACAAGATTTTTGATGCAGGAGAAAGCGTTTTGGTGGGAAGGGGTCCAGCCGGGCCAGTCGACTTCTGAGGTCTTTGTTGTAAGAGGGGTTAGCATGCGTGTGTGGTCTGCAAGGTTTGGTAAAAATTGATCCAGGTATCGTACAATACCCAGAAAGGCCCTAACGTCGTGCGTGTTCTTTGGTTGAGGCCAATTCAGGATACGATCTACCTTTGAAACATCGGCTTCTACACCCCTTGCAGAAATGTGGTGTCCTAAAAAGTCCAGCTCGTCGCAGAAGAGGGAAGTCTTCTTGGGGCTGCAGAAGAGAGCCGCTTTGCGTAGTGCTGTAAGCACGAGTTCGACGTTCTTGATGTGTTCTGACAGGGACTGGGACCAGATGATGATATCATCGAGATAGACATGACATATTGAGCCGATGAGCGGACGTAGTGCCATGAACATTCGTCTCTGGTGAGTAGCGGGCGCGTTGCGTCCGCCTTGAGGCATAACCGTCCATTCGTAGAGTCCGAAAGGCGTCGATACAGCAGTGTACTTGACGTCGTCTGGATGGACTCGCGTTTGGAAGAAAGAGTTAGTCATGTCTATTTTACCAAAAATCTTTCCTTTTGCGCAGTCGCGAAGGATCTCATCGATCCTGGGGAGTGGATGGTTATCTGGTATGGTGTTGTCGTTCAGTGCACGATAGTCGTTCACCCAGCGAGGGAGCGCTGTGGGGTCTTTCTTGGGGATAAGGAAGGCGGGTGAGACAAAAGGGCTGTCTGAATGACGTAAGCGACCGTTAGCGATATGGTCGTCCAGCAATGTCTTCCAGACTTCGCGATACTTTCGTGGAGTGGAATAAGAACGAGTTTGAATGATCTTGTTGGGATCTTTCAGTCTGATCCTGTGGAGAATGTCAGAAGGCAGATCGTCTATGTGAGGCAAATCAACAGGGAAACGATCAGACCACCGCGCTCGCATCTCAGTATCCAGTTTAGCGAGGTGTTCCTTGTTGGTGTTAATGAGCGCAAGGTCTTCGATCCTTTGACGGATGAGAGTTATGATGTCTGGAGGGGTGTGAGTGGGGCTTGGGTCAACGGGTGGGATGTTGATTTGTGATGCGGGAGGATTAGTGGTGGTGCGCTCCAACAAGACTTTCTTCTGTCGTTTGGGGACATCATTTATGAAAGGTGTTACAGGTGGCAAAATAGGTAGGAACACGGGAGGGTTCATAAGATCGAAACCGCAGGACTTGTCGATACAGGTTCGAAGAGCGTGATCTAAAAGGAGAGAGTTGTGGGATAAGAACGGTCCTCCGAGGAGGAGTGGGACGGTTAAGTCCGGAGCTAAGATAGCTCGTACAGTGCGTGATCTCCAGTCCGAGTTTAAAGAAAAGGGCGAAAGATGTACGTATTGAGAAAAAACAGAAGAAGAAGGGAGAGAATCAAATGCAGAGCCAGCCTCTATTTCCTTAGGAAGTTGGCGGATACGCAGACCGAGTCTTTTCACGATCTCGGGTCTAATGAGAACTAAATGGGAGCCATGGTCAATTAGCGCGTTCACGCGTTCAGGTACGGGAGCATCAGGACCGTCAAGGAGACAATTCCAAAAGAAATGGGGAGTCTCAAAAGGTGCGACGTACAGGTTACTTTCATCAGAATCGGAGTCACCCTCGAGGACAGAGGATGGCATGACGGCGGCGACAGGCATGACGACGGCAGTCGGTTTCTTTGGCTTTGTTACCTTTGCTGCGTCCGATTCTGTGAGAGTTTTGTAAGAAGTAGCGTCTGGAGCTCCGTTCGGACAATCAGGAGCGCGATGATCCACGCCGAATTTGCGGCATTTGAAACAGCCGTTATTGAGGCGAAGGAGTTCGCGTTCTTGGGATGTCAAGGGCGGAAGCAATGGACCAGAGGGATGGGGGCGGGAGTTTGGTTTGTTGGTGACGTTGGAGACGTTTGTGAGGGGGGTGAATCGTTTATTTGTTTTATATAATTCTTCAGCCATCTTCCTGTGAAGTGCCATGTCCTCCAAGCGTTTATCGTCCAAGTGTTTGACTTCCTCGATCCAGCTTTTCATGGAGAGGTCGTCTGCAAGCTTGGCGCGAAGGACGGAAGGAGTGAGGTCGTCAGCCATATTGGCTTCTAGTTGGTTTCGCAGTTGGATATCGCTGAGATGTGCGGTGGAACCGTACAGTAGAGAATTTTGGTTCTGGAGGTCGAGGGCCCATTCGAAGAACGAGCGAGTTCCCTGTTGGGATCCCAAGACCTTCTTTCGAAGTTTTACTTCCCAGTTCGATTCTAACCAGTTCTTCTTGAGGGCTTTCATGTAATCCTCGAAGCTACCGGCGTTGAGGGTATCGCGTTGAGATAGGTACCAAGCGTGGAGTCGTGTATCTTGCATGCCGAAGGAGATCATCTTAACTTGGTTGGTAGCTTGGATGTCCTTGTGCAGGAAGTACGTCTGACAAGCGTTATCCCAGTCTCTCGCTACTTCTGGGGTCAATTCGCCCGGCGTGAGACGAGGAGGCTTGTTTGGGGCGGATTGATCAACCGTAGCGAATTTTGGCATTTTGGATATGAGGGGACGAGTATATGCGCGTCGGGGTGATGGCGAGTCAGATTCAGAAGAAGAGGAATGGGGATTGTTATGTTCGGGCGTGTTAGGAACCGAACTTAGAGGAGTGAGGGATGGTAGGTGTGTTCGACGGGTTGTCGCACGAGTCACTGGGCGGTTAGCCGTAGTCGACGAGCGCGTGTTCAGGGGTATGGGTATGCTAGGTTTCCTACGAGAGGAGGACAGGTTGACAGGATTAGAAAACGCCGGCGGGAGGCCCGGCGAGGTGGAAGTTCGGAATTTTGGAAGGGGGGGAAATGTTTCTGGAGTAGTAGATGAATTTGTCGAGATTTAAAAAAAAGTGGAAACCCGCAGGGCGGGAAACACTCAAGCGAGACGAACAGGAGTAAATCAGACAAAAGAATCTATTGGAGATGATGAGGGTTTGGGTAAGGAGAGATAAGATCTAAGTAAGCGTGAGTTCGAACTATGAGTATGCGTCGTATACATAAGTATCAACAGGGACAAATAAGGATTGTTGTAAGTGACAAGCTTACATGATTGTAGCTTTGACTTGAATGGGGGGGGAATCGTCTGTTTGCACCACTGAGAATGCCGTCTTCATTTTGGTCGCTATTTCTGCTGGACTAGTGTCGGGGGCGAATAGAGTTTTCCCTGGTGCAGGGTCGAATAAAATTTGGCGTTCTCTGGTTGCTGCGCGGGTAAGCGCTGCCGAGATTGGGGCCGAAGGATTTGATTGTTGTTGTACGGCGGCGCTGTAAGATTTCGTTTGACCAGAATGTGTAAGGCTTGGATGGGTGGGGGTCGCATTCGTGGTCGTCATGTTGTTGATGCTGTTCTGAGTGGCATCGAGGGAGGGGGTTAGTTTATCCATGGCGTTTTTAACCTCTGAAATACTATTGAGCACTGCATCTGCTGCATGTTCAGCGCGTGTTGCTGCTTCTTCCGCCGCATTGGGGGTGTCCTGAGAACCCATCAGAGTTAATTTCATTTGAGCTAATTCTTCTGCTTTCGTCTTGATCAGTTCCGAGGCTGTTAAGACGGCTGCCACCTGGGGGGCAATTGCTGCGATGACATGGGCTGTGAGACTGTTGGTTAGGGATTCTGAGAAGTGTTGTGACTGGGTAGGGGTATCCGCTGGCGCATTGAGAGAGTCGTCTTCTAGGAGTAAAAATATGGCTCTTAGGCCCTCGTTGACTATGCGGGGGATTCCCGGGTATTGCGTTATGTGTAATATCGTCAGTAAGAGACTTGCAGGGGAGAGTGGCTCGCCTGCGGGTCTGAATGATGATTTCTCTAAGAAGGTTTTACCGCTTTTCACGTCCATAACATTGAATTCCTGTTGCATGATGTCCTCTTTTGTGAGCAATAAAGAGACTGTTGCGGGTAGAGGAACGAGTTTTGGTCATAGAGCTAATGGGCGTAGGCGTAGGGGCGCGAGGGTTCAGAGCGCCTGTACCTCGTCCTTTTCCTGTTGCCATTGTCAGGACAATTATTGAAGGAGCTTTTGTTCACTGCTTCAGGGGGTGTAGATATTTGAATAGGCTGTTTTGACGTCGTAGACGCCGTTGTGCGCTGTTAGGCGCAGTACTAAGAACCGTGATTTCCGGGGTCCTAGTTGGGGTGCCACTTGGTACTAAGCCAAGAAGCGATTAGATTCGTCGTCTGGAACACTACTAGGCGGGTCATGATGATAGATAGTGTGAAGGCAAAGTACCGCCAGTTTCCAATTAGATGCATGCGACGACGTAGCTTTTATACCGTACTGGCCGCAGGTGCTCTCGACATCCTTCATGACCCCAAACATCCCCAAAAAACTAGATTTTTCCCTCTCGCATCCAGCGGCATCCACTTTAAGCCAGTCGTCGAGTTTTCTGCCCTTTCTCGAGGGCAAGAGCTTGCCACCCTTATACCGAAGACAGACCCAGACGAGGACCCAGATGAACGATTCAGCGTTATGCTGGTACAAGTGTGTGACTCGAGCATTTGGCCGGAGCAGGTTAATTGCCATGAATGGCACCGTTCCTGTGCGCTCGTTGCCGCGAGGCCCATGATCGCGTAAAATTGATGACAAGTCGTAGTCATTGAGGACCGCAACCCATTTGCCATTCAACCAGTACACCATGAGATTATTCGGACTGACGTCGCGGTGATAGCTATAGATACCGTGCTTCCAGAGGGTAAAATGACCTGTAGGTGCAGTTATGGACAATAAAGAGCACAATAAAACACACTCACAGACAACGGCTTGCCACCATGCAGTGAGGAACTTTTTCCTGCTCAGCGACGTGATTGGACGAAACTTCCTGAACACAATGATACACAAGACGCGACTCCCCTGTTGACCGGGAGGGTCTTCAATCCCTAGCACCTTCCTGGTTTTCGCCGTGGACGTCTCGTCAAACGTGGGGCGCTGTTCGAAGCCACAAAGCAGCTCAACCCTGCGTGCGTGCACGACGAAGTTCAATACCGGTGGCTGACAAAAGAAGGATCAACGTACTTCACGCCTACAGTACTGATGTGTTCGCTGACAATGGCAGCGCCAACTGCAAGTGGAGTAGACTTGAGTGCGAACTCAGCATTGACGCCATGACTCGGAGGAGGCGTCTTTGGTGCAGTGGCGCCAGTAGCACTATTGACCATGATGAAAAGAAAGTGATTTTTTTGAAGGCATGAAAATGCAGGTTGAGGTTCGCTTTTAACAGCTTTCAACCCAGAACAACTCTATTAACGTTCTGGCATTCAAGGCCACAATCGATAACTGGAACCCCGAGAATGCAGATAAGAGCCACAGAGAACCACAATTCACGATTCACAGAAGGTTCACACCGTGGTCATCATTTTTTTTCCGAAGGCGCCCACAAACGCCCACATGCATCATGATTCTCAAGATTTGGGGCTAGAGAAGGCGAGTTTGCCATCACTACCGATCGTGCGTCAAGTCTCGACGTGGTAATAGTATATCCAGCGGGCATAATTGCAACCGTGTTCTGTTGTTCAGCGTTCAATACCACTGACACGGGAGTCACATTTGCAGATCGTCTCTATCACTAACATGATGGTACCCTTGCCCATAACGCCACTGTGATTTCTCTAACGGGCAGAATCAGGACTTCAGTAAATCAAATATCAATTCTTGTATCTTGATCCGACGAGGCCATCCGAATTATTGCTGTCCTTCGTCTTGGGCATGGTTGGCTAAATCAACACCCATGAAAATTTTTGGTGGTCCGCCGCAGCGTTGTTGGAACATTCCAACCCGTTCTGTGACCCTTGCGAAGGCTAGTGGGCCCAATAGCTTGTCTGGACTCCACAGCATTGCCATCAGACTTCGATGTCGCCACTGGTAGTGCTGCTATGATTTCTCCATCAAGCATAATCGCAACTTCAAGTGAGTCGGAAATGATCATTCTTATATCTATTGTATAACACCACGGGCCTCACATTATTGCTGTTGTTCGTCATTGACGTGCATGAGTAGCGAGAACAACCATGGCCGATTGTTTGGCGTTCCGCTGTAGTGCCTGAACGAGGAACAAATTCTTGTAACAAAATCCTACTTGTTCTTGCGAAGGAATGGCGTGCTGCTTCGCGAAACGGCCTGTTCAGCCTCCGCACCAGATTCTGATGTCGTTACCCTTTCCGCCACTCGCTTTCTCCGACGAACATAATCGTATTGTGACTCGACCTATTCATAAGCAACAGACATTCACCCCAATTATGGCTGTTCTTCTTCTTTGACATGCATGGCTAAATGAATATCCAAGCAAGAATAGGGTCATGATTTTTTGGCAGTCCGCAGGGTCTGAAACTCATCATTGCAGGAAAATTCCTTTCGTTCGGAGACCATAATCATTATCATCATTCATCAGACTTCGATGTCGCCGCCCACGCCGCCACTGTGGTTTCTCCAACAAGCATAATCGCGCGAACCTGAGTGGGTCAATTGCGTTTGCGTATAATGCGATATTATCCTCACAAATATTCACCGGTGCAGCTTGGGAGTTGTATTTGATATGAAAGTGAAGTGCAAATTCGTCGGGGATGATCGATGATGGGCCAATTTGAATTTGATCCTACATCTGTGGAACGTTTATAATACGACTGCTTGTCCGTGAGGGGAGTCAGGTACATTATTGCGTTCTCCTATCGTGTTTTAGATGTAAGTGAGAGTGTACACGCATACCATGTTTTCTGTAGTGCCGTCGACGATCATATTGAAGGTGGCTGAGGCCCGAGGTTGGCCCGAGGACTCTCAGCAGCGAGGATTAGGACGAGCCCCGGCCGTATTATCAGACAATATTATTCATGTAATGTTGCAGGTCACACGGATTATGAAAAATAGCTAGCCAGCAATCAGAACGACTTTAACTTTGAGATTAAAATCTCCATCACGAGCCCGGAGATTTTGCGCATAGTTCTGCATAAGCCTAAGTTTTTTCGCATGATATCAGTCTAGGGACTGTACGCTAGTATACGGATATGATCTGCCCCAACAGCTACCCGGCCGAGCCCAACCACCGCTCACGCAATCAAAGTGGAAGCAGTAGCAGAGTCATACTTGAATGTAGGAGGGATCTGCTGCTTTGTCTTGTAGTAGCGAGCAAGACGGTGAATACGAGACTCGATCAAGATAAGACGGAACTTGGAGTCCTTGTCTTTGCGGTTGACTTCAAGGTGCTTGCGCACGGCCACCGCCTTTTTGACGAGGTGCCAAAGGTCCTCTGGGATGGACGGTGCCAATCCTATCCCCAAACAAAAGGCATGTACAAAAACAAAATGCAGTAGCAGAAGTGCACGGCAACGAGGCAGATAGCAGTTCAATGCGTAAGTGTTTGACGGAGTGGCTTGTTAATGAAGCACGCACCGTGAGATTTGAGGATACGGAGGATCTTGTTACCGGTGACGAAGCGCACTTGGGGGATACCATGCGAGTCACGGAGGGTAACACCGATCTGAGAGGGAGTGAGACCCTTGCGAGCCAATTTCATGATGTGCTCGACGACTTCATCGGGCGTAGTTTTGAGCCACGAAGGAGGGGCGCGCTTGTAAGGAAGGGCAGAGGACGCTGATGAAGATAATCAGGTTAGGTCCCGTGTATCAAATGAGGCTGTTTCGCCACGCACAAATGCCCTTGCCGGGAGCGTGCATACGACCCATGATGAATCTGAACCATCTTGTCAGCTGTGAACATATAACTTTGCGGAACGCTCACAGTTTTTGTTGGTGAGGTTGTCTTGAGGAATGTCGTTGGACGCGTTCGACGAAAGGTGATGTGACGCGTGACAAGTTGATGTGTGGCTTAGCAACTGTACAGTAGCAAACCTTATTTTCCACCTCAGCCACAAGCCGGAATGTGCCATTGTTGAACACAAGGCGCAGGCTAACCGCAAGATCAAGACTCCTCCTCGTCGCTGCAGCCCACGGTGACAAGGCCTTTTCTCGTTTTGTAAGGTGAGCTCGCAACGTCGATATCGATTCCAAGCTCTTATTGACCATTCTATGCGGGCAGTATGAAGATCAATATTGCCAGTGCGTTCAATGTCCACTATATTCAATACAATCTAAACTCACCTTCGATCCAGACCCCGCCACTGGGGCTCAAAAGACCGTTAACATCGAAGAGGAGAGGAGATTGTACGATTGGCGTTACTCTTCCTTTGAAAACTGACCAAACTACTTCAAACTAGCCGTATTTTCTTCGACAAGAAGATCTCGCAAGAGGTTGAGGCAGACATCCTTGGAGACGAATGGAAGGGTTACATTTTCCGTATCACCGGTGGTAACGACAAGCAGGGTTTCCCTATGATGCAGGGCGTCCTACTCCCCAACCGTGTCAGACTTCTCTTGACCGACAACCACACCTGCTACCGTGCCAGCCGCTCAGGCGAGAGGAAGCGTAAATCCGTCCGTGGTTGCATTGTCGGCCCTGACATTGCTGTCCTCTCTGTCGTCATCGTTAAACAGGGCGACAACGATATCCCTGGGCTCACCGACACCGTTCTGCCCAAGCGACTTGGTCCTAAAAGGGCAACGAAGATCAGAAGGTTCTTCAACTTGTCGAAGGAGGATGATGTCAGGAAGTACGTTGTGAGGCGTGAGGTGAAGAGCTCGAAGAAGGAGAACGCCAAACCTTACACCAAGGCGTTAGTATACCGTCACCTTGCTTTTTTTTTGCGCTTATGTTTCATCTCTGTCCAGACCCAAAATCCAAAGACTGGTCACTCCTATCCGTCTCCAACGCCGTCGTCACCTCCGTTCTCTCAACCGTCGCCGGATTGACCGCCAGAAGGAGCAGAAGGCAGAATACGAGTAAGTGATGACAGTCTGCATGAAAGCCGTTCCGCCGTATTAACCAGACGCTTAGTGCCCTTATGCAAAAGCGTGTCGCTGAGAAGAAGGCCAAGGTCGCAGCCATCAAAGCCTCGCACCACAAGTATGTCTTGGAAGATTATCCTGCAAGATCCTGAGCTCATGTCATTCATTTAGGACTGCCTAAAATAATCCCCGCACATCGTTTCACACTTCATCCCATGCTATAAGCTTCTTATGGTACCTCATGTCACGCCATGCTTTGACGCTATACTATCTGCATTAAAGCCAATCGCTGATATGCCATTATCAAGTGAATATTGACGTGCTCCAAGGTTTGGGTTACTCTTGAAGCCCTCTGCTTCCTGCGATGTACCGCTGAGCTTCCCAATGTGTGTTTGATTGTTGTGCCATTTCGATTTACAGACTAGGTTGCCTTACTCGATCGACTCTTGCCAATAAGACGCCATGGGTCTAATTTCTCATTTGACGGACGCTCGCCCTGCTTGCTTGCCCTAAGTCGCGTGACAAGGACCTTGACTTGTGTTTTGAAGCAAACACGGACGGAGTCAAAGTAACGGATCGATTATGTAGCTCTGGATCGCGATTCCGGGGTTGCAGATTGCTTACCATTGTCAGGTTCCACGAGAAAGTTCACCGGTCCTGCATCACGTCTACTATCACTTACTTTTCTGCGCTGCTGTCGCTATGAGAAGTGAAATCTGATCTCTGCAGGGCTCTTTCTGTTTGTCATGGAAAGAGTTCCATTCATTAATGCATGACCACGTGCGGCGTTGTATTGTATATCCGCTAAGTATTACCTTTGCGCAGGCAAACCTAGTTCACGCCAGTAAGCTCAAACAGGTTCAGATCTACTGGTGATGCTCAGCTTTGCTCAAAAATAAGGAAAAATTCAGTACTCAAGTACCATGTGCAGCGCGAGTCATGTCGTCAGTCACCTGCCGGGGGCAAATCCTGACTTCTGAGTTGTGTTACCTCATTGTCCCTCGCGTCCCCCCAGTGCGTCGGCCAGTAGAGTCTGTAACAATTATCCTATGAAGTACATAAAACTCTACTTGCGCGAACAGCTCTTATGTCTGCTATCTCAGATGCTACAATTTTGCCCTACAATTTAACTATAAGTGTCAATTCTATTCACCAACAAATCCGAGCCCGTCGCTTACTTGGTTGGAGCGGGCCAGTTGTCAAAACCGAGATCAATACCTGGATGGTACATGTCAGTAACATCATTTACTGCAATTACCAATGCTCACCCCAATGAGGTGAGAAGAAACGCTTCTGCTTGCCACTCGCAGCAATACCGTCAAGGACATTTAAGTCATCTGGCGTCAGAACCTTATATGCTTCTAGCGCACCGGTCAAGTTGGACTCGATACGGGATGGCGTCATTGATTTTGGAAGAACAATCACATCCTTTGTCACTGCATTCAGACCCATCAACTACCATTTTCTTGTATAGGATGAACGGCAAGCGTGAACGCACGCAGGTAACCCAGAAGTACATCGGATGTGCTCTTGAGACCACGCTTCTTCGCAATCTCAGTGGCAGTCTCGTCGGTCAGCAGTGGAGCGTTGGTCGAACCAAGGGGCGAGTATGCTTGTGGAACGATTTTCTTCGATTTCAAGTAATCGAGAAGCTTCAACTGCGGATTGTACAGGTGGAGCTCGAGCTATAAATTTCCACTGGTCAGTTTCGAATGGGTGTCGTTCCGTCGAACATGCCTGATTGACGACCGGAATGATCTCAGCTGTGGGCAAAATCTTCTCGAGAATCATCTGGGAGAAGTTTGACACGCCGATTGCCTTGACTTTACCCTTCTTTACCATAGCCTCCATAGCTTTCCAGGTGTCTCTGATGTCCCAGGATTCATCAATGTCAATGGCTCCGTTCGCGCGCATCGGCTTGATAGGGTGATTCCCGTTCGGGTTCAGAGCAACCGGCCAGTGGATGAGGTAAACTGATAATCGAGACAGTTCGTGTCAGTCAAACCAACCTTGTACTTAGATAAATGCAGGTCCTACGGTCAACATATGTCGTTCCTAGGTTTGCAAGCGTCTGGTCGAGGCATTCCTCGACACGTCTATGGTATGTACCCCAAACCTTGCTGGTGAGCTACCAAATACAGAATGAAATGGGGTGAGCGATACATGTTATGTTATACGTACAAACACCTCCTCCCGCGGAACACCCGATGCACGCAGACCCTCGCCGACTTCCTTTTCGTTGCCATATAACCTTCCGTGTGATGCGCTCGTCAAAATCATTTCACAATCAACCAACGCTTCGTACCAAGCACAATCAATGTGTCTATAGCCCGCTTTCAGCGCATGTTCGACGGCGCGGACGCCTTCGCTGGCATTGGGTTTCGGTTGCCATGTTCCTGGGCCAGTACTAGTAAGTCCCGCATCTAATCTTCAACCAACATGTTTGGGAGCTCACCGAACCCGACAGCAGGTATGGTCTGCCCATTGTTAAGGGCAATGAGATGAGACATGGGTAGCTAGAGACGTTGAAGCTAACACCATGGTACAAGTTATCTTCTGAATGATCGTGAGATTTCGTGCCAGCGACTGAGGGTCCTGGGAACTTCAGACGCAGCTGCCGACACAAATCATTCAGAAAAAAAATACAACGGTCCTCCATCACACTCACCGCATTGGCGATTACTGGAACAATACGTTGAAGCATGAACTTTCGAACAACGGGCGCGATGCTCCCTCTGCCGCAACACCTGGACCATACCGAATCGCTTGAACACCCAAGTTGCTACCTGGAACCTCAGGGAACGAATAATACTATGATCATTCGATCACGACCATTGGCCGCATATCTCCTTGGGCACTATAGATAAGGATCAATATCCACCCTTCCGCCAAACCAAGTAAGTAGGTGCACAACCCAGATAACGGGTTGAAGTTCACCAAGAGAATCACTGATTACCTAGAATGTACGAATTCTCTCCGAATCGGCCCGATAGCTGGGACTGTCTGCGTCCTACGACACGAGAAAGTGATACTTAATCCCAGCTTTGCGAGGCAGGCTGAGAAGTTGTGCTCGAGAGTAATGTCCGCGCCAGAATGCACGTACGAGGTCGTAAAGAGGCCCACATTTGCTATAACCCAAAACTTTCCAGTCTACACCCAAAACACTGCGCGGTCTCTACGAATCACGAGTCACCACTCCTCCTGCTCCTGCTCCCCATATTCCTCTCCCATTCATCCTCCCACTACCTCGAGCGACGAGTTTCCATCATCCATTTTCATCTTTGGCAGGCACCGGCTAACGGACCTCTTCTGAAGGATTTTCTTAGGTACCTATGGCGTAAAGGGTTTAGAGAATCGATCCTTTATGGGCCCCCGAGGCTCCGTATGCCTGCTGCATCCTATTGTCACTACAACCATCTCTGTTTCCTGGGATAGGGTCAGGTTGTTTCTATTGGCCCTTGATTTCGTCCATACTAATACGTGGAGCGGTGAGTGATGAGTAAGGGACGTGCCTGACTAAATAACTTTGCTTCCCTCCCTAGGATCTCTAGGGTTCACGTGAGTACTAGGGCCTGTCACCCTAACTCGAGATCTTGGTTTTGACTCAGCCGAGCAGCCTTCAAGGCGCCCGCTATTTTTTGAGCACCATTGTATGAATAACAGTGACACCGGCTATTAGTTACACTGGCATGTGGAACAACTCAGAGAAGTCTGAACCTCTGAGCCCTTCTCCTGTCAGGGCAATCGGGAATTCGAATTTGCCCGCAGGGTCCGTCGGACTCCGTCCGGCTCATTCAAGTGCCATGTCACCATTATTTTGTATGTGGAGGGATACTATAGTTATAATACACTGCATCAACAAGACCGCGCGAATAGCTCAGTTATAGCCTGCACAGACTTGGCCCGGTCGATGCCCTTGTGAGTCGTGACTGTGAACTTGTAATAGGAATCTTGATAGTACAACCCATCTAGGGCTGAGTCCATTCAGGCGAGCACAGAAATGCAGCACCTTGGGCTCTTGAAGCGCACATATCACTGGAGCATCACTTGCTCGGTAGCTGGGAAGGCGTGATCGAGGTTTTGACAAGTCCCGGGCTTCAGGGTCAAAGTCAAAGAGCTGTCGCAGGAGTGCACATGTCGAGGACGCGAGTATGGATAGCGTAGTAGCAAAGACATGTGTCGGGGGAGTTCAGAAGCGAGCGCATGGTCGTCACGGCCCAAGGTAGTGTTCGATAGACGATGAGAAAACTGGCAGTACAAGGACAAGTGATACTTTCTCGAAAGTTCAGGTGCAGCTGTGCGGATGCTGCAGAAGCTATGATTCAAGTCAAGCCAGGACATCGCTAATGTCATCGACGTGTTCGAGATAACGACAAGCCGTAAAACGAGCTCGAGCTCATTGGATGGCGCGAGATGTTGCAACGTTGAGAACTAAGTTGTGCACAGAAGGACTCGGACAGAGCCGGCCTCTGTTCTCCGCGGATATGTCAGTCACGTGCTTGTTATCGCAGCAGTGTTTGACAGCGAACGACTGTCCAGACGTCCATTCATGACTGTGACAGTCCATATCAAAACTTTGATTCATCAAACGGGTTCAAAACCTCCAGAAGTTCAAGGGTACTTGGCTGAATAATTAAGGCAAGTTAAGACCAAAATAACGGCAGGTACAATGTTGGTCACTTCGCCTGGTCAAGTACAAGACAGGTTTTTTGTTCAGGTCTATGTTGTCGGTACTGACATGGGTTTTGTCTAATTTTCACTCAAATATTTACACAGGCAAATCTCTGCTATCTGATCGTTAAAATGGTATGTTTGCCGTGATGTTTTGTAAGTCATGCTAAATTCGTCCTCTCTAGCTATCCACCGTGACATTGGGGGGGCCGCATGCTGTCTATGCTGTCATGGCTAAATGTGCTAGCCTCAGGTACTACCACCTTCCAAAATGAGCGAATCATGTTGTTCGAAGCAACCATTCATCCATCCCGGTGGCAATAAGGTCTATAAATCTACCTACTGCCAAACATATACAGTAACATACTGACAATGATTCACTTCTTCGCTAATTACAACATATATAATACCCCCTCACCACAATGCCTCGGGCGTCCTAAGTCTCCATACATCATCACCTTCTCCCCCATGTTTTATACAACTCGCCCCCCCTGGGAGTGCCAGTATGTTACCCCTAATCCAATCTCGCCTCCAGCTTTGCACAATGCTCGCTACGACGGGTGGCCCCGCCCCCCAATACAACTTCCCCATGTTACCGATGCCCCCTCGCGTCATCCCTATGAGGTTACCGCTGCCCGTACCCGTAGTTGCAACTCTAGTTCCATTCAGGCTCTCTATGCTCACTTGTTACTAGAACTTCATCCCTACGTAAATCACCCCAGCACAAAGGCCGCCAATGCGGGGTCGCAAGGTGGTTTCCTTTTTCTAGGAATATACTTTTCACAACTAAATATGTTTTGTCAGCATCAGCTAATATGAGGGGTCCTGTTGACTCTCAACATCGCAACGTCAACAATTCATGGACATGGAGCGGTGTGTTCTCTGTCACCTCACCGTTGGGTCAGCTCATTGTACGATCTGACTTGGCTGATGAAGGTGACACTCGCGCTCAATCTCACCGTGGCGCTTCTGAGATGCGTGTCACAACTCGGCATGATGCAGAGAATGCATGGCTCATGTGTACGCGTCCGCCTTCATTTCCTAACCTCCAAGACGTTCAATTGTATATTTTTCAAGATGGCCGTTCCGCACGCCAAACAACGACATTAAACGTTAACGACACCAAGAAGGGTGCGGCTCAGACGCAACTTGTCATTTTGGATTAATCCTTATGCCTCCCACCAGCCTCCCTTCATCCGTTTCTCGCGCCACAATCCGTGCCATGAATATACGACTTACGCCACGCGCTTACCTCTCTCCGTTTTCCGTCATCATCTCCATTTACAAGCTGCGGGTGCGAGTTCCTCCGCGTCCCACTTACGCCAGAAAGGCCCATGCACATACGGCTCATCAGCCCGGAATTTCCCTGGACGTTTAACATCGGGCCCAGTGCCAAAGAAGAGGGTGTGACATGTTTTGACGTTCTCGCTGCGCTGCACGTTGCATTACAGTGCCCGCTCACGGACACAGAGTGGGGCACCGCTAGTGACGATAAACGTGCGAGTCTTATCAAAGCACGCGATCGGCGCCTTTGTATTGGACCTGCATTCCTCGGGAGCTCGAATTATGCAGCACGCACTAGCCTTGCACCTGGTGCCAATGTGCCACAAGAGCCGCTGCTGCTCCGTGTCGACTGGCTTGGATCCCGCGTAGCATTTCTGGGACTTGTCAAGGATGACGCGTTTGCGAGGAGTAGGCTCATTCCGGGCGGTGGGCAGCCGCCTGAGACGTGGGTAGTGAAGTTCCGGAGATTATGACACCGAAGGTCCAGAGAATATGTACAAATATCTTATTACTAGTTATTGATTATCAGAGTCGTTCTCGGTGGTGGAAGTGGCGTAAGCTTTGGGCATTGTGCTGTCTAGATAGCTCGGGACATCAGCAAAATCCCGGATGTCTTCACACGCCTTTTTTGGCTTTTTCAACGGTCTCAAGTGAAAAAAAGAGCGAGGGCACCACAAGACGCGCCAAGGCCACGCGTCTTCTTGTAGCGGCTTAATCACACTTGAATCCACTTATTACGCACGATGTAAGGCACAAAAACTCGACACAAGTCCATTGCAAGTCACTGTAAAATGTGTGATAAAACCACCAAAAAGGGTGCGAAAGGGAACATAAGCGGAAAATGGGTGATAGGGACAGAATCGTGAACAACATTAAAGGGGATCTAAGAAGCATTAGGAGACAATCAAGAGCAGCTGAAAGAGTGACAAAGGCGTGGAAATATGATAAAAGACCAGTGAAGAAGAGCAAACCGAGTGACGAAGGCATGGAAACACGATAAAACACGTTAAAAGACGAGTGAGGAAGAGCAAAACGAATGAGCGGTTCCAAACGGTGAAAATTGCAAGCGCAAAGCACAAAATAATATATCCAAATGTCCTAACGAGGAGACATCGACCAGAGGCGTGAGGCTCGCATATCTGCAGGTAGTAGTGCAAACATTATTAAAACCCGGGGATTGTGAGAGCTGCAACTTACCAAATGTCTGCGCGATCGTCATCCTCGTCGGACATGTCATTGCCAGTGTATTTCTCGAAACCAGGCTTTTTCAGAACCTTCCACGCCATCGAGACGGTGAGCTCTGTTGCCGCCGTGCCCTTCTTTTTCGCCCCGCATACAAATGCAGCAGTCTTGGAGCTCCATTTAGCAACTGAGAATGCGTGTTCGGAAGTCGTCTCCTTTCCAGTAGCTCTGTTGAAGGTCTTGGGTGTCTTGAGGCGAGCTTTCCGCACATTGATCGGCAGCCCCAAGTTCTCCTCGCTGTCAAGAGTGACAGTGCTATCAGAGAGAAGAGTGAAAGCACGTTCGAGCTGCGGGCATAAAATTAGTAAGCAACAATCAACACAAGATTGACTGACCGAGACCGCACACAAGCCCAGGGCCCCAATGAAACCATTTTTAACCAAGCTGTCAGTGCGGAGAACAGGAACGTCAGCGTGTCCCAAGATTTTAGCGAGATGCGCAGTAGCAAGAAGCTCTTGGACAAATGGAGAATGGAAAGTCTCATCCTTGTCAATCTTTTCAGGGTTAGGGTATAAAAATGCATATTTGTGGAGGAGGAGAGTCGAAAGTTCCCTTGGCGCTGAATCTTGATTGGCGACACAGAAATTAACCGCGAGGGCAAGTGCTGTAGACCCGAAGTTGCTGCGCCATTCGCCAATACGTTGTGTGACCTACAATATATTAGTAGCTTCTCCCAAATAAAACGACAACACTGACAACACCAAAAACGGACCCTGATATGGTAAGATTGTAGCAAATATCCCCGTAGACGACCTTGAAAATTTCTTTGCATGCATCAAGCAGCTTAATGTCAGCAATAGTCCAGAGTTCCTCTTGTGCGCCAAGCCACAGCAAGATCGTCGGTATGAATACTCGAGCCCATTTTCCGTCTTCATGACAGCCTGGTGGGAGGTCCGTGTTCAAATAAGACGAACGCGCCTTCAACAACGGCTCCACCCAGGTGCCAGGTGGCACAGTAGATGCCCCTTCGGATTTGATATTCCCTTCGAGTTTGATGTTCTTCTCGTGTTTTGCCTTCTTCGATGGAGGAGCTGGAGCCTCGCGAGCAGTGGTGGTCACAGAAGTCTGATACTGAAGTCAGTGGTAGCAAAATGAAATGAAGTGAGGGATATACCGAGGCTGTAGTGCGTGCAGCCTTACCGTTCAAACCTGGCTCTGGCTTGATATATGTGTCCAATTCATCGTCCGGGCCGTCGACCTCCATAATGTCGTCATCCGTTAGAAACTCTGAAATCTCACTGTCGGAGAACTCCAAGACCTCATCCAGCTGCTTCCTCTTTGTGCCAGATACAACTCGAGGTTGTGTGGAAGGTGGTGGCATCAAGTGACGGCCATTCTTCAGGCCAGGTTGAGTACTGGGTGGTGGCATCAAGTTGCGATCCCTCTTCAGACCAGGTTGAGTGCTCGGTGGTGGTACGAGGTCAAGATCTGCACCAGACAAGATACTGACGGTAGACTAGATCCAAGCTTAAGTCAGTAGCGCAAACTTGAAAATCATAATGAAAATACACTCACCGCCGGCCGTTTACCCTGACTCTTTGTCATTGACGCCGCCGCCTCCCGTTCATAGGACTCATCCAAATCTTCATCTCCAAATGCTCCAACAAGGCATTCAGGATCATCCGCTTTGCTGGTAGGAGGGGGAGGTGCATGACTATAGGAACTGACTGAGGTCCTCTTCGACAGCTCAGATTTTGAAAAAATAGAAGGCGGTGGTTGAGTGGCGGTTGTAAGTGACTCATGCTGGGAACTTGCACCAGATTTCTGGGGCCCGACTTGCGACCTCCAGTTTAGGATACGACCACCTAGAGTTGGACCTAGACCAGGTTCTGTTCTGGACACCCAGAAATTCAGAAAATATAGCGTAGATTCAGTAAGCATCAACATGATAGTGCAAGGAAAACACGCACCGTAAGGAGTTGCCTTTCTCGTTGTTTGCACATGCATCGTTATCGATCAGGTTGTTATCGTCTGCATCAATATTTTCCCGAACGTTTGAGATAGCCACCTTCAGAGAGCGTTTCTTGGACTTCCGCTTCATACTATCTGGGGCCTCAAGATCATCGCCATCCAGCAATGCGTCTTCCTCAAAAATCTGATCCTTCAAGCTCGACACCCCACCAGGACCTGATGCGCCTGTATCCTGAGCATAACGATGACCTGCCATGGAAAAAGGTTCAGCTGATTGATCAGTAGCTGCCCTGCGACCCTTTGGTACCGGTCGCGGTTTAACTGCCTTGGGCTTTTTAGCCTGGGCTTGGGCCTGGGTACTTTCCATCTGGACTTGCAGTTCTGCCAGCCTGGTGAGCCCTGCTAGGGCGTCTGCTTCCTTTTCTGCCTCGGCCGCTTTCAAGCGGGCATCATCTGCCTGTTTTTGTGCTTTCGTGCGTCGTTTCGGTTGTGCGTCTAGAACGATCTGACCCGGATGGACGGTAGCATTTTGAGCACGTGTGCGAGGAGGAGGCATGTCAAGCTGTGACCCGGCAAAAATGAGGATAGGAAGCACTGATTGAGCAGTGTGGGTGAGCGGTAGAGAGGAAGACGACCACACGAATTGAATGCAACTTGAAATTTGTAAGTGGCTGACTTTTAGCACCCTTTTGTAACCCTTGGCGCTAAGCGCTTATTCAAACCTTGAATCTTAGTCCTCAAACCTCTCTCAGCGCGGTTTCAATCGGCCAGCGTGTTCGCCTCTCTCCCAACGCCAGCAATCCGCTACGGAGATCCTCTTCCCAACGCCAAGAATCCACTACGGAAATCCTCCTGCCCAACCCCCAGAATCCACTACGGAAATCCTCCCGCTGAACGCCCAAGAATCCACTACGGAGGACCTCCCCTCAACACTAAGAATCTACTACGGAAATCCTCCCGCCCAATTCTGGCAACTATCAGTTCAAGACACTACGATTAAAGTAGGTTTCGATATGAATCACACTTGTAACAGCTTTTCTCACAATGGGTGCAGGAATACTTCATCAAAGCTTACGGTCAGAAACTTAGTCAAACACCAAGAATCTACTGCAGAAATCCTCCCTCCCAACGCCAGGAATTCACTACATAGATCCTCCCTCCCAACGCCAGGAATTCACTACGGAAACCCTCCCTCCCAGCGCCAGGAATTCGCTACGGAAATCCTCCCTCCCAACGCCAGGAATTCACTACGTAAATCCTCCCTACCAACGCCAGGAATTCACTACAGAGATCCTCCCTCCCAACGCCAGGAATTCACTACATAGATCCTCCCTCCCAACGCCAGGAATTCACTACGGAAATCCTCTCAACGCCAGGAATTCACTACGGCAATCCTACCAACGCCAGGAATTCACTACATAGATCCTCCCTCCCAACGCCAGGAATTCACTACGGAAATCCTCCTCCAACGCCAGGAATTCACTACGGCAATCCTACCAACGCCAGGAATTCACTACGGCAACCCTTCCACTCAACGGCCAAGAATCCACTCGACATGCCCAATATCATCCCTCGCACTCAGATTCACCGCAGGGATTTCAGCGCCTTGCAACTTCCATGTGGACATGCAGGATGCAACCGGTTTTTCAAGACGGGCGGTGGGCGCACGAAACACATACTATCTGCCCATCCCATGATATCTTCCCCGCCGCCAGAGCATCAAGAAATGGACATTGAATGTCCCAGATGAAGAACTCGAAGGCCCTGACAATGGTCCAGGATATTCCCCCCCCGCCCGATGATGAAGGGGGTGTTTTTGGGCACGGCCATGATCACGGCGCTGATGCATTGAGGTCTTCCCCCCCACCTGATGTTGATACAGAGTTTTTTGGCCGTGGGAACCATTTCTTTCGGAATTATCATACTCAACTCAATGGTTTGCTGTCACGTTCCTCAATAAATTCAGTTTCTGACATCGCTTTCAGGCCGTCCATGTGATGAACATGGTCATTTTCTCGAGGACGACGCGCCGCCACCACCTTGTGAACCTCAATCTCCCAACGACTGGACCCCATTCCGTAACCGCACTGAATTCGAAACTGCGGATTTATTCTACGTCCAGAACCCAACACCTGCCCGTAAAATTGATGCGCACCTTGCATTATGGGCATCAACACTACTCAAACATGGTGATGTGCCACCCTTTGCAGACCATCGAGATCTCTACGAAACGATCGACTCAATACCATTGGGAGAGGTGAAGTGGGAAAGTTTCGCGTGCTCGTATTCAGGCGAGAAGCCTGAGGGTGATTACCCGCCCTGGATGGATAGCACCTTTGATGTGTGGTATCGAGATCCACGTCAAGTGGTTCACAACATGCTTGCAAACCCCGAATTCGCACATGAGATGGACTTTCGGCCGTATCGAGAGTATTCGACTGAAGGAGAGGAGCGCCAGTATAGAGATTTTATGTCTGCTAACTGGGCGTGGGATCAAGCGGTATGTACATGTCAGTTGCGAAGACTCCGGGGAACTAATGTGATGTACTAGGATGAAATTTCTAAGGATCCAGATACGATTGGCGCAACCTTTGTTCCCATCATCCTCGGAAGCGACAAAACAACCGTTTCTGTTGGTACGGGTAACAACGAGTATTACCCGCTCTATCTGTCCATCGGGAACGTCCACAACAACGTCCGGCGTGCACACCGGAACGCAGTCTCCGTCATCGGCTTTCTTGCAATGCCAAAGAGTGAGTGACATAACTTCCTGTCCTATACAACTTGCTGACAATACAATAGCTACGAAGGAGCATGCGAAACACGCAAGCTTTCGCAAATTCCGCCGTCAACTATTCCATTCTTCGCTTTCGAAGATTCTCGAACGACTTCGGCCTGGAATGAAAGTACCCGAGGTTGCGAAGTTTGGCGATGGGCATTTCCGTCGCGTGGTCTACGGGCTCGGGCCATATATTGCTGACTACGAAGAACAGGTTCTGCTGGCGTGTATGGTGCGTTTCTGGTGTGCACGGTAATTGATTGTTTTTCGACTCTAGACGTTCCTGACTCACGACGCTCAAGATGCATGGCACCGAGTGACGATCTTGATGCAGCTGGCGCACACGCTCGATGTCAAGGGTACATAGAAGAACTTGTTCAGGTGGGGACATATTTGGAGCTGTGGGACGAGTTCGGGGTTGTGGCGGATCTCGTTGTATGTTTTCATATCTATATACTTAATTGTTCTCACTACAATTTTACCTGCAGCCGTTCACAAACGATTTTCCCCGCGCCGATATTTGCCAATTGATTGCACCAGACCTCTTACATCAGATCATCAAAGGGACGTTCAAAGACCACCTCGTGGAGTGGGTTCATAAATATTTGCTACATATGCATGGAACACGCGAGGCACAACGAATATTGGACGATATTGATCATAGGTAAGTGTCCTGCCTTCGTGTGCCAACTCTAAGGACTCATTCTGGCTTTATCGTACTAGAATCGCCGCTGTTGCTTCCTTCGCTGGCCTCCGTCGTTTTCCGCAAGGACGTGGCTTCAAACAGTGGACCGGCGATGATTCAAAAGCGCTTATGAAGGTAAGTGTCCCGTTATGTTTAACAATTCCCTTGCTTAACGAGGTCTTTACACACCAGGTTTATATAGCAGCCATCGAGGGACATGTCCCCGTGGACATCGTGCGCACTTTCCGTGCATTTCTTGAATTTTGTTACATCGTACGACGGAATACCATTACGGAGCGCACGCTAGAGCAAGTTCGAGACGCCGTTTCCAGCTTCCATAAGTATCGTGACATTTTTCTGACGAGTGGCACCATACCCACATTCTCGCTACCACGACAACACGCCATCGCTCATTACGTGGAACTCATCCAGCTCTTTGGCGCTCCAAATGGACTCTGCTCATCTATTACAGAGAATAAGCATATCAAGGCTGTTAAAGGTCCATGGCGACGATCAAACAAATTCAACGCGCTCGGTCAAATGCTCGTCACCAATCAACGACTCGATAAACTGGCTGCCGCACGAGTCGATTTTACCAGCCGTGGGATGTTGAATGGGACTTGCCTTTCAGCAGCCCTCGAAGCCCTTCAAGTTTGTAAGTTCGGATCATATCTTCAGCTGCTTGAAAGCTAATGTTGATTCCTGCAAGTGCAACAAGATGAACCGAGGGACCCCACACTTCCTGCCACCGAAGATGCAGTTGACGACGCTCACGACGGAAACCTCGGCGTGTCTGTTCCCGAAGATGGCATTGACGGAGTAGACCATGGCCCGACAATTCTGCAAGCACACACACGATTGGCGCAAACAATTCGCAAGTATAGTATTTCGTTGTCTTTGAATCCAGACGTCTGATTTGATTTCGCACACAGAGACAAAACGTGCACGCAATGTATTGGCTCTCGCTGAAGAGCTGAATATTCCCCGTCTGCCTGAGATGATCCGCCGCTTTCTCTTCCAGCAGACACGCCCAGATGACCCGCGAGATGCATCCGAAATTCCCGTTGCGGGATGCCCTCGATACGAGGGCAAAATATCAGTTTTCAACTCTGCATGCTCACGGTTCTATGCCCCGAGCGACTTAAGTGGGATCGGTGGCATGCGGATTGAGCATATTCGTGCTTGCCCCATGTGGCGGAACGAGGCCCCTCGTTATGACTGCGTTTTCGTTAACGTTGGGTCAGAAGACGTGGGCATCCGAGGACTTGAAGTCGCGAGGATTCGTGCCTTCTTCTCGTTCAATTACGGAGGAACGACATACCCGTGCGCCGTTTTGCGCTGGTTCGATATCATTGGAGACTCGCCCGACGAAGATACGGGCATGTGGATGGTGCGTCCAGCCTGCGGTGCTAACAATGCAGCTATCTACAATATCATACACGTGGATACAATCTACCGTGCAGCTCACCTTATTCCTGTCTACGGCAGACGTTTTCTTCACCGCGATATTACCCTACACAATTCATACGACAAATTTCGGACTTTCTACGTGAATAAATATGCTGATCATCACTCTTTTGAGCTCGCATCATAGTCATTTTCATCAGTTTTACACATTGTATCCAATTAACTACGTTTTCAAGCCTTGATTGTTTTTTTTCCTCTTGTGTGACTTGAACGGCTTGAACCAAGTAAGTCTTTGGCCGCCTTGTCACACCTTTGTGCACATTTGCAAAGTTGCGTGAAAACTCAAGCGTAAAAAAGCCGCTGGAAGTCGAAAAAGGGATCCTGGGTTTTGCTGATGGACCTATCGGTTACGTCTATTCGTGACGCTACGTCTGTGACAAGTGACACATAGGCTCGTGATGCCCCGTGACCTGATGTGACTGATCACACAGGTCGCTGTGACTTATTAATGTGGTGTTTTTGTAGCCCTCGCAAGCTCGACACTCTCATCCCTTGCCGAACCTTTGGTTTGATACCTTCGTTAGAAACCCACGAATTATCCCTGCAATGAAATTACCTTACTCTATCTACCATATCCTCCATAGTATGAGAAACACACCGCAAATTGACCCAGGTATGAGCGAGAATGACGTGCTCGCTGTTGCGCACAGCGAGCACGAAGGGCGTCAGGAACGGACGTCGCTACCCGGCGGCATCTTTACGTTACCACACACTACTGGGCAAAAATACTGCGCATATATATCGAACAATTATTGAGTCAAGCCCCGACGGCTCACTAGCTATATCCGGTACAACTTAGAGGTGCGGAGGGCCCGAGAGGGCCCGGTCTATCACTACTTATTATTACAGCACTTACGTTGGAGTCACAGATGGTTTCAGAAATCTGTGGAGGAATACGCAGTAGCGACCGATTGACAGGTACCATGCACTACCTCCCAGATGCAGCTCGGCTGTTCGGCTAACTCAGGATTTGGATGTGGTATTTTTCTGTTAATCCTTGGGGGAAGTCAACCATTAATTGGTAGATATTGGTGCCAAGTCTCGTAGCGTCATGGATAAGCGACCGATCTTAGTATTTGACCCAGGCCTATGAAAGTCATTTACCTTACCCTCCTATTATCTTTTCAATCAACTAAATCATTTCCAGGATTCACTCATTTCCCTTTCTTTCCCTTACCAACCTGTGGTTGTCGCGTCCCTCTGAGTCTTAGCTTCTCGCAGACGTAGCGACGAATTAGGAACGAAGTTACACACAAGTGCTGAGGGTATAGGTGTTAGTACACATACACGGCCTTGATTCCATATCCTACCGAAATCCCGTGCTGGTCAGCCATTTGCGATGTCAATCACAGAAGCAAGCCTTTCCACATCTGCCGCCGACTGTGACGTACGTCCATTCATTTTGACATCCTTCTACCTTCCCATTTCAATCCCGAACATAGGTCTTAGCTGGCATCCGTCATGCTATTGCCGATTTTCTTCAGCATTGCGGCTTGCAATATACGCCCACCACGATCGATGAAGAGCTGTACAACAAATGCTGCCAGGATGCCATAAATCGTGGTTTTCCGATGTCGGATGAGGATTATTCTCTCCGACCGTACATGGTCATTGGTGTGACCATGTCGTCCATTGCTTATGGCCACCTCACCAATCCTGCCACCAGGATGTGGCTCTGCCACTTCACAGCTGCTGGCATCTGTGTAGATGATACTATGAAGAGGCAACAAGACATGGAGAATTTGTACCGTTTCAACGAACGATTTGCAACCTGCCAGCCACAGGGCGATGCAGTCCTGAATACGTGGGATGAGATATTGCGGGAGACCCCTCGTCATTTCTCCCCATTGGTGTCTGGTTTTATTACCACATCCACGCTCGACTTCATCTCCGGGCTCCTGCTTGAATATGAGACACAGGGTATGAAGGTATGTTGCTGTATGGAATGATGGGTGCTTGAATGACCTCTTCACGTCTGTAGATCTCGAGAGATGCTCCAATGTACCCCGAGTATACTAGGCTCCTATCCGGCTTGGCGCATGGGTTTGCCTATTTTGTTTTCCCTCCGACGGTCCCACTTCTGGATTACGTTCAATGTATACCAGACTTGATGTTTTTCTTAAACCACGCTAAGTAAATGCGATAACGATTTCTTCTATCCTTCTAGACTTTCTAATTTGTTCCATTCAGTGATATACTGTCATACTACAAGGAGGAAATAGAAGGGGACAGCACAAACTATGTGTCGCTCTTAGCAGCCTCCCGCGGTCTCACGAAACACGAGGCACTGTGTCGACTTATTGAGAAAACCGTGCTAGCGCACCATAATATCGTCAAATGCCTGAAACCGCATCCTGAGGCCTATGAGGCCTACGCCAGTGTTTGCCATGGATATATCAAGTTCCATACCGCCTTGAAAAGGTATATGGTAAAGGAGATTATGGCGGAGAAGTCCTTGCTGTAATTTTGCGTTGATCTATGTCGATGGATTTGTTACGATTAGAATTTATTTTCCATATATACTAAAGTTATTCCATTAGTAAAATACCCATATTGTCGTAGCTGCTATCCACCATGACATTGGAGGGCCGCATGCTGTCTATGCTGTCATGTCAAATGTGCTGGCCTCAGGTACCACCACCTTCATAAATGAGCGAATAATGTTATCTAGGCAACCGTTCATCCATCCCGGTGGCAATATGACTCGCACGTTTATCGTCACTAGCGGTGCCCCATTCTGTGTCCGTGAGTGGGCACTGTAATGCAGCGTGCAGTGCAGCGAGAACGTCAAAACATGTCACACCTTCTTCTCCGGCACTGGGGCCGATGTTAAACGCCCAGGGAAATTACGGGCTGATGAGTCATATGTGCATAGGCCTTTCTAGCGTAGCTGTGACGCTGAGAGACTCGCACCAGCAGCTCGTAAACGGAAATGATGATGGAAAACTGAGAGTAGGTAAGTGCATAACGCAAGTCGTATATCAATGGCACGGATGGTGGCGCGAGAAACGGATGAGGGGGCTGGGAGGAGGCATAATAATTAATTCAAAATAAGAAGTTGCGTCTGAACCGTACCCTTTTGGGTGCCGTTAACACCTAATGCCATTGTTTGGCGTACACATGAGCCATGCATTCTCTGCACCATGCCGAGTTGTGGTAAGCATCTCAGAAGCGCCCTGGTGAGATTGAGCGCGAGCGCCACATTTATCAGCCAAGTCAGATCGTAGAATGACCTGTCCCAACGGCGACAGAGAATCCACCGCTCCATGTCCATGGATTGGGGATGTTTTGGCGTTGAGAATCATCAGAACCCGTTATATCAGTGGATGCTAACAAGAACAGATTAAGCTTGAAAGTAGAACATTAAAAAAGGAAATCACCTTGCACCCCCGTGCAAGTTGCAACTACCGGTATGGGCAGTGGTAACCTCATAGGGGTGACGCAAGGGGGCATCGATAACATGGGGAAGTTCTATGGGGGGGCGGGGCCATCCTTCGTAGCGATCATTGTGCAAAGATGGAGGCGAGATTGGATTAGGGGTAACATACTGGCACTGCCAGGGGGGACGAGCTGTATCAAACATGGGGAGAAGTGTTGACGTCCGAACGATCCGACACGAGGAAAACCGAAGGATCCGAGATAGAAAAGGAGGGCCGAGCCCAAGCCAAAATGAGCGCAGACGAGCGACGTGTTGATGTCGGCTCGTGCGCTGCAATATGTTAGAGAATGATACGTGAAATTTTCGTTACTATACTACTCACCTTAAAACCAGCAGCCCTAGCGTAGTTACATCTCAGTTCTTGACGAGAAACTGAGATGTAAGTTAGCGTTCGTCCTCGCGTTCGAACTATCGTACTGACGAGATCGTAGCGTACCTTTTGTTATAGGTAGAGAGATCGTTAATAGAGTTCTTGACGAGAAACTGAGATGTAAGTTAGCGTTCGTCCTCGCGTTCGAACTATCGTACTGACGAGATCGTAGCGTACCTTTTGTTATAGGTAGAGAGATCGTTAATAGAGTTCTTGACGAGAAACTGAGATCGTACCTTTTGTTATAGAGCGTGCCCGCTCCCTACGACATCTCACTATTCTCCAGAAGAAGGTGATGATGATGTATGGAGACTTGGGATGCTAGATGCATTGCGGCCAGTTCTTATATACGTTGTAATTAGCGAAGAAGGAAGTGAATCATTGTTAGTATGTTACTGTATGTTTGCAGCACGCACTACTAGCCTTGCACCTGGCGCCAATGTACCGCATCGCTGCAGCAAGAGCCGCTGCTACTCCGTGTCGACCGGCTTGGATCCCGTGTTACATTTCTGGGGCTTGTCAAGGATGATGCATTTGCGAGGAGTAGACTCATTCCGGGCGGTGGGCAGCCACCTGAGACGTGGGTGGTGACATTTCAGAGATTATGACTCCGAAGGTCCAAAGAAAATTTACAAATACCTTATTACTAGTTATATCTCGTCCATTCAAATTATGCACGCAAAACGGTAATGATGCACACCAGCCTCGAATAATTGCTCACTCCTCACTGTTGTACCACCTCCCACCACACCTCTTTCACCTTGTTACCATCTACCTTCTCCTCAGCCCCCACTTTAGCATCCCCCACAGCAATCCTCATCCCCGCCCAACACGCATCTACAAGCCCCGCGCCACCCGCCATCCCCATAACAAGACTCGCAGCATAGTAAAAATTCGCGTTCCCACGGCCCTCGCTTACCCAGAGTACATGTTGAAGCGGAAGGAGAAGCGCGGCGTGCAAGTGGAGGAGTGTAGTGATGATGGGGTATCGGAGGTCTGTGTGAGAGAGTATGGGGTGAGCGGTAGGGCGAGTGTAGTAGGGAAAGGTGACTTACAGCCGTGTACTTCAGGGAAGAGAGATATCATGCTTAAGAACAAACCTGGGTCTGCGAGAGTGAGGTATGCTTTGAACGTCCCCAAGACGCCTATGAGGAGGAATGCGGCGTAGAGGGGGTCGTGTCTACAAGTGGGTGTATCAGAGCCCACCTGAATAAGCACGTATAATACCCAGATTCTCTTACTGGAATTTTATGCAAATCGGTAATATATATATGACAAGGTGAACCTGACTATGTAGTTAGATGGCAAATGTTCGCGCGAGGAGGACGAGAACGCACAGAGAAGACCATGAGGAAGAATGGTCTGAAGTGATCGAACATCTCAGTGAAGAAGTACCACCAAAGACCGGGGTTAGGCGTAAGGTCTGGCAGTGTGAGGCTGGGATGGTGTGTTTATGGACCATCTGCCAGACATTGGAAGTCGACTTACCTCGCGCCCCATGATGCACTGACCCAATTCCAGCCTCCGCCCGCCATGGTACATGCTGCGCCTACAAGGACGAGCCAGTATAGTGTGAACTCACCAAAGAGGAACGGTATACGCTTCAGGCTGCCATGGAACGGGCGAGGCGAAGCAAGGTGAGATGTGGGAGAGGTGACGAGAACCATAAGAATTGGTAGAAGGAGAAGGATAGAGGAGGGGGCGAGATGAACTGCGAATGCGATAGCGAGGAGAGCGGAAGATGGTTTACCTGGAATTGAGGAATGCGTGTGAGCCAACTTGGATGGAGGCGTTGAGATGTACCTTCAGATGCGAACATGAGAGCAAGGAGGGTGAACGTATTTTCGAATGTGGATGTTGATAACGCAAGCGATGGAAAGAGAAGGTAGGGATTCAGCAAGTAGCTGTGCGGTGTGTTAGGTGCGTACTTGAAGTATGATGATGGAACGCACACGCTTACGACGAGGTTCTCTGCATTGAACCTCGTGCCCTTGTGAGGCAAAAAACCCTGGCGTGCACGCCATATGCGGAGAAGCGCCCATGCTCCCACTGCATCAGATACAGCCCATACTATTGGGAATGGAGGTACGATGGTTGAAAATAAGGAGAGTAGGAGAGGTGACTATGAGACAACTGGTCAGCCCATGACATGTGGCCCACTGGAGTGACGTACATGGTGAAAAGCTCCTCCCATGTATGGGTCGATATTATTGTCGAGGAGCCAAAGACCTTCGTTCACTGCCACGGATTAGCGGTGCAATCACTTGGTTAGCAGTACGTTGGCACATACAGCGAAGGTAGGAGGTCAGTGGAGAGCTGAGTTGGTGGTCATGTTTGAGGAGATGTTGACCTGGAAGTGGTAGAACGGCGAGCAGAAGGCGAAGACATACCAAGACTGGAAACGCTGGCGGTGTGTTTGTCACGGTCATCTTGAACTTCAAGAATTTTGCCGCCGTGATGACTATATAAAGAAGGTATGTCATTTAAGCGATCCTTCAGTGGCAGTGGCAGTGCTTTGCCTGGCAATGATAGGACCCACATTCGCTGGGTTTTGCAGGCAGGTCTTTTATTGCTAGAAGTGATGATCAGTCACGTCTTCTACAGCATGGAGGGCCAACTTGATCCAACCCTGTGGTTCGATTGGACGTTGCGCCCAATATTTGCGCCCACAAATAAAATATGGATAGCGCTTTGCCATCCTATTATCCGATGGTATATAATCCCCTCATCATAGCGATGCCTTCTCGAGCATCCCAAGTCATCTTACATCAACACCACCTCCCCCATGTGTTATTTCACTCGTCCATCGTGGAATACCCCTGATCCCAACTCCTCGCCTCCAGCTTTGCACAATGCTCGATACGACGGGTGGCCCAGTCCTCTAATACAGCTTCCACGCGTCTCTTCGCCTTCATTCAAGAAGCCTGCTGAACGGCACGTTGCATTTGCAATCGATGCCTCCTCTAACCGTCGCCCCCGTGACGGTAATGCCACTCATGCCCGTAAGGAGCTATCTTGTCCTGCTTGTGGCTCTCTGTCTCAGCCGTTATTAGAACATCGCCCTATTGATCCCAAATGTGACGCTCACCCACGTGCAACTTCTGGGGTGCAAGGTATTTACCCTTTCCTTTGTTCTACGTCAAGCTCATTGGTTGTGTAGATATTATGTGTCCCGTTGAGTTCCGATGCCGCGACGTTTCTAATCCATGCATGTTCAACGGCAAGTTCCTATTATCAAATATGGTTATCATACAATTTGACTCTATGATAAAGGTGGCACTCGCCAGAATCCATCTCTCCAAGGCGCTTTTGAGATGCGCACCGCAGTTCGACATGACAAAGAGAACGCAGCGATCAAACGTAAGCACCCCCGTTCGTTTAGTTACAACTGCCAAGATGTTCAATTGCCCACTTTCCTAGATGATCCTGCACCACGAACAAAGAATTCAATCCCACTGATCAACAAGGACACAGAAATCGGTATGGCTCAGACGCACACTTGTAATCCTGGTTGATCCTGATGGGCCTCCCCCTAGCATACCTTCTTGCGGCGGCACCATGCGTGCCACTGGTATACGATCTGCGATACCCACCCACCTCTCTCCAATTTTCACCATCATCTCCGTACGCAGGACGAGGATACGAGCTCCTTCAGATACCACTCACGCCAGCACGGTCCAAACAAATACGGCTGATCAGTCAAGACTTCCCCTGGGCATTCGACATCGAATCCGGTGCCGGGAAACAGGGCATAATGTGTCTTGAAGTCCTCAGAGCGTTACACGCTGCATTACAGCACCCACTCTCAGATACGGAGTGGGGCGCCGCTGTGGAGGATAAACACGCAAGTCTCATCAGAGCGCGCGATCGTCGGCTAACTATGGATCCTGCTTCGCGCGGGAGCTTGAATTCGAAGGCATCCCCTACTGCCAAGCCTAGAGTGAGATTCGCAGTTGATGCGGATATGAAGCTTGAGCGACGAGAGCCGGTGATACTCCGTGTGGACTGGCTTGGGACCCGTGTTGCGTTTGGGGGGCTCGTCAAGGATGAAGCGTTTGCGAGGAGGAGACTCATTCCGGGTGCGAGGGAGCCACCTGAGACGTGGGTTGTGAAGTTCCAAAGATTAGTGTAATATGTAATCATGTTCGGACGAAACGCACAGACCTTATATGTATTGGTTGTTTATCGAGATTTTGGGACATACGTTGGCATTCGCGTCACAGGGGCTATTGCTCTTTAAAGGGCAAGTACATTTTTTGGGCCAAGGCTAGACTCGTAATCTTCTCAAGTACCACTTAGAACAGATCTACTCCCTCACTCACTCCAGCACACCAACGAACTGTGACCCCGCCGCAGAGATATATAACCCATACCTATTCCTGCCTTCCGGGACAGCCACACATCAGCCTATAACCCCCGGCCGACTGAACATGGCGTGCTGTTGGGTCACTGTCAACGTGACCACATATATATGTCCGCTGCCGCAGTTGTAGGAGGTTCGTTGCGGACTAGAGCGATTCGGGATGTGATGCCCAGAGATACCAATGTACCAGACAAACCTATGTGTGTGGCTCAGCACTACGATTTTGAATCCCTGGAATATTTTTTCTTCAGCCATTGAACCTTTGATGGTGCTGACTCAGCTGCGGAATGCTGGCAAGAGACCCCTATATAGCTGATTTATCGCCACCATCATGAGCGGATCAACCAAGTTCGAGTCATCTTTCCCCAATACAGGGCAGCATGACGAAGATGTTAGTAAACGCCTTCAAGAAATAGCAGAGATGACTCTGGCCGCCATTGAAGACGGGACGGTTACTGTCAACGACGTCTCACACAACATCACTCCCAGAGTCAACTTCATGACGGAAAACACTCGTTATTACGGTCCAGACTCCCAGCTATCCGCCTGGTCAACTGCTAGACCACTCACTAGCTCTGATCCCTGCTCCGCTCATGGATGCGAAATCTCTATCCTGAAGATGACGACTCTCCAAGGCGCGCAGCTGCTACATGATATTCTATCAAAGTCGAGTTCAGGGAGCGGGATTGTACCGGGTATACTGAATTTTGGAGATGCGACTTCTCCAGGAGGAGGATTCTTGATCGGTCTCCCAACCCAAGAAGAAACCATTGCTCGTTCATCTACACTTTACCCCTCTCTCATGACAGACACTGCTCAGCAGTTCTACAATCTGCATCGCCACGATGAGAAAGGCGGATTCTTTCACCATGCATTTGTATACACCCCTGCATCCGTGGTGATGCGAAATGACGCAGGAGATTGGGTGTCGCCGTATGACGTTGATGTACTCACGAGTGCAGCAGTGAATGCTGGTACAGTCCGCAGACAGATCGGCAACAGCGTTGCACATGACGAGGTTGAGAATCAGATAGAAGCGACGATGCGGGAGAGGATGGCGCGTATTCTCTTCTTATTCGAGCAGCAAGGGAGTAAAAATATCGTTCTGGGAAGCTTTGGAACGGGAGTGTTCAGAAATAATGTCGAGGTGGTAGCGAGGCTATGGAGTCAGTTGTTGGTCGGAGATGCTGCTCGATTCAACGCCTCCTTTGATCGAGTGGTATTCGGTATCATTGGAGAGAAGACCTTCATGACATTCAAGGATGTATTTAATCAAACAGAACGGTAGCGGGTTCATCGATTTCGGTAATTGTAGCATACGTGTACATGTATTTCAAAGAATGCCGGGGTAGAGTTGATGTATGGCGACAAGGGTCGAACAATGAGGAATGAGAAATGGAGAAATGTTCTCGCCAAACATCACGTAAGAGATCGTACACATTTAGGCCCACATAGCCTTGTACTTTTCATGGAACTCTTCGAGCGCACCGTTGACCACTTCGAAAACTCTCCAGTCCGCATCCGACACACCGCGCGGTCTCTGCGAATCACTAGTTGCTTCCAATTTCCCCCGCTCCTGCTTCTCAGATGCTTCCTCTTCCTCATCCCCCCACCGGACTGTGTCAAGTGATCCATATCCGCTGTCCACCTCCTCACTGAGGTCTGCATTCTGAGGTGTTGCATCTTCGGACCTCTTCTGAAAGAGTTGCTCAAGTACCCCACGCACAGTCATTAGCGTGAGGTCAAAGTCCTGCAACAAAAACCAAACTTCGCCCCGTCTGATTGCATTCGCGGAGGCAAGAGCCGCTACCTGTCCGTGAATGTAGAAGTCTAGGAGGTAAGCATTCAGCGCGTATTTGTTGTCTTCTTCGTTAGTCTTCCCGGTGATGCCTCTGAACGATGGGATGGTGTGTTCGTTCAGGTTCAGTCCACGTCGAGCCGTTTGAGCGAGGTCGTGAACACTGTCGAAATGATCGTCATGGCCCGAGTTAGCCACAAAGAGCGACCGTGCGACAACACGGATCGCAGTATGATGAAGGTGGTCGCGAATGAGCGACGGTGCATCTTCCGCAGTACCCGATATATCCCTTTTGCTAAGTGGCAGGATATGATCGGGCTCAAGGTCCTTGTGGTGCTGAGTCCCGTAAGTAAGGGCATATCCGGTGAAGATCTGGAGGATTTCGCGCTCTTGCTCTATCAGCACGTCACGAGCTGGCTTAGCCAGTGGTGGTAGTACGACCATTGATGGCGACTTCTTGACCACATTCATGATGTACTCCTCTTTCATACAAGCAGAAGGCAGGTACCGCCGTCCGAAGAGGTGGGACATCAGCTGGATGAACTCGCGTTTCGCAAGCCTCAGGCTAGGTTGCGCACAAATTTTATGGATCACGCCGCTCCGAAGCAGAGCAACTAGAGCCAAGTTGCTGGGCTCTGTGTAATACAAATGTGCCGCTATTCCGAAAAGGTTGAGCGGCTTCCCTTGCTCGTCGAGCAGACGAGCACGACGCAAGTAGTCGATAGAGAAACGCAGATGGTGCAAAAGCTGGTATCTGCCTTCCTCAGAACCAAAACTGATTTGTGGTAGGCGGAAGAGCCGTTGCACAGCGGCGACTGCGATCGTGGAGTAATCAGAACCCTCCAGCAGATTGAATAGGCGCACGACGAGAGTCGATGTAATAGGGAAACTGGCAGAAAGGGAGGGCAGCTTGGAAAGCACCAGTCTCTGCACTCTGCTCATGGGAAGAGCATAGAAGACCACTTTTCCGAGCAGGTCGTATCCTCGCCGTCCAGCGCGTCCCGCACATTGTCGATACTAGGGTCATTGATTAGTGACGATTTGAATGAAACTATGTAAAACGAACCATGAGTGCAGTGAGGAAGGGTGAGTCACCACAGAAAATTGAAGTTTTGGTCGGGGCGTTGATACCCAATGCAAGAGTGCCTGCAAACGCAGTCGAAGGTTAGTGGCCCTATAAAAACAAAAAACAACGAAATACTTACCCGTTGCGAAAATCACGCGCACGAAGCCACGGCGAAAGAGACTTGATCTACTATCAGACAGTGGTCCTACATTGTAAAAGAAGCTTACCTCTCAACCAGAGAGCGATACCCTTTGTTCATACCGGCATGATGAACAGCGATACCACGTCTCAGACAATTTATTGCCCATTCAGGTGGAGAGGGTTTCCGCCTCGCAAGATCAGCGATATCTTCGTCAAGTTCCAATGCCGTATACGAAGTACTTTGACCAGCGAACGAGAAGTTTGGCAGGGGATCATCAGGTCTAAAGGATGCCTGCCATTCACTCGTGACAGCGCGCTTATCCTCTTCATCGGCCTTGTGCTTCGATGCTCGTGTAGTTATGCGTTCCCGCTCTTTTGCGCCTTGAAGGTATGCGTCATATTGTGCCATTTTGCGTTTCCACTCAGGACTATTTTCGCGCCATTTGTCTTCCTGACTCTGGAGCACGTTGTCCAAAATTTGGGCCATCTGTTCACAATCGCTTCGATCGAATGAAAAGAAGATACCAGGCTAAATGAACAAGGATTACATGAATATAGAGAAGGAAGATACGTCAAGTACTCACGAGGTCCCCTTGTGCGTGAAGATCGGCGACCAGATGAATGAGATTGCAGCCAGATATAACACGATCAGGTTGAGAGTTCAACACTTCGTCTGGGACACGAGATAAAACGTCATCTTGGAGTTGAGTAATGACGCGCGACAACGGTGTCCCGGAGTCTCGCGAATTGAAAGAGGACAGCAACGGAGCGAGGCGCTGTTTCAGAGCCTCTTCGTACCGTATTATGTCCTTCTGCTGAAGCAGTTTACTAGAGGGAAAAAAGACCGGGGGATCGAGGGCAGTGAGAATAGAAGGCTCGAGTGCTGCGCATGTATTAAGAGCACGATACAAATTCAATGCATCCACTGCTTCCAGTGCCAGATCAGAGGGGAGAGAATGTGCGCTGAATGAAAGAATGGACAGTGGATGCAGAAATCGCATCCTTTCGGTAGACTTGTGCGTCGAAAGGCTTTGGAAGGCATCTCTTGGCTCCTCGTGGATGTTATAATAGAACTTCCTCAAGTGGGAATACCGATGCGGGTAATGCACGAACTTGTGCTGGAAACCGCCTGCTTTTTGAACGCTTTCGAGCCATTCATTGAACCTTTCTGGTGCTCCGACCGTTGCAGATAGACCTCTATTCATGCGGGAATCAGCACATGATCAGTCAAATGCAAAGTGGCGTACATGATAGGACAAGGGGACAGGAGCAATATCTGTTCCCAGACAGCTCCGCCCTCCTGCTGGCCAATCGTGTGAATTTCGTCAAGAATGACACTACAGTAGAACGTAAGAGGAAAATACACATATATGAAACTGACGTTCGTACTATTTGAGTCGGGGGGTCCACATCTTAGCGAGTGGAGGAGATAAAAGCATGATCGCCAGGATCTCGGGGACAGTGACAAGGATTTGGCAGTTCTGCGGATCATGGACTCGGAAGTCACGGGAGTGGATTGCCCAGCAGCTACCTGGAATTGAATCAGTGGCGATCCCTCGTTGAATATGAGCCCACGAGTACTCACGACCGTTGAGGTCCTTGCTAAACCTGGCATAAATCTCGGCTGCAACCTGAGCAACAAGGGCTTTTGTCGGTGCAATGTAAACCAGTATCCCATCGTCAGATCCTCGGAGAATCTTCTCCATAGCATAATACGAGATGAAGGTCTTTCCTGCACTGGTAGGAGCTGCAACTAAATGAGTGGTTGTTCTACCTCCGAAACAAAGCATCACTAACCCACGACGAGAAGAGACATGTTTTGGTCGATAGCATCAAGCACCTCGCGTTGCCACGCATCTGGCTTGAATAGCACTCTTGCATCAGCCTGACTATCCATGCTTCTATCCATGAATTCCCCGAACAACCGTAGTTGCCATACAATAGGGTGCTCCTGCACTCGCATGAATTCATTGGCTGGTGTTTTGGTTTTGGACTTGATCAGCTTGACGAAGCGAAAGCTTAGCGCCCTGTCGTCAGTTGAACCCGAGACGACGAGACTATCAATATAGTCGCTGAAGCCGAGGGAAATCAACACGCTCGTAATTGCGTTAGCAATCTCTTTTGTGCTAAAGCCAATCTCCCACACTTCCTTGACGAGACGCATTAGTGACAAGGAATATTTGTCGCGGCTCGCCGAGGAGTCTGGATTAGCGGAATAGATCCACTCTCGGAGAAGACGATGCATACGATACAGCCGAAGTTCTACGCCCACTGATGGCTCCCTGGTTCGCGGATTGCGGGCAAGAACTTGCAGGTATTTTTCGAGACCAATACCATCCAGGCTTTCCATCTCTTGGATACGGGACGCGATCCATGCTGCAGACTCAGACATCTGTTTGGATTCCTTCTTGGCGATATTCTGTTCACGGATAGCATCGGCTTTTGACAGTTTGCCGGTACTTTTGCCCGACGAACGAGCATGTACAACTTTTGGCTGGAGGTCTATGATGAGCGATAGAAGTGAGAATTACCACACCTGAGTACTGACCTTCGCGATGCGCTGATTCATAAGGGAGGCCACGGTCGGTATCTTCAGCTGTTCGAGGACAGCCCCTGATGCGCCAGTCAAGGTGCTGGCTTGGTCATGCAAGTTCTTCATGAAACGCTGGTCTGACCGAAGCTTCCGACTACGCTGCCATTCAGTCATCGGAGTCGCAGTATCTCCTCCAAGATGCTTGGGCAGAATAGCCATCTTATGGTTGTGCCAATGCTGCGTGTCCGAGAAGAGGGTATCCTCTCTGGATGTTTTAATTTGAGGAGAACGAGCGGATGGGAGGTCGTCAGCGGACTCGTCACTAGTGCTGCTATCGTCCCACTCGTCAGACTCTTCTCCGATGGAAGCAACACGTTCTACGGGATTTGGGCGTGTGACGCCCTCCGCGGCGACGTGGACGACAGAAAGCTCCTCGTCAAACACTCGGTTGGTGAAGGGGAGAAGCTTGAGGGGAACTGGCATCTTATACAAGTCATCAGGAAGGAAAAAGACGCTCAAACGCGAAAAGTCGAGGTGCGGGAGCTTCAACTCAGAAAAGATATCTTCCGCATCTTTGGCCACAGTCGGCCCGAGAATCTCTGTCAACGATTGAGCTTGATGCTCGGAAAGATAGCGCAAGACAGAAAGGAATACACGGATATCAATGTCGATGGATGTATCGGTTGTCACAATGACTGCTTCTGTCGCCCGAAAAATGCGGGGTAGGAAGGATTTCGTCAACAAAGTGAAAAGGCCAGGTTTCATAGGCACCAGGCGCCGTGCTCGATCCTGGATGGATGCATTCTTGAGAAGAAGGACGTGAATGATGAAAACAGCAAGTAGCGACGGCTGAGTGTCGTCCTTGAATGCTAAAAGATATGATATTCCAATATCCTTCAAGATCGTGCGGTGGTCTATGAAAGACAAGGATGTTGATGCTCCGCCAAGGACGCAGCTGCGGACTTGATTGAACGGCCCCTGTTCTTGACTAGCAAGAACGTCCTTGGCAGTGACGCCCGCGGATAAAACAGCATCGGGGAAATATCCTCGATGGCCCAAGCGAAGCTTTGATTCAAAAACGAAAGATAAGATCTATAGCAGAATCGATGCTCGTGTTAGATTCTAGAAAGTAGGAGGGTAAGGGAAAAGCGGGGTATGACCTTGGTGTCCTTGAAATCAGCACCCTGGAGCGGCACCATTGCCAAGCCACTAGCCAGCAAATCGAAGATAAACAATCGTTGAGTGAGTATTTGATGGACGGCGAATTGTCCACCGATTCCTTCCTTCAGTGTACCGCCATCGTTGACCATCAAAAACATTGGCTAAAGGGGAGTGAGAAGAGATTATCGTGCTTTGTGGGACTTCTACCTTCGCTTGAACACGATAATCAACCCAATTTTTGTCGGAGAGACTTGCGAAGGAGAGGGTTTTAACCGAGTTCAGCGACTGGAGGTGCTTATATAAGACTCTTCTGGCCAGGGCTCGAGATGCGACAGTAAACTCCGACTCGCCCGCCTGTAGTACTAGGTGTCGGTTGGCTGATACCGTATTAATAAGATAGACACTATAGTGAGATAGAGAAGTAGGCTCACCATCGAAGAAAACGATATCAAAGTTAGCAGAGCGTTTTCGGAATTCGTTCAAAATGCGTTCTAGCAAATAGATCGCATGAACGATTTGAAATGATGGGTCTTCAACAGCACCATCATCCAAGTCGTATCAGAGAAAACCATCCATATTCGACAACGATGACGCACCGTCATCCTTCGCCAATGCAAGCAGATGATCGTCAAGTACAACTTGGAGTAAAGAATGTCCTAGGATGAGGATGAGTATCAAGGTTAGACGGCTAGTAAGCTAAGCGAGTACCATCGATGACAAAGGGTTCTGCACCAGCGTAATCCCCGATCAAATCCATCCAGCGCGCGCCCCTACTTGCAGGCGCATACCACAACGAATCAATCCGGTCTAACGCTTCTATAACAGTGCATGATCGGGCATTGATTGATGATTCGGACTCCTCGATGGTTCGCTCGATATCAACTTCAAACTCCTCAAAATCCATGTTGCGGACGATGGTGTGAATGGGATCTGAGTTGTGTGCAGTCTTTTGGTGGTCCGCCTAGGGGAGATTAGATGGCTTCTGGAGATAGCCAGGATAATCGCCTCGAGGCACTACCACACAGGAGATTTGCAGGAGATCGATGGCACAAGGCAGACTGGGCGACGCTTACTCGCCTAATCAAGAAGGCTTTCAGAAGCCTGACTGGCGCTTATTCGGGTGACGGGTCGTTGAGCGCCGAGTTTCAACTTGAAGGTTCGATGTGATCAGGAAGTGATGGACATCGATGGAACCCCACGTTCGTATTCAACGGGCCCCCAATATCGCGCCAGTGCGCATGATTCAGAAGGCTCGGGTTTAGCGATCCTTGCTGCAGAGTCGTCTGAGTCTGTCTTCGCTATAAGGATGATGAGCTCTTAGCAAGGGCAGACAAGTACTCAACGAGTGGCTGAAAGTGGTTGTTTGGTCCTGCTGTTTGCTGTGCAGTGAATAACACCCGGGCGAATGGACAAATTCAAATTCAAGCACGTGCTTGGAGTTTCGTGCGAAACTGTCACTGTGTCAACCTCGTCAACGTTTTAATGGTTGACCTGAACTTTGTCACGCTCAACGATACCAACGACAACGACTGCTGAAATACTCAAGGTGCACGTGCATGGGTGGCATTGCGAGTCCCAGGCACCACAGGGCCACGTCCCGAACATAGTCTGGTTCCACAAGTTAAAAGAGACGTCCACGAAAATCATGAAGTCGCTAGGGATTCACGACGCCAACACTGAACGAGACAATCGCGTCTTATATATCATCGTGTTCAGGAAGCTTCTCCCGATAACGTTGTTGAGCGGGGACGAGCTTTTCAGCGCTTGGTGGCAAGCCGTGGTCTGTAATTGTGATTTTTCTTGTGCTCTTTATTGCCTCCAACTGCGCCGACACTACACTAGCAGGTCATTATACTCTCTGGAAGGGCGATGTCCATTACTATTACGTCAGTCCTAGCAATCTGATGGTGTACTGGTCAAATTGTTGATAGATCGGCGTCCTCAATGACTACCATTTATCATCGATCCAATGCGACGAGCCTACTAGCGACAACGAGCGCACAGGGACAGTCACCATCATTTCACCCCGGCCAGCATGCCAGAAGACAAATCTGTATTCGAGAGGTGGCTCCTGACGATTATGAAGTCTGTCCCTCCAGACATTATACTTCGCCATCCTGTTGACGGAACAAACCCCTGGATGACTAGTCAAATGTGAATGCTGACTCCGATGCAGGGAGACAAATGTAGCTATATACGAAGGATGACGACACCAAACCTTCGGGTGTCACTTGCCTTCACACTATCTATCATGTTCCCAAGGCCTATATGCAAGATGATGAGTCTGTTATTACAGACGTGGCACCTGGCGAACGTGCAGTCGTCGCTCCCAATATAACACATCGCTATGCTGTCAATTTGTGGCAGTCTCATAGAGATCGCAGTGAGTTTGTAAAATACTTGGTCGGATTAAAGACCCATCAATAATCACGACGTCCATGCTCAATCGACGTATCCCTAAACACTATCCCTTGTCAAAAACAGTAGCAATCTTGTAGAGGTTACTCTTTCGCATTAGAGATTATGTCAGTTTACTACTTTGTCGGATAGGTTTACACTAGGCTCGGGACCAGCCGCACATGAGATCGATGATGGCACAAGGCAGACCAGTGGGTGGCGCTTGCTCGCCTAATACAGAAGGTTGACTGAATTCTCGATTGAGTTTAGTATACTTATCGATGCGCAGGGGTAATATCTGCGCATGCACGTGCCAGCAACTTTGTATACTTACACGTCGATCGGATCCGTCAATAACGAATGGGTCGTTAGGTGACATACGTACGTACTAGGGCCACGTAGGGGAATGAAACAAACACCCAAGCCCGAAGCACGAAGACCACAAGAATGAGCCGGGAAAATATCGACGATTAGTGGCACTGTTACATGGACCATCCCGGGATCATATTTCAATATTCATGTGATATCGTGGAGAAGGGCCAGGAATCTGAGCTTGGCCGCTCTTGACGGCAACGTCACTGATCATGTATGAGAATCTACTTGGAACGACGAAATAGGTATCACATACAATAGGCGCCCAGAAATGAATGACCAGACTCACAGACGTGCCCGTCGAGCCATAATGCCGTTTGTTCGGACTAACCACGGCTTGGCCGTTTCATGAAGGGTCTGGACAGGATCAATCATACGTTGTCTGGTCGCACCGGCCGGACCGCACCAGTCCGCACGAGGCGGACATTCACGGCAGCCGGGACTGACATTGTTTATCTCTGCGCACCGCGTGAGCAGAAAAGGTTTGTGGCTAGAGGATGATCGATGAGGCAGGGATCATCTGATTCCAACGAAATCTCACGAATGTAAACTTTAGTCCAGCCACAGGGAGATATCATCGTGTCGGCTTAACCGCAAACCGTCTCTAGTCCACTATGACATCTCATCTCACAACCCTTAATAACGGCCAAACCATCCCTGCTATCGGGCTTGGTGAGCGTCCGAACTTAGTTCAGGGTTGATGGCTTACTGACAAGCTTGGACAGGAACATGGCAATCGAAAACCAATGAAGTCGCTCGTGCTGTCGAACATGCGCTCAAGGCAGGCTATAGACACATTGACTGTGCTTGGTAGGAAAGCGTTGGTTGATTGTGAAATAACTCTGATTTGAGCGCATCAACTAAAGGGCATATGGGAACGAAAAGGAAGTCGGCGAGGGCCTGCGTGCATCGGGCGTTCCGCGGGAGGAAGTATTTGTGCGTATAACATATCTCACGTATCGGTTACCCTGTTCACCTGGTTATTGATAGATCACCAGCAAGCTTTGGGGCACATACCATAGACGTGTTGAGGAATGCCTCGACCAGACACTCGCGAACCTGGGAACGACATATCTTGACCGTGGGACTTGCATTTCTCTAGACTTGTTTGACTGGTGCTAACTGTTTTGATTATCAGTTTACCTTGTTCACTGGCCTGTCGCGATGAACCCAAATGGGAATCACCCTGTCATGCCGATGCGCGCGAACGGTAACCGTGACATCGATGAATCTTGGGACCTTGTAGACACCTGGAAGGGCATGGAAGCCATGGTAAAGAAGGGTAAAGTCAAGACAATCGGCGGGTCAAACTTCTCCCAGAAGGTACTCGAGAGGATTTTGCCCACAGCTGAGATCATCCCGGCTGTTAATCAGGTATGTTCGACGTAATGTCACCATTCGAAACTGACCATTGAGACATGCAGCTCGAAATCCATCTGTACAACCCGCAGCTGGAACTTCTCGATTACTTGAAATCGAAAAACATCGTTCCACAAGCATACTCGCCCCTTGGTTCGACCAACTCTCCACTATTGACTGACGAGTCTGCCACAGAGATTGCAAAGAAACGTGGTCTCAAGAGCACGTCTGATGTCCTTCTCGGTTACTTGCGTACGTTCATGCTTGTCGTTCGTCCTGTGCAAGAGAATGGTGATTGACATGTCTGATGGCAGTGGCGAAGGACATTATTGTCCTTCCCAAATCAGTGACGCCATCCCGCATCGAATCCAACTTGAGCGGTACGCTAAAGGCGTACAACGTGCTGACGCCAGAGGACATCAAAATCCTTGACGGCGTAGCTGCGGGTGGCAAACAGAAGCGTTTCATCATGCCCCCTTGGGGTGAGTGTTGGTAATGGCCGAACGTGATGGTATTGAAATTTGTTGTCCAGGTATTGACCTAGGCTTCGATAATTGGACTGCTTCAACCAAGTAAGCGATAGGCTCGGTCATGCATCGATATAACTGATTGATAATAGGTGAATTGGAGAGCACGATTGTAACATTTGAGGCAGACACGAAAGTTGTCTGTAGATGTAGAACTGCATGTACTTCATAGGATACGTTTTCCACAGAATTGACTGGCCGACGTGGTAAATGATGGGGCGAGGCGCATAATGCGACAGTGAGATGAAATGACCCAAGAGTTAGGAAGCGCCTCCATTCGCACGAGTCTGAGGGTACAAACCGGCGGACGAGACAGTTGGTCTGGTGCACATATCGGATGCGGTAGAATTGTCGGATTGGAGCAAGGATCTAGCGGCGGCTATAGTAAACAAGTGCCCTACCACAAGACGGTGCTCCTTGAAGGTGTGGCCAGTCGTCTGCGGGATAGAGATATGACAGCTCATCGCTGGTCAGGACAATAAGTGATACATTATTGTGATCGAACATGTGCCAGCACCGAGAGAACGATCATGATGGTCAAGTGTGGCCTGAAGGAGGGTGTTCAGCTCGCAAACTTGTCTCATCATCCATACTAGGATTTATCTTGTAGGTCCGGTCGCATCCATCGAATGACCATAAATATAATTTGAATGTCGAAGTCCGTGAGGCAACGGTTGGCCTGACGAGAAGATCCACACGTTCAAGTTGAAACAGATTTCAAGACTGAAGCAAACAGGCTGGGAGTGGAAAATTTCCTCTATTCGCCCCTCCCAGCAACGTAGTAGAATCTCAAAGGATACCTAAGTAGATACCATGAGCAAAAGCTGGGAAAGCTAAGGGTGAACTAGTGAAGTAATACCGGGAGCTGTTTCATAATACGTGGCTAATCACGGCGGCAACTTGCCTTTCTGCCATAAGCGCATCTATCCGATTTTCACTGCTTGGAAGTTAGTGCAACGCCATTCAGGTTGGGCCTAGAAGTTGTGTGAGCCTGAGTAAGGGCTGCACCAAGAGAAAAATTATTCACCTGTCGGTGGCTTTGTATTCTTGTGATTATTTTTGCGATTACTCGGGATTGTTACGCCAGCGGGAAGTGGCTAGTGAGATTGAATCACGGAAGCGAACGAGAGTTAGACTAAGATCCTGTGCAAACCTTGACGCGGCGAGTCAGGACTTCGAACGTGACATATTGTCTATAAGTATGCCGAAACGGCACATTGTCGTTGTTAACGTTGAGCACGACGAGGTCGTCACAGTACTTTTTGCCTGCAGACAACCGTCCGCTACGGCAGTGTGTATCCTAGGCGGGGGCAGATCACTCTTCCGCGAGTCAAGACAACATCGGAGCCACGCAAGAGCCACGTGGGCGGCGTGGGCTTCGTCAGGCGCGAAATTTAAAAGGGTCCGCGGCACCAATTTGCAAAGGGACCCACATACTAATAAGGAAGTTGATAATGTTTGAAATTACCGTCATCAATGTCGCAGGAGACGACGGTGAATAGGTGCAGGGGCAGTTCTGTTGGTGCTCGCGATGATCGCATTCGTATATAAGGCAGCCTGTTTGTCTGTAATCCCCAACTACCCTCCCGCTCCTCCCCAAAACTCCTCATTTCATAGATATCACACAGAGACATGCCTGCTATTGTCATCAGCGCACACGGCGGGCACGAACTCGAGGCTCTTTCTGACGCAGTTGATGACGGTGCGTATTTATCACGCCATTCCGCCGCTTCGTGACGTGACTTACCGTCTATCTGCAGTAAATGTTCTGAAGGCCAAAGTCTGGGACTCTCAGTCCGAGTTTGATTCTACCAAAGACAAGGAGACATTCCGACAGTACGAGACTGCCTGCGATCGCGTCAAGAATTTTTACAAGGAGCAACATGGTTAGTGCCTACATCCCATCTACCAATTCACGACAATTTATTGACCCGCCACGTAGAAAAACAGACCGTAGCTTTCAACATCAAAGCTCGCATGGAATTCAAGAGCCGGAAACGCGTTCGTATGGGTATCTGGCAAGCTATGGAAATGCTCAATACACTTGTGGATGACTCGGATCCAGACGTTAGTGATTCATTGGCTTGTGGTTTTCCTTTGCTAATCGTGGAGTATATATTTAGACTGAGCTTTCGCAAATTGAGCATTTGCTCCAGACTGCCGAGGCCATCAGACGCGACGGCAAGCCCGAATGGATGCAGGTTACCGGTTTGATCCACGACCTTGGTAAGCTGCTCCACGTATTTGGCAGCAAAGGCCAATGGGACGTTGTCGGTGTAGGTTTCTTCATCTGGTACTTGTGACGATGCACAGACTGATACGCTTAATTACGCAAGGATACCTTCGTCGTCGGCTGTGCTTTCTCCGATAAAAACATATACCCCGGTACTTTCACCGGCAACCCAGACTTCCACGACGCCGTTTATTCTACGCACTATGGAATTTATGAACCTAATTGCGGCCTTGATAATGTCATGGTGTCTTGGGGTCATGACGAGGCACGTATCTGTATATATATCATATTCCTTTATGCTTATCAAACTTCTCATAGTATCTCTACAATGTCGTGAAGGATCAGAGCTCGCTTCCTGCAGAAGGCCTTGCCATGATCAGGTATCACAGCTTTTATCCGTAAGTTTCTCCCATTCTTTACACGTCTATCGAATTTTTACAATGTCCATTCAGATGGCACCGTGAAGGAGCTTACACGCACCTCATGAACGAGAAGGATCATGTAGCACTTGAGGCCGTCCGCGCCTTCAACCCATATGATCTATACTCGAAGAGTGACGAGCCCTGCGATGCTGAAAAACTTCGTCCATACTACGAGGACCTCATTTCTAAATTCTTCCCTTCTGAGATTGACTGGTAGATGCGCGCAATAGCGTGTACGGCTTTATTCTAAGGTTAGCATGGCATAGACATAGCCTGCGAATACCGTTGCAGCATAATTTTGTATTCCCTTCAAAATCTGTGTCCTTAGTTCTTCTATTCACTTTATTGCAGCAGTATTTTACTCCCCTATTGACGCATTTATTAGCATTAATAGATATAATTAATGCAAGAATTGTCACAGAACTGCATCGATGGCAAGTGCTTGCTTTGAGAGATAAGATAAGATTTAGCGCTCGCCTAGTATTAACCAACGTGCAACCTTGACCCTGCGCCACCACCGTGAACTGAAACATTGTTTCGATATCTCACGGAGCCCCCACTATCTTTGATTCATTCCTTCTATCTCGATAGACGATATATATCTCAACATATACGACCCGCCGTACTTCTTCTACAATGTCGCAGGAGTCCCCTCTCAGTGAACCAGTCGTCTACCACGGCAAGAAATTTGTCGTGCTCAGCGATTGGTGCGTACATGATAGATCTAGATCTAAGCGGCGATGTGCTAATGCGCTTCGCTGTGCTCAAACAGGGATGGCACGATCACCACACAGGACTCCAATGATTGTTTGTCACGTCGAGAACTTTACTATGTGCCTTGCTCTGACCGAAGTACTACGACTTAGTTGTGACGGACACCTTTGGTATGGGACGCTCAGATCGCGTTGTGCTCAATCAGCGTATACGTAATGGCGAAGATAACTTCCGGTACGAGGCATTGCATGCACAAAGTTGCAGAATTGAGTTTTTCATGCAGGGATGCCTTCCGGAAGATGATCATAAGCGTCGTTGAGAATGGCAAGGTGGATGGCAAGGTGACGCACACATTCGAGTTCTGTAAAAATGCTGTCGCGAACAGTAAGTTTTGTCCATTCACGATGGGCGTTTGTTGTCCGGAGCTAACGTCCGGGCTGTCAGACATCAAAGTCGATGATACTTTCAAGGCTTTCTACGAATTTTGCGAAACGAATGATATACCCGTGGTAATTGTGTCCAGGTACGAAAAACTTGTAGTTTCACCGTCCTGTGAATTCATACCCTCTGCAGTGGTATGGAACCTATCATCCGTGCAGTCCTGAACAAGCACCTCGCTAGCCTTGATGGCATTCAAATTATATCAAACGAGGTGAAAACGTACGATGATGGGAGCTGGGACATTCAATATCGTCATCCCGAGAGGTGAAATTACTCATCGCTGTTTCGCGTTTGACTGAGAGCGGATAAATTAGCGGCTTCGGACATGACAAGTCGAAGGCGATTGCGCCCTACAGGGATATGCAGCCCGCCCCGATCGTATTCTTCTTTGGTGATGGCGTCTCAGATCTATCCGCAGCGCGGGGGGCGACTTGTCTGTTCGTCAAGCACAAGCCGAATGGAGAGAACGAATTGATGGAGTACTGCATCATCAACAAGATCAAGCACAGGTTATTCCAGAGTTTCGAGGAGGCGCAAGAGTTGATGAAGCTCATTATATTCGCGGAGACGGAGGAAAAACGACAGAGCATCATCGCACGGGAGTGGCCTGAAGTGGCTTGAGAGGTTACCTCGCGCTTCTCGCCCCCAGTGATGGCATTTGGAGGGAAATGAAGTAGATTTAGACGCTTCAAGATTGCGCCTACTCTCCCGTAGTCAGACCTTGAAACAAGGAAGACAGTCGTTCCTTCTTTTTCAAGGATTGCGCATCCAATCAAATGGACCCAAGCATTATTCTTAGAGCGTCAGTGGTGCCTTCGCCGGTGGAGAGCGTAGCCGCAAGGCCATTCGATGCTCCGCACTGATCTGGATGACCAGCTGGGCGCAAATACAGCGCTTTCCTGTTGAGCACAAACCTCGTCATATGCAAACCAATTTTTCAACAAACCCAAAGACCCATCAACTTTTCAGGCGTACCCTAATTACGACAGGTGTTGGGCTAGAACCAAATTAGCTCGTTTCAGACGATGACGATATGTCTGGGATGGATCGCAATCTCAGCATGACTGAACGTTATGTGCACAGGTATATACGTGCATGACAGTGGGTTGCAATCATAGAAAGGAAAAGGGAATGGCAGGGGGTGAAAGGTCAATGGAAGCTATGAACAAGGTTTGAGTGATGAAGGACAATAGAAGTCATTAAATTATAAAAAATGGCTAACCTGCAATTGATTCTTCGAGGCGCGGGTGGGAAGAAAAGAGTAAGATGAATCGTCGCAAAGAAATTTGAGTATTTCATCTGCGTGTTGAATCATTCTTCCTCCAATGTCAGCTGATGGAACTCCAAAATCGTCATTTCCATAATTTTCCGTGGAGACTAGAACAACGCTGGACAAGCTTCCACCGGCTGAAGTATTTGCAGCGTCTGGATTTTTCTCGTAGAAAGTAGTCTCCCATGCAGCGATTGCTATCAAATTAGGTGTGACGTTTAAAATAAAAGTAATGATGGTTGCAGGATGGCGAATCCTTCAGCTGCTGAAGTGCGCCATACTGGACAGCAGATTGTGTGAAAAGCGTTGGATAGATGGGAAATTGAAGTTGGTAGGGCCTGTGCGGTACCGGTATCCGTTCCATGAGTGGCGGAAATAATAACACTTCTGGAGTGATGGAGAGGGTCTTAAAAAAGAATCTAATAGCCCCAGTTTTTCACTCTATACTTGCAATATCTGCAACGCGCAGAACACATGATGCTACAGGAACTTTTGTATATCCACGGATATGGGTGTCGAAGGTAATTCGAGGGAAGGCAAATTAGACGAGGGCGGTATGGCTGCCCCGGAAACTTCTCCAGTGTCCTCCGATAGTACTTACTATTAGATAAAAACAGCGTTGCAACGCCAACTGGAAGATGTTCCACTGAAGCTCTGCTGCGGTAGATGCAGACAACGATATTGACGGTCCTTTGCTGGTCGCTGCGGAGAGTAGGTTTGCATTTTTCCTGGATGGTTGTACGTGTCGTCCTCCATACTATCATTCCGGGTAATCTGCAACTACCATGTAATATGCAAAATGTTCAAAACACCTCAACGCGCTGCTCGACTCACTTCAAAAAAATTCAGGCATATGTATACTACTTATATATGATGTACTGTCCAAGTAGAATGAAAATTTCTTGAGTGTTGCAGCTGCGAGAGATGAAATAGTGGTAATTTGTAACCATGCAAGAACATAAATCATCCAGATCCCATAGATCCTACAAATATATTCATAAAGTTATACCTGGAGCATAACAATCACCTCGTCAGGATTCCAGAACACAATTTCGATAAAGGTCATCCTGTTGTTTAAAGATGCTATTGAGGAAGAATTGACGACATGTATAAAAACGTGACAGCGAATAGGGGAGACTCCGAGAAGAGTGTAAGGAATTCAATCTCCTCTATGGCACACGCCGCACAGCCAACAGATCGAGAGCTGCGGAGAGTCAAAGTTGACCGTGCTGGTGCTGTGCCGAGGTGTGACACGACGTGACCATATTTTGCAGATTAGCAGTCAGACCCTGAATTTTCTCGGCTTTCATCCGACACCACACCACAACATCCTAAAAATGAGCAAAAATAAGAGTCACATAGAGGTAGTACGAATCTATAACACTCTAAATTCGTGGAGGATAATATGAAGTGGTTGAGGAGCTACAAAAGATTTGCTGAAAAAGTTGCAGATTACCCGGAATGATAGTAATCACACTGACTGGCAGACCTCGGAAGCAATTGTTAGTCTATGTTTATTGCCCAGGCGGCCTAAGTAAGTATGGTTTTATTTTGGCTTTGTTTGGTAAGCCCATCTCATCTATAAATAGTGCGCGTTTGTTGTCCAAAGCGCCCATCACCGCCTAGTCAGGCTGAGCGGGCATTTAGTCTTCACCTGCTGTCGCACGGGAGGACAGCGATCCAGAAATATCGAGGGGAGCTTAATTGCGGGTTACTCATACGTCTTCCACCTTCTCTTCATTCCTGGTCCTGATTCATAGGTTTTGGTTCATGTGCTATCAACTTCGAGCCATATGACATTTATTCCTTGCTCAGGAGACGAGTGTGCTTGATCGGTGGTAATATCACTGGCCTGATGCGTACGCTACAGAGCTGAGCAATCTTGATACTCATGGGTCGCTGATCGCATGCTTGCTCTGTTCAAATGTCGGCGCTTCAGCCGTCAAACGTAAAAATATCGGAAAATGTCCCATGTTATTATTGGTTCCATGTATGTCTTCCAGTTTATTTAAATCAGTTCATATGGAGGCTCTTAACCTCCATGTGCTCCCTTAGGCGAGTCCTGTCAGCACTGGGTGGTTATCGGCTGCCTCAACCCATATAAGCCTCCTTGTTTCATTCATGGTGAATTAGCACCAGGCCTGCGTCCTTTTTTTCAGCATGAAGTCGTTCTCAGCCCTGCTTTCCGTGGTTCTCCTCGCCACCGCGACATCTGCGTCGGCGTCGAGCTTCTTTAGGATGCCACTGACGAAGCTTGCGTCCCCCAGTTCGTACTTTGCAGGTCTGCCTGATGCTGATCGTGCACGTGCCGCATTCCTCAAGAGCTTTGCTTCTGGCGGTCCTGCAACTGTCCCTGCATCTAACCTCGCATATGTCCAGTACACTACTAGTGTTGGCGTTGGCAGCCCTCCGACGTACTACAACTTAGTTGTCGACACTGGTAGTTCCAACACTTTTGTTGGGTAAGACCTGATTAGTTATTCCCTTGGGCTAAATCTCATTTTATTCGAAGAACTGGAACAAAGTATGTGCAAACCTCGACGAGTATCTTCACTGGCGAGGACGTCAACGTCACTTACGGCACTGGTTACTTTTCTGGCTTGGAGTGTAAGTCTTCTGGCTGCTTAAGAATGATATCCGTCTGAAAATTTTACCTTCAGATCTCGACCAGGTGACACTCGCTCCAGGTTTTGTCATCACGAACCAGTCCATCGGCGATGCTCTTTCATATGCCGACTTTGAGGGTGTCGATGGCATCGTCGGGGTGGGCCCCGTCATTCTGACTGAGGGTACACTCTCGCCCAGTACCAACGAACTAATTCCCACCGTTATGAACAACGCTGTCTCGCAGGGTTTGATCACAGAGCAAATATTGGGTGTCTCTTTCGCACCTGCAACGAGTTACAATGACACGAGTAAGAGAGGTTGTATGGTATAATTGACGGTAATCTAATTTGTGCGCAGATGGGGCCCTCACTTATGGAGGCATCGATTCGTCGTTGGTGAGCCTAATAAGTATGTCCCAAACTTTGGTGTTGAATTTTATCTAGTACACTGGTGAAATCACTTACACGCCGGTTACTGCAACTTACCCCGCTGGTTACTACTGGGGCATCAACGTCACTGATGCAACGTACGGCTCTGCGACGACTGTCATCCCAACGTCAACCGCTGGAATCGTTGATACCGGCACTACCCGTAGGATTTTATTACCCCATCTACATGCCTTTCTGACACATTTATAGTGGTCCTCCTCGCTGATGACTTCTTCGAGTCCTACTTGCGTGCCATCCCCGGTGCCAAGATCGACGCAAGCACCGGCCTCATGACTGTCCCTACAACTTCCGTCTCGGAGATCCAACCATTGAACTTCACGGTCGATGGCACCGTCTTCAGCTTGGACGCTGCAGCGCAACTCATTCCGATTGACCAGAACACCGCATGGGGCTTGTCAGCACACAAGCAGTACGGCATTGTCTCATACTTGGGGACTAACAGCGGCGAGGGACTAGACTTCATCATCGGGCAGAAGTTCATGGAGAAATACTACGCTGTGAGTTGTCAAATTGCGAGGTGACTATGCAGTACGGGGTATTGATTGGCTTGCAGGTTTTCGACACGGATAGTAACCGCGTTGGATTTGCTTATACGTGAGTCTTTCCCCTCGTATCCAGTTATCTATTCCGGCTGAGAAGTTTTTGTGAAAGCGAACACACGTTCACCACGTATACTCCTTGATATGGGTGCCTTCTTTAAGGGGACGAGTGGCAGTAATACCTCCTTCACACATACTTCGCGTTTCTTTTGCTCTGATGGCGTTACCGCATGCGCCGTTTAATTCACGGTGCTACTCCCAGGGCTGCATTGTAACCTTGAGGACGCACTCATACGGTGCTTATCGGTGCTATGCGTGACTGAGAGATATACCCAGACGTTTTGAGGGCGACGGTTGCATGCCATTGGGACATGAGAGAAAAATTGAAACCCGCCCGCAGTTCCTTGATGCGAGCGACGCTGTAATGTAGTTAAATGCAAGCTCGAGGGTGAGGAAATTGTGATGCAGGCCAAATAACCGTATACCAGCCAAGTTCGATTCGGAAAATTTTCAGAGGATATATCTGCTAATATCTGCAGTCCAAATGAATATGTATAAAATTAGGTTACATAAATACTCAATATGCTTCGAAAAGCCCGATTTCTAGAACCAGACTTTTGTATGGTATCTTACAGCTCCATTATAACTTTTTCCAGGAACCATTCCTTAAGGGCTGGGTCGGATATGACAACGGGAATCTTCAGCTGACCCATCGAGACGTTCGTCTTCTCGCATTTCTGCCTGCGATATTCCGTGAATGTGCCTTTCTCCACGAGACGGATGGTTGGCTGTCTTGATCTGCCTTGGAAGAAAGTAAAGCGATACTCAGCGTTTGCCCGCATGAGATGGTCAAAAGCGTGCTGTGTCGCCACCCTCGTGTCCTGTACTATGAATATCCATCAGCTCAGGCGCACAGAGGAGCTCCAAAGCAAGCACTAACCTATTTCCCCTCCAATTTCTACCAAGTACCCATAAGCAATAGTCGCCTCTCGGTCGTCGCTCACAATAGTGAAATCTGTGATCTGGCCGATGTATCGAGCGGCAGAGACGATCGCGTTCGTTAATTGCGACTCTGAACACGTCGTTCCAAATGTCTGCGCAAGTGCGCCACTTCCCAGGCAAGCGTATCAGCTCCTGGGCATTAAAAATCGATGGTACCGCAACTCACTCTCGCCTGTGAAGGTAATTGATAATAGGTAATCCGTCCTCTGGCGCAAAGCCTTTAACGGTGATGACATCACCGAGGCTGTATCTCCACAAGCCATTGCGGGTCGTCAAGATGGGCTCGTATTGTCCTCCAGCTACAACTTCGTGCTATGATAGGGATGAGTAGGCAAAGGCGAGATGCGGTCAATGGTTCTTACAGCAGACAATATATGCTCCAAAGGCTCGCTGGATTGCACGTCCAGAAACTCGATGACCCCATCCACAAAAACTATCTTGAAGTCCGTACTAGGGTTGCCTTTCTGGTATGGTATCGCGATGCCAGCCTCTGAGCCGCCATAACCAGCACCCTGGGTGCGGACAGAAGGTCCAAGGATATACGCAATCTGTGTATTGTGAACTGTCAGTTGGGTAGTAAACATTCCACGCTTGACGTGCCTTTTCAACGGATACAGCACCAGGACCTCCAGTGATCCCAACAAACTTGTTCAAATTAGGCCACACACGGACTGCCCAGCCGTGGATGACAGGAGGCCCAATTTCGCGAAGTTCGGCCGCACGAGTAGGGTTCGGTTTGAAAAGTTTCTAAGAGAAATCGTGAGCTGAATGAACTATAACAATCAAACAGAAAATTGACCTCTAAAGCCTCTCGCACGTGGTCTATCTGTTCAATGTCCGGGATGATCCCTTTCTCGATGCAGTCGACAAGTATATCCCACTCATCCTCCACGTACTGCAAAAAACTGAGGAATGTATTGCCGAAGGTGAAGGCGGCGGTTGTCACCCCACGGTCTGCCAATGCAAATAGCGCATTCAGAACAAAGAAAGACCGATAGCTCTTAACCAAAGAAACCGCGTATGGAGCCGTTTTTCCGGGAACTGAAAGTTAACTAGAGATGAGCATGGACAGGCGAAAGTAGAAGGATAGACTTACCCCACATATCGAGTCTATCCATATCGTGCTCGATGTCCCAGTTCATTTGCATTCGCAGAGCACCGATGGTCACAGAGCAGACCGGCAACGGCTTCTGACCGTCCTCGCAATCTAATTTCAGGTTTTGCCAAAAATCCAAGGAAGTTAGTGATAAGGTGCTACCCTCTGAACGGGAAAAATGTAAAGGGTTATTCGCAAGGCGCTGGGCATGCCGATATATTGGGAATGTCTTCGCTGTGTTGCCGGATGTCATGCTGGACATGGCTATGAAGTAGGGCAGTCCTGGGGCGAACATGTTCTTCACGTCAGCCTCCTTGCAAGGGGTCGCAAAAAACTTTGCTGTGAATGGCTGGTAGTGTTTGTAGTTTGTGAGGGTAACGAATTCTCGGAAGCTGCGTAGGAATTCTATATCATCCTTCGAGTCGCTCTGCGCGACAGCCTCGCGGAATTTTGCCAACTCGGGAGCATCATGTGCAAACTGAGACGCAGAATTCGGCCGTATAATCTCGAGTAAGGTTTGATCTATGTAATCCTTCAGCTGCTGAGAGAGTTCGGAGGATAACGAGTCCAAGATATCTGTCTCAGGATTAGACATTATTGTGATATGATGTGAAGTTGGAATGCGATTTTATGTAGCGGGATGTCAGGGCGTGGTGCTGGCATCCATTACGATCAGCCGGTGTGGCGGTCATGATTGCTAGTCTCTAATAGCTGACCTAATACACACACATGCATGACGGAGCTACCTCTGGTGCTGTTGGCAGAATGCTGCCATGCCTACCCCAGGGACCACAGATCGGCAGAATTTACAGAGTCTGAGACATTGGGAGTACTCACATGCTTCAAGTTGCGAGAGGAACCGTTTGACAGGTGTTGACGGCTACCTTCCAAAACTAATTCAGGTGTTCAGCTAAGGCACGAGGATTAACAGAAATTTAAGACTGTGGAACCCTGTGAAACCTTGAAAGCTCGCCCTGCAAAGTTGAACGTGAATATCACCACATGTCGGAAATTTGGAGGGGAACTGCCAGGAAGTTGGAAAGTCCTGTTCCTTCCATCCGTTCTGTTCGTCCGTCCCATCCGTCCAGTGTCCTTAGTGTTCGCAGACTGCAGTGTTCCTAGTAATGTTCGCAGTAGAGTCCGGTTTGAAACGTCATTAACATTTTGTCCTTGACACTTGTTGCCAACTTGCCACCCATGACCACAGCAAGCACGTTGGAAACACGACGACACTACTGCCATACGGATTTATTCCAACAGCCTGCATTATCCGCATGAGGCCATAATAACACTGAAACAAAGGACCGCTTACAATTGCTTGCCAACGGTCCACTAGCACACTTTGTCGCACATTGAGCACGATACTTCTTACTGGCCCAGCCTGACTCTCTGAGGGCATCATGATGGACGGCAGTATTGAATAAGCTTGACATTTTCGAGAATCGGGTTTCCAAAAAAGTCTGATAATCTCGGGGCATCCCGAATTTGGGACAAACGGGGCGATCCGATCATCACTTTTCGAAAAGTATACTCGTGAAATTTGCGAAAAACTCGTTGCAATCAGGTATATAATATTATTGAAACAAATTTACAAGGTACCTTGCTTTTTACCGTTGCAACGACAGCCTTAGAACCTATGGAAATTTCAAGGACAACTCTATGATCCATTTTACAAGGCACTGAAAGCCAAATTAGTAATATATTGGAGTCAGACTTAGGTTTATATTTACCAATCATTGGCTATCACTGGTGAGCCGGAAAAGCCGAGCCGCATTTGAGTTGAGCTGACTAAACGGGATCTATGTCACATACCGTTGGTACGGGCCTCCGTGCAGCAGAGACCACCTGCAACAGCTCCTACGATCTCTATATCTCGACTGAAACTGGTTCTGTTAAAAAGTTGGAAGATCCGAATGTTTGAATGGCCATAGAGACTAGTGTCTCGTGAGTCGGAGTCGTGAGCCATTCGCAACACTCCGGAGTCCGGAACATAAAAGATGCCATACGTGCCAATCATGTTCCATCCGAAGCGAGCTCACTAGGACTCTCTTCCCCGCATTTACCGCCTTTGCTAAGACTTGACAAGGTCTTTAACGGCATCGGTAAATAGCCCTATGAACCCCATCTTCAACAGTGCGGCGGGTCGCGTTCATCTACCGAATGCTCTTGCCCGTGTCACGCAACGCTCCAGCGGCCGCGTGCTCATAGTGCGCAGGAAGTATCATGACGAATCATTCGGCTTCCGAAAAGCACGCCAGTTTACAATCCCAGATTGTGCGTGTACTGTCTGAGCTGTGGTCTGACACTGCGCATACTCACGCGAATCCTTGATTCAGATACCTCTGAGCAGCTTGCTAACCGCACAACCAATGCTCCCCTGCTGCGGTATGCTGACTCTCTGCGCACGCACGGTCACAGAGCCGCGTCTATCGACCCTCTTGACCTCCTCCGTCGCGAGCGCGTTGCCGCTCTCGACCCCGTGCGCTATGGCCTCGACGACCCCGGTCGTACATTTGACGTAGACGGTATCCTCTGGACCGGCGAGGGCAAACAGGAATGGTCCCTTGACAACATCACCTCTTTCCTCAACTCCGTCTACGTCGGCCGTATCGCATATGAATATATGGACCTCCCGAGCAAGACGGAGAGGCTGTGGTTCGCAAAGCTATTGGAGTCTCAGAGTGCTTTGGAGCCCCATATCGTGAATGCGGATAGACGAAAGAACATACACACTCTGCTCGCCAAGTCGGAGGTGTTAGACAATTTCTTACAGGTCAAGTTTCCGAATCTGAAGAGATATGGACTTGAAGGAGGGGAATCCATGATTCCCGCATTGGACGCGTTATTCGAGGCTGCGTCCAAAGGTACGTTTTGATTTGGCCGAGAAGGGCATTGCTAACGCGCGCGTAGCCGGCATAACTCAGCTCATCCTTGCTATGCCTCACAGGGGACGCCTTAATCTGCTTACAGGGCTCCTAGATTACGACCCTACCTCCCTGTTTCACAAAATCAAGGGCGGATCCGAAGTGGACGAATCCTTGGGTGTTTCCGGGGACGTCCTCAGTCATCTTGGTGCGCATCCTACATTCAGCATCTGCGGAAGTTCTGACTAGGCCTCAAGTTGCATCTCCGACGTTGCAGTACGGTGAAGCTGATGGCATCAAAGTCTCGTTGCTACCAAATCCATCCCATTTGGAGGCCGTGAGCCCTGTTGCACTTGGAAAAGCCAGAGCGAAGCAATACAGCTTGCTTAAAACCTTATCTAACGGCAAGAATAACCAAGACTGTATGCTTGGCGATAAGGTAGTGCAGCGAGGTATCTCTTGTAGATCGAAGTACTCACTTGGGCCGTTAGGTTATGTGCGTCCAATTGCATGGCGATGCCAGCTTCACAGGACAAGGGGTGGTAATGGAAACCCTTGGATTGAGTTTGTAGCCAAAATACAGATCTCCCGAGTTGTAAAAGTTCAATGTAATATTTGCAGGCGGTCTTCCACACTTCACAAGCGGAGGAAGTGTCCACATTGTCGTCAAGTATGTCTTTCGACTCTCTTTAATTACTCCTCTAATTTACTCACAGTAACAAGTCAATTGATACATACTTCCCCGATTTGAGGCTAACCTTCGTTTTAGCATCGGATACACCACTCCCGCCTCCTCCGCCCGCTCTTCCGTTTACTGCAGCGACGTGGCTAAGATGATAAATTGTCCAGTTCTGCACGTCAACGGAGACTACCCCGAAGGTTCGTCTCTACCTCAATCATTACTCGCAACCTACCATCTGAGTATACACAGACGTAGTTCGCGCTGTCGACATCGCCTTCAAGTATCGCAACCACTTCCGCAAGGACATCGTCATCGATCTCATCGTTTATCGCCGCTGGGGACACAACGAGCTTGATGAACCAGCATTCACACAGCCGCTCATGTACGAAAAGATTCGTTCAAGGAGTTCTGTCCCGAGGTTGTACGAGGATAAGCTCATTGTATGCCTGTTTCTGTTTTATGCTTACTGAAGGGGCTGCTGATGGCTTTATGTTCCAGTCGGATGGCGTGATCTCGCCTGAAATTGCACGAGCTGTCCGAGACAACTACAAAGCCTCGCTGAATGCCGCGCTGACGGATGTAGCGTCGTATGTCCCTCCTCCCTTAAGCTTCGAAGGCTCGTGGAAAGGCATGGTTTGGCCAGCATCTCCCGAAGCACGTCAAGAAGTGACAGGCGTGAGTAGTGCTGTGCTCAGGGACGTTGGCAAAGCTAGCGTACATGTTCCTGAGGGGTTTGTAAGTGTTGTATATTCCCTGTTTGAAACAGGAATGACACAGGCCGCGGATAATACAGCAAATCCATCCGCGGTTGAACAGGCATGTGAAAAACCGCCTTGGGAGCATCGAGAGTGGTGGGGGAATCGACTGGGCAAGTGCAGAGGCGATGGCGTTCGGCTCGCTTATGCTTGAGGGGTGTGATGTGCGTATTGCGGGGCAGGATGTAGGGAGGGGAACGTTTAGTCATCGGTGCGTGCTGTCGGTCCTGCGTTAGTATACAAGGGGGACTGACACAGTTGTAGCCACGCGATGTTGGTGGACCAGAAGACGGAGGGCGTGATTGTTCCGTTGAACCACGCGCTTACGGAGGCGAAGGGCAAGCTGGAGCTGGCAAATAGTGGGTATTTATCTTTCTTCTCGTCGTGGATGTCGTTTAATTATTTTTGGAAGGCTCTCTCAGCGAGATGGCCGTACTTGGCGTAAGACAATTTTACTTCTCTTGTCTCAGTCTAACATTGTTGTAGTTTGAATACGGCGCATCTTGGGAACGACCTGATTTATTGCCCATCTGGGAGGCACAGGCACGTCGTGATTTCGTTGCAACTGTCGCACTCTGAGCTAAAGAATGTTATTTATGTTTCAGTTTGGCGACTTCTTCAACGGCGCACAAGTTATTATCGACACGTTTATTGCGAGTTCAGAGAGTATGTCTGTATATATGCGTGTTTTCTGTCAATGGCTTATCCTTACTCAGCTAAATGGCTGAAGCAGAGCGGGATCGTCCTGCTCCTCCCTCACGGTCTAGACGGTGCTGGCCCTGAGCATTCTAGTTCCCGTATAGAGCGGATGTTGCAGGCAAGTCTATTATTCGTTTTTGAATGACTGTCTCGTAATATTTTCTAGCTCACCAACGACCCCTACACCGCTCAAGAGAAACCGAATGTAAACATGCACGTAGTGTTCCCGACCACACCTGCGCAATACTTCCATCTTTTACGCCGCCAGATCAAGCGGAACTACAGGAAACCGCTCATCGTCGCTGCTCCAAAGGGGCTTCTTCGACTTGCTGTACGTGCCGTCCCAATTCCCTTCCTGCATTACTAACACCAAAAACGCAGGCTGCATCGTCGAAGCTGACTGACATGGCCCCAGGAACTGCGTTCCAGCCCGTTCTCCACGACCCAGCAACCCTCGCAGACACCAAAGCCGTCAAGCGCGTCGTGCTGCTCAGTGGCAAGATCTACTACGACCTTGCCAAAGAGCGCGCCACACGCGACATTGAATCACGCGTTGCCCTCGTGCGCATCGAGGAACTTGCACCGTTCCCGTTTGCTGCGCTCAGTGAAGCGCTTGCACCGTATGCCGAGGCCAACGGGCGCTTGGAGGTGTTGTGGGTCCAGGAGGAGCCTAGGAATCAGGGCGCGTGGGGGCATGTGCGGGAGCGTGTTGAGGAGGTGTTGAAGGGGTTGGGCATGGAGGGTGGTGTGGCGTATAGGGGGAGGAGGGAGGACGCGGTGCCTGCGCCGGGGACTGGGAAGGTGTATGGGATACAGCAGAGGGCTGTTGTTGAGAGTGTTTTTGAGGGACTGTGAATGGTCTGTTTTTTTCGGGTTGTAGCACATGACGCATTAGTCCTTCGAGTCACTAAGTTATTCAGTACTAGTGCTCTTATTCGTCCGACCAATTCCACGTAAGTACATAGCTTTAAGCTCTTAGGTGCATTCATGATGCCTCCGTCACAGACACTAATGAATCCGATGACGCCACGGTATACTAGATGGTTCGTGCGTTTTTGGGCAATGAGACATTGACCGATGACTCACCGATATATCAGTTCTGTGGTGAGGAGGGAGACATCGATGTCAACATCAGAGACGATGTAGTGCCCTCAGCCTTTACATTTTCAATCTAATACATTTGTTTGTATATATCACCAGTATGCAAAATCAACACGTCTCTTGCGATAACAAGACAGCTGATATCCTATGAAATATCAAGAGGTACATTCGAGCGTATTCCTGAATGCGTAGGTCAGGTTCCCACTCGTCATATCATCGAGGCATAACAAAATACACGTACCCATGCAAAAGTTTCTCGCCTTCATGCAAAACAGCGAGGCAGACCTGCAGACCCTTTGAACACCACTGCATTTCGAGCCAATACAGGAGATTGTGATTCCAGAAGAAATCAAATATATGACCGAGCTCGGCGTCCCATGGACGTGGAACTCGCGCGAGATGGATGGCCCAATTGTGGCATGCGTACTTGAGAGCGTCGGAAGCTGATTGACTTCGTTCTTGTCCTTTGTTTGCGACATTTACGAAGGCCCTCATAGCATGGATGATCTCCACGTCCGGCAAATGATCTTGTGGTGAAGCAAACGTAGAATTGCTGTTGTGCCTTAACGCGAGGAACACCGGAAACATCAAGAAATCCGGCAAACTCTTGAAATGCTGGATCACCTGGAAGGCTGGGAGGCAAGGCAAATCTGGGACAATCGGGTACTTGCTGACTGCTTCCAATGCACTCCAAAATTCGACAATTGTCACCCAGACACCCATGAACGGCCATGCTTTACTATGCGGTGTCTGCACCCAGTCTCTTCCGCTCTCTGTCTGCAACCAGTCTTCGCCATTATCAGTCTGCAGCCAGTCTCGCCCACCCTGGGTCTGCAGCCAATCTCTTCCGCTTTGTGTCTGCAGCCAGTCTCTTCCGCTCTCTGTCTGCAACCAGTCTTCGCCATTATCGGTCCGCAGCCAGTCTCGCCCACCCTTGGTCTGCAGCCAATCTCTTCCGCTTTGTGTCTGCAGCCAGTCTCTTCCACTCTCTGTCCCCAACCAGTATCCGCGATTCAATATGAATTCGTCATTACTATTGTCGGTCCACAGCCAGTATCGCCCACCCCGGGTCTGCAGCCAATCTCTTCCGCTTTGTGTCTGCAGCCAATCTCTTCCGCTTTGTGTCTGCAGCCAGACTCTTCCGCTATCCCGGTGCAGTAGCCAGTCTCGCCCATCCTCGGATTGCAGCCAATCTCTTCCGCTTTGTGTCTGCCGCCAATCACTTCCGCATTGTGTCTCCAGCCAATTACTTCCGCCCATTGTCTGCAGCCACTCTCGCCCGATCTGAGTCTGTAGCCAGTCTCGCCCGGCTTGGGTGTGCAGACAATCTTGCTCGGTCCAGGTCTGCAGCCGGTCTTGCCCGGCCTGGGTCTGCAGCCAATTTCGCCCACCATTGGTCCACGGCCAGTCATTCTCAACCCTGTTGTCCAGCCAGCCTGTCCCGCCCTCAGACAGCGGCCAATCTAAATCGTGCTGTGCCCGCAGCCAGCATCGCCCACGACTTGTCTGCAGCCAGTCTTGTATGCTCTGTGTCTGGAGCCAGGCTCGCCCGCCCGGGGTCTGGAGCCACTTTCCTTCTTCCAAGCTCCTATCCACGATCGGCGCCCATTTTCCCTTGCTATACTCGATCAGCATCCAGTCTCCCCCGCTCTGTGTCTGCAGCCAGTCTCCCCCGCTCTGTGTCTGAAGCCAGTCTCCTCCCTCGCGTGTGCTCAGCAGCCAGTCTTGTCTCGCGTCTTTAGTCTGCAGCCATCTTTTCCCAGCCGGGGTCTGCAACCAGTCTCGCCCGGCCTGTGTCGCTAGCCACCCGCCATGGGGCAGCCAGCATGTCGTGTCTGTAGTCTGCAGCCAGCTTTGCCCGGCCTCGGTCTTCAACCAGTTCCTCCCGGCCTCAGTCTCCACCAAAGGCATTTTTTCGTCGTAAGCGTCATCATCAATGCACTCTTTCGCATCCTCAGTCTGCAGCCAGCTTTGCCCAGCCTGGGTCTGCAACCAGTTTTGGCCGCCAGCGCTGTGCAGCCAAGATCTACAACTCTTGAGCCAAAATTTCCCATTCTCGGTCTCCAGCCAACCACGCCCACCCTCTGTCAGCAGCCACTCCCCATTCTGGTCATCGACCTCGGTCATCAGCCACTGAAACCCGCCATCTGTCTCCAGCCAGGCATGCCCGTCTGGGGTCTCTAGCCAGCATCGCAAAACTGGAGTGTCATCTCCCCGAAACCATAGCAGACTTGAAAGAACTTGCAGCGGCTCCAGCGGCTGAACGACGAATGTCAAGTACTCCTTTAACTCCTTGGGGTCGTCAGATCGTATAACTTCACTATACTTCTTCAATTCAACAAGCCCATCCAAGAGGGCCGTGCTTGCTGGGATCTCGTCTATCATCAACCGTAACGAGGAATAAGCGAGGAGAAAGTGGGGTGTGATATATTGTAGGCCAGGAAGGCTGCAATTCGAAGGGTTGGAAACATAATCCCGAACCGACGAGTGATAGATATTTACGGGGAGACCGCTGTCGGTAGGGATTTCCATGATGGACCGTAGCTGCACCAGAGTGGTCTCGACATCGTGGCCCTGACCAGGGCCAAGAAGTTTCGATATTTGTGACACAGGAAGAGGGTCTACAAGGGTGGCAACAATGGACAAGTGCATGTATGCCCGATTAGGGTCAGCGCATGTTGAGAGGATGCGGTCGTATAATTTGTATACCTCTGTGCCGGGTAGCAGGTGGCTGGTCAGGTCAAGCATGATCTGAAGCCGACCTCGGGGATCATTGTGTCCATCGTCGATGAATTTCATCATCGTAGACGCCACGATGAAACGTCTGCCCGCTCGGGTCGCTAATTGCACTAGTTGATCCCGCGTTGGCTGCGGGAAATCGGGACGACGACGTCGCAGGTTTGTGAAGGAGTGATTCAAGAAAACACAGATATCGTTATCGACGTCTGCGCCGTCTAAGGAGATGATGTCAGAGACACCATCCCCAGAAGTTTTCACTGGTATCTCGCACACCAGCGGGTGCACCTCTTCATCCTCCATTGCTTCACGGACATGTGCTTCCGAGCGACTAGTGAGCAGAATGTGAAGCTTGGGTAGATCATGTTCACGAAGAGCTTGGCCAAGGAGTGAAATGAGTTTAGCGATCTCCGCTTCTATGATGCATTCATCAAGGGCATCAATGACGAACGACAAAGGTGGACAATTCTTCTGTCTTTGGTGAAGATTCCGGAGAGGTCGGAGAAACAACGCCTCCATCTGGTCGCGAAGGGAACTATTGGGCTCTAGAACGGCGGGATTTTCAATGATAGCTTTGCATACGTCACTCTTGACGCAGGAGAAATTCCTGGCAAGCTGATAGGCGAGAGTCGCGAATAAATATCCAGTCGTGCGGCGGTTCGTGTTCGTACGCGAGAAAAAGAACGTTCCTGCCAGCCGTTTTTCAACAGTTGTCACCTCTGATGCTTTCAGACCTCTCATCCTTTCAGCTACGGTGAATGCGACAGCAGACTTTCCTACGCCCGCCGTGCCATGCAGCCAAACGAGCTGGCTCTTCTCTGGGTTGTCTAAAAACCCGTAGATGTGCTTGAGAAGGTTCGTTCGGGTATCTTTTAGACATTTCGGATGGGGCAGACGTTCGCCAGAGTCGTATACAGCGCCATGTACAGCAACCTGGGACAGCTTCTCCCAAGCTCTGCCGGCTGATGACACATGAGGTCAGGACGAGAACAAGGATAAGACTTTATGAAGATACCGACGTTGATCTGAGTTACTCATTGGCCAAGGTTGATCATCAAACGTATCCAAGTCTAAACTGTAGGTTGGATCTTTTGCCAATGGTCGACAGAAGGCTTTAGGATAACAAGCGTATGACTGCGATAACTCAACTATCAAGCTGTGGAGTGGTGGTGAATTGTAAGGTTTAAGAGTTGAATGGATAGAGGTTTAAATAAAGATCCAATCCCAGTTTTAGCGTTATGGAAAGCTCGTTGAATCGTGTGGGAAGCAAGTAGGGTAAGGAGGCGCTCGTGTGGTCGCAGATCATGAGGCTGAGTTGTGGCACGGACCAGGGTACGTACTACACAGGATTGGCTCGTAACCTCGGTGACCAAATTAGATTTGAACAATTCTGGCGCATCAGACTTGCAATGGAGCAGAGAAAATATATCATTGTGCCACCTAGTTGGATCTACGGTAAGTAAGCATCGTGCGTCAAAATACTGTGCAGAGCGGCGGTACTTACAAATACTTTGACAGGTCGTTCAAGCCTCCCGAGGGCGTTGTCTTCCATTCATCGTACTACGGGCTGATTGCGACAATGGACCGCTGGAGGCGCTGGGCCCTCCGATACTTGTAATTATATGGCTATAATAGACATTTTCTAAGTAGTTAGTTGGTAAAGGTGAGTTCATTGCCAAGCTTACTCGATCCTGCCTGCCCATTGACATTCGGAATCCTACTAGTTCTTTGAATAACTCTGCATGCAACCAATGCGTTTGATCGCTTTTGCCGCTTCGATGTTTGAGTGATGAGGAACCGAGGTAGCTTGATTCATGTTGCATTTTATCAATTTTAAGGAAGCTTTGCCATGGCGTTGCCAAGGGTATTAATGAGGGCGACGATTTGGAGATTGCTGCAACATTCAAGGGCAAGATCGAGGTTTGTTTTCATTATTTTCTTGCTGATTGTGTCGACACAGAACGAGCAATGGCAGAGGAGAAGATATGTCGAATATGGGTCCAGGAGTGGCCGCACGACATGGGAGTTGAAACGTTTCAAGAACGTTGATAATCATCGTTGGTCCTGTCTGTGAGCACGCAACCTATTCATCAGCGCAGGATGTTAATGCTCTTCATAAGATGAACGGAATATACGCAGGCCCTTCAACGAGAACCCGCCAACAGAGGTCGCTTATGTTTACCTCAACAACGATCCGGTATCCGCTCTCTTAGATTAGTAACCACTTCCTTCAAGTTTCCGGTTGAAGTTGTTCAACCTCCTGCCAGCTGGCTGAACCAAATTTGTTTTCGACTAATTGTATCATAATCTCAGGGTTTACGTAGTATGAGTCCATGCGACATGGTGCCCCCGGTGACACTGTATCCCCGGACCTCGTTTCTACCCAACATCGTGAAGCAGCGAGTCAATCTCTCTGGCTTACTTACATCCGAATATACTCTTGAGGATCGTGCACATGACGTTCTCGCAAATATTGACTCGTTGGAGGCACAAATGCAGCGTGACGTCAGACATTTCGTTGGCTTTTCACACAATTCCGGCCGGTTCATACCTTATCCTACATAATCTCATTAGAGTACTGAAAGGGGCCCGTGCGATAACAAGACAGCTATAAAGTATCAAGTGGTGGATTAACAAATCTGAGAGAGGCATTCCTGAATGGGCAGGCCAGATTCCGACTCATCAAATCATAAAATACACATACCCATACCAACAACTCGCCTTCAGATAAAACAGCGAGGCAGACCCGCAGACTTCCTTCTTGTCCTTTGCTCGCGCGCGCGAGAAGTATTCTTAGTGTCTGTGTTTGCACCGGGTCGAGAAATCGGGAGAGACGGGGATCAGACTAGGAGGCGGATTGTTGGGGAGAGCATGTAGTTGAGCATCGAGCATCAGAGCATGGATACATAGCGGAGCCCGAGTTTGTAGAAAAGCTGAAGGGACGTGTTTTGTGGAGCGTCGTCTGTGGATGAGTCCTCCTCGGATGATGGACTGCTGGGTGAGTAGTAGGGAGGGCACTCCAAACCCATAACGAAACTACCTGACCAGCAGCGCTCACTCCTCGATCTGTCCTCCCACATTTCTTTCATCCATAGCCATCCAGGCCACCAGTTTCATCGACGAGCCTTGCCCTTCACAAAGGCTTTGAACAATACATCCCAGGAAAAGGCGTTGGGCCGTTTTGATACACCAGCCCACTGTACTCTGAACTTGATCGTGATCTCGCTCTTTGGGTGAAATGAAAGATATAACTGGTTTTTTAGATGTTGGGGAGTGATTTGACTACGCGCGATCAGGCTCAGCTGTTCATATGTTGGTCAGGATGACCCGACGATATGTTTTGGAGGAAAAAAAGAGTATGTAAGTCAGCTACTTAGTAAGCCCGTCCGGTCCGGGTGGCTGTTTCGAGTTTTTCGGTTTGAAGTTGTTCAATGACGCAATTATTTGAACAACGTCTTCACTCGAGATTCACTTTAGCGCTTCAGTACTTCAGTGTTCGAGTGATCATAGTACTTTTGTGGGCAAAGTATCAGCGTGCGTGATATCTAATAGTCTTTTCAGGTTTTGGTGTCCGTCTTGCTTGATATCATATACACTAGTGTGCAATCGATCTGCTAGTAATCCTGTTTGCCTAGTCCATCGTAGGCCGCCGTATGATACACTGCATACTGCCCGGTGTTCCTCTCCTTGACCCCGCTCGATCAGCTTCCCTGCTCCCTTGGTTTGTCGGCAACTTCAAGTTGAAATCGATGAAACATTACTCAGTGTTCTCCTCGGCCCCCCTGGCGACATTTGGTTCCTAGTGTTCTCGCGTTGTACAAGTGCTCATTCGTGGATGCCTCAACCGCACTGCTACTGCATGGCACATTTGATAGTCATCGTCGCATCCCCAGTAATTTCTGTGGCATCTGCGACATCTGCATCTACAGCAGCAAAGTTCATTCACGTCTTGTACTATTGATATACCGAGCAGGCATCACAGCGTTTCACACCAGTAACCAGCCTCATGTCGACTTTTCGTCCTCGTATCGTACTATACTACATCTTTTCATTGCAGACACATCAAGTATAAATGAACGTTTGACATTTCAATCTAATACATGTACTTATACAATACTATAGCACCGTTATACACAGAACCAACACGTCTCCGCTACAAATACACCTACACAAAATACACCTACACTTCCTTCGCTCGTCCGGGGACTGGACAAAATATCATTACTGCCATAAATGCTAAATGTAAAGCAAGGATCACGTGCGATAACAAGACTGCTGAAATATCAAGTGTTTGATTAACGAGTCTGGGAGGGGTACGTTCGAGGCTAGATTTCAGCTGTATTCCTGAATGCGCACGTCAGGTTCCGACCGGTCAAATCATCGAGAAATAACAAAATACACGTACCCCTGCAAGTTTCTCGCCTTCGTGTAAAACAGCGAGGCAGGCCCGCAGACCCTTTGAACACCATTGCATTTCAAGCCAATACAGGAGATGGTCATACCAGAAGGAATGGAATACATGCCCGAGCATGGCGTCCCATGGACGTGGAGCTCGCGCGAGATGGATGGCCCAATTGTGGCATGCGTACTTGAGAGCGTCAGAAGTTGATTGACCTCGTTCTCGTCCTTTGTTTGCGACATTTACGAAGGCCTTCATGGCACGGATGATCTCCACGTCCGGAAGGTGATCTTGCGGTGAAGCAAATGTAGAAACATTGTGGTGCCTTAATGCGAGGAACGCCGGAAACATCAAGAAATCCGGCAAACTCTTGAAATGCTGGATCACCTGGAAGGCTGGGAGGCAAGGCAGATCTGGATCAATCGGGTACTGGCTGACTGCTTCCAATGCACTCCAGAATTCGACAATTGTCACCCAGACACCCATGAACGGCCATGCTTCAGCATGTGGTGTCTGCAGCCAGTCTCTTCCGCTCTCTGTCTGCAACCAGTCTTCGCCATTATAGGTTTGCAGCCAGTCTCGCCCACCCTGGGTCTGCAGCCAATCTCTTCCGTTTTGTGTCTGGAGCCAGTCATGCCCGGCTTGGGTCTGGAGCCAGCCCATCCCACGGTAGCCCTGCAACCAGTCTCGCCCATGCTGACTCTGCACCCAATCTCTCCCGCTCTGCGTCTGCAACCAATCTCTTCCGCTCTCTGTCTGCAACCAGGATTCAACACCCTTGGTCTCCAGCCAGTCTCGTACACCCTTGGTCTCCAGCCAATCTCTGCCGCTTTGTGTCCACAGCCAGTCTCGCATATCCTGGGTATCCGGCCAGCGACACCTCGGGCAGCACTTCTCGGGACTATTAAAGGTCTTTCAGACCTCATTGTTATGTTAGGGTTATATGGGTCTGAGAGACCTGGCCTCACAGAGGATCTAAATATAGCACACACCTAAATGGTATTGCTTCCTCCTGGATGCTCGTGCAGCGCCTCCCTCGAGCCTCGCAGCCCTCTCCTGACCCTCTGGATATTCTGCACATCCTCTACAATTCCTCGCCGACCTCGCCAGCATCCCCGTCCTATGCATACTTAGTTTGGTAACTCACTGCGACGATTTGTACTGTTGTTCGTTTTGTTATCCTTGCCTTCGTTCTGCCTCACGCAGCTCGTGTCTTCACTTAGGATCGGCACACCTGGTCCGTGTATGTCTGTCAAGTTTTCTTTCCCTACTCACTGATGTCCCCATCACTCCAGTCTTGTGCCGCCAGTTCGAGTCGCGAGTCTTTGTACTCGAACATGCATTGCTCATCTGATATCCTGCTCACGATGTTAGCTTCTACCTTCCAACGCTACCCACCTTTGACATGGCTGATGGAAGTGTCATCCGGGGACTTCGTTGAGGGCAAGTATATGATATTAGAGGGTTCAGGTATTCCATTGCATTTTTATCATTTTCCTCCACTTGAACATGTAGATCTTGTCATGCCGCACCCTCTGACACCACCAATCAGCCACCTGTGCCCTTCCGGCCCTCCAGAACCTCCATATCACTATATCTCATCCTCCAACATGCGACACACGAGGTCTCAGTGCGTTATCTCTTGCCAGACAAGAGTTGAGACGGCAAACAATCTCAATATGTATGTCATCTCATTTTTATCCTTCTGCTCTACTGAACATGTAGATCTTGTCATTCCACACCCTCCTGCACCACTACTACTGCACCACATGCGCCCTTTCACTCCACTCACCCTGCCACACCCTCCGGCCTACCTACCCCAAATGTGCCCTCCCAATCCACTCTAACACCTCTTGTCACCCAACCGCGCTCTCCCAGCCCTCCGGCACCTGCGCTGTACCCCGACCACACCCTCCAGCATTCATCCAGCACCCGACCACACCCACCTCTAACTCGATATCCTCCCGTTATCTCCTACTGCATGCCCTCCTCATCAACCTTTTCCCGACACTATCCGCTACAATGGGTTACAACGCAACGCGGGAGGCGCTGGCTTTACGCCCCATCGGCCATACAGAACGGTTCGGGTCATTAAACAACCTTGTGTGTTAACCCTCCACCCGTTTCCAGCCCCGAGGCAATGGCCAAAATTTGGATGAGGCCATCGTGCTTTATGGGGAAGTACTGACCTTATGGCCCGTCGGTCACATAAAGTGGTCCATATCATTAAACAACCTTGCGAATAGACATTTCGAGCACCGAGGCAATGACCAAGACTTGGATGAGGCCATCACGCTTCACAGGGAAGCGCTGGTCCATACAAGCTGTTCGTCATGGTCAGTAAATCAATGACAGTTTCCTTCGCGACCAGCGTATGTATTCATTAAGGTGCAAAGTTCGATCTAATCGTGCACCTAGCAGGTCCATTCCAGCACAACTCTCGCATCCTCCCAGCCCTCCCAACATCCAACCACGCCAAATTAGTGATGTGCATGGCCTGCTTCCACCGTCGTTCGAACATCCCACTCCGTTCATCGATGTTCTGTAAAGCTCAAAGCTGAACTTTGTCCTGCTGACGTCGGCCGTGTCTGTTCGCATCTGGGCTTAAGTTGTACCTGCTCCCGCTTGTTTCCCTCTGACTTATTCACACACATGCTCACGAACAGATGATATTATGCCAGAAGGTGACAGTTTTGAGTCGTCGTGTATGGTCATATATCTGTGCGGTACTCTGTTGTACTCATGTACTTAGAATTTAGAAATAAGTAACTTTGACATTGATCTATACCTGCACCAATCCCAAGCCGAAATATTACTGTATGCGAACAGTCTCTACTACAGTTGTTGTACGCGACAGAAAGCCGGACAGCGAAGAAATTGACGTTGCGAGCATAAGATGAGTTTCGGTCCTACCGTACTAGTGTGACCAACCAACCTTCTTAGTAGAATCATGTAAAGTAGCATCAGTAAACTAGTATTTTCTTCACAGAAAACACGAGAATTGTGTTTTTCTCACAGCCAGCTACAGACTCCACAGTGCCGCCAGAGTCACAGCAACAAACAACCACAAAGTATATAGTGTCTCCAGTCACTCACAGTTCCACAGAACGTTGCCTTATATTAATATTCCTTAGTAGTAAGTAGTACCACGGGCGCGCTATCATAATGTACAACACTTTGTAGTTTTCGATGCAAAGACATGATGATTTTGAACTTAGTAGATTCACACCGCCGGATCTAAAAATAACAAGAATTGCATATCACATATGTACGCCGGGGTATTCATAACAGCATAGTAGTACGAAACATGAATCAATACAAGGAGAAACTCTACGAAGTACTGAGCGCTCGAATCAATCAAGCTGGGCAGTGAGGCACCGGCCCCCTGTGGTGTCTACTGTAATCACTGAATTTCCTGCAGGCTTCTCAGAACGTCATTGCATCATGTCATAGTATAACGAGCTTACCGGCTTGCAAACGACTCCTACAACTTGAAGTTCGAGTTGAAGAACTCGGAGGAATAGTATGACTCCATCCGTGGTTCTTGAAGACAACTCTCATGCACCCCAGTCCAATGTCCGTATCATCCAGCCGCTTCTCTGCCACCAGTAGCCGTGGTATTGATATATTACTCACTGGTAGTGTAGTGTAAATGTGATACAATAGTTGCTCACTGCCATAGCTCCCAGTGATATATGAATCTATTACACCTGCAGCTCCCTCTAGTTCCCTGCTCCAAGCGCTATTAGCTGATTCATCTGAGATCTATGGTATGTGACTTGAGATCCATCATAGATGGTCTCGTTTTTGGCATTCTGCAATCTGTGATCTCCGCCCTTACCATTCTCCAGCGTTGCTTCTTTCCCCACGTTAATATTAAGAACAATCACGCGATATATGTATATTTATAACTGCAAGGGAGCGTCAATAGTAGGTGTATCTACCTCTCCGCTCTCTGGAATCAGGACACCACCAGAGACAAGGGTAGGCACATCACTCCACAGCCTTTGAAACTTGGCTATCAGCAGCACACGCAGTGCAGACTGGCGACACGCGTACGCTGACAGTCCCTCTTGTGCAGGTGCTGAGTTGAGCGTTCGGAGAGTTATGCGCTCCTTCCACCAGGACCCTTGCCATCTCAAAAACACCAGCACTCGTCTCATCTCTTCTAGCAATAACTCCACCTCCTCCGACCACCGGTGTGCGCGGGCACGAGCCTTGCACCATTCCAAGCGGACACCTATCAAAATGTCAGATAAATGTGAGTAAAACATACCATACACTTACAATCCTGTATGCGTTCATTTTCTGTACAGCTGTTATCAGCACGGGAGTCTAACCAAATCCAGGAGATGGTTCCTCTCCCTTGCTGCTCCATGTCACACATAGGCTTAACATCGGAGTCAAGAAGTGGGCGCATGGTGAGCTCCCAACCGCACTTCTCCAGACAGTGGCCAAGAGACAGCAGGGCACTGCGCGCACGTCTGTACTTCAATACACTGGCGTGCTTCCTCGATTCCACGGCATCAATGATTTTCTTGGCGCGAGTGGAACCCGCTTGACCACGGACATTTTTATCCTTGTACTTGTACATGTGGGATCGAAGCCGGAGGTGGGAACGAACTTCGTTCAGGGCATCGAGGGCCTGCGCGTAGCGTAGCTCCCACTCGTGGCCAGCGAGCGTCAGGTCTACGGGGGTGCCAGCTGGAAGTTGCGAAGGGAGCCACAGGTTGAAGTCTTCAGGTTTGAGTTCCTGTGGCCTCCCACTAGCCTCTGATGATCGATGCCGGAGTTGACAGACAACCAGCATGTATAGCTCCTGGATGCGGGCCCAGGCATCAAGCCGTCGTTGGAGGGAGGCGATTTGAGTTTGTGTTATGGCCTTCTGATTGTCGGTGTCGTGGAGGGACACATTGGCAAGACTGGATCTTAAGCGTGCCCTGTAGAACTGTCAGTATGGCGTAGTGTAACAATGAATACAAAACTTACTGTTGATCCTCGAGATCCATGCCCGATGTAATCAATCCGCTTGGAGAGACATCGGTGTGAAGTGAGACATTGATTCCAGCTTGAAGGTCTTGAGCTTCAAGCTCAGTCAGTTGTAGTCGTACGGATGCCTGTGTAACCGCTACCATTTATTAGAACAACCACTGCAAAAACACCAGGATCACTTACGGTTAAACCGGCTTTCAAAGGGGTTTGGAGAGGAGTTATCCTCCTCCCAGGATTCCACCTCTGCCTTCCACTGCGCGATAAGAGCCGGCTGAATAGTCTTCTCCAGTTCCGAGAGGGCTTCGGAGTGCTCCTTCGTCCACTTTACAGCTTCAATCATCTTCTTATGCAATGTCCGCCCTAAGTCTATGTCAGAATTTGAGACTGAAAGAAAGAAACCGCTCACCTAATGCTGTAATTTTTTTCCAGTTCCAATCACCGAAGTGATCGTCAAGAGTGTCCCGGCGTGCTCCCGGTCCCATTTCCTTGGTACTTGATGCCACTCGGTTTATATTGGACCAGCCCCGTTCAGGGGCTTCGCCGTCTGTTCGGCCCACGTACCTCGACCAGTTGAAAGAGAAATTGGTGCGACACTTATCGATGTGGGCCTGGATGTGGAACTTCGGCACAAAAAAACGTATGAGGGAAGATTCGCGGGGGGGAGAAAGTCGTTCCGGCATCGTTTCCATTCGAGTCCAGAGTCTCTTGTGCCACTGGCAGGCGATGTCGTAGGATATGTTGATCATGGACATCGCGAGGATGAAGAGCGCAGAACACATGATATAGTCCATATTAATGTACCTGAGTAACATCAGCCTTAAAACATTCCAAATGCAATATAATACATACCGTTCACCCTTCTGCAGGTCTCCAACTCCGTTTGGGAGCTTCATATCATGCCTTGCGCAGTCGATCGTCCCAACTCCTGTTGCAGCAAGCCCACGGGAGGACTTGGTATCCGCCATGTTAACTGCATTGTGGCTTACACACGTGCTTCGCTACAGAAAAAGTCTAAGTTGAGAATTATCATTGAAAACATGTTACTTACCTCTTGCTTGTCGGAAGCACGATCTGCAAGGTAAGATTTGTATGAGTCTTCGTGCACAAAATACGCCCATCCAGCATTAAGGCTAGGGTCAGCAGTGTCAGAAGACACCGCCTTGCGCTTCAATCTAAAGTTCGCATCGATTGCAACAAACAGCGCATATTTCCATCTGCTCAGATAATGTGTGAGCTCAGCAAAATCAGGGAAAGACAACCAACATCTTACCTGGTAAATAGAGGCTCCTTCTCCCAGTCTAGTGGAAGATTCTTCCCGGGCTGTGGGCATGCGGGGCAGAGAACAGCTAACTCTCCTTCGGCAGTAGCATTGACACCAGCGGGGTCGTGTCCCCTTCCTCCGCGGGAAAGTTGCTTGAGGTTACGCCATTGGCGTACCATCCGCATGAAAGCGGAATAACGATCCTAGAATATATCATCATCAGACAGTTGCAGGAATAAATTAAAATACTCACCCTGATCGCTACTAACCCTGAATTGTCGGTGCGCCTTGCGAGCGACTGGTAGAACTCGTAAGCAGATACCTTGCTTTCAAAGGATAGAATATGAAAATGCTGCAGAACCGTAAAGGTTGCTGCAGTTCGAGGCTCTGAGACTGTGGCTGGATACCACCGCATACGTAACAATTGTTTATACCGAATCTGAGCCGAAGCGCAGCCACAAAAGTCCAGGGCGATTTCATGAATACCATCGAGCGCGATGACCACAAAATCATCACCGGCAGCAGGAGAAGGTTTGTAGCACCTTTCTCCTGGGTTATGGCCTAGTTGTACCCGAACCCCGAGCTGTTTGAGTGTGATACGCTGAAAAAAGTCCCATTCCATATCTGACAAGGATCAGTCATACGTTGATGCCAAAATAAGTATGAAACACACCTCAATCCTATGCAAAGGATGAAGAACGTGGTTTTGAAGTGTACATTCACGGCAGAATATTTGAATGCCATGGCAGTCACAGCATCGGAATTGAGGCGATACTGCACCACATGAGCAAGTGACACCTTCAGTCCCGCGTCCATTGAGGCGCAGCATTTCGTCCAGGAAGATTTGACGTTGTCCAATCCAGGCGAGCAAAGGTCTGTCCTTAAGTCCAATAAGTTAGCATGCCCAAACGAATATCAAATGAGAACACCCACTGCCGCAGTCTCTTTGCGCTTCTCCGTGGAACAAATATCAACAATATCGTCTGTAAGTGTTTCGTCCTCAAATTGACAGTCGCTGGGATGCTCAACGCGGTCATCTATCCAAAATATGTTGTCGTTTGATGAATTTTCAGGGGGAATTCCAGCAACATAGTGTGTTTGCAGCCGTGTGCTCCCTTCAGCGGTAATCTCTGCTGCACGAAGTCGTAAAAGATGAGGTTCGGGGTTGATAGAGACGGGGACAAAAACCTCCCGTTCGAGTGCAGGCCTCTTGGGGGGGTGACCACGGGGCATTGTGCACTGTGGTTAATCTGTCAGCTCAGTCGGGTAGTCAGAGGATCCTCCATTTGTAATTGGAGGATCCCGCCAGTATATAATAATGGACAAATTTGTCCCTCCTCACCCACCTCGTGAATCATGGTAACACCATTGAATGATAATGCAATCCCACCGGCAACCGTTGAATACTTGTTGCGCCCCCGTCGAAGTGAGCCCATTGATAGTGATATCTTGCCACATACCTGACATTCAAAAACAGACCACAATCCGCCCCCAGCACATGTGTCTTCGGAAATTCGTTCATACATAATGCGATATAATCGAACCCCAACCAGAGGGGCCGATTTTCACGCCTGTGCAGAAGGACTGGTTGAAAGATCATATACCACAGTATATGCAGTGGCCTCCTACCTCAGATGAGACGATCACATTCGTACAGACCATGCTTATTGATTTCGACCACATGTGGCCTCTTCACCAGAAGTTGTGGCCCGGGTCGAATGTTCACATTTTGCTAACCGACAGCATGCATGCCAAATTAACGGCAGAGATGCTGATTCTTCGAGGGGTAAGTCAGCTGTGCACGTAATATGCAACTATGACTGACCTTGATGCAGAATATCAAGGGCCACATGCTGTGGACAACGCGACGTAATCTGCGTCGCGAGAAGAATCGAACGGGAATTGAGCCGCGGAAATGGTTCTGGTACTGGGGTGTCGGGCAAGCTTAGAAGATTGGTGGATAGTACTAGAGAATCCACTTACCTGCTAGACCATACATGAGAGCTTGAGCGCGATCGATCAGTGATTGATGATCCCCGATTCCGATGTTGATGGAAGCTTGTGATGGATTTGCCAAGATTAGTCAGCTGGTGCCACATGGATTATTACTAATATCTGGCACTTTGCAGTGATCCGCCATTTCCCAAATCCAAGGAAGTCATCCCATCCTCCATTTCTTGGACGTCCGACCCCGCCGGCCTATGGAGTATAAATTCAGAACGTGGTGAGTGATACATTATCTTATCTATTCAAGGTACTCACTTAACTCACTCCCATGACTCAGAAACTGCCTTCCTCCAGTCGGACAGATACCATGGTATCTGTCCCGACTGGACGGTCTCATCAATCTTCTCCAGTGTCTTTCCCTCGACGATCAAAAGACACTATCTCAGGCCTTAGACATTGGCACGGACATGGGCACCGATGGTGATACATCCAATGGTGAATCCGTTGATTCTTTTATATTTTCATTACTCATGTAGCTTCGGCAATGTTACAGATAACATCACCGTCAGAATGGGCCTGGGCCCTGCCGCTGGCAGCACCGAAATGGCATTGGCATGCTCTTCCCGCTGTCTCTGATGACCCCCCTGCTACAACATTGACAGTCCCAGGGAAGCTGCACCAGTTGCTTCTCCTGGCGCAGCTGCTGCCCATAGTGCTGGCACCACTCCTACTTCTGCCCCCGCAACTGCACATGCTGCTGCTCCCACTGTGGTTGTTCCTGCAGGGCATGTCACTGTCTATGTCGATTACGAGGAAAACGACTCCTCTGATGACGAAGATGCGGCTGCTGCAGCTGCTGCACTTGCGAATGATTCCACATTGATTCATTACCGCGATACCTACTTCAATGTCCCAGTTGATGCCACCCCCCGCTCTATTATGTGACTCGAGGTCGCTACATCGGCTCTTTTCAGGTGGTGAGCTGGATTTTCCGAATTTCTCATGTCTAGTAGCTCATTTCTTCGTTGTAGGGATGCAACCGGTCCCAAAGTGCTCGGTGTCTCTCGAGCCATCTACCACAAGGTGGATTCCATCGAGCAAGGGATAAACATCGTGAAGGGTGCAATTGATCGCGGTGATGCTTCGCAGGCCTTGTAGCACATGATTATTTAGTGAATTTTGTGTATGTCCATAGCTTGTCGCAAAATGAACGGTTTTTCTTGAATGTCGGTGTGCTTCATCTGATCAAAACATATTGCAAACAAGTATTACATTAATGAGAGCATACAAGCGCCATGCCTATCAAGAACATTAAACTTAAGATATAAACCCTACACTGTAGGCATGATATCGTAGAGTTCAATTTTGAAGGATGGTAAGAGAATGGTAGGATAAATTCGCATAAAATCCAAATTAATCTCCTACGTGAAGCCATTCAAAACTCCTACGCATATATTGAGTGCCTCAACTGGCTTACTTTCAACCCACTTTATGCACATGGCACGACCACGTCTACACAACACTACAGAAGAAAAGGCAGAAGCTGCACGCACTTATAAACGAGCTTACTATGCACGGTACTTCACTCACTTTATTGTTATTTCTCTTAATGATGGTGGACCCACTGATACTACAGTCACCGCGATAAGCTATGTGCGCAAAAAAAGGAGATATACAAGGGGAAGGAAGATAGGTAAGATACATACCAGCCACTTGAATATCTGAACATCTGACTCGAGGTCACCTAAGTTCTAGGCTGTGTGATAGGCCTGTCACTGTAGGAAGGCCACGCTCACACCATACAGCTGAGGAGAAAATTGAAGCTGCACGCCGATCCCGGAAAGCCTATTATGCTCGGTATGTCATTGAAATATCAATGTCTCAAACCATTGAACATTCTATACCTAGTAACCGTGAGGAGATCCGTATCAAATATCAAAACAAATCAAATTCAAAGGCGTACGTTTCTCGCACAACTATAATATTGTCACTTACCTGATCGCCCAGCTTGGACAATACCAGTAGCCTCAAACCGGCGCGCTCAGTACGAGATGCACACAACAAACGCAAAAACAAATGGTATGTTATTTCATTTCGCAGTAGTTCATAAGGCTAAATGATCTCGATCAAGGGCAAGGCAATGCGATGACATCGATGCCAGCCTGCAGGTCCTTATTGGGTCATCGTCAAGCACAGCATTGGTTGAGGGCCTTTGTGAGCTCTTCATAGCAAACCCGGATAAGCCAGATTCGTTGGACGTCCTGCGGTCTGCTCACAATGGGTTGGAAGACCTCCTTATGCGTGCGCAAACTGTAGAAAACGATGTTCTTGAGGAATGTGGGACAGGGCAGGACCTCAGTCGGGCACATAGTTCTGTGTCTCATGTGCGCAGGGTTCTGGCTGACTTAGAAGACGTGTTTAGTCATGCCATGTTAGGTGTAGACTCCTTAGTTGAAGCGCATGAACAGCATAGACTACATCATCAACTTACCCAACACAATGTTATTCCTTAGTAGCCCAAAATACAACTAGGTAGTATAGAACTTGATTCAACACCTTTTGAAATCAGAGCGCTCGGTGACAATCGGAAAATTCCGAGCTTGGAAAACTGTATTGGCATTACGCATTAACCTTGGCATCAAACAGTGACAACGCGTACGGAACCAAAAAAAAAGGTATGTTATGACGAAATGGATTTAATTAATTATAGTCATATGTGATGGCATGCTAAATGTAACACGAATAGATGGCGCCGCGTACATGGCTGACGCAGGAGGAACTGGCCTTCATCGCAACTTTTGAGGATGATTACCTCGAATGCCAAAAGAAGGGGAACTATACCACTTTTTGGCAACCCTTCTTCGAACAATGGGAGGAACGATGGCCCGCGAGGGCTTCCTTGTTTCCAGGTATTCCTATGGATCAAGTTCTCACCGCGGCTCAATTAGAGGAGAACGAAAAATTCAAAGCCGCACTTCAGAAGGTCTATTTCTTATTTTTCATGCATGGTATTGGGGACTTACATTGCATCCAGCGCCTGACGGTCAAATTCCGTAATGATTATGGTAATTCAAAGCCTGGCCGCAAAGCGGCTGCAGCGGGCAATTCGGCTGTCCACAAACTTCTCAGCAATATCGTTAAGGGACCCACAGCTGGTCGGAAACGTCCTCTCAAGGAAAGCGAAGTCTACGCTAAAAAGTATTATACTACTCGAGTCCAGGCCAGCGTTAAAGATGAGCTAAAAGCCATCAAAGAACAACCTGACGTCCCCGATCCCAAGAAGACGAACCTTCGGGTGATCCGAAAGCATGTTGACCGCTGCTGGGAGAATGAGTCCGTTGAGGTGAAAGAGGAAATCTCTCAACTTACGAGAGAGATGAGGGAAGCAGCGCGCGAGGCGGCGAAGGGGAGGAAATCATCTGAGGTGACCAATGATCTGTAAGTGTTATCTTCATGCCTGTTCCTTTGCTGATTGAAGACAGAATTATACCGAGACTTACAGAAATTCTCTCAACTTTCTTCGGAGAGCTTCATGAGGCCACAGGATGGACATTCAGCGTCCTCCTCGGTGGCCCTGACCCATCAAATGGGGGTGCGATTGATGTCAGCAGCTTACATGTAGGGTCAACGAAACTCGGTAATCGATTTAACCACGCGTTTTCTAACGATAATGTTATGCTGCCCTACTACGAGTTTGTGTCTCATGTTTTCCGTATGTATCCAACTATTTTTTTTTCAAACATTTCACTGATAATATATAGCTGAAGCTGGGACTTCAAATAAAACACCCGCTCCAGACGATATGCTTACAAACGATGATCCTCCAATGCCTATGCCTGTAGCGCCTGATACATTACATGGTTCAAACCCCACATCCCAAGAGGCAGACTTGGCACCTATCTTGGCACCTATCTTCCCTCCCACGCACTTAGCGCAAGAAGAGGTAGTTCCTGCGCCACCTGACCTGAGAGCACTTCTACGAGAATTTCTTCCAACACCTGCCCCCCGCTCCTCAAGACAATGAGATCAACCAAGAGCTGGATAGGCCCATCATCCCCATGCCAGAGGGCTATGTACCCTTCTGTCCACCACCGCTAGCGCCACTCACTTTGGACCCTATGTCTTCCCCCACCGCATTTCTTAATCTGGATTCAAATCTCGAGAGTTTTGACGATGCCCTCAAATCCATGCAGTTCCAGAACACCACCACGGGATTGGTCTGTTCTCCTCCCCACCTTCGTTATCAGTTCGACAATTTCATTAGATTCTCGTCGCCTAGCACCACGTCGGTCATCACACCCTCGCACCACAGTGGTTGACATGCCTACCATCACCCATTCACCTGTGGTCAGGTCTTCCACCACACCCACCATCACACCCTCTCCAGCTGCACCCACAACTACCATACCCATCACCACATCCTCAGTAGCTGCACCCACGACTCCTGTGACACTGGGAACAAGGCCTTCGCAGCTTATTTCTGGGGTGGGACTTGATGCTCAAAACCCCAGCAACGTTGTAGATGAACGTCCGGCAAAGCGCCAGAAACGGGCTCAATGCACACGTGCAGGAGAGACAGATCCGCTACAGGCTGTCTCCTCCAGCCGAGGGAAACAACAAAGATTCCAGTCCACTCGAGCTGCTGCCGCCAATGCGATTGGTTAATTATTAGTTGAACACATCTATAAATAATGTACTTGAAATTTCATTCATTGTCTTGAGCTTAACAGTATCATGGTGGCGCGAGCACCAGTCTCTGACTCACATCAAAAGAAATTTTGATAGAACAGCCCTCCGGGCACTTACATAAACAAGGCAAATTCTGATCTGCGCATGAGACAAGTGTCACTGAGTGTAAATGGCGACCGAGGATTGAAAATATGTAAATAATCATTTAGAGAGGTCTCATACGACATGGCCAGTAGGCTCAGACAGACACTAAACTAAGAGTACAGAAAGGTCCTCCTCTAAACCGGACTTGATCAGCGTGTTTGGCATAGAGCGGCTTAGGTTTGCAGTCTCAGCTCAGACTGCAAACCTCACCGGTTGGACAAAGTAAAAATGCTGTGTGGGCGTTGAGTTAGTTTGATATATTCACTGAAAATTGAAATGTACGCAATGGTACAGTAGTGAGCCTGCAATTCACTGTGCGACAGGTGCAGAGGCATTTGGAAGGTTGAGAGGGCGGTGGATGGCGCAATAGCCTAGGCTGGTGTGAGTGAGGAGTGGAGGCCGTGGTGGCTTGGCGACATTACTGGAGGGTGCAGTACTAGAAGATGCAAAACGGCAGGGTCCAGGCTGTCAGAGTCCTGCCAGTAAGTAACACTGAAAAGCAAATAATACCTGGTCAGAACACTCGAAAGTCATATATTTACTCACCGAACAGAAAGAGCCAAGAGTCCGAATGAAGATATTGATCTGAGAGCTGGACGGTAGAGCAGGTAAAAATTGGAAGATTCATTGAGTGTCGACTGCACCGTGTTTTGGGTACGATTGTAATGCAAGGGAACTCTCCAAGCCACCCGCAAACTGCCGAAGAACTGTACATTAAGTCAGCTGACACAGAAAGAACAAGGAATAACCAACCACTGAAAATATCAGTACAGCAGGCACAACATAAAAATGAGATTTCAATGCGATAAGCATTTTTTTGAAGCAATTTAGTAGGTTGGGCTTTGGCTCGTTTG